ACCCGTAGTTGGTCTTGACAAGGTCCATTCTGGTCTGACCTGGCTTTTGATTGACGCCGGCTGTGACGATGACGGCTGTGGCTCCCGCGCAGTCGTCGTAAGAGTCACCTACACGAACACGGGCCTGGGCATAGTGGGCGGCGTGGCTCATGTCAATGGCCTCACCCAGGGCGCGGTTCGTGTCGATGTCGATGAGAACGATCTCGGCTGCGAGCCCTGATAGGAGGAGGGCATAGGCGGTAGTAACACCGACGGAGCCGGCACCGACAATCACGATCTTGATGGACTGTTCTCTTGGTCAGTTCTGAAAAGGCCTTGATATGAGCAGAGATAAGGAGACGGACTCTAACGTTGGCTGCATTGGAGGCAGGCATTTTGGCGGTTGTGTAGGTGGCGTGCCACGTGCTGTCTAGTAACTGCTGTTGCTGAATGTGTTGTGTGTGTGTGTGTGTGTGTGTGAAGAGGAGAGTGTTGGGGCTGATCGGGTCGTCACTCGTGGGGAACGTTGGAAGCGAAAGAGGGGTTGTGGTTGTGGGTTGCAAATGCCAAGACTTGATGCTTCCGTCCTGGACAGTGATGAGGGTTGATTCTGAGGCCTGTCGATGATACAGAGGATGTTGATGATGCTCCAAAAGCTGTCAAGAGGTTTCAGGAGGCTTATAAGCTAAACGGCAATATTGGGTTCCGACAGCTTGGTCCCTGCAGTGAGCTGAGGAATGAAAGAGTGGATTGCGTGGAGTGTTGTTGGGAGGGATCATGGCCTGATCCTTTGTTTGCGTAGATGCTTGGAGCGGCCAATTAGTGGGGTGAACTGAGCCCAAGGCGCCCTTCCACCGACTGACGCTCATCCACTGTGACACGACAGATATCGGAGCATTTTAATTCGTTCCCGCCAACATCTCATGCAAAGAACTGGAAATTGGGGCAGTGAGATGCGGGAATAGATGCCGAGGAGGGAGCCACATGGAAGGGCCAAGACCTCAACCCTGCCAAGGTGGGGGTTAGGGTTTGCCGTATCATCACGGATGGCGCCGACGACCATGGTGATAGGTTCAATTTAATTGTGGAATGATTCAAAGGTAAACACTGATTTACTGGATATCCAACCAAGGTATCTTAGACATCCATCTACGCAATCCAGAACCAAACCCTTTGCAACCAGTTCTTCGGCACAGGCTTAACATCGCCCTCACACCACTCGTCCATTTCCTTCTTGCCCGTCACCACATCGATATCAGCCAATGGCTTCGCCAAGGGCGTCCTGTACACAATCTTGTGTCCCACATATAACAACAAAAATGCCGGAATAGTGATGTACGCCGCCAAAAAGTTCTTGTAGTCGAACCCCCCGTCAGCTGCCTTGATGGCAAACACTTGAAATCCGTTGGTGAGGGTAAGAAGCGATATGAGAACCAGCACAAACCAAGAGAGGTATGGCTGCCCGATCGTTTTAAATGGCAGTGTGTCTAGTAGACCCTGGAATTTCAGAGCCGAGCGGAAGCGGAGATAGGTGATGAGAACCACGATCCAAGCGATGAAACCGGAGATGGTGGAGATGTTCATGAACCAGGTGAATACTGTGGCGCCGTTTTCGGAGACGTTGAGGTAGGCCAGAAGCCCGAGCGACCACGTCCCGAGGACGGCGGCGTAAGGAACACCTCTGCGTGTAGTCCTGGTGAAAATATGTGGTGCTTGGCCGGTTGCCGCCAAGGAGTACAGGATACGTGATCCAGAGTAAAGAAAGGCATTACCGGCTGACCACGCAGAGGTGAGAATGGCGGCATTGATGACGTGGTTAAGGCCACCAATGCCTGCTTCCTGAATACCGATGACCCAGGGAGAGGCGTTGGCGTTCGACTCAGGGGACAAAAGGCGCGGGTGATCGGATCGGACGAGACAGCCGAGAATCAAACTGCTGACACCGTAGAAGATAGCCAGACGGTACAAGAAGCGGCGAGCAGCCTTGGGAATGTTCCGCCGAGGAGCAACAGTTTCACCAGCCGCGAGACCGATAAGCTCAGGGGAGGTGATGAAACTGAACCCAGCTCTGACAAATGCCGTCCAGTATGCCAAAAAGTTGCCCCAACTTCCCGTTGCCACATATGGTTTGATGGCACCAGGATCATTCCAAGTCCCGAACCCAATCGCTTCCCTGTTGGGCGCTCCGCCGGCCATGATGACAATTCCCGTAATGATCAAACCCAGGATGGTGATCAGCTTGATGCTGGCAAACCAAAACTCGGCCTCGCCAAAAACCTCAACGGCAATGATGTTGAGGGCCAGGCAGACAATCAAGATGATCGTGATCCAAACAGCAGCATGAACGGGAGTGTCCCAGTAATCCAGCAGGATAGCTCCCGCTGAAGCTTCCGCTGCCACCAGAATGGCATACGCATACCAATAGTTCCAGCCGGCCGCAAAAGCCAAACTGCTATCGACATACCGGTTCGTGAAATATGGTAGCGTGATTCCTCTCATCGGAAGATAGGTAGTCATTTCAGCAATGGCGTTCATCACACACCACACAACAAACATCTGTGACAGGTAACCCAGCCATAATGGCAGTGGACCGACAAGCGCGAGAATTCCACCAGAGCCAACAAAAAGGCCTGTTCCGATGCTGTTGTCCGTGTGAGCTGCCAGTAATTCATGATGAAGAGAGGGAGATTTGGGCAATACTTACGCGCCACCCAGTGCCAAAAACTGAATGTGTCTACTTTTCAACCCACGTTGAAGTTGTGAGTCCTTGTCGAGCGAGACAAGCCCATCTAGCAGCTCGGGGCCACTGCCGCTTTCAACCGACCCTTCGTGCTCCGACTTCATTTTTGGTGTATCCTCCCAGCCTGGAAGTCGAGTTGTCGACGGGGAGAAGGTTGGATGGCCTCGAACAAAGACGACTGCTCACGAGACTTGGACAGGCGTAGATAGGCACATGAAGGCTGTCCAGATCTATGGAGATAAGTTTTGACCTGGCGCGGTTGAAGGTCGTATGTAGACCCTTTTAACCTTTGTGCCACCTGCACGTTTGTTGCCAACCGATGAGACCCGAGGGTTTGGGTCAGGAAGAGCGGATGGGGTATGGTGTTGATCAAATGTGAGGTAGATGTCAAAAACATGCCATTGATTGGAACACAGTAGGTAGCGCACCCAATGCCTTAAGTCAGGCTCGCGCGGAGGAAGGACGTCACCGAAGGTTGGGGTCAGTGCCGGGGCAACGTCCGGGGAAGCGGATGAGGAGGGGTGGTGAGAAACCTGATAGGAGATTGCAACCATGGCAAGGAATTCCAACCGTAGCATGTCTGGGATTTTGTGTGTTCTCTTTTCGGGGTGATTGGCCATGTCGCTGACTGCTGATCCGACCTTCCTAATTGGAAGGCCCTCGAGTTGACAATGGTGGGATTGAACGCTAGAACCGTGTGAGTGCCGATCTGAGGTTTCCCTGCCCCACTACACGTCGTGTAACGTCAACACTGTGACCTTCCGATCCGCTCACTGTCTTCCACCGTAGCTACCCGTTTGCCATGGCATCGGTAAGAAAAGAGGTATCGCGTTTGGAATTCGACCCAGGAGTACGTGATCCAGTCGGACGGTGGCGGTAAGAAGAGGCGATAAAAGGCACGCTAGAGGATGTGCTCGCGTGTGGCTTTCGCCATCAACGGCTGTTGAAGGTTCTCCAAGATTTTGAGAATCGGTGAATGGATCAAGTTAGAAATGCCTTTAGAAACACCCTAAGGTACCTAGGTGTGAATCCCTTTTGGTAAGGTTAGGTAATACAAACAGGAAGTGTTAGGTGTAGGTGAGGCACCCTGCTCAGGAGCCGATGTGTGCTCAGAATTGTGACATCACATGAGAACGGAATGTCTTCCAACACCCAGCGTTGATATGCATTTGAAGATCTAGTCCAGCAAAAGATATATCCCCAGATCATCAATTCGCATCGATACCATCAAAACTATTAGTTTTTTGCTGATTTGACACTGCCGAAAGTCCAGTTGACAAAAATACTCCGTACAGCGAGGGATGCTTGATCAACTGATAACTGTCGGAAAACGGAAGGTCGCCCTTCCCGCCAAGTCCAACCCTTGCAAACCCCCAATTAATTTTGCAGACCACCTCACATCCTCACCACATCTCGTGGTCCAAAGAAGTTTTTCATCTTTCCATCTGGACCATGCCCCAACCTCCCCTTCACTCCGACACGACCGCTTGACACTTGATCTCAACATTGAGCCTCTCGTTGGGCAGCGCAGCAACCTGAACGCAAGTCCGAGCTGGTGCTTTGGTGCGGTCTGGCCAAACTTTGTTCCACTCGGCGTTCATGGCGGCGTAATCGCTTCGAATATCCGTCAAGAAGACAGTCGCGTCCACAACACTTTCAAGACCACATTTCCCGTCCGTGGCCCCGCGAATGATGGTTTCGATGTTCCTCAGAACAGCTGCTGTCTGTGCCCCGCAGTCCAAAATGTGTGTTCCGTCGGCCTGAGTTTCGCAACCTTCGTAGGTGCCGTCCCCGCGTCGACTCGAGGTACCCGATACGAATATTGTTCGCGCCGTGCTTGGGATGGTGCGGGCATGAGGATAGTTGGCCAGCCCCTGGGCTCCAGTCGCTGGCAGCAAATAGCCTGTTCCGTTTGGTGATGCCATTTTGCGTTTGATGTAGTCTTTTGTCGACAGGATATGGTAGTTGAGGCCCAGTTGGTGATACTTGACACCGGACGTTGTTATACCGAAGCCAAGAACCCCTCCGGCCCCTCACTGAGGTCCCGTTCGATAAGCGCCAAGCGCCGGATCCCGTTTTGACCTACCTGACCCGCCTTCCGTCCCGACCCGCGATTTGCCGACACTACTGCTGCTCTACATCACTGGCCTTGAATCTTGTCTCAATACATGTGACATATTCACCAGAGCACCATATTGTCCTATTTCTACCCCTGGATAATCCAATCTTTGTTGTGCCATCGCTAAAAGTGTTTTGAAGTGTTGCTCTTGTATCGACAAATATGTCGTCCTCGACCTCAGACAGACGGTTGAGTGAGCTGTGGAACTGCGTTACGCTCGACGAGGCAAGCTCACTTATAAACTCCACAAGCAGCCCCTTCTCACTTCAGAACTTTGTTGGAGGCCAATACATTGCTCCTCATGACTCCTTGACCAGCTCCTCGCAACACATCACCTCGTTCGAGCCAAAGACTGGTCGTCCCATCTACACGCTTCCGTGTACTCAACCCCATGCCGTTGAGGCGGCCATCAAAGCCGCCAAGGCGGCTTTTCCATCATGGAGCAAAACAGCCCGTGCAGAGAGATCGGCCATTCTCTGGAAAGTGAGCGAACTGCTCCAGCAAAACAGAGAAGTCTTTGCGATCTGGGAAAGCATCGACCAGGGAAAGACACTGGATAGAGCTAGGGTAGAGGTTGATAGGGCCATATCCAACTTCTCGTAAGAGATCAAAAAAAGCTAGGCGGTATTCTTTCTCTTGGTGGCTGATAAAGAGGGCAGATATTTTTCGACCTTTATCCTCCACGAGCAAACAGCCGCGCGGATGGTGGATGGAGTTGCTCTTACCTATGAACATCGCTCACCAGCCGGCGTATTTGCCCTGATCTCACCATGGAACATGCCGTTGTATCTGCTCACCTGGAAGATTGCACCTTGTCTCGCCTTTGGGTGTACGGCTGTTGCGAAGCCAAGCGAGGTGACGAGCATGACGGCCTTCTGTGAGTTCATTCGTTGAATCGCCACTTATATGCTGTGCTAACAACTGCTACAGTGCTGGGTGATATCTTCCAAAAAGCCGGAGTCCCACCTGGAGTCATCAATATCATCTTTGGCGACGGAGCAACAACCGGTGCCGCCCTGGTGGCATCGCCGTTGATCAACGGCGTATCATTCACTGGAGGCACTCAGACCGGCATTGCTATCCGCCGCCTTACTGCGCATCAGATAGGGAAGCATCTTTCCCTCGAGCTGGGCGGCAAGAACCCGACTTTGGTCTTTGCAGACTCGATGGTGCCTTCAGTGCGCGAACGTACCATCCGGGTTGCTGCCATGGCTGCCTTTGAGAACCAGGGAGAAATTTGCCTCTGTGGCTCGCGGATTTATGTTGAAAAGTCTGTTTACAACGACTTTGTCCGCGACTTTACGGCTTATGTCAGGGAGAAATACGTGCTGAAGCAGACTGTCGGGGCGGTTGCCAGCTTGCAGCATTGCGACAAGATCAGGGGATATCTCGAGTTGGCTGCGGAACAAAAGGCGACATTTCATCTTGGGGGTGCTCCGCCAACTTTGAACGAGGATGAGGCCCAGGGATACTGGATCGAACCGACTATCTTGACGGATGTGGCCAAGAATTCGGCGATTCAGATTGATGAGATATTCGGCCCCGTGGTGACCATTACTCCTTTTGACAATGAACAGGAGGCAATCCAGCTTGCGAATGATAGCGAATATGGACTGGCAGCCATTCTACTAACGACTGACGGAGCAAGGATGAGACGTGTGGGAGAGCAGCTCGAAGCTGGTTTGGTCTGGGTCAACTGCTGGTTGGTCCGAGAGCTTGGAACTCCTTTCGGCGGAATGAAGAACAGCGGAACAGGAAGAGAAGGAGGCGAGCATTCCAGAGACGTGTTCACCGTTGTGAGAACACTGCATCTGCCCGCCTACTAGGACCCTATCAACACCATGGCCGCAGGGCACGTGGCGCCCACGATGATAGCTGAAAAGCGGCTGGACTTTGGACCTTCCACAATGGTCAGCTGGATGCTAAGCGACTATCGATACGACCAAGCGTTTTCCTGGATCTACAGGCTCAGAGTTCACCGGTTTACCGCAACAAAGCTCGCCGGCATTAGCGCAGTCGGCTTGTCGCGGGTATCTCTCCCGGGCACAGGACGGACTTGGGCAATTGACCAATCAGCGCCGTATCCGTTCCGCCATCCGTCATCCGACATCCGCATTTTCGACCACCACAAACAAACAATTGCAAGCCTGTGCCTGGTGCTGCATGTGTGTGAACGTGATTGGATTTGGGGTGGAACATGACATCACGTTGATATACTTGCAGGTTTCTCATTGATCATTGATATAGCACAATATAGTTTTACGATTCCCATCTTATTCTAGGTTGGGAAACGCTTCCTCGATGTTTTGACAACCTTCATATCGTCACTTATATCCACATCACGATCGCCAGCATCAATACCATCAAGTATCACCACCAAGCATAATCATCATGGCACCACCAATCCAAGACTACAACTGCTGCTCCAGCTCCTCCTCCCCCTCCATGTCCTCCTCCCCAGACACCCCAATCACCCCAACAACGCCAACAATCCGCCCGGCCTCGAAGCTCTTCAGAATAGACATGCACACCCACATCATGCCCCCATCCCTCCCAGACCTCTCCTCCCTCACCCCACCATCAGACAGTACCTACCAATGGCCCTCCTTCCGCCCCGTCTCCTCCCCCGACGCCAAGCCCGGGGAGATCGACATGTTTGTCGGCCCAAACTTCTTCCGCCGCGTCCAAGCAAACTGCTACGACCCCGCCGTCCGCATCAAGGAGATGGACGCCGTAGGCGTAGACGTCCAAGTCCTCTCCACCGTCCCAGTTCTCTTCTGCTACGACGCCCCGCTAGAGCCAGCGGTTGTTCTGGCCAGGGCGTTGAATGATCACATCGCGGAGATATGCCGGCGGTACCCTGAACGGTTCGCCGGGTTGGGGACTGTGCCATTGCAGGATACCACCTCCGCAGTGGAAGAGCTGAGACGGATAAAAGGAATGAAGGGGATGAAGGGGATCCAAATCGGGACTTCGATCACGGAGAACATGATGCTAGATGATGAGCGGCTAGAGGAGTTCTGGAAGGAGTGCGAGGAGTTGGATGTGCCTGTTTTTGTGCACCCTTTGGGGTATTCCCTGCCGAGGGAGAATAAGGCCCGGTGGGGGAAATACTGGGGGAGTTGGCTTGTTGGTATGCCTTCTGAGACGGCGTTGGCCATGTTGGCGGTTACGTGCTCGGGGTTGTTGGGGCGGTATCCGAGGTTGAGGGTTTGCTTTGCTCATGCGGGTGGGGCTTTTCCTGCTTTGATGGGGAGGGTGCAGAAGGGGTATGGTTGTAGGTCGGACTTGGTTGCTATGGACTCGCCGGGGGTTTCACCGAAGGATTATTTTAGGGGGAAAGGAGGTGAGGAGGAGGGAGGGGTATATCTTGATTCTTTGACGCATGATCCTGATTTGTTGGGGTTTATACTTGCAAAGTTGGGGCCAGGTGGGAAGGGGAGGGTTTTACTTGGGAGTGACTACCCTTTTCCGCTGGGTGAGGTGCCCATGGCAGGAAAGATGATTGTTGAGGATGAGAGTGTGGATCAGTTCTTGAAGTGGGAGGAGAAGGCGTGGATTCTGGGGAGAAATGCCATCAGGTTTTTGAAGTTGGGGAAGGAGTTTGAGAGCAGATTCAACAGCAGGTTGCAAGAAGCTGCTGACGAGAGTTGGAATAAGTGGAACAGTACTGTATCGGGAGGGCTGCCTGTCAGGCCAAAGGAGATTGCGCACAGTGGAGGGAGAGATGGCAGACCGGTGATGATTCGTGATCAGGACTGGGAGGTGTCGTCTTTTAGTAGTGAAAGTCTGTAGTTCGTATAACTAGGCTTACAGGAATCAATGCAACAATACCGATGATGGTGCTTAATAGAGTCATGTACAATAGGGGAGAAAACTCATGGGTAAATACGGCAAGATGCTATCTAAGAAGCTCAACGCTGAATGATATCCAAGAACAGAAGATGTGCCTACGTCTTCAAGACTCTTGCTTGCCGTCTTCATACCCTGCAGTCGCTGCCACCGCTCCGGTGGGCTCCACATCCCCCGGTGTACTTCTGTTGCGCTTCCTCCACATTTCCATTCCCTTCAGTCTCTCAAGCCTCTCTCGAAATGCCCTCCCCACCTCCATCTTTTGTGAGCGAAGCTTGGTCATGATCTCCGTTTTCTCCAGTTTCTGAAGATTCTCGTTCATCGTCGCGTTCACTTCAGCTCGCTGTGTCCAAAGGTCCCATACTGCGAGAACTAGCAGTGTGACTGGGCCAGCCACAGCCCATAATACCCAGAAATGGGCTGTCAGCTGTAGCCTGTCCTCGTCGGATATCTTCGTGAAAGGTGCCATGACCGTCTGTGTAGAAAGTCAGCAAATACCAGTGAGGTAAGACAGGTAGCAGAGGGCAGGAATATCTACCGCAATAGCCGTGGCTGGCAGAAAAACCATGGTCAGAAGAGCAATGCTTTTCATTGCTGAAGAGTCCCGTCATGTCTCGCGAGCGATTTCTTGTTGCATGAGGTTATACAGCTGTTTAAAAAGACTACATAGTATTGCGCCACATTATGATGAATGACACTGTAACCATTTTTGAACGTACCACTTGCAAATTCAAATGCACATCTGTATCATGTGTTCGTGCTGATGAAACAAACTCCGACTGCGCACAGATGCAAGCTCCAGAAACCGCCTGCTTCGGCTGCCATCATAGATCTCTGGCTCTTGCTCGACTCCAAATCGTTGACAATGATGCTGAATCTTGCTGATGGCTGCAATGATCGAACCGTGAAGGGGCTGGAACATTGTAAAACTCCTGTTTCGCAAGTATCGATGTTGCGTAGTAGGCGTCATATGCAGCCCAGAAAAGAATTTGTCTCGTTCTTCGATTTCATTCCCAGCATCCTGAAGAAGATCTGCCTCTTGAAGAGCCACCTTCTTATCCATGACCGCTAGAGTTTCGTTGACAAACTGAAGGTTCTTTCGTATTACATTCACTTGGCTTTTGATGTCCAGCAGAGCCCACTAGTAGATTAGCAAAGGTAGAAGTAGGATCCTTGATATGGTCCTTGCAGTGTACGACGTTAACCGGCACAGACATATGTTCTGATTCAACCCGATCGGCGACATATAATCGCTGTGTCAAGCGGAGAGATGGATTATAGCTAAGCGCCATGGAAATCCAGCATTTGGGGGAGGTATTCCAGTTGAGTGTCAAGCCTGCAATGGTTCTTTTATCAACACTTGCACGGTAGTCAATAATACCCTCTCAGAGAATCTGCTTCTCATCTAATGCTGAGGCGTTGGTGCCAAGATCTTCAGTAGTAACAGATAGAACTGTTGATCCTTTGCTCGTAAGATCCCTGACATACGATTTTGGCAGTTCCATTGTCTGCATCATCTCCATCCACCGCTCTCTTGTGAAGGGTACTGCCCAGGCTGATTCCACAGCCCAGGAGCCATAAATCAGTCGCAGGATTCCTGTAGGCGGGTTCTCAAGTTCATCCTCAGGGACGAATCGTCCTTCTGCTCTCAACCATTATCCAAAGTCGTCTGAGTCCGTGTTGAGAGTATAGTAGTCTTTGACTTTTGTTGGGAGTGACTGAGGAAAGAATCAATGATTATTGCCCTGCGCTTTAACCAATGCTTCGGATCAAACACACCTCAAAGGACACAATTTCTAGACATCCCACTTCTCTTGCATCAGCATCAGATGCGAACGTTAGCCAGTCTGTGTATGGAAGTCCAAAGACGTCCATTTTCCAAGTTTACAACCCGAGTATGGGGTTGAACGCCGAAACTGGATGTGGTGCAATGTCAAGGTCGGTATTATCAAAGGAAAATGATCGTGAAATCCAGAGGATATGAATGCTCACAATTCACTGTCAACAACCTTCTTCCCTTTTCATCAATTTCATTTACCTAACAGTTAACAGTGTTGCCACCCAATAAGCCACAAATTCTTCCTGAAAAAGCGCTGAATGATGAACTAGTTTAGTTTTGCAGCTGTGCACGTGCGTGGACTCAAATGGTTGGCTAGGTGCTCAAGGGGACATGTATGGTACGTCAACCTTGAATTGATCACAGCGTTGACATTTGTTCTTCCTATAGGGACTGGTTAGAACATCATGGTTTTGATCTCAAACGTGGCGTTGCCTTCCGAACTTCGGAACCACTGGGAACCACTTCCAGACAGCCACCCCGTCTTGCTTGGCCCTGCCTGAAGCCCCGCTCTCGCCACTCCCCACCCGAAACTTGAGTTGACCTCTTATATCACCCCTCTGAGACAATCTGGGGCCACGATCATCTTTCACTAGTGAACTGAGACTTGCATACCCCAGTTATCGGAGACCACTCCCAGGTAATAATGGGGTTTATACCCCGGATACCAGGTGCCCGACCAATATCACTCAACCGTCGACTGCATAGACACACCGCTTGAGGATATCACCAGAAGGGTCTGAGCCACCCAATACAATTCAAAACAATTCGCCTGGTCGCCATAATGTCCGCTCAAGCAACCCTCTTCACCAATGGCCGCATTTTTCTCTCCGGAGTAAACCCCGGCACCAACGCCGGTCTCACCCGGTCCCCAACATTTGCCGACTGCATGCTCGTCCGTGGTGACAAGATTGAACATGTCGGCTCATCTTCAGATGAGGTCATCAGCACGGCTCTTGCCTCCAGATCAGTAACCACCCATGACCTCCAAGGAAAAACCGTTCTCCCTGGATTCGTTGATGGGCATCTTCATCTCATGCTCCTTGGTCAAGCTCTCAACAAGCTTGACCTGGTGAGATGCAAAGACCTCGAAGAAATCCGTTCAACCATCAGAGAATATGCTGCCGCCAACCCAGACATGCCTCGCATCTTATGCAGAGGATACATGCACATTCAACTTCCCAACGGAGCCACAGCCGCTGACCTGGACGACCTCGACGAGCTCAACCGTCCCATCCTCATCGACTCCAAAGACCTTCACTCAACCTGGTGCAACACAGCCGGCATCAAAGAACTCGGCGCAGAAAACTGGGCCGACGTCCCAGGCGGCGTCATCAAAAGGAACTCCAACGGCAAGCTCACCGGCGTCTTCGCCGAAGCAGCCAACATCACTTACGTTTGGCCCTATCTCGCCAGCGTAGCCTCCATGGAAGAGCGTACAGCCGCCATCCGCTCCGCCGTCACAGCCTACCACGAAGCAGGCTACACCGGCATGATCGACATGGCCATGGACGAAGGCGCCTGGGAAGCCATCCAAGCCCTCATCGCAACCGACGGCTCCATCCCCATCCGCCTCGCCTGCTACTGGCTCGTCAAGCCCCTCCCAACCGAAGCCGAAACCCTCGCCCAAGTCGACCGCGCCATCGAGCTCGCCTCCCAGTTCAACGCCTCCACCGCCCCCGACTGCCGCATCGTCGGCATCAAGGTAATCTGCGACGGCATCATCGACGCCTGCACCGCCGGCCTCTCCCAGCCCTACGAGCACAACTCCCACTTCGAAGTCCCCCTCTGGACCCACGCCCAGCTCGAACCAGTCGTCAAACGCGCCAACGCCGCCGGCCTCCAAATCGCCCTCCACGCCATCGGCGACGCAACCATCAAGATGGTAGTCGACATCCTCTCCGCCCACGCCAACCCAGACAACCGCCCCCGAGTAGAGCACATCGAGCTCGCCAGCGCAGAAGACGCCGCCCGCCTGGGCCAAAACCGCATCACAGCCTCCATCCAGCCCGTCCACGCCGACCCAGCCATCCTCAAAGCCTGGCCCAAACTCCTCGGCCAGCACCGCTGCGGTAGAGCCTTTGCCTACCGCGAATTCGCCGACCACGGCGCGCCCCTCGCTCTGGGAAGCGACGCCCCTACCGCACCTCACGCCCCGCTTGGAAACGTCTATGTGGCCACCACCCGCAAATCATACCGCGAGCCGGAGCTCGAAACAGCCGTCAACCCTCATTTTGCCCTCGGACTGTGCGAGTCTGTCGCCGCGGCTACGGAAGGGGCAGCCTACAGTTGCTTTGACGACCACAGAATAGGCTCGTTGAAGAAGGGTCACAAAGCTGACTTTGTCGTCGTGGACATGGAGTGGGAAAATGAGAAGCTGATGCAGTCCAAGATTACAGAGACGTGGTACGACGGGAACAAGGTGTTTTCGGCTTGAGATCCGAGGTAATGTATGATGGGGTAAGAAAAAAAAAGACGGCTCGGTTGGGGTTCCGAAGAGTGGGAAACTTTATCTTCGGATGACCAGCAGACTTACCGAGAAAATGGAAGGCCGGGTGGGCCGTGGGCGACAGTATATCATGCAGGTTGAGGGGTGGCAGGAAACCTGGTAACGTGGTCGGGATGGATTCTTGAATTCGCAAAAAACAAAAACAAAATGGCTTGGATATCATATCATACATTTTCTCCCAAATCACTCGTAGGCATAATACTGCCGTGGCCAAATATTCATCGCCGTCTTCTGCCCACTCTCCAACGGTAGACCGGCGTGTTTCGTGCGCGTGTCCCCCGTGCCGTTGGGATGTAGATTGATCCAGAACAAAGAATTACCAGCAACAGGTCGGAATGCCAGTCCCCCATCTTCATGCTCCCTCCACAGTGGTTTCTGTTGCTCCCCACCCCCGCTTTCCCTTTGAGTGATTCCAGGTTGCTCCCCCTTGGGGCCGGGTGCGACTATGCTCTTTGCAAAAGGAAAGTATGTTTCACCGCCTGTGCAGTCGTCCTCCAGAATGACAAAGAAGCTCGCAAGCCTGTTCCATGTATTCCAGCTCCCATCGTCTGCCCAGAGCGGACTGGCGAACCAGTCATGGTGCAGGGTGAATTGCTGTCCGGTTGTGTATCGAACCAGCTGAGGTTGACCCATCTCATCCCAGCCATCGCGGAACATGTTACCCAAGAAATTGCGAGCTCGCTTGAGGACGCATTGTACTGTCGGGTTGTCTTCTGGTAGTCCAGCAGAGCTCGACGTCCGTTCCTTTGTGTTTTGTTGGCGACCTCCCTTGGTGACTTTTGATGGAGCAAATTCGGGCTCGCCAGCTAGGAGGAGCTGGGTAGTCTCAGTCGGGGTAATGAGGTTGTGTATGTAGATAATCAACGGGTCAAGAGAGACCAGCTCAGTGCGGTAGGAGTGGGAGGTATCGCAGGAGAAGGGCGCCTTGGTGCTGACGGGCTCACTCCCCGTGTTATTCTTCAAGAATGAAAGACTCAGAGGGACTTTAGCAACAGGAAGATCAGTGATGAAGGATGTGATTTGTGGTGGAGCGATCCTAATGAAGTATGGTATCCCTAATCCGAGCAGAGCTGCTCCAGCAGAGATACCCGCCACCTTGGCCACGTTTGTAGTCATGTCGAGTCGCGCAAACTGGCATCAGAGAGCAAGACAAAACGTGCCCCAGAGACTGATGAACGTCGCACCTACAAGCTGATATAGCACCCCAACACAAAGAGTGGCCCAGCCCATCCTTTCTCCATCCTGCTCATACCAGTCCCTCCTGGAGCATCCTCCTCCGCCACCAAGCATCCAGATATTCAAACCCGCTGCCACCAAAACTGATTCTGTCATCTCCCCTCCCAAAATCGACGATTGCATAACCTTGCGCAAAAAATGCCAGGCCAAGAAGACCTCAAGGAGGGTGTCTCGACAAGCTCACTGGCCGGGGAAAGCAGAGCCAAGCCGTCGCAGCTGTTGTCCGATCTGTTTCTAAATGGTGGGTGACATGGCGGCTTTTGATCTGACGAATGGTGTTTACGATCCTGTAATTTTCCGGCATCCAGTCTCAGCGGTGGGAGGTTACCCCGACATAACGCCCTCAGGAACCCGGTCTGGGTAGCAGTTCTGTCCGGTTATTTCGGTAGGACTTGACCACAGAGGTGATTATGGTCACCGTGATGTTACTCCACCAATCCGCATGACACCGGGCCGTTCTTGGCTCGGAACCAGCAGACCCCATCGGTCGAGTCGGCGTTGAAAGTCGGTAACGAGGTATGGTCGATATGTTGGATGCGGGGTGTGGCTGTTGGTATGTTTTGTGACTGTCGAAGGCTTTGTAGGTGGTTGTCGTCTCGTCCCGGAAAGCATTATTCGATCAAGAAAGAATGACAGAAGCTCTGAGGCCAAGTTAATCGATCCAATCACTGGACAGCATTGCGATAGCAGCCGACCAAGATGTTGAAGGTGTTGTCAAGCTTTGTTGCCTGTTGATATGCCCAGAACGGCTGTACAATGCTCCAGGGTCACAAACGTTAATTTTCGTGACTTTCCAGGGCTTTAACCAGGGTGATAGCAAGGGACAGAGAGCCACTTACGAAAGTGTCACACCAGGTCACTCTTTTTGTATTTCTATGGGAGTGTACTTGGCCTTGCATTTTCACTGCCTTTGACGCTTAGGCCAATATTTTCTGTTAAGTGAAGACACCTGGCCTTGGCCTGGCCTCGGCTACCCTCACAAAATACTGGCCAATTTCTCGGCCTTCCAGCCTGGTTTTATTGGGAGTGGTCCCCTGGTGCCCCCTTGTTGAGTGGCCTTGGCAAGTACCAGACTAGCGTTTATCATCCTGGAGGGTTGTATCTGACGAGGTTCAAATTGGACACCGAAGACTTATTGGCTGCAGCTGAACGGTCCAGACCTCTAGGCCCTTTCCATGCCCCTGGCGGTTGCTGCCTCTGTAAAGAGACGTCGTTCCAGTATAAAGCTGTATCTTGTTAACAGAATGGAGTGAGTCATCGAGGGAAACAGCGAGCCATAGTGCATTGAGTGATCTCTCAAAGTCAGTTTGTCTGCATTAAGTGTTATTACAAAGGAGAGTTATTCATGCCCTTCTACTTCCTCGCTGCCGACATCATAGCCCCCATATTCCCAGCAATCGTCCCTCCATCCACGAGAATATCCGTCCCCGTAACATACGACGCCTCGCTCCCAGCCAAAAAGGCAACCACGCTCGCAATTTCGTCCGCCGTCCCTCCCCTCTGCAGCGGCGTCCCAGAGATAATCTGCTTGATCGTCTCCCCATGCGGCGACTCCAACTCCTGTCTCACCATCGCCGTCAGAATAACTCCCGGGCTGACACTGTTGATCCTAGCACCCTTCTCTGCCCAAGCCCTTGCCGCCGCCTGAACCCTCAGATAATTCGCAGCCTTTGATAGGGAATACGCCATGGACGGGTCATTCTTCTCCACCAATTCCTTCAACTCTGGCCTATCCAGGATTGTATCCCTCCCGCTCGTGGCAAAATGCGCTGCCAGATCTGGTGATGGTTGTGCGCCGAAGCGAGCCATGCTCGCGATGCAAATCATGCTGCCTCCCGGGGCCACGACCTCTCGGAAAGCGTCGATGACGTTGACTGTGCCGAGTAAATCGACCTTGAAGATGCGGTCTGCGGGTGCCATGGCTGGGGATAGGCCGGCTGTGTGAACGATGGTTTCGAGTCTTCCTGCTTGCGCAGCGGCAGAGGCAAACTTCTGAACAGAGGCATAGTCCGAGACATCGATGAGCTGCGTTTGGACTTCGTGTCCATCGTTTCTCAGCGATGTGGCCGCGCTGTCGAGGTTGGCTTGGGAGAAATCGGAGAGGAAGAGAGTTGTGCGGGCTGAAGAGAGGGCAAGACGGCGAGCAGAGGCAAGACCCATGCCACCGGATCCTATGATTGCTACTACTCTACGAGGGAAAGCCATAATGGGCAGTATCAGGGGAAATAGTGTGGTTTAAGTCGAATTCAGGGGGTGTTGGGGGTTAGGGTTGTATGTTTGTAGGGTGTTAACTGAGTATTTCAGCCCTATCTGTTGGTTTCTGGTCAATTATGGGGGTAAGTTGGGTTGCAGAAAGATTATCCTGTACTTGGGCTTCTTCTCAAAGATATAGTTGAGGGGCACAACGAGGCTGTTCCGACTTCAATTCGCTGGACTGTACTGTCAGCTGATTCTCGCCGACCCGAAGTTCTGGACTGTACCCTCTCCCGAATTTCCACGGCTCATCAGCAAATTCGGGTCGGCTTGACCGTCGAGACTGCTGGTCTTCAGTCCGAGAGTCCGTGGCCACAGCCCACACTGTTCGCAGGCCATGGAGACAGCAAGCCCAATGCCGTTCCGGGCCTAGTAGGACAGAGGAATCACCCCGCTGTCCACCCACTTCAGTGCCGAATCCAACGTGGCCGCACGCTCAAGAAGCCGCTATGTGGGGCTTGGGATTGAAGGGTATCCGCTTATCAGGAGATTTTTGAGACCTCACGGCTCCACTTTGGACATCACCGGATCTGCTGTCTTGAGAAAAAAGGCAAGGTCCGAATGTAAGTGGTCAGGGACTTGGGAGACATATGGTCGGCGACCAACGGGACTTTTTTACCACCACCCTCCTCATGACATGGAAACCTGACGAGTCTTCGTGTTAAGACACTGTCAACTTCGTGTCCTGACGACCTGCAAGACCTGTGATGAGTGGCCTGTTAAAAGGGGCAATGAGGAGGCTGGAAGCAACACACTTTCAGGAGGTGGTCTATCACGTTTACGCGACCCGCGTGCATGCAAACCGAAGCACGAACGAGAAGATTCATGTTGTGCTGTTCGCCAGCATTTTCTTCATTACAGGGGTGAATGTCCTGAAGATGACGTCAGGAACGATGTGAGCACTCACGTGGGTGACGAAATACCTTGTGCAAATAATTTCAACCCTACTCATTATTCGGCCATCAAACCACCACCAAAAGGGATATTTTCCTCAAAGAAAGTTTCAAAGCGTCTTGATACAGGCTTATGGCTGTCTAGGATTTTCTTTGGAATTTTTAAACCAAAGTGTGGTGGTGAAAAAGGTACCTGGAGTAGAGGGTCGATATCCATTTGTACAAGTTATTTCGTCACCCACGTGGCACTCAGCGCAAGAACGGATGAAGCTTTACCCCGAGCTCTGATGCCGGGGAGACGGGGGCTCTTCCCCAGAAAATCTAGGGTCCAGACCAGATCAGCGTGCCATTCTGCACTTCTGACAAGCATTCATGGAAGCGGATGGCACACGACGGGTTATTTGGTGATCGGTTACGGCGGTGAGGGGCTCTCTCGTGAAGAGTGCCATCTCCTGTCGATAGATGTTGTGTCCTCACTTTTGGCTCTCATTATCCAGGTGGTTTTGGCATTCAGATTAAATATTCCACCAGACAGTGACACCAGGATTTGCGTATGACGATATCAACTGCAAAGTCCCAGCTTTATCAACTACTTGAAACCATCGGTTGGCAGTCGTGGAACTCTTATCGTTGGCACTCTACCCCGCATCATAGCCAGGAGGGTGATGACGAGGCAGGTTAGTGAGGCCTGTACATAGTGGATGACAGGAAACAAACAAGACGATAATATGATGAACAGGCGATACTACTACCAGGTTAACTTCTCATTGGCCTTTGATGCTCTTTCAAGAGTCACAACAGAAAAGCTTTGTTTGAGAGCCACACGACTCGTGCCAGAAGCTCGGGTGCTCCGGTGAAAAGGCGGAGGGGAGCGCCGAGACTGCAAAGAAGCCCTGAAAAGCTGAAAAAGCATGGGCCACATGCCAGATCATACAGTGGGTAGCTTCGTCGTGCTGAAACCGGGAACTTGCAGGCTGGGAAATGCATCGTTGAGCGGATTTTGGCTCGAATTATCGTCTTTCCCTTCTCCAGCCCTATATAGAAAATTTCTTTGACACTTTGTTTCCTTTATGAAGCTTGGGATCTTTGGTTTTCCCTGTCCACCCGCCCGTGGCGCCATTGATGACGCCCTTGCTTGTTTCTGGAGACAGTGACGAGGGGACCCTGTCCAGGGCCCGCGCTAATATCCGGGCGCAAGGCAGATGACGCGAGACACTACGTCATAGCCAAGCTAATTCCCCCCCCCTCCGACAAAATGCAGCCATGCGAGATTGAGAACCTGTTGCGGCATTCTGCCAGGTGACTGGAGTAATTTGACTGGGCTTTCCCATCATCTGGGAGCAACGTGTTCGCCTGTTCTACTCTGCCAGTGTAGCGATTTTGACAGCTGTGGGCTTTTGTCTCTGATCGCAGCAGCTGGTTTGCTTGGAAGCATTTCCTGCCGTCCTGCCATCCATCCTCCCCCCCAACTGGTGCTGTACACCTGACAAATCGAACTTTTTCTGCGGCGGACTTTGCCCAGGCAAGCGCGTACCAGTTATCGCTCGCTCTATGATGAAAATGATGATGAAAGCGGGTGCCTGAGAGAAGAAAGACATTAAGAAAGCGACGGCCCCCATCGATTGGTCGACCTCCGCCCCGGTTACATCCCTCAGAAGCCGCAGCCCATCCATTTCTTGGTTCAGTCTCCGTTGCAGCCACAGTGACCTCAGACCCTCCCACTCCCCCCTCCTACCGATTGCATATCTCCTCGACGATCCCGCCGTCTTGTTCCAGACAAACGTCGTCTGGTCTTCATCGTCATTTTTTTGAGGGAAACATATCCCCCACCGCACCGCGAGCTCCACTACCCCAAACCTTCCCGTCCTCAACCTTCAATCTTCCCATCATCACCGCTGCTGCTTCTACACTACATCCCATCGAGAGGAAGATAGATATCAACGAGAAACCGAGAAAACTGCAAGAGTCGACATTTGGCTGTGGATACCGCCAACTTCCTACCTTAGCGCCTTGAAAGAATAACCTTTTGAGTTTTTCGGCAGGAAAGCCAAGACAGGGTGCTATTGCTGCCCCTCACTGACCGCCAAAAGCACATCTCCACCCAAGATCGAGTCGAGGACGATCACCACCAGAACAAAGTAAACAGAGGAAGAACAGCGAACACTCGCGATCATGTCGACAATACAGCAACTCAAAAACTTCATCCGTCATGGTATGTAGCTTGTCCCCTCTCCGCTGGGCTGTTTTGTGCGCCGCCAGCACCGGGAAGCAGGTGCTGCAGATCACAGCGTGCGACTGCTACTCAGTGGCTTCGTCCCAAATAACGGAACTCGAAACTGATATCACCGTCACTGTCACAGGCAAACAAGCTCGAGCTGCCAATGCTGACGACTCTGCCCGCACAAAACATGAGCACTCTCCTCCCCATTCGCAAGCCCATGCGAAGCAGCACAATATGGCGCCAGCAGTTTCGGAGCCTGTGTACGGAGCGGGTGCCCCACGACAAAACCACGTCGATGCCTATTCGACTGCCGGAGATGCCCAAAACAGAGTGGCCCAGGCCGGCCATGTAGCCGCGCACCATGTCGAACCAGCCCAGGGTGTCAGCAGCAAGACAAAGAAGAGGGTACCTGACGAAAACATCGCCAAGTTGGTCGCCGAAGAGAATGCCGACAAGAATAAGCTTCCGAGGTATCAAGGTCTCGAGCGCTGGCAACTTGTTGAAAAGATGGGAGACGGCGCCTTCAGCAACGTATACCGCGCCCGCGACCTGCAAGGCCAACACGGAGAGGTGGCCATCAAGGTCGTTCGCAAGTTCGAGATGAACAACATGCAGGTACGTGATATAGCCTGATTCCAGCCTCTTCTTCGTTCCTACCCACGCTTCCCTCTCCTCCTCTCCTATCCTCTCCCTTCATTTCCTTTCCTTTTGTTTTTTCTTTTCCTCCGAGTCCCCCTTACCAACATGCGGGACCCGTTTTAGAGCAACAAGCATCTCCATCCGGATTTCAAGCCAAAGGCTCCCAAAGCAGCAGAGGTGCGAGAAATTTCTTTTCCTTTGTCCCAAGCGCTGTGTTTGTACTTGCAAGCGCATATGTTCAGTCTCTGTGTTCTCAGTGAACTAACCGCCTGCTTAGCGGGCAAACATTCTCAAAGAAGTTCAGATTATGAAGCAACTCGACCACCCCAATATTGTCAAGTTGATCGACTTTTCCGAGTCCCAGCACTATTACTTTATTATTCTGGAGCTGGCTCCAGGTGGCGAGCTGTTCCATCAGATCGTTCGCCTGACCTACTTCAGCGAGGAGCTCTCCCGTCATGTTATCGTCCAAGTGGCCAAGGCGCTTGAGCACCTCCACGAAGAAAAGGGAATCGTTCATCGGTAGGTAGTCTCATGAACTCCTCGTGGCTTGGCAGTCGTTGTTTGTTAACAATCTACCAGTGATATCAAGCCTGAAAATATTCTTTTCAGCCCCATCCCGATGGTGCCCTCGAAGCACCCGAAGCCCAAGCAACCGGGAGACGAGGACAAGGTAGACGAGGGAGAGTTCATCAAAGGGGTGGGTGCTGGAGGTATTGGCCAGATCAAAATCGCAGACTTTGGCCTCTCCAAGATTGTTTGGGATAACCAGACCATGACGCCATGCGGTACTGTTGGTTATACCGCTCCCGAAATCGTCAAGGATGAGCGGTACTCAAAGTCAGTTGATATGTGGGCGCTTGGCTGTGTGCTTTACACCATGTTGTGCGGTTTCCCGCCATTCTACGACGAGAGTATCGAGGTGCTCACCGAGAAGGTTGCCAAGGGGCAGTACACCTTCCTCTCCCCTTGGTGGGATGACATCAGCAAGTCGGCCCAGGATTTGATCTCACATCTTCTCTGCGTCGATCCCGAGCAGCGATACACCATCAAGGAGTTCTTGGCTCATCCCTGGATTCGCGAGTCTGGTCCTACACCACGTGACGAGAAGAAGTCGGCCATGTCGTCAGACGGTGTTTTGAGGGCGTTCGATGCCACCAAGCTTGTGGACGGCGACAAGCGCTACGACTTCCGCTCGCCTGCTGCGGTCAATCTGCGTGAGGTGTTTGACGTTGGATACGCAGTCCACAGACAGGAAGAAGAGGGCAAAAGAAGGAAGCAAATTGGTGGAAAGGCTGGCGTTGATCGTCTTGCCGAGCTGGATGAAGATGCTGAGATGGAGGAGGCACCTGCAGGCTCGACTCAGCAAATCGAGCAAAGCATGCGCAACACTCAGATTAAGGATCACGAGCAGCGCGGGCGCGATCGATCTCGGAAACCCCATCCTCCGCCTGCCGCGGCTGAGCAGAAGGGTTATGGTCAGCATTCGGCTACTGTCGCCGCCGCCGCAAGACAGCAAGTTCGTGAACGTCAACGACAGAAGGGTGTTTTCGAGTTGAACCTTGATGGAGCTACATTATTGGGACGTCGCGGTGCAAAGCCTGCGACTCGGGTGGCGTAGAGAGCTCCGGAGCACGAGGATGTCCGCGGGGAGGATAGGTTGCAGACAGGCGACGGCAGCGTCAGCCCTTCTGTGCGGCCAGAGGAACTTCCAACACCAATGTTGGAGGTCCCACCAGAGGTTGAGTTCTCTGCTAATGACCTCAAGGCCTTGGCAGAGACTGTCAGCATCAATGTGAGGGATGGCAGCGAAGGGAATTCGAGGGAGTAACATGGGTTATGGAGTTATGCGTCGGTGGGACTGGAAGTGGTGCATTTCTGGGAAAGCGTGTGACGGGTAGACACTCTAGGAGGACATGGGCTTCAAGTACAGCTCGGGTGCTCTCTTCTCTGCATCAATTTCTTCTTCTTTTCTTCAGGCAATGCATTGCGGTTTCGGTGTAGTGTAAAGGTACCCTATATGAGAGATATCATGGGCGGTGTTAGCGGCAATCGTTCTTAGTTTACTGTCAATACTTCAAAACTCACTGGATCGTTTTGTCGTGACATATGATGAGCTCTCCGTTTAATGGCCGCCACATGGCTTCTTGGAGTTCCGAGTGAGGTACCGCAGATCTCTTGTCTCGGACAGTCCTCAATATCGATCAAAGGGGGTTTTACCCGAAACCATGTCTCATTTGGATCCATGGCAGTAGAACAATGGGTGGATGCAGGGATTCACATGTAAATGGAACACCATTCCGTTCCTGTGCCCTCTCGTCTTCCATCTGGGAGAAGTTCATGCTCTAAATACCTTGGTCCATTCCATGAAATTGAAACAAAATTGTCATTACTGCCTCTCAACAACCCTGAAATTCCTACTGTGAAATGTTGGCAGGCGACAATCGAGTGGCGATTCCAGTCAGAACTCCTTCGTGGATGCGCATTTGTAGAGGTTCTTTCACGTATATATCTTCTTGGGATCTTCTCCTGTCAAGAACTGTCTAACCAGATCCCCACCGTTCCTTTACTCGTCTCCAGCTTACACCTACTTCCTGATCCCTCACCGTTGCCATGGCTGACTTAACCAACACCTTCCCAGCCTTCTCCCTCGCCGGGGTTGCCAATGCAAATGGCTACTGCAGTCTCGCTCTGGCAGAGGCGGTACTGGGATGCGGGACCCTTGATATCGATCTGGGGGGCAGCTCGTTCAGGGCTGATATTCTGCCTGACAGAATCATCATCTCTGCTACTGAACCGCTCGAGGGGGATGCTTTTCGTGCAGAGGGCAGCTCCACCACCGAGACCGCCGAGACGACAAGCAGTGCGACAGGCGTTTCTTCTTTGGTATACCGATTCGCACCACCAGCTGGTCCGGGTGGGCTGTTGTGGGCGCTTGACCTGCAGCAGGCCTCTACGTCGACGATTCGATCGACTGTGACATCTACCCGGACGAGCACGAGGACTTCGAAGTCGACTTCTACTTCTACCTCGACTAGGACTTCGACCAGGCCGACGACTTCGACATTGACGGTTAGGGCTACTTCGACATCTACTGCCAGGTCTGCTTCTATTTCCGCCGCTAGGTCCGCCTCAACTAGATCTACTTCAACATCAACCTCGAGGTCGACTTCCACCTCGACATCGCGATCTACCTTGACACCAAGGCCATCCACCACGTCAACGTCTATTCCAACTGTCAGGTCAGCGTCTACTTCGACCGTGAGGCCAACCACAACCATCAGATCAACTTCGACCTCGATAAGAACCTCGACCAGGACCTCCACGTCCACCTCGACATCCACCGTAACTCGGAGATTCCCCTTTCTGACAATCGGCAGAAGTGCCGCTTCGTCAACCGTTGCACCCGCAGCCATCACCGGCCCCAATTTCCCTGGCGCCCCTCGCTTCCCTCCAGGAAGAACACTCCATACCTCGTCCTCCTCCTCTTCTCCTGCAACCGCCCCCGTAGCACCGCCCGTCTCCCCAACACGACTCCCCGTTCAAGATCTCCTATCCCTCCACGGGGTCCTCAACACCATCCTCGGCCGACGCTCCTACAGCGCCAAGGCACAAGACAAGGACGAACCCGAGCTCAACACCCCCAAAGGCAGCAGCAACCTCCCCGGCCCCATCCCTCCTGCCTCTCAGGCCGAGGGCGACCAGCCCGATCTGGCCAACAATGCCACCGAACTCATCTCCTCGTCTTGCCCCCGGCCTGGCGAGTCCAAGCTCGTCGACATCAACATCGACTTGTCGCGCATCAACATCGATCTTGACGTTTATCTCGACATTCTTGGCGGTTCGGCTTCTTCGTCTGGTGGTGGTGGTCTTGTCTCTGGTTTGCTTGATGGGATTCTCGGTCGGCGGGATCTGAAGGCAAAGGCTGAGGAGAAGGCTGGGGAGGCGAGGGAAAGGGCTCAGGAGCTCAGGGACCGTCTCAGGGCTGATGCTCGGGAGAAAAAGGAGCGGGTGTTGAAGAAGACGTATGAGGCTAGGTGTGGTGCTGTTCTTGCTGTTCCCACTGCTGTCTCGTCAGCTGCTCCTTCGGCAACAAGCACCGGGGCTGCTCCTCCTCCTCGTCCTGCCAAGGGTAATAACCGGCTGAGTCGGCCTGAGCTGCCAGCGGGGGAGGTCACTGAGACGGTTGTTACTGTTGAGGAGGTCAGTGAGGAGGTTGTAGTGGAGGAGTGTATTCTGACGTGTGAGCGGGCGTCGGTGAAGGCGAGTGTCGAGGCTGGGGAGGTGAGGGGGTGTCTTGGGGTTACGGTGAGGAGGAGGGCGGGGGTGGATAATTGTGTGTATTTTGTTGGTGGGGTGGAGGTGGAGGATTTGGAGGTTGTGTTGTTGATTGAGGAGGAGGTTCAGGGTGGTAGGTTGGGTGAGGAGGTGGACGAGGACGAGGACGAGGATCTGAGGAGTGATTCTTTTGTTCCTGTTGGGAGGGTTAGGAGGGAGTAGGATTTCTTTATGATGAGGTGGGCGATGTGAAGATATCTCTGTTTTGGGTCGATTTCTCCTATGTTGAAGTAATTGAAGGAGGCTTTGTTTTGGGAGTCTTTGGGTTTGGAAATGCAAAGGGTAATGGATAGGTTGAATAACGATATCATTAGCATCTTTGTCGTTGAGACCTGTGGAGCCATGTTGCAATTGCCCCTGTCGAGCATGGAGCCGAAGAAATCAGGGTCCAGGGATCTGACTATTTGGGCATGGATCACCACAATCTGCAACTACAACAAGGCAAACGACATAATTTTGGGCAGGTCAAGGAAAATTCCATGTTTTTTGCTTGGAATCTCGTGTTTGGAGGCAACATATACCTAAGAGATTGCCAACAGTCTTTGCACTTCTTGTTGCCCTTACCTCGAATTGAACGTTGGTCCTAAGAGATATATTCAATCCTGATACCTTTTAGGCTAGCAACGGCGCTCTTGGACTTGGCTGCATGCATGCTAGAGCCAACGGTCTGGGTGACGACATAATTGCCAGCGACCACGGGAGTCAGGCATGACTTTATGAGTTATTCAGTCCATACCGGGCTTATGACATCTAGTTTGACTCTCTTCAGCTCCAGGTCTGTCTTCATGGCATCTGCAGGGCACCAACTCAATCATTATCTTGAGGAGTCGTTCCTTCTCAGATATTCAACCTCGGCTCCACAGCCTCCCGAGACACCGTTCCAGTCCCCCAGTTTGCGAAGGACAGAGTTTCCGCTACTTCTCTTAGCCTCCTGCGGAACAAAGCTTAATACAAGGGATCAGACACACGCCAGAAAAAAAAAGGAAAGATCCAACACCAACCACCACGACACTCACACCACGGGGGAACAAACTTGATCTATTCCCATCTCAGAAAATCCCTTGCCTTTCGTCCGAGAGCCTGCTCCTCCGTCCCATCATTCATCAACTCATCGCCCCGAGCCGGTCTCCTATTCATCACACCATAAACACTCTCGGCGAACAACCATAAAAATGAAGCCACAAACCCTCCTCTCAACCCTTCTCTTCACAACCACAGCCACATCCACGACCCTCACCCTGAACGAAGACGGCAACTTTCCCCAAATCTGCACACAAACCTGCCGGAAAGCGCTCCACCTCGCCAACGCGGTACAAGGCTGGGGGAGAAGACTGTGCGCGCCAGGGTCTGACTTTATGAGCTACAAATTCGAGTGCTGGGTTTGCATCGCCATCAGCGGTGGGGGGACCACGAGGGGGACCGAGTTTGAGGATGTGGGGAGGATGTGTGTGGAATATATGCCGTGAGGGTGGATTTGCTTGCTGTTGTGGGGAAAGAGGAATAATGAAATGGTGGCTTGGGATTGATTGGGCTTGGGAGAGGGGGGTAATTAATGATGGATGGGGTGGGACGGAACACAACTTTGCTGGAACCAAGGATGGGTGGGGGTTGGATTGCTAATATCGGAGTAAATGGGGTGGAATAACTTGCTCGTTTGTCACACATTACAGGAGGATATGTTATTAGACATGATCGAATTGAAAGGGTTGTAGTGGCAAGAGAGGCACACGGATAGCATGGCTCATATACACTGACAATGATGAGGGAGCGTATGTGATAGCTGAGCGAAACCTAGAAGACAGGAGCAAGATTAAGTGCGCATATGATCCAGATACAAGGTTTACATGGCATCAGACATATTAGCGTTGAATGGGTGGCGGTAGAGGTGAAGAAATAATCCATTATAGGCCGTTAAAGATGAGACAACCTTTACTGAGCCCCCTGCTTATCTGACGAAGGCACAACCTCCCCCCACCTCCCCCTTATATAAAATCCTACTCTACTCCGAAGGGCAGTTTTTAAGGGTTGAAAAATATTTAATATGCCTTAAAAGATTGTTGAAAGACCTCAAATGATAATTCAAAAGCCTTTAGAGAAGCTAAGAGGCCTTAAAAGATTACTTGAAGGCACAGCCATGCATCCAGAAAGAACAAAAGGACGTGTATTAACTTGTGAAAGTACAACTGTCGCTAAAACTAAACTTCGCTATGTACCTAATCCATCCGAGTACACCTGCTGGCCTCCCTTCAAAGTCTACCGGCCGTCAAGCCACACACAACTCTCACAGAGAACCGCAGTATACGACGCTGGATTTCGCTGCCACCACAGCTGAGGGGCTTGGTGATTGCAGTGAGGCGGGGCAATTTCGCTACGGAAAAGAAAGGCTCTTTGGACGTTGAATGATATGTTGGTGATGTGGCTTACAGTATGGTTCAGAAAGTGTTCCATGCTCTCAGACTTCGGGCAGGGCTGGCAATTATTCAACAAAGGCTGGCCGCAATTCAATAAAAGCTGGCCGCACTGGAAAGGACAGTTTTCCCACGTTCTGCGGTTGTGTACATGGTAGTGGTCTCGATAGAAGTGTGACCTCAGCTCTTCCTTCACTTCATAGATAGTGCCGAATGGACAGGTTACCGACGGGCAAAACAAATACCCAAGTTTGTCTGTGACACCCTCGCACGCTTCCCAGTGTTGAATTGGCCATTTGGGCGCTTTCCTGGCACAACAAAAGACTGTCGACATGCGGAGGGAGAGGCATGTAGCCAACCGAATCTTGATCACATTTCTGCATACGGGATTGTTTGACGCGATCAAGGCGTATATTTGTCTGTATAGATATACGGCGGTGGCGTCGAGGCCTATTCGATTCCATATAGTTGGTGGGAATATGTAGTAGTCGAAACGGCGGAGCTTGTCGGTTTCCTTGTGCAAGGACTGGAGTTGCCCCTCAAGTTCCTTTCGCCACTGCCAAACTTTGTCATCTGTGCAGGTCGAATATCCTGACGTCGACAGTGATGAGTCAGAGCTTATTCCAAGGGGGTCACGGTTGGACATACTCCCTAGCGCTCTTTTTATGCACAAAAGGCGGTATAATATAGCATGACGGATATCGTTGTAACTTGCCGCTCTGGCGTCCAAGGAATCAGGCAAGCTTGCCGTGACTACCTCTTGGTCTACCCATTGCTGCAATCGTTTTCTCCATCTCGGTTCCTAGTCCTGGTCGAATGGCCGGTTGATAGCTGGAGGCAAAGCCTCAAGAGTACTTTTGAGTATCAACGGGTCGTTGCCATAGGGGGGCATGATTAAATGATTAATATAACTTATGGCTGAGGGAGAGTCGCTGTGGATTTGAGTTCAAAGTAAACATCCGATGCTGGGTTGACCTGATTTGACCTGAGTTGAGAGAAATTGACGAGAACGTTGGAGAATCGTGGATTCCATTCAAATTCTGTTATCTGTCGCCTGTGCCGTCCTTCCCTCCCTAAGGTACTTGCGCTTTCCGTTTCCCAAATCCAAACAGCAGGCAAAGACCGGCCAAAGCAGAACAGTGAATGACAAATGGAAGCAGCAAAACCCGAGGGTTAGGGCTGAATCCATTCCGGAGGTTGCATCCCTAAATCCGAAAGCCGAACTCAAGCACTACATTGACCCGTCTGTAACCTGTTGACTCGGGAAGCAGCAAGCCAGGAGGTCGCTCTCCCCATTCACATCCCGCCGCCATGTCAGCATCTTACATCTCACCCCCTCCGAGATCATCCCATTTACGCGTTCACATCCCGGAGTTACCACACACTATTCTCCATCAACAAAAGTTCCAATAAAAACACTGCCACGGCATAAATAATCCACTGTCCACAACACACTCACAACCCAACGATTTTCCCCCTTCTAGCTACCTACCTAACCCCCCCCCCAACCATGTCCCTCACAGGCAAAGTCCTCCTCATAACAGGCGGAACGAAAGGCATCGGCCGCGCCACCGTCCACCGCGCAGCCTCCCTCGGCGCCTCCATCGTCTTCTCCTACCTCTCCCCAACAAGCAGCACTACCGCCTCCGAAATCGTCACCCAATCTGGCGGTCCCTCCCGCCTCCTCGCCATCCAAGCAGACGCCTCCAAATTAGACCATATTGACAAGCTTGTCCACGCTGCCGTGGACAAGTTTGGCAAAATCGACATCGTCGTCCCCAACGGTACACATTACCCCCTTTCCCTGACGAAACTTCGCGCTGACGGGCTTTTTATTAGCTGGAATAATGGGCATGGTCGACCTCGCCCACGCAACAGAAGACTCCTACGACGCTCACTTCAACCTCAACGTCAAGGGCGCGCTTTTCCTGGTGCAAAAGGCTCTGCCTTACTTCCCACCTGAGGGCGGGAGGGTCATCTTCATCTCGACCGGTCTCAACACGGCGAGTGGGGTAAGTCCGGGCTATCTGATCTATGTCGCGACAAAAGGGGCCATCGACCAAATGACCCGGGCTCTGTCAAAGGATTTGGCCAAGAGGAATATTACCGTCAATGCTGTTGCACCTGGACCAACAGGGACGGACTTGTTCTTTGAGGGCAAGTCGGAGCAGATTGTCAATTTTTTGAAGGATCAGAGTCCCTTTGGACGTTTGGGAGAGCCTCAAGAAATCGCCGATGTGATTTTATGGCTGGCATCAGAAGAAAGCAAGTGGGTGTCGGGACAGATCATCAGGGTGAATGGTGCCAACATGGTGTAAGTCAAGACATCAGTGGTGTATTGATGGGTGTGGTAAATGATCTCAGATGTTGCTCTTCCCACCCTTGAGTCAACTAATACGTGAATCGGAATCCCACCTGGCAATATGTTAGCACCGGCTATGCTATTCAAAACACTTGATACACGTACCGTTTGCTCCAAAACCTTTCCTGTCCTCCTCAGTGAGCGGTTGGCGAGGTAGAAATAGATAGTGAGAAGACCAACGAGCGTTATCATCAGCAAATGGGATCTACATGTCGTTAGCAATAATTGTACCAAAAAAGGATTGCCAACTTACCCTATAGATATCCAAACTGCGGTGGCGTAGTGTGGCGCCTCATAATTTTGGACAATGAAGCTACCAGCAATACCACCGGCCCCATTGAACATTGTACATGCCGCAGCAGTAAATATACGCTTCCATTGTCTGCTGCAATGTTAGCACAAAGGCCTACATCCTTTGCCGGCCGATAGACATACCCAACAACATTGTTAGCTTGATACGCAGTAAGCGCAGCCCAGTTAGCGACGTAAGCCCCCGTAGCCAAAAAGACGCCAAAGTAGCGAGCCCCTGAATTACCTGCAAACCCAAGCACAGCAAAGCCGGTGATGAGACAAGTGGCGTTGAATGTGATGACCGGCCCTCGTACCCGAAACCTGTCTGCGTACCAAGACGAGAGCAGCACAGGCACAATGGCGTAGTAATACGGTGGTGCCGAAAGAATGATGGCCGCGTCAGACGAGTACCCAAGCCCGTTCTGGAGGATGATGGGTACAAAGTATGCCAGGGCAGTCGACACGATATTCTGCATGAAGAACAAGCAGGCAAATGCCCAGATCTTCAGATCTTTGGCGTGCTTGAGAACCTCAACGATGGAGAACTTCTGAGGAATGACATCGCCGCGGTCCTTTTCGATTCTGCTGGCGACGATGTCGGCTTCTTCGCGTGTCAGGAAGCGGAAGCTCTTGTCGGAATTCTCAGGAAAATCAACCATCCTGGGTAGCAAAGTCAGTGTTTGTCGACCAAAATGAAAACAACAAAACAGAACAAAACATACCACCAATAGGTCACAATCCCAATAACACAGGTGCACACCCCCTTTGACCATCAGTCAGCAGCAAATTCAAAGCATTGAAGCCAAACACCAAGGCCATAAAACCTCAAAGCAACCCGCAAATCAAAAGGGGGCCAAGAGTAAACAAAGCCCACCCACCTGCACAACAAACATCCACCTCCACCCTTCCAACCCCCTACGCCCATCCAACCGATTCAACCCATAATTCACCAAACTCCCCGTCGCCAACACCACCACCTCCCCGCTCTGCATAAAAGCAAACCTCAACTGCTGCTCCCCCCTTGGATACCACGTGCTAATCAAGTACGCCAACCCCGGAAAGATCCCCGCCATCGCCGCCCCCAACAAAATCCTTAGCGCAATCATCTGCTGCCACGTTCTCACAAACCCCGTGCACAACGTGATCAACCCAAAGAAAAAAGTGATAACGGAAAACCATATCCTTGGGCCGAGGAGGCGAACCGCGATGGTGGAGGGGAGTTGGAAGATGATGGACGAGATGGTGAAGATGAAGATGGAGATGGAGAAGCGGTTGCCGACGTCGAGGCCGAGGTCGGTGAGCATCGAGGTTACGGCTGCCGAGGAGAGGACGCCCGAATCGAGGAGGTTGAGGGAGCAGAGGAGGCCGGCGATGGTGCAGAGGCGGAGGTCGACTTTGCGGCGGATGCGTTTGTAGGTTTCATTGTCGTTTTGGGGGTTGCTGGGGTCAGGTGGGTTGTGGGTGGTGTTGAGGGTGGCATCGCCGAGGTTTAGGGAGACGTTGCTGGCTTCACCGGTGGTGGTCTTTTTGTCCGTCTTGTTGTGGTGACGGTTGGGGGGCGGTGTGGGGGCCCCTGTTGTTCCGGGCGCGTCGAGTGCGCCGGTCGAGGATGCCATGGTGCTATGTCGAAAGTGTCGAGATGACTGTGCAGAGTTGGTGTTTTGGATTGGCGAGTCATCAATCTGACAGATTTCCTGTGCCCGACGTGTAAAACTCCCAGTTGGAAAGTGCTTGGATGAAAATATGCAGGGACGGCGGCAGGGTGGGGCTGTCGGTTGCGACATCGCACGGCGTCGGAGACAGGGCGGGAGCTTTTCGATCGGCAAATAGCGGCGTATCTTTTCCAATGTCTTACTTTTGACGTGTTACCTTCGGGTTTTTATTGAAGCAACAGCATCGGAGGTATCTGTGGGAGGTTGGAATGCACATCGCAGAGTCTTGGATCCGGGGGCAAACCCTCGGTAGTGCCTACCTTACTTCAAAAGGCTGCTATTTTGACGAGGTGAAGATGTCGGTTTTTGATCATGCCTTGTATGGGAGGAGGCCGGTCAGCGTGGATCAGTTGACATCAGATATAAGGTCTTGAAGGTAACTGAGCATATTCATTGAGAAATGCTGCTCAAGAGTGAATTCATGATGTCTCGGTTCATATATACGTTCATATATGTCGCTACATAAGGCAAGGAGGTATCTTAAACAAATAATGCCCACGAGCTGATATACCTTAAATAATCCAACAAATGACGACAGAAACAAGATAACCTCCTTTCACCCAGAATACACACCGATTCTTCAGTGTCCTATCCCAGCCATGACACGAAGGTAAGAAATATGAGGTGTGTTTGTCGTATCAAGACCACTATGATGCTCGGTCTTGACGCTCAGGCTGATGGGCTGTTGGTGAAGGTTGATGGGCTGTTGGTGAAGGCCGTTGGGGGCGGGAAAGCCTGGAGTTGGTCCGAAGTGATGGTGTCGGAGTGGTTCGCCCACAGTCACAAGCTGCGGTGTGTTCAGGGAGATTCTGCCGGTCGCCATGAACTGATCCGCGTATATCGTCCACTTGATTGTTGTCCCTGGGGTGGGCACTTTGGCCACCAGCATGGCGGGTTTTGCGCTTCTTGGACGGTTAGACGATCACACTACCAGAGTCGCTGTGATTGTACGCAACTGAGGCAACCGATCCCTCGTTGTCATTAACCATCGCTGACATGTTTGCGGATTGTGGAAAGCTGGTGAGGTTGGGTTCAGATTGTCCCGCAACCTGGCACCAATTTCCGAAGGAACTCGTTTGCTGTGTGTTGTGGCCTGGGGACTGCCGCAATTGGTGATCCTTGGTGAAATGTCCCCGTTGGGTTCCAAGTGTTGCCAGTATTCGGTTCGTCGGGTGGCGGAAGGGCAGTAATTCGTCGTTCCAAGAAAGTGCGCACACTTTGAAGTGTGGTATCGATAGGTCCATCGTCCTCCGTTGCGGCGTCTTGGAGGTAGCAACTTCGGTCATACCGTTGGTCCTCGGTGATGGTGACGAACCAGTTGAGGTCCTGTCTGTTCAATTGAATCATCCAGGGACCAGTTTTAGCCATAAGCTCCCAACATTTGGTTCCAGTCGTGAGGTTTTGCTGCTCGTCATCCGATTCTTGCTCAGAGTGGATGTCTTGAGGCTCGATTTGGTGAGTAGTTGATCTCAGAGCCGCCCATCTGCAAGTCTTCGTCCGTCATGTTGTTGACTAGAGTATGAAGCCCTTGGGTTGATAGTGAGTCAATAATGATGCAGAAAACCTTGGTGATTCGACAGACAATGGCAAACTCCGAAGGGATATGAGATCAAGGCGTAAGTAGTGTGAAGGTGGATGAATGTGTAATGGAAGCTGACTGAGAACGACATGGCATCAGTTTATGTGCCCAACGAAAGCAGGCTACCCAGGTGATTCATTCGAGTTGCTCGGTAACCGGTTCAACAAAGCAAACAAGTGTGCTAAAATTTCAGAGCCTGGCATACAGAGCAGCAGTGATAGACACATAAACAAACAAAATAAGCAACTCTATTGATCAAATTTTGGTGCCTAGTAATACGGAATGCGAAAGCCTAGTGCCACGTAGGGTAAATTACTGTTTCGCTGGTTCCACTTTTTAAATTCAGAGTGCATCGCATACACATGCTACGCATGTTTTACCATCCTGAATCTTGGAATGGATCTCCAAAACTTGAGATAGTATCTGGTGCAAGATAGAGTTCAAGGATGGATTATTATTGACCTCGCCTCCAATCGCCTTGGAAATTCTGCGTTTTTTTTGTACTCCGTGCCTGTGTCTCTTCACCACCATCCCACAGGTTGTAGCTGCTTGAGAGCGCTGGCTCGTCTTGGTGTGTTGGATCGAGCCCATTGTCCACCTCGGGTTTGAGAATTGAGGTACTGCCCACGGGATCTGGGTAGTGCATTGGTATATCATTCTGGTTCTCACCAATTGAGCCAAAATTGAAGTCAAAAATGCTGTCCAACTCATCGCGTTGATTGGGAAGAGATTAGTCGACAGTGGTTAACGATGTCACTTCCAGATCAAAGGTCGGGCAATTGGCGTTGGTGTCTAAACGGAGAAGTTACTCAAATATTTCTGGCACCTTCTCTTCCAAAATCTTGACCATGAGATCCTCTATTCTCGCGATTGAACTCGGCGGGAGGGTGGCTTCACATCCAATCGAGCGGCTTTGCCGAGAACAGCAATCGCCGGTTTGCCGATCATGATGTTTACAAGACAGGGCCATTGAACCGAGATCTTAGAATTCGTGTTCGTGAAGAGTTGAAATTTGACCAACTGCTGTGATGATAATTTCGGTCCAGGAATGAGTTGTGGGCTCTGAGGCAGTGGAAAGCGCCACGTTGTATCATGGATTTATAATACTTGCGACAGAACGTGGGCTCTTCAAGTCTGCTCTTTGAGATGGTAATTCTTTATGTAGCCATTTCCTATGTTACTTGACATGAAGCTGTCACTGAGAAGTAAACAAAAAGGGACGTTGACAACATGATCATTTCATAGGATTGTGGAAACAAAGGGCAATTTGCAAAGAATTATATGATGACCACTTACTCAGGCATGTTTTTTTGAGCCCTGCATCGCATGAAACCTCATACATTGCAAACATCAACTGTTTCCCACGATCCAAGAGGAACCTGTGAGGGTTAGGGATCTTGTTCCACGACGTTGATGCCAAGCCAAGCCACCTCAGCCCTAAAATCTGGGGTACAGCCCGATAACGCCGATTGGATGCACCGGTCGCCGCTTTTCTGATGACGGGACTCTGAGATCAACCGCGTGTCTCAGACACCGACGTTTCCGAGAATAGTAATCCTCCATTATACATCTCGACCTCCAAAGCCACGTCTTCAACACTCTGTCCCCCAGATCTTTGCTTCGGCACACGCGCGCAAGCAAAACCCCTGCCCAGCAGACGCGCGCCAACCAACAACCAGGCGCAAACAATGAAGCAACCAACATCCCCCATCACCCTCCCACCACAACCTGACCCAGCCGTCCAAGAAACCTCCTTCGAGCCCGATGCCAGTCCGATGCTCTCCCCCCATCGAAACGATGAAGAAAGCGCCCCAAATTATGGCTCCGTCCCACGCGCGTCTCCAACATCCACGCCTCCACCAGCACCAGCCCGCGCGTTGGCCCCTGATCTCCTCAGAGGTCTGCTAATGGCCTTCATGGCCCTCGATCACACCTCCCTCATGCTGCGCTCCTGGCCCCACGCTACCGCGATCGACGGCGAGAACGATTCAGCCCCTGTCCACGAATGGAACCGTCCTGCCGCATACGTCATCAGAACGCTCACACATCTCTGCGCACCGGGGTTCACATTCTTGCTGGGGATGGGGGTGGTATATTTCGGGAGATCGCGAACTTCTCGTCCGCCAGATAAGAGATGGACGACGGGGCAGTTGGCGTGGCACTTCTTTGTCAGGGCGTTGGTGCTGACGGCGATATCAACTATAATGGGGCTGGCGGTCTCGGGCGGGAAGGTGTGGTTTCTCAACATGGTGTTGTTTAGTCTGGCGGTGGATTACCTTCTCGCTGGGTTAACGTGGATGGCTGTGGCCAAGACGGAAAGATTACTCGCGTTTGCGTTGCTGAAGGTCCTGCCGTTGAGGAAGAAGGATGATGTGACTGAGCCGTTGCTTCCTGGGCCTCAGCCGAGGTTGCATGGTGAGGAGGAGATGGCGCCTGATGTGGAGATTATCAGGGCGGCAGATATTTCGTGGCATATTCATAATGTGTTCCTGGCTATTGGGGCAGCGGTGATGATCTGGTGGAATATCTGGCTCAGCCCTACCGGAGGGAGGTGCGGTGTCGATCCTACACCGAGGCTGCCGGGGAGCGATTGGATCAAGATTTGGTTCTACCCTATCATGGACGAAAGAGTCAAGTCTGGGTTTCCGCCTCTAGCATGGATGTCGTTCGCGGTTCTGGGATTACTCTATGGGAGGATCATCCTGGCGCGGGCGTGGAGTCCAAAGGCTATAACGTTGGGCAATGCTCTTGCCAGTCTAGGCTTTACTCTGGTGTTTGTCTTCGCCAGGATCTTTCACGTCGGAAACCTGTCTGAGGGGTGCTTGAGCATGGCGGAGCACCAACAGGGAGGGGACCAGTATCTTGCCTCGGTCAAGTCCTTCTTTTACCTGACCAAGTATCCCCCTGATGTAGCCTTTTGGGCTTTTACCATGGCAGGTAACCACCTTTTGTTGGCGCTTTTTGGCGCTCTTCCTCCATTGTTTGCGAGCAAGGCTTTCCATGTCCTGCTGGTCTATGGAACATCGGCGCTGTTTTTCTACATTGTCCACATCTTGATGCTCGGGGCTCTATCGCTCCCCGTCATTGCGCTCATTGGCAGGGAGGTCAGCGATCCTTTCACCAAGCAACCTGTTCGGGGAGTTGATCAGTTGTGGGGCTTCTTTTTCAGTTGGGGGCTGCTGCTGGCGATACTGTATCCTCTCTGCAGGTGGTATGGAGGATTCAAGAAGGCGAAGGGGCCTGATTCGATATGGAGGTTCTTCTAGAGGTCTGCGTTGACGGCACGGGACTTGGATACATGGATAGATTGAGGCATCCGAGTATATTACAGCTACAAAAATAACCGCTGTATAATGTTTGGGTCCTCAATACTGTCTGCTCCGATCTTGGGTCTGTACCTGACCCCTTCCATGTAGGTCCATGTCGACAAAGCACAACACCACGTCATACTATTCTGCAACGCCATGCACCCAAGGCTCTCATGCTGCGTAGGTATTATTATAGACTTCCCTCGGTCTCATCCCAGATGTGGCCGCTCGAGCTCAATCATACGGTCCTCCCATGCCGAGCAAATGCGGCTCAGCCTCTTCCCGCGCTGAGCGTTCTGACTCGAGCGCTTGACGAAGATACTGCAACTCTTCGGAGAGACGAACAATCTCGAGCGCCGCGGCCTCCATGGTGCTGCGGTGGGCGTCTCCGCTGGGGCTAGGAGGGGCTCGGCCACTGTTGCTTTGGCGTTCCTGCCGCTGGCTGTTTGCCGAAGTCTGGCCTTGGCTACCCACAGGTTGAGGATGATGGGGATAACTAAGATTGGGAGAAGCCAAGCGAGGTTGTTCTATCGGCTGGTAGGAAATATTAGGCCATATACTTTTCAAGATGGAAACAACGGTTACCTACAGATATCGACGCTTCGCCGGTCCTCATTTTCATAGCCTGCCACGAGCCCACATGGATCGCTAAATCGTGAAGACGGGTCACAATACACTGTGGCACCTCGCCGCTGGTAGCAACACTGAACCCCTATATGATTGTCAGAAATCATGGGACTTTATAAAGGATAATGTAGGCCGCCAACCCCCCTCCCTACCTGATCGGTCCCGTTCAAGGAAGGGTAAATCGATACAAACCAAAGTTCAGCAGGAGCTCGATTCGATGTTTGGAATTCTTGGGCGTTTGGGTCGATAATTCCTGGTGATGTGAAAGGCGGTTAGTACCTAAGGCTAGGTAAGGTAAGGTAGTTATATTTCCCCCCCTCCGAGGCTCGTAGATATATGTAAGTAGGTACTAGGCAGTACCAGCACTGTTACAAGCATAGTAACAGAGACAACGGAAAGGTTCGAGGCTGGTCAACAAGAGAGTTGAAGGATCGATCAGTTGCGACATACTAATATTCAGAGCGCTGGGCATGAATCCAGTTTCCAACATTCGTTCAATATGCGCCTCTACTTGAGCGCCTGCAGCCGCGCCCGAACCGGTGTTGTTGTTCATTCTTGGCGTTTGTGAACGCCCTTGGGAGCAAGCACGCACGAAGAACACAAGGTAAAAATGGTGTATACACGCATTGTACGTGAGCCTGGGAGAGGTCCTGGACAGCGAAAGTCGAAGATTACGGGCAGGGTGATAAGGAGCGCAGGAGAGAAGAGTGAGAGAAGAGAATTCAAGGCCGGTAAGACTTTTCAAATGTGTGACTTGACGGTGGCTTGGAAAGGTTCGAGGCTACCTCTTTTGCAGTCCTTATCTCGTGGCTTTATTTGCGAGATCTGCGTGATTACATACATGTGAGTGGATCTGTCTGCCACCATTGAGGGAGTTACCGCGGTGCGTATCCCTCAGCAGGCAGTCAAGGTTTGAATCAAGCTTTTCGTGTCTCACCGTGGCCCATTTGTGGACAGGGCACGTTGTTGCACTTTGTTTTGAGCCTCAACAGCCTATCACGCCTTTTCCCAACGACCGAACAAATGTTCATGCGGTTGACAAGACGCGTATGCCTATTCGCGTCGTTTAAAGTTTGGAAAAGAGCTACAAACATAACGCTATCAGAAAGTTATACCAATCCAAATTCAACCACATCCCTCCCCATCCCCAAACCTCACCTTCCCTCGCACCAATAACACGGCAGAGTGAAACCAGCCAATACCCCCCCTCTCCAACCCTTTCCAGATGGAGAGGCAAAGAACAAGACCCCAAGACAGCAACAATATCACCGCTTTGCACACCCACCATACCAACCCCAATATACCCATTCTTTGTGCGAAACGGCACCGTATTCGCAGTCCTCACAAACGGGTTATCCTCCATTTCCCACTGGCGGTCCCAACTCTGTGCTTCATAGACCATCCTAGCGGTAAATATCATGTCTGACGGATCCAGGGTTTCACTCCTTTCCTCATCCAAAATAGATCTCAACATCTCTTTTGCTCTCTCCAGGTTCATGTCTCCGCGTTCACGTTCCAACTCTTTTCTGAGATAAAAGTCATCCGAGGTGACCAACATCAGTGCATCCACCAGAAACAGGATACTTTCCGGTTGAACGACAGACTTTGGCTCAGACGCAAAGACGCCGCGCTGGGCGGTTGTCTCCTCGAACAAGAGGCGGAGCACCGCTTGCACTATCCAGAGGCCATTTCTTGGGTCCTTGCGTGGCGGCTCGCACAGCGTGGTGCACAGAGTTGTTTCGGCCTTTTCGTCAAAAAGGAACTCCGCGACAGATCTGATCCGGTACCGTTGCCAGCTTGGGGTCAGTTTGTTAGTCTCGGGAGGCATGGGGCGGTAGGCTTGCACTTCCGCCACCTCGTCCATCACAATGCCATGAACCCGCAGAGTTTTCCTGTCGACAATGATGGATCTTGCCGCGGATGGGGCGCCGCGATTGGCGTGGTGGTAATTCCTAATCGGGAAATTCTTATGACGAACGCAATCGGGAAACCCATGATGGAAGCTTGAACTGTGAGTCCGACTGGACGTCTGCAATGGCGATAAAAAGTTGGGCAAGGTCGCTTGTCATACGGACCATGTTGGCGGTGAAACTTGTGTAGACTTCAGCCACGGGTGCATCATAGTCTATCTTAATGCCAATGTCGGCGATATTAGCCAGACCTTACAGCTTGTCTCTTGGGTCAAAGCAATCTCGAACGGCAGTGCGCAAAACCAGTGAACTTAGTAGCACATAAGGATTCGTGTTGGGAAACCTTCTCAGCCTGCGAGTGATGATAATGTCTGTGATCCAAGTATTGGCTTCGATATCGAGAAAGACGCTGCTGACCGTCTTCCCAACTTTGGTACCGACGCCCTCTGGAACTGTATTAGAGTGGATAATAGCGTTAATAGGCTTGCTCCATATCCAGTCGGTTATCCTCTCAATATCCTGAACGTAGCATACATGGTCTCCAATGATCAACAATGTTTCGGGCGAAAGAACAGTCTCCTGAAATGTCCACACACGGCTCCAATACACGCGCTGATAGAAAACCGGAGTCCAGAGGAGGGTAATGATATCGCCCAGCTCATCAACCGTGTCGACATAGGACTTGTCCTTGAGCGGCGTCAACCTGGGGTTTTCGCCCTGCATGTCGGGATGTTCCAAATCCTGGCAAAGCGTGTTGAGGAAGCGAAACACCTTGGCGTCGTGTTCTTCAGCCTCGGAGCCAAGAAGACAAAGAGCCTCGTGGCACGGGGTGTAAATCGACCCCATAAAGCAAACCTGGTCGTTGCGCTCGGGGATGATGCACTGATTGATGCAGATAGCATCAACCCATAGCGGACGGGAGGAGAATTCGGATTAAGAAACCACTTCAGGGCAAGCACGAGGTTTTGGGTCGCTTGGAAGGGCAGCCCATTGACCGTGATCTCTTCGGTAATCGATGCATTGCCCCAAACATAAGACAGAGCATAGTAACCTGTTCTTGTCGTCGCCTTATCGAAAGGGTCTGCCCAGAGCCGGCAGGCGATGGGTTCACCGGGTGCTGATGTGACCGAGAGGAGACGGATGCTGAATGATGATGAACCATCCTCATTCTGAGTTGAAATGGGAAGTGGAATTGGGTTGTAGAGTTGCGCCGCAATCTTGAAGTTTGGGCTGGCCATGTTGCTGTTGTGAATTTCGGGTTTGCCAGGTGGTAAGGAAAGAGGTCGCGGCGTGTGGGCCCCATGCAGGCTCTCAAAACACTGACCTTCATCGTCAGAACTCCGAAAAGCATCTTGGTCATATATCAACATTGACTTTTGTATTGCCTTTCCAAACCGCCGCTCGCTTAACAAAATAATTGCAACCCTAGCAATTTCCCCCTTGGCCAACAGCTCACAAGTCACCACCTCCTGCAAAAAGGACCAACACTGATACCAAAAATGCCAAAAGCAATTCCAATACATCATTCACATGCTGGAAATGACTGAGCCGCCCACGGCGAGACTCGAACTCGCAACATTCAGATTAAAAGTCTGACGCGCTAACCAATTGCGCCACGCGGGCTGTTGACAAGCTTCCGATCATGATTGGCTTGTCGTTGCCAGCCCTGTTCAGCACAACCCTTTATGAATCCCTCCATATCCTCCTCAACCCACAAGCCCAAGTCGCCATTAAACATGAGGTCATTCCCCTTGGCATCAACAACCGGAACCCATCTCACCACTGTAGAAGCATCCCCATGAGCCCCTCAGAGTACCTTGATTTTTGACCAACGTGATTCCAAACATCATTCCACTCCCTGACTCATGAATAATGAATCGCGGGCCGAATCTTGACAATGACCATATCTCGTTCCTTGTTCCTGGTCGTCACGTCGGTTGATCCCAAATGCAACTTCCCCGAGCACCACAAACGCCTCAAATCCTACCCGCCAGCAGCCGCAAGCCACAGCGGAATGCATACCCGACCTGAGGGAAGGGAGGGAGAAAAGCTGTCAACCTTCAAGCCTTCAGTTCCATCCCCAACGGTCTTGTGACAAAAGAACCCGTACAGCTCAGATTCCAGCCCTGAACAATGACTTCCTCACCATCATTTTCAGCCTCCTTTGTCACATCAAAACCTAAATTTCAGCCCCCCCAGCCCCTGCCCCAGCCGCACACCTGATGACGTCACTCCCCTAAGTAACCCCAAGGCCGAATTCGCCCAACCCACCACGCAGCGGCAAAAAAAAAACAACCGCTCGTGACGCACCTAGGGTCCAACAGGCGCATGTCCCAGCTTCCCGGATCGAAATGGCACCACCCCATCTCCCAGGATACCACCACTAATAACTAACCCATTGTCCCCTCATCAACGGAGCATTTTAACGATCCGATCTCGCATCATGTGGCTCAACACCAAGCAAGGAACAAGCATATAACAAACAAACTGTTCATCTGATCAATTCAGCAACAGGCATTGCCCTGCTCTACTTGCTTTTGCTTTTGCCTCTTTCTCCTCGTTGTTGTAGGCTACCTCTCTCCCATCTTTGCAAGTAGACATGGACGACACCGCGGTGACAATAACGCCCAACGTAGGGAGTAATCATAGATCCTATCTACATAAGGTCCCTTATTCTGCACCAAACAACCCAAGTTCCAGAACCTCCTCCTTTCTCCATCAGAATAATAAACAGAAAGCAACAGAAAGAACCAAATGGGAAGTTTTCTTCTCCGGTGAAGTCAAGTAAGAGTAAAACAACAACAAAAAAAAAGACAATAAAAAAATAAAAAGCAATCCTGTCAAAATAAAAGTACTTAAACGCCACGATCATGTAGTTTGTCCCAATGCCCGTCCCCCAAATAAAAATCACATACTACCCCTTTGATCCCAGTGCCAGTATACAGAGCGATTGTGTGGTTATTTTTCGCTCGACTGTGCCAGAAAAAGCTTCTCTCTATGCCCTCTCAAAGGCACCCGAGCGTGCCGGTTGGGAGAAAAAAACCAAGGGATGTCATGTCTTCTCTCTTTTCTTTTCTTATCCCATGAGCCGCCAAACCGAGATGCGCGTCGTGGTATCGTTTAAAAATAAAATGCAAGAAGCGCTAAACAAAGGTGCGCAGCAAACGCCGGTGTCCTGTAAGATCATTCCCAAATTATGATGTGTTTTTGAGCGGGGAGTCTCGTATCTCCCTGTGCCCGGTTCTGTTGGTGCTTTCGTCGAGGTGAGGTATTGGTTTGAAGTAATGGATAGTTTTGTCGGCGAAGCAGTGCGTGCACCATGCCCGTCTGTTGTCCGGTGGCAGTAGCCACTTCATCGGGCGTCCACGAAATGTTCGAATCCTCGATCCATCGTCCCGAAGCATTCCAGCATAAAACCTGAATTATTTCTTTGCGCGGCTGCTAGAGGCGGTGATTTTGCTCGTCGTCATAAGATCGCCGATGTATTTTTGCAGAAACTTGTTGTGGTTGTCGAGCTTGTCATGTTCCTCCTTGACGGCCTCTATTCGGTTGAACAACACAATGAGCGAATCCTGCAGCGCTTTTGCGTGCCTATACAGCTGTTAGCCAATGCCTGGCGTGGTCTTTGGTTCTTGTCGCGATGCGCAGCCAGGACTGACCTTTGTAGCTCTTGTCTGGCTTCCTTTCCCAGATGCTCAATGTCCTCGCTCGTTCTTCTCGGGCTCATGCTCCTCACATCATCTGGCGCAAAGTCTGTTTCCATCGGTCCGACAGAAGCATCCCGAGAGACAATCATGGTGCCACTGCTCTTTCGACTGGGGAGGCGAGGTCGTGTTGGAACGGGTCCATGAAGGGCATCGATATGGTCGCGCGATGTGCCGGAGCCTGAATCCGACCAGTCTGGGCTCCGAGATTTCTGCGGGCTAAGGTCACCCATGATAGAGGTGTATAATCCAACTGCGGTATCCGTCGACGAGTGGGTGCAAGATTTTCGTCGATGGGCTGTGGTTGAGCCGTAGGGGAGCGGTGTGTGGGAATGTCGGGCTAGTGTTGGATGGTCCGTCTTGGTAGAGCCGTGTATGTATGTAATGGAGGGAAAGAAGACTAATAAGAAAAGCCAGCTCCTCCTTCACCGTCACTTAAGCTAGCTTGCTATTGCCACCATTCGCCAATCTGCGTGGCACAGGGCTGAAGTGTCGTTGTAGTGCTTGGAGTAAGCGGAGAGAGAGGGCCGGGAGGGCGTGGCAGAGAGAGAAAGTTGCAGCACAACTCTGTGTGGGAACTAGAGAGGGGGTGTTTGGTGTGAAAAAAGGGTAGCGCAGGGAGGTGGCAGCGAAACACTGTCGCGCTGGTGGGTCGAGGGCTGCCGTCGTGGGTTCAAACTCGTGGTGGATGTCGTGGGTCCCCGCGGAGGCTTGTTGGGGTGGTCACTGGTGGGAGGGCAATAAAAGGGGACCAACACAAGCCCACAGTTAAAGATGTGTCACGCCCCAAGAAGCGACGGCGGAAACTTCCGGCAGAAAAGAAAGCCTCCGTTTACCGTTTGGAGCTTGTTTGCGAAGAACGGGTAAGCTGAGAGGTTGGCGTGCTGGTCAGGAGATGAAAAGGTGAGCAAGCGTCCTGTTTTTCCCTCCCGCGATCAGCAAAGACGTGCCTTGCCGTGGTGGATTTTCTCGGCGTCCAAGGGCGGGAGGGGGTATCTAGCTCGCTGGCTCGGTTGTGGTCACAAGGAGCGGAGGGCCGGGGGCCTGTTTTGGGTTGCTTGCTGCGGAAAGCGAAACGTCGATCGGAGGGAGTAGGTAGAGAGAGACTGGCGATTAGCCGCGCGAGCGAGTGGTTGTCGCTTGTGAGTACGAGGCTTTTAAGGTCTTTCGATGTCAGGATAGGTAAGGTATCTGGATGTCTGGATATCTGGATAGTACACAGGAAGGCTCAACCGATGTCGATTTGGTTGTTCTCGTGGCACCTGTCTTGTCTCTGTCCCTTTCTTCCCCAGGCGCCACATGCGCGGGTCCATGGCCGACTCCTCCGCCGAAAAAAGAGTTGGCCTTTCTGCCTCAGGCAGTGGTCCCCTGCTTTTCCTGCCGTCGGTTTTTTCCAGGGTTAGCACGATGTCGTCAGTCCACCACAGCGGATAGGCGCTTTGATTGGCTGCGTCATGCAGCCCACCACGGCCAAACCCCCCAAGGTCCGACAAGGGTCAGCAGTTCATGATGAAATGGCTGCAGATTTTCATGGGAATCCCCATTCCTCCAGTCTGCCCAACAAGCGAAATGCCATTTGTCCCCACCCACCTCGCGGCCGACCCCCTCATCCGGCACCTGTGGAAAGAGCTTCCTTTTTGCTTCGACACATCAGGTACATTATTACCCTGCAGATGTCAATCCGAGCCCATCAAACTTTTCTTCCCTCCTCCTCTCTTTTTTTTCCGAGCTGTTTGCATTGCTCGCCCTCTTCCAGCTGCGTCATGGGTTACACCGTCGCATCCCGCTCTGCGGTACATAGGTCCACGGTAGTGTCACCGGACACCCAACCCACCATAATAATTCGACAGTGTTTCTCCCCAAGCTCTTCAACCACCAGAGTCATCCAAGGCAAGGCATTGCCAGTCAGCAACTAACTATACCTCTCCTAATGAGATGAACATAGGGAGGAGAGGAGAGGATAGGATAACAGGGAGTACAGATGGCACAGCACTGTTGCGCTGTGACCACTCGATGGGCATGTTTGCCAAACCCTTGCAGTCGTCGTTCCCTGTTTTGGCGACCAAAATCCAACCGTCCACACCGTTGTGTCTCTCCCCCCCACCCGCCGCTGACGAATCGACACCGTGGGAACCGGGATAAGACCCTGAAAGCCGCTTCGCACAGTGCTGGTGTACGCGAGGTGCCTCATGCGTCTGAACACCGCTGTCGGCACTGGGGAAGTTGGTGTCCCATACACAAGCACTGATTCTGCGAGCAGGAGGCGTCGACGAGGACTGCCACTACCCTTCAGTCATCAAACATCGACATGTCGACATGCCCGATACTGTCTGTCACAGAAAGACTCCAAACCTTTGCATATTTAGCCTTTATTGGTTCCCACTCCTCCGTCTATCTTGGGTGCTTCCAAGAAGTTTGTCCACCACACCACCACGCAACGTGTAAAGCCAAGCTACACGGGCAAGGTAGCCGTGAAAATAACCACGGCAACACGGTACCCGAGCGCGGAATTTGGTGTCAGGGGAATGCCAGATGGAAACCGATCAGCATCTCATCGAGCAAGACATTGGTGTATATCATCGGTACGATGTACAGATATTCACCCCCAGACATTGCACAGATGGGTTTCCCAGCCAGCCCTCAGCACGTCTCGCACTGTGTCCACGACCGTCGATCATCCAGTCCAATGTCCGCAAACCAATCTCTCGCCAGAAAACTTGACGCGGGATCAACCCTACAGACCACCCCTCGTTGGTTACACCGTGTCACCGACTCAGCTGCTTTCCCCGCTACACAATTTACCTCGCCCCCGAACAGCCCGCCATAACGTCAGTCTAGCGGTGGACTCACCACACACGGCAAAGCTCCCCGTCCTATCACCTTCTCCATTCCGTTATGACCTGCTCCTGTGCTTCTCGTGAGACCACGACATGGTCAACACGCTGTGGGATTCTCACACGTCTTGAACTGTACAAGTGGCCGGTGACAGCACACGGTAAACACTCACCGACGCCCCTCCCCTCACCTCGGCCCAGTTATCAAAACCTTTGAGGACACAATAGGTTTGCTTCCTTGGGCGCAATCGGCAATTCGGCACTCTGCCCATAGGTGCCAAGACCATTTCCTAGAAACTGGGCGCCCTGTTGCATATCTTGTCGTGATGGACTTTTCTCCGGCGGGATAATACCTCCGGTCTGGGAGTCTGGGCACACCGTCGTTGATGAGGGGAGGACTGCGATCCTCGGACAACCCATTACGGCATCCCTGGTCTTGGCCCTTCGCACTATCACCAACCTCAGCGCAACACTAGACTTGAAGTGTCCAAGATGTATCTCTGCACAGCATGTCGTTTGGTATTGGGCGAGGCTAGATCGTGATAGGAACCCACGATCCACTCTAGTCTTGCTGCTGCCTGTATCAACTGATGCTGCTGCACCTGACATGCATAGTTTTTTCCCACTAGCCGTCTACCTACAGGATCATGTTCTGCAGTGCTACATGCTGTGTCACTTTGCAAAGATCTTTAGGCTGTGAAGAGAGCTGAGAAATCAAAATAGGTTCATAGCCCCTAGTGGCTCAGTTAGGAACTATGTATTCTAGTACCCCTCCTCTTCATGAAGATGATATGGATTTCACGATCGAACAATCATACCAGTGATCGGGTTTCGTAGTTGCTATGAGGAAATCCAGCCGCAGGACTACCGCAGACGTCAGCAGGGCGCAGCGTAGGTACCGTTGGGGTAGGGTAAGCTGAGCGGGACGTGCCGCCCCCGGTTCTTTGATCGTAGTAGAAAGAACTATGGTGTAACAAAGTCTTTGTTGCTGGCTACATTGCACCTTTGTGCAATACAGATACATGGGATATTTGGTCAGTTTCAACCCACGTCTTTTTGAGATATCAGGTACTTGGTGATGTTTTTGGAAAACTCTGGGGCCATGATCTCCGGCCACGTCACGTGGTAGATGCAAAATACGAGATATGATGGGTCGGGAAATTTGATGATCAATATAGGAAGTATACGTTGGATGTGTTTTCTCCACTGTGATCTCTCTCGTTGTCGTGGCGGCTATTGAGTGGAAAGGCGGGTTGAACTACGTGGATGGTATCTTGCATGGGGAAAGTCCGCAGTGTTAATTCAAGCTTACGTATGTTCTGTGAAATCTCCGAGGGCTCCGATGTTGCAAGGTTTGGGAATGGAGATTAGGTCAATCCTATGATATGAAAAAGAGCACGTGGGCATGTGAGGGATGGGGATGGGGACTGATCGGCTGAGGCAAAAAACGGGTTGGTGGTGATCTGGTAGATCTGGAGACGAAACACGAGGTATAGATCTAATGGTGGAGACGAGTTGAGTTGTTGTTGATAAATGCCTTGATATAGGTTCAAAAGACAGAGAAAAAAAGGAGGTGATTGTCGTGCAATCAGGCAAAAGACAAGTGAAGATGTGCTTGGACATGTATGACTAGAGTGAGATTCGAACTCACGCCCCTTACGAGACCACGGAACTCTGGAAGTGGAGTTGAGATTAAGGGTTTGAAAGAAACCTTAACGTGGCGCCTTAGACCGCTCGGCCATCTAGCCTGATAATTATTGTGATGTTGGGATGGTTGAGAGGGTGAGCTTTTGAGTGAGAAGTTTTTGTGGGTGTGCACGACTCAGTGGGTGCTGGTCTTGGCAGGGCTTTTTGGAGGTGGAGATGAGGGTGGGTTGCCGGGTTAACACAGACTCGGGATGGAAGAAAGGGGGCTATATAGGGGGACGCTTTAGACATGACCAAGTTGCAGCACTATCCACTGCCAGCTAGGTAGCAAGCAATATAAGTATCACAGGCTCGTGCTCTACCCCACTGACATGGTGGTTGCTACCTAGGTAGTAAATGATACATTATTGTTTACATGTTAGCCTTCCTCAGTGCTTCGTCGTGTAAGCAGGCTGTCCTGAATGCGAGATCTTAATCAGGGAGGATGCCGAGATGGAAGGGGGCTAAATTGTCTCGCATGTGGAGGCATGGGACAGTCAGGAAAAACCTGGGCCCCTTCTGATCTGGAATTCTGGCTGTCGAGTTGTGAAACCCTGAATCTTGTATCGTCTAGTAAGCACACCAGACCCACAGGATGTTTTCTTCAATTCCTTGTCCATGTTCCTTATTTTGAAAAGCGTTTAGGATTCACCTTCAAAAAACGATATACAAGGCCTCTGCTATAACTCTTTCAACCTTTCACTCTCAGAATCCTTGCCCGCCAGGCTGGCACCATCTCTTAACTCCTCCTGGACCTCCCTCACAATATCCATAAACCAACTCGCACTGACAGCAGTCAACACATGCCACCACCCATGCAACTCCAACACCCAAGCCCAAGGTAACCCCATCTTCACCCTCAAGCTCCTCAGCTCCGTACAAAACTCCAAGTCAATATTCCAAAGCGCATATCCGATTAACAACAACCACAGCGTCCTCCTCCCCCTCTTCTTCCACGATACCCTCTTCGCTTCCGGAAACGGCGGGTTTCTCCAAAGAAACAAGTAGTGCCCTCGGATGGTGATCAAAACCAACGCCAGCCCAAAAGCAGAAGCATGGTAAATGATCTTGCCATTCGAGATGTAAAACGCCGAAAAGAGCGGAAACCCCACAGCCATCGACCAGTTAAGTATCCTGTCACGCTTCGTCCCAGTGGCGAGAACACCTTGAAGCAAAGACCAGACAAGCCCTAACATGGCAAGCTCGTCGGCGAATTGCATTGACTGGCGGAGGGTAGCGTGAAAGGCAAAAGAGCCGATGCCAAGGACAAGGAGAGAGATGGACATGAAATCATATCTGGGGGAGAATAAGCCTTTGCTCCCAGGACCATACATGTACACAAGGGCGTAATAAACTATTGCCAGGTCAGCAACTTTCACTTATGAGAGGCAAGGTGGTGGCATACCATATGCCAAGTTTGTCAAAGTGCTGATAAACTCGGCGAAATATCTGCTGACGGCATAGTCCTCCTCACAAAAGCTAATTCGCACTCTGGTCAGCAATCATACTCACCCGATTCTCACAGCAACAAGAACGAACTTTGCAGCACTAGTTGGTGGACTCCAAACACCCTCCAGCGCGTGGGGATCGCCAGCAAAATGGCGGTTGTGATGTCCCATCTTGGCTTTCTTTCGCCGTTCTACCTTGTGCTGCAGGCTTGACAACGTGACACAAACCGACGTGTCAAACAAGACGGAGCAGTCAACAAAAGTACCAACATCTCCTGCAAAGCCACGTGACTCACTTACTACTACCTAGGTAGTCGGACTCTAAAAACTTTTTTTATCTCGGCTAAGAAGGGTTAGCCTAGAATTAGGCTTGTTTTCGCTTAACCCTACACTCGCTACTCTCTAAAAATAATAATTCTACGCAACGCCTTAATAATTTAAATTTAAAACCTGTGACGGCATACGGCAGAAAGCATGATATAGGGTTAGGGGTGCAGGGAGCAGAGGGAGCAGGAGACCGTCTGTAAGTCAACGGTCCACGGCCCCTAGGTCTATATATACGGAGGAACTGGCTGGTGTAGATAGACAGTTCCGCAGTATGCAATTCAAGTCACAATCGTTGGTATCTAGACTGTTGTGATCGAGACAAGCCATTTGTTGTACACTGTTTAGCTGTACCGAACCAGGATTGTTCAGAAGTGCCTTCAACCAGTATCCCTTTCAGAGGCTCTGGATAGGGGTTCGTCACAAATTAGTTTTAGTTACGGTAAATATAGCCGAACGGTCGTTAGCACCATTTCAGCTCAGAGTAATATTTACTGCGCTTACCTTTTACTTGCCTTATAAGACTAATACGGGCTGAGCCAAAATTCTTATCGGGTTTGACTATATAGGCACGCAAAAGAATTACAGTGCATTTGCAGCAATCAACAAAATCTATCCAATCAAAATCACTATCCAAACGCTCAACCCCCAAATCGACCAGCCTTAAATTCAGCCCCACAACCTCCCTTCCTCCAGTCACACCTCAAGACTTGCTGTGATCACCGACATAAATAGCCCCCAACGACTCCCGGGAATACCCCTCCCGATAGCCCGCTGAGGAGCTAGCAACATCTGCTCGTCCGACCAACATGAACATTTGACTGGATGCTGCCTGGTTTGGCGTGATTTTGGAAGTGGCTAGCGGCCTCATCACTATAGCAGCGCTGCAGTTCCAGAACCGGACGACGATATCCCCTTCTTTGGCTGCTGGTGGCACAAGTCCGATGAAGTATCCTGTTTCAAGACTAATCCGGGCATTCCCGTCGACGTGCCGGCCTTCTTCGTCTGATGCGATGTAGAAGGATTCTTGCTCTGAAGAGATGGAGTGGCTTAGGTCGCTGTTTGATCTTGCTGTTCCATTTATAGGTGCACCGTGTTTGTCTTCCTCGGGTCTCCTGTCGACAAGTATACGAGAGCCAATGGCGAATGGGTCGGGGATATTTCGAATGCGGCCTAGATCTTGCTCCTCGTACTCAAAGATTCTTGTCATGTACTCCTCGTCGAGTTGCCTAAGCGTCGATAGTTGCTCGCTGTCGTAGAATTCGTCCCAGCAGGAAGTCCAGTCTTGTTGCGCGCGGTGTGATCCCACCAAATCGCCATAGCCAGGACCAATTCGGAGAATTTCGCCAGCGATATATCCAACAACTCCGATAACCTCAGGATCCCGCTGTGGCCATTCTGTAGAACAAAGCTCCTCGTCAAGCTTCTGACCAAGCGCCCGTTGAATAATACCAGCCGTCCTCACAATCGTGATCCGTCTTTCCTCATCCTTCAGATACCCAACCCCTGTCTTTCCACCAATGGTCTTCGTATGATGAAACACAAACCCAACTACACTCCTCCAAAGATCATAAAACGACTGGTTGTAATCGATCCTCAACGAACCCACTGTGCCCCTCCCTCGCGGCGAGACAGCCCTCCCTGGCGTTTGCGTAATATTCAACCGACCCAGCCTCTGCTCCACCCCACCCCCCAAACTAGTAGCCACATCATTCGCACACCCCAACAGCCCATAAACCCTATCCTTCAACTCACTACACTACACTCATTCCCCGCGAACCTCTCCACCAGGCTCTCCAGCGCCATCATGCTGGTATGCCTCTTCTCTCTTGTTTCCAGTAGCCTCCGCATAGGAGCCATGATGGTAGCCACAAGCTGAGACTCTGTGTGTTGTGGGGGCGGGGGTCTCTGAAGCTGCCCTCCCATACCGTCACCAGTATTACCATTCCCAACCTGCACCCACCCCTGAAACTCCTCGTAAGCCCATATATCTGACCCGTACACAACCAGCAGCGACCTCGGCAGGCACACCTCTTGCACCACCCAAAGTCTAGTCCAGTACGTGCTTTCCGCCAGACGCATCAGGGTGGCTTGTGGGGGCCTTGGGGAGTACCAAATCTTGATCCTGGGGGGCTGCCCAGTAGGTTGGAGAACCAGGCCCGCGGCGAGGTGCTGAGTCTGGCCGGCTTTCCACTCTAGTGACATTGATCGATATACCGCCGGTCCGCCGGACGAAGAGAAGGGGGCAGGGTGATTGACTGTGTGGTTCTTTGTGCCTAGCCAGACGACCGCATAACCTGCTCGAGTGTAGATGGAGGACATGAGGGAGACCTGTCTGTTTCGCTCGGCAGTGTCGGATTGGTTGATGCATATTGCGTCTGCCCAGATCCTGATCGGGTGGGTGGAGGAGCGGAGGTGTAGCAGGGCGAGGTGGAGGTTGTGGCTGATGTGGAAGGGGTGGTTGTTGACCGTGATCGGGGGAGATGGGGCGGTGGTCGGCTGGGTGGAGGGTGGTGAGAGGGAGGACATTGTTCTTTGTCGGAGTAGGAGGGTTGTCAAAGGTGTGTTGCTTCCAGGCCGGAATGGTGATGCTGGTAGGGGGAGGACATCTTGGCTTGGGGAGAGTGCTGTTGCTGTCAAGCGAGACAAGGGGAGTTTGGCGTTGTCCTTGTAGGAACTTCCCCATGTGTAGGAGAGAGCAACATATTTGGGCTTTTGGCTGAAGAAAAAGGGGTCGAGAGTGCATACCAAGAGATCAGGAAAGTCTCCTGGCTCTATCGTGAGGATGCGCAGGGCGTCTTTCTCGGTTTCGATGGGTGGGTATGGAAATGATGCATTCTTGGTGGACATGACTGGGAGATGTTGGAGAGAAAGGATGAAAGTAAATAGAGCCCCGAACCTCTGGATTCGAAGAGGAACAACCTGTAGAGTTCTGGTATCTGTATCCCCAAAACAAAATGGTATAAGATTTGTAAATGCACAATGACGGCGGGCGGAGCGGAGGAGGGGAACTTACGGTGCCTTGGACCCGGAGCGGGATGCGGGTGGTAGCAGGCTCCGGCACCACCAGGCGACTGGAGGGAGAGTGTGTGCCTAATGTAAGGACCTTATTGGGGTTGCATGGATGCCTCTCTAAATGCCACATGCAGGGTGCTAAATTGTGGCTAGAAAGTAGCAACAATATCTGCAGCTAAAAATGGACGGCATTCATGGCACATCTCGACGTACCTAGGCATGCCACATAGATCAATACTGGCTCAAGGAAGCAGGATGTTGATGAACTGCATTTCTACGTCTACCTATATGAACGGTTGTATTACAGCATTGAGTCACCCTCCGTCGACATCGCACTCCAGATGGTCGCTCTACCCAAGAGACACAAGAACACCCTCCTTGGGAGATAACCCAACAGTATATCTTTGTTTCTCTGCACCGACAGGTTCATTTGGAACACCAGGCACAAGTTTTAGGTCCGGGTATGCTTGCAAGGCACGGATGACAGCGTAGCTCGCTTCCATCAAAGCAAAATCCTCTGTGACAAGGTCAGCAGGTGGGCAAAAGCACAAAGGCGGTAGAAAGACTTACTGCCCAAGCAAAGCCTTGGACCGGTATTGAAATCAATGTAACCAGCTCCAGGCTTAGCCTTCTTAATCAACTCCCCGTCTTCTCATCTTTCTAGGCGATAGACCCCTGGGTCTAGACCATAGATGGACTCGTTTCGATGTAGGTGATATGTGGAGAATGAGATTCCGGCCCCTTTCGACAGTAGCACTGGAGATCGGCCATCAGGACCACCTCCTCGAGGGAGAATGGTAGGCTTATTGGTAAAGCGAAGGTTGAGCGGTAGCGTGGGGGTACAATCTCAAAGCTGCGGGTATCGATCGGTAAGTAAATATCCATGAAGTTGGAACGTCGGTAGAAGCAGCATACTTTCATTGAGACAGCAGCGAAGGTAGGGAAGCTTCCTGATATAGTCACGGGTGATATCTCCCTCTGTTGGTACTGTAGCAATATCCCGCTTGAGCCGCTCCAAGATGTCTCGGTTGCGGACTAGGTGGAAGCTGTCATAACAAGATGTGTGAGTACTTGGGAAAACGAACAATGTGTAGGCAAGATAGGTCTTACAAGGTCCAAGCCAGAAAGCTCGCTAGCGCATCCCGCCCGGCCATCAAGACATGGAGGAGCTGGTCACGGACCAACTCGAAGTCCTGCATCTCCTTCCAAAGATCGATAATGAAACCGTATTTCTCGGTGGTCGCCTCCTCGCCAAAGTCGTCCTGGTACTTCATGGCCCGGGCCGCAAAGAAAGTTGTCCAGTCGCGAACCGATTTGCAGGCCTTGCGGAACTTGGGTGGTTGTAAATCCAGGCGACATCCGCCAGGCGGGTACGGATGGCAAACACAAAGGCAGCATAGTCGAAGTTGCTCCTCACAGCTTCACGCTGTGTCTTCTCCATGTTGCTGTGGGGGAGGGTGACAGTGATATAGCTTGTGCAACCAACAGTCAGCAATTGAGACTTCAGGGTCCCGGCAGCCCCCATTCTCGTAGCCGCACAACGGCTGATGTCGGGGCCGTGTGCGGGCGTCATCCCGCAGCAGCGTGGATCATGTCCACAGTCGAACTCCGCACGTAACGCTCTCCAAAATGACGGATCCATTCGGCAGCCTCAGTGCTGGAGTCCTACTCAACGGCCTCAACGAAACCCTTGCTGCCCTCGAAAGACTTGACGTCGACGCTATCACAACCGGCTTGTTTGAACAAATCGGCGACCTCAAGGCTATTGTCGAGTCCTTTGACCAGCCCGCCATAGCTGAGCGACGAAGTGCGTCTTTGCACGTCAGGCCTCGGCACCCAACTGAACGGTTCCTGCAGCCCCTTATCGGCAGTACCGCTGCTATCCTGATCGAATCCGGGGCTTATCTTCGACTTTTGCTCTCAAACATCAGAGTGACCGCCGGTGAGAGGGAACAAGGTTTCTGGATTGAGAACGAGCGACGGCTGGAGAACCAGCCATGGTATCTGGAAACATCACTTGCCTTGGGACTACACACCAGAGTGCTCAGAGCCCTTTTCACATCCATCGAGTTGCTCAAGATTCAGAACTTTTCTTCACAGACGACGAGGCTCAGTTCAGCTTCCTACAGGCTCGCTCTACTTTGTCATGCCGGCTCGTCAATAAGCTTGGATTGGCCCGAAACAGCCTTTCACTCATCACCGAAGAAGTCGTAAACTACGACGCAACAGCCGTTGCAGATGCCATCACAGCCACAGAAGCCGTCACTCTACACGTACCTGACGTCGCGAATCGTCGCTTCGTCATCCCACGACCTCTCAGAGCCTGCTTTATCGGCAGGAAAACAGAGCTGGCGAAGCTGGACCAAGCGTTCCACGATGTCACCAAGTCTACTCAGCAACGGTTCGTTATCTTTGGACCTGGCGGATCAGGAAAGACAGAGCTTGCCTTCAAGTTTGCCACCGAGTACAAAGACAAGTTCTGGGGTGTCTTCTTCATAGATGGCAGCTCTCAGAAAAACGCCTCCAGCAGTTACGCCGAGATCGCCACCATCGATGGTGTCGAGCCAAACGAGAAGGCAGCCAAGAACTGGTTGACAACCCGCGATCTGCCCTAGCTACTTATTATCGACAATGTGGATGATGACGAAACAGATCTGGAGGAGCTGTTAACTGTTGGGGACAAGGGCTGTGTGATCATCACGACACGGAATCCATTGCATATGACCCATGGCAATGCAGGGGATCGGTATCTTGAACTTCTTGCCATGGACCCCAAGGAGGCGGAGGAGGTAATTCTGCGAGCCGCCGAAGAGCCGAGGCCCTGGGCACAAACAACTATCGACTCGGCCAACTCGATATGCAAAGCCTTTGGTTTCCTTCCGCTTGCTCTTGTCCAAGCAGCCAAAGCCATTCTCAAGGGCATCTGCGACTGGCCCAACTACCTCTCATCATACGACAGCGAGATCAGACGAATCCGCCGCAACTACCATAGCCGGAATAGAAGTATCCCAAGGGATAAGAAGCGCGTGGACGACGATAGTAGCTTTACAGTCTTCTCTACCTATGAGATCCTACATCGAAACCTCGAGGAGTCTCCGAGGGAGAAATGTCAGGATGCGGTGGAATTGCTCCACGTGTTTTCCTTCTTTCATTACCAGAACATACGACCCGACGTGCTTATCAACGCTGCCATCAACCCACTCAAGGAAGAGCAGCAGCAGAGAGAGGACTCTGAACAGGAGCAGGAACTACACAGCAAGCTTCACAGCCCCAAACGCAAGCCGTGGGGGATGTTCTTCCGCGAGCTCAGAGCTTACTTTAGCTCTCAAATGGCGACACCACCCCCTTGGCCAGGAGTACTCAGAAACAGGGACAACCTTGGCCTTGAAGATCTGGAGGATGAAGTTGAAGACCGGCTTCGAACTGCACCCAGTGTCTTGGTAGAGAGGTCCCTGGTGACGAGGCAGGAGAGGTCTACCGGCCGTTACAGCATGCACAGGCTCATCCGCAAATGGGTCAGGGAACTCCCAGAAATGCCGACCTCCCACTCCCACCAAGCGCTCTGGTGCCAGATATCCATGGCGACTTTGTCTTCGAGCATCCGGCGCTTACCACACGGCGATAATGAGCCAGAAAACCATGCTCGACGTGAACTACTGCCGCACATCACACACGTACGCTAATGCCAGGCCGAACTAGACAAAACTCTTGCAGAGAATGCGTTTAAAGCCAAGCCTCTCTGGCCATTGAAGAGACTTATGGGAAGCTTCAGGTGGATCAAGACGTCCGGTTCAGTCGAGTATACGAGGAGACAGGCCACTTCGAAGAAGGCTGCGATCTCCAACAGAGCGCCTTGGAGTATGTCTCTGTCAGACTTGGGTCCTGACCATCCGATCGCCATTGCGTTATCCCTCTTGCTCACCAAGACGCTATGGCTGATGTGCGAGATGGAAAAAGTCGTACGACACATGCGGGCCACCCATCGACTGTGCGTTGACACCTGGGGCGACCACCATCCACTCACCCTCGACGTGACCGAAACACTCGGCTCAGCCCTCAGCATACAAGGGAAATACACCGAATCGAACGCCCTCCACGTCGCCAACCTCGAAAAGATGAAGCGACTGTACGGGGACAAGCATCAAAGACTCTTGAAACTACGCGAAACCTTGCGAGAGTCCTCAACCGGCGCATGGAATACAACGAAGCAAGCAGGCTATTCCAGATTCTCTAGGAAGGCATGAAAGAGCCCCTCGGCCCAACGCACCTCGAACCTCTCACCAGCCTCGAAGACTTGTCATCCAGTTTCGTCCGGTACGAAGAAGACAACCCCGACCCCAACCTAGGCGAGCGACTGTTGCAGAGCCGCACAGACTTGACCTTTGTCTACGAGCAACGCAAGGAGCGACTAGGCAAGGAGCATCCTTACACTCTCCTAAGTTGGCTATTCCTTGCTCGCGTCGAATCGGCAGTAGGCAATAACAAGGAAGCCGAAAAGATAATCCGGCAAGGCCTCGAAGTGGCAGAACGCAACATTGGCTCGCAGCATCTCGCTGTTCTCATGGCCAAGTGCATTCACGCCGAGGTACTGGTCAAACTGAAGAGGTTCTCCGAGGCCGAGAAGCTATTTTACATGCTGATTGATCGGTCGTGGTACACCAAGACTGTGGGTGAAGACAGCGATCATCCTGATCGGCTTGCTAACATTTGGTTCCTCGCCATGTGCTTGGAGCAGCAGGGCAAGTGGGAGAAGGCACTGGAGCTGTGCAGGGAGTTCTCGGTCGGTATTGAGGCTATTGGTGGCCGTGGCTTGGGGATGAACCACAAGATGTATCCAAAAGTGATGAAGAAGATTGCGGAGCTGGAGGGGAAGATCGCCGGTGGGGGGCAGTTTCGAGAAGCAGCCGTTTAGGGACACTGAAAAGGGCAGGAGTGTACAGATTAAGATTGAAGAGGCTTAGGTAGATGATGTTCGGACGGATGAGATAGTAATCTAAAGGGCTTTGTGGGTGTGCTTTGGAAAGTTGGGATGGAAAACTGCATGGAAGGATAGGATACCCGGGGGTGTTTGTTGCATAGCGTTTGTTTTGTATTTTCTGAGATCTTGCTGATTCTCTTGCTCTGTATGCATTGGCAAAATGGCCCATCTCATTTGATAGGTAGATCGCAAATGTTGCATTTTAATTCACAAAGCATGTGATGTGTTCAAAGAGCGAGGACTGCTCGGTCCCCCTTTCCAGACTACTGCAGGCACCCTGCGGCCGTGTGGGTCAGGAACATGCAGAAATTGTTTGATCACCCAACTATCGACCCTTGTTGAGAAAAGAACGCAGAACACCTCACCTTTCTGAACTGGTCTACCCCTCCCACATAAGAATTTCAGCTGTTACAAAGCTCAAGCAACTTCAAATAACATCAAAGTATGTAGACTCGCTGTCAAAACGCTTTCCCAGCGCCACCATTCAACTCGCAGGGAGCTAATCCCGAGTACTTTCAACTCAAAATGAGCGTACTCGAATCCGACGAAAGGAATTGCAAGCAGGAGCCCCTTCCCAAACTTCTGGCACTGACAAGCGAAAAATCAACATGTCATCCGAGCAAGCAAGAAAATGGTGGATTGGAACGGGCACAATGGGTGGTGGCTCGGACGGCGTCTCCTCAACGTATTGGAGGCCGTAAGTTTAGTCGCCAACATGATGCTGGGAATAGAGAAGATGGGGCTGGTTATAGTAAGCTTTGATGGGATTAGAAGACACTTTAGCCTCGATTGGAGTGAGCTACCTAGCTGAAGGTAGACACTCGAATAAAATAATATTGTGGGAGCAACTGTCAAGAGGATGAGAACAGAGCGACTAAAAGTTGATGAGAGCAACTATTGAGACGATGAAACTTACACTAAAACGTGATAAAAACTGGGATATAAGGAGCAAAGTGGAATCCGCAAAATATTAAGACTACTCTTTACACCAAACAGATTTCTAATGGTCTATAAGGTAACTTTGTTAAAGATATATTACATGGCCAAGATGAGATGAAATCGCCCGTGGCATGGATGCAGAGCAACAAACTCATGCCCACTGCTCTTAGCTAGACTTTTTTCAAAGTTTCGCTCTGAATTCTGCCCAAATGCACTGCTCGTCCCCAGAAGGTGGAGGCTTACAGCTGTCCAGTCAGGCACAGTTGGATAATAGCCTTGCAATTAGGTCCCATCCCTGGGGCTGATGCTTCCTCCTGTAGATGGTGACACTCCTTGTGGTAATTGATAAGTTGTGAATTATTTCGATGTGATAGCTCAAAGGCTACCCTGACTGTACTCACCCTTCTTGCGAAGGCATAGGGCAAAAGAAATAACACCATCAACAGAAAGGTCAACTCTTGAAGGATCATGGCACATTGATGAATCCAGCAATCCCATGTTGCAATATGTATATTTTAAAATGGGAAAAAGGTCTATTTCTCAATGTCTGCATTGTAGATATACCTATGCAGACTTAATCAACTGCAGAAGTATTGTGTATCCAGTAGATGAAACTTGAATCAACCGAGCCTTCTCTTGCACATCTCAAGAACAGAGATAATCAAACGTCACTGCCTATGGACCTTTGGTATGACGAAATGGGGGTGGATAGGTGCCGAAAGAATTGTCAGACCAGATTCAAGGGGAGAGAAGCGGTGTCGTTTCCTACTAACTGACAGGGGCCCTACACGTCAACAGCTGCCATACCCATCTGTTCCTTCCACATTCAATACCGCCTTCTCGTGTCCAGACCCTAGGAAAGGGACCCGCACGGGCACTGAGTGGTAGATAATACCTCCAGGCTCTTGTCAAATTTCCTTCTCTTCTCTTTTTTTCCTCATCCCATCCCCACCACCGCAACACCATCACCAAACTCTCTCCTCTCGTCGGTTCTTTCGTTCCAGCCCCATCTCACTCTTCAGCAGAATATACTGACGGCTGTTTCTATCTGCAGAAAAAATAAACAAGATGAACGGAGACGTGGGAAGGGACGCTGGGGGAGTAAACGGGACTGTAAGTGATCACTCTATTCTTCTCTCGCCTCTTTTCGCCACCTATATCCCTCTGACCCAGCGACTACGAGCCTTGTATGCTAACGAACTGCGTCTCTAGGTGGGTTCGGGAGCGTCTGCCGGGACGCAAGAGGTGAGGCAGGCGGCGGTTGCCCGCTTGCAGGGAGCCACCATGAGGCGGCAAGCGGTTGGTGACCTGGCGGCGGCAACTGCCCGCCTGAGCTTGGGGGGCCCTGTTCTCACCAGTAAGTTGCCCGCATGATCACTTCTCTTCACTGCCTTTCCTCAACTTCATCTTCTTGACCGACACTCTCCATCTTCTCCACAAACCCCTTGTCCCTTCACCTTCTTAGTACAAATCATGACACTGACGTTGATGGTTGCATAGACGGACAACCCTGGGCCGCCTCGGCCTCGACCGGCAGCGCACCGGAGCTGCCACGGATTCTCATCACCAGCCCTGATGGGACGTCAGTGTGGGCAACTGACGCTCTCGGAGGGAATGGTCCCAGTGGCAGCAACGGATCCTGAGCCTGAGTCAACGGCGGAGGCCCAGCCGTCCCAGACGGGGCAAGCCAAAGCCAGACTCGTTGGACCCATCAACCTGTCCAGCTCCAGTCCCAACCGCGAACCCAGCGCCGACAACGATAGGTGGGCGGGGGAGGAGAGGGGAAGGGGAGGTGGGAGGTGGGCTGGGAGCAGTGCGGGCCCGCGGGGGCGATAATACCTGGGCGTTTGGAGGCGGCGACGGGGGGGTTTGGTCGGTGGTTTTTTTCTAAATTTTCTTTTCTTTTCTTTAAAACAAAACAAGAAGCCCGTGTGGTTTCTTTTTGCTTCTTTGGACCTGAACAACTTCCCATGAATGATTGTGATCGTGATATATCTGGCAATATTTACTTTCAATTTGAATTCCTTCCTCGTACCTACAACCAGCATAGTTTGACACTACTGCCCAAGGCACGACCATTACTACGGCTCCCGGCATTCTCTAGAAGGGACTCCGAGATTTAGGCTTGAAAGACTTGGATCTGAAAAAGATCACTGGGATTCCTCGAGGAGCTGAGTCGAAGAAAGGTGCACCAGTTGCCTCCTTCTGCTTTCCATTGCTTTCCATCTCACCTGTATGGCCGTTTCTTGCCTGATGTTTGCGCTCTCAGTGGCCACGCGCTGGTTCCCAGGGTAGGTACGTCAGTCTGGGTGGTAGGTGACATCGGTGGATACCTAGCACTGCTTCCGTTCTTTCCCACCCACAAAATGGTATAAGCCAACCAGCACTTGCAATATTTTCCGCTCCCACTTTTCTCTCCCAACCCACCACTTCTCTCTCCCCACCTCTTCCTCTCTCCATCTTCTGCTTTTCTCTCTCCAGCCCTCTTCCAACAACTTTGCTTCCTCCCATCGCTCTATCACACATTGCTATCCATATTCTATTCTTTTACCACCATTTCTCTCACCTCTACACTGGCGTCTCATCATCTTCACCCCAAACCTACCATACCGCAACCTAGTCGATCAATCATGTTGACTGCAACCTCGACTTCAACAGCACTGAAGAGAGTTTTGGATCTCACACATTCGAATCAAACACATCCGACCCCGACCGTTCACCTGGCACGAGCCCTAAGCTTTGTTGCTCTGCCCACGTGGCCAGGCAGTCGATCGTAAGTTCCTTGTCTATAACTGCCTACCGATGGCACGAAGTAGTCTAACACTCAGAGGACGAACAGCCATGCTCGACACCGCCCCAACGATGGGCAAGTACGTGTACATGACCGTTGATATTCCCAGCACTAGCTGCAGATGTACATCGGATACAGGGTGTCCATGAGGTGAGTCACATATCTTTAATAGGCATGATGCGAAGCTAACAACACCATCACAGTATTATTGCCAAAGAACAGTTTGATGGATCAAGAACATCGAACTTGTCGAGCCATCTCTGCCACAGGACGGCGGGTTGGCCACAGCGCCACGCCTGGGTTACTGGTATGTTACATTCTGTCCACCGAGATTTCAGTCAAAACTAATAGTCAGTGGACAGGCTTTCTGGCCCATCGTCTTTTTGACTTGCGGGTCTCTTGTTTATCCTATTGAGACAATCGCTCGAGCGAATGCGACAAGAAAAACCCGCATTATCACTTCTCTTCCCTGCCTTTCCTCAACTTCATTTTCTTGACCGACCTTCGACGGATCCTCCTCTCCTGTCGCGGTGGTTGTCGGCAACGACAGCCACCATGGCGGAGGGGAGGCATCTTGAAGGATTGGATGGTGTGGTCGGTGTCGGGGGGTGTCATCCCCGACATTGAGCTTCTCCCAAACATTGGGGGTGCTCCTGCGGCGTGGAAGGGCACCAGGGCCGATGCTGAGGCGGAGGAAGATGAGATGGACGGCGCCGATGAACCTGATCTTGATGCGGCTATCCACCAGGCATCCTCGGTGCCAGTCCCTGATTGGTATCAGTGCTTGTGCTGTGGTGGCTACAGCAGGCTTGAAGTCCTTGACATTCTTCGACGCATTGACAATGACATGGATCTATCCTTACTGTTGTCTCGGATATTGAAGGGGAGGAGGATGGGGCGGATGAGGCAGAATCAGATAGAGATGAAACAGGCACTTGACATTTATTTAGAACACCAATAATTTTAACCTTATTATACTTGCGTTCTGTACCTAATGATGTTTCTCCCGAAGTTGAATTACGGTTGTCTAAGCCACCCTGCCCCCAGTCCCCCTAAGCAACTTTGCCGAACTTGTCCCGTCGCCTCCAGCAAGCGAACCACGATCCGGCCAGTTGGTTGTCGGAAGCGACGTTGAGCTTAGCTTTAATTGCAGTCCGTCGGTTGGTTGTACATCTTGGCCTACCTAATAAGGTCTTTTGAAGAATTCAATGTTAGTAGTAAAATTGATCGCAAAGCCCACAAACTCCGTCCGAGCACACTTTCTTACTCTGTAGTACCAAGGCCACTCCCAATATACGACAACCACCATCACAATAAGCGACTCCAACTTGCACCCGAAGACGAATTCAATTTGGTACATGTCCAGTGCAATGAAGGTGTGCGATTACACCACCACGTCCCGTGACATGAACAGGAGACACGTGGAGGTTTTGTTGGGGAAACGACCACGCATCATCTGGCGTTGCCGGTTTGGGAGGTTGGGAATATCATGAAGTACCTTAGAGGATAAGGGGGATGGTGCTGAGGGAGGTGAATGGAGAGCGGTTGAGGGGGGTTAAAACCAGGTCTCTGGACGGTTACTGTAGGCGGAGTACCTCATGTGGGTTGGTGAGGAGATAAGGGATGTGAGGATGAAGGGGAGGTGGGTGTGTGGTGATCCGGCGGATCATGACGGTGGGAAGTTGAGGGGAGTGATGCGCTGAGGCACTATGAAGAGTTCAATAAGGCGATGGGTTTGGGGTGTGAAGATGGGACCAAGGCGGATATAGGGTTCTGGCTTCCTCGGCTGTGAAATTTTGAGAGGTGGAGGGGGGATGTGGAGTGGTGTGCCAGGGTGTTTGAGCTGTGGAAGGTGAGATCCTGTTGGGCAGGATTCATCGAAGGGTCCAGGAAAACACCAGGTTGAAGGATCAGGATGGCCACAGCTTGGAGAAGTGGAAATGACGGGTGAGGTGGATGTGGGAGTAAGACATACGATCAATGTATGAAATGTTCAAGATCAATGAGTCGAAGCTTCACAATTTAGATAGATACCCAAATACCAAACAACCCAATTCAATGCCATCGCACGGCACAGCAATGATGAGCACTTTCCCCTCCCGTCCAAAAATTCCTGGTCCCATCATGTATGCGCCTTACGAAGTCGGACCGGCCCACGATAGGAAGCCCAAAGCCGAGCAGCATGCATGTCGTCCAAAAGTGACAGGGGGGCGTTGCTGCACCTGAACAAACGACGGCGTGGAAACCGCGGGCCGTCAGCCGGGCCTTTCTCATCATCTCACCATCGTCCTATCATTGACCGTCCCATCTGCTTGAAAGGCACTCTGAATGAAAATGATCAAAATGAAGGAGCAGATAGCTTCAGATGGAGAAACCATCCCACTGTTTCATCCAAAGAAGATTCTTTATCCCACCACTGAACACGCATGACAAACAAATCTCTTCGTCATCCATCAGACAAGCACTGGGAGCAAAGCGCCCGCTTCGCTCCCCAGGCGGCTCCGGCATCCTCTTCCCCATGGGGGTGGTCCCTCCCGCTAAAGGTCTCAGGTTACACCCGCTAACGACGCCCTAGCGCGAAATGCTTGTTCCCTTGTTAGCGTAGCCGTTTCGCTACCAGCGTGACATCGTGGCCTTTTGTCTTGGTCTTTCTTGGGCTGGTCGGCATCAGGCACATGCGAGATTTCGGTGCCAAAGACATCATCGCGTCACAAACATCAGATGAAGGAGCAAAAAGCTGTTTCAACACATTATTATTCGTAAATACCATCTGAGCATCCTCAAAGTTGGCAAATTTGGTTTGGTATCATGCACCTTGCTCCATAGCCGACCATCTTCCCGCTTGGGAACAGCTAGATTACATCAAAAACTCAACCCATTTGCGACAACACAAATACAACCCATCGGTATTTCATCAAACTCTCGTAATATCGTGAGATGGTGCTTAGATGGCATCGGCGCGGTCAGCATTGCCGGAAATGCCCCTCGCGGCGGTCTCAATGACGGTACCATCGTCAGCGAGGACGACCTTATCGACCTTGAGCGAGGCCTTGACGGGGTTGGGCTGGTCGTAGACCCAGTCAAGCTGCTCGAGGGTGCGGCCTTGGGATTCAACGCTGTAGAAACAAGGTGGTTAGCAAGGTGTAATTAGGTGGTCGGAGAACAAGAAAAACATACCAGAAGAGGTACCACATAAGCGCCTCAAACAAATCCCAGCCGACGAAGACGAAGATGTACTTGTATCCAATGTTTCCGAGAGCAATGGGGGTGGCGAACTGGTTGATGAAGGAGACGGCGTTGACGATGAAGCCGGAAGCAGCCAGACCCTTGGCACGCATGGTGGTCTCGAGAGCCTCGGTGGGGATGACACCCTGGAGGGGAGTGTAGGTGAACGAGAAAATAACGTTGAAGAGGAAGTAAGAGGCGAGAGCACCCTTGCCGTAGCTGAGGTCGAAGTTGCCCTCACCCCTCTCAGCCTCCTGGTTGGCAATCACGGCGGAAAGACCCGAGTTGGCAGCCAGAGCAAAGGAGCAGAGAGTGGTACCGATGATGAGGACCTTGCGGCGAGGCATCTTGTCGGTAAGCGTGACGGCAGTAAGGGCACCAATGGCGGAAATGCCCTGGTTGAGAATGTTGTAGCCGAGCTGCTGGGGAACCTCAGTGACACCCAACTTGCGGAAGATGGTGGTGTTGAAGTAACCGAGACCGTTACCAGAGAATTGACCAAAGATGGAAATCATGAGCACCTGGGCCATACGCCAGCGGCCGTTGTGGGTGAGGAACAGGGGGCGATAGTCCCACCAGACTTTGTCGATACCGTCGAGCTTGATACCCTCTCTCATCTCCTCAACCTCAAGCCTAACAAGGGCAGAGTTGGGGTCCTTGTTGCCGTGGTACTTGACAAGGAAAGCGATGGCCTCCTCCTCGCGGCCGTTGGCCATCAGGAAACGGGGAGACTCATCCAAGAACCAGACAGCACCCATGACGAGCACGCAAGCAGCGGACTGGAGAATCAAAGGCACACGCCACGACCAGTTGTTGCCCATGTAGTTGGTGCCGAAAGTGACAATGGCAGCGGGAATGGCACCACCGAACCAACCGCAGTTGTAGAAACCAGCGAAACGTCCACGCCAGTGTGGGGGGGCGATCTCGATAGCGTAGGCGGGGGCGGCGACGGTCATAACGGCAATACCCAGACCAAGGACGAAGCGACCAACGATGAACTGGGGGGTGGTCATGGCTGTGGAGATGATAATCATGCCAATGTTGATGACAACACCACCACAGAACATACCAACGCGACGACCATAGCGATCCGAGAGGATAGCAGCGAATGGGGCACCAACCATGGCACCGACAGTGTAGAGGGAGAAGATAGCCGAGACAAGCGGGCCGGTGTCACCGACGGGGAAGACGGCCTGGTAGGACTTCATGGCGATAATCGAGGTCATGAGGGAGCCATCGTAACCGTTGGCACAGGCGCAGCAGAAGGCAATGAAGACGGACACTGCAACAGGGAACTATGTCAGCAAAAACGAAACCCCTCAGATGAGGGGGGAAAACACTGACAGTAGAGCTTGAGCGACTCCTTGCTGTATGGGTTGATGTTGGCCTCCTGGATGGCAGCATAGAGCTCGGCCTAGAGAAAACAGTCAATCTTCATCCAAGCACAGCAGCAGTACAAGAACCAATACTCACATTGTGGACCACCTTCTCCTTCTTTGCCTTCTTGGCCTTGCCGGCACTGGTGAGGGTAACCTCGGGAGAAGCAGGCGCCTTCTCAACGCTGTGAGAGATAGCGTGCTTCTCGTCAGAAGAACCGTGCGACGACATCTTCGCGGTCGAGTCCAAGCTGGGACTGTTGGTTTGGCGGGAAGATGTTCAAGCTGGGAGGTCGTGAGGACGCACGATCAAGAGAAGTGAAATCCAGAAAGTTGGGGACCCCAGTGGCACCTTTTAAGGATATCAAAAGGAAGGCACGCGCACACACGGTCGAGCCCTCCTGGGGTGGGTAGCATCTCGGTATAGGCCATACCAAAAAGATTCCATGTAAGTAAGCCCTGTAAGATGCCGTCTCACACCAGCCAAGGTTTCATTCCTGTCCGCTTTGGGACTCGGAGTGCCCTCCTCCGAGGTCCTCTTTTGGGAGGGAGGAGGATGCAACGCCTGGCGCGCATTATGATTGACCAGATATTCTCCGACTGAATATGGGCCTTAGGCTTCTCCGGATCTGCTCCCTAGATTTCCCCATGTTCACAGGGGGTTGAGGTGGATTTTCAAATTCGCGCGAAGTGGTCTCTGCTTTCCCGAGTTCCTCTTGCAAACATGAAGGCGTGACCTGAACGCGTGCCACAATCCTGACGGCTTCCGGGCCTTGGTTCCTTGAGCTTAGCTAGGTAGGGTGTGGGGGCCATCCACCACTGCTAACGGCTTTTTTTATTGTGGATGTGTGGTCCTTCCTGTCTCAGCGCCCAGACAAAAAAGAATGATTCCAGATCTTTGGTACCAGAACAAATTTGACGTCCAATGTTTAATATCAAATACCAAACCCTCCCCTCTTATTAGGTGACCCACCCTAAATTATGCCTCTCCCGGCCACGGACATGTTCCATCCACGGTCCCTGTTGCTGCTCTGACCAAGCATAGATCGCACTGGTCGACTCGACAAATTGCACACTCGCAAGCAAAACCGCCGTCTCGCCTCCCCTACCCCAAAATACCCCAACCGTGCTAGTCCGAGGTGGGTATCACTACAGGCTCGCGCCGCCTGCACGTTTTCCGGGTCACACTTTTGGCCTAGGCCCACTCACCACTACAACAACAAATCCCACAAATCCATGGTATCCAATTCACCCCCCGGGGGGGGGGGGGGGGCCTTCGGGTGGATTTGCTCTGCTGTTCCGTAAAGTCGGACCATCCTTGTGCATAGACGAGCCGGAAGGATGGCGCTAAACACCAAATTCTCAGTATTCCAAGTGGGTATCAATGGGCAACGTGTGGACCGTTGCAGTTCCAGACCCGGCCTCCAGGAAACATATTCCGTTGGTGCTTCGTCTAGTGTAGTGTAGTGCTTGATCGAATAAGGCATCTCTCCTCACGATAAACGAGTCGCCTGCGAGGAGTGTGATGTTTGTTGTGAATGTTCGGCAACAAAAGTGTAGCGAAGCTTGGTGGGCTGCATATTCTTGGACGGGATTTTTGCTCCAAACGAGTGTACCGTTTGCGCCCTTGGGAGCACGTAATGGTCTGATAACTTGTTTTGGTTTGGCGAGTTCGGAGAGTTTCTATTCGGCATCTAGATGGGGCTTTCGGATCGTTGTGAGGCGGGATCCGGTTCGACAGTTGCTAGGAGCAGGTGACAGTTCGTGATCAACGCTTTCTAATGTCCCGAGGTCAAGCTGTCAGGAAGAGGGTCTTGTCGAAGTCCTGTACACCGCAACATACGCAGTACCTAGGTAGTCAAGGCTTGTCATTTGACAACATTAGTCGTCTCACAGTGAAACTCCCCTTGTTACCCATCCAAGAGCCTCCAAGCAGAGAAAAAAGTCTTGACCAGCGGCCGATGGGTAGAAATCTCGGTACCCTAGCTTGGCGCCCGTGATGCTGTTCTGGAGCACGCTACCCAAGAGCGAATAGATCAGCGGTAGCCGCTGTCACGGTGTCATTCTCCATGCAAGCTGGAGGCTCAACACATGAAGGGCAGGGATAGGGGACGACGTGGATTCGTCTTGTTCCATTCCCTACCCCAGAAACCCCATATGCTTACTCCATCGTAACCTTGCCGAGCAAGGGGCCGCTCTGGAAAGCAGGACCGGTGGGACGGTGTATGCTACCATGTGAAATATGGCGGTCATGATGGTCAGGAAGTCGAAAAAGCTTTTACTGTGCCAAGGTAGTCGCACCAATGTTGAGTGAGGCCGAGGTATGGAGGATCAATATCCTCGAAGGTTGGGTTCCAGATCATGACGAAGATCTCGTCCAAATGGTGGCGACCAGCCAGACATTGAGCCGTTGTGTGAGGTCTCAAGCGGAATCTCTTGCAGATGTAGAGAGGATCCAATATTTCCTCCCGACGAAAGGTCAGGGCCCAGAAACGTCAGCAGCAAACCTCGCTTATGCAGAGATCAGGAACATCTGGGGTGGCAAGTGGCTCCAGCCATCTTTAACGGATGGACATGCATGGCGTACCCGTCCCTAGGTGGCTCCGTCTGTCGGTGACCCCTATTTTGGGCAAGCTTGGTGTGTTGCAGCCATCCGGGGAAAATCTCTGCCCAGGCGAAGAGAGTGGGTGGCCGATTTGCCGTTGGGTTCAGGAAAAGTTGACCAACTCAACACTGATGTCCGTTAGGCCTGGCTGGAGCATCTCAGTTACGGTAGGTGGGTTTGCCTCCGGGGAGGCGGAAAGGAGAACAGAAGAGTGAGGGTAACATTTATTCCGCCACACGTACAAGATCGGACATCTAGCTCCGTCGAATTTGGGTGTCTTCCTACTCGACAACCGGCTCAGTATAACTGGTCCCTCTCGGTTGTTCCTCAAACCTCACATTCTCTCTCTGTCCAAATAAAACTAACGCCGCCTCTCAGGAACTACCTCGTGGTTTCGTTCATCTCAACCTCAGTCTTATTTGTCTGCTTCCGCATCGCGTTCTCCTGCAAGAACCGAGATATTCCCTCCTTGGCGACCTCGCTTTGTGAGTGCAATGCCATGACTCTGCCAGCAAACGCAACGGCGTCCTCAAAACCATCCCCACCGCAGCCGTCAACCTCGACGCCATCAGCGTTGACGTGAGGCTGACCTCGAAGACCAATCTGGGTCCAAAACGCCCACTTCGTGATAGCCGTTTGCTGAGTATCTCTCTTCGTGAGTCGCCTCGCCAACCTGTAGACCAGGTGGTCCAGCGATAGGCGATGTCGCACAATGTCCTCGGCGGATCTACGAGGCAGAGATTTCTCCGACGATGGAGGTCCCTCAAAAAGGATATTTGCCTGCTGCTCATACTGTGATTTGTCTTCTTCAGTTTTAGTAGCAGGGTCATCAACCTCCACACCATGCAGTTTCAAGTCCGCCCGTACATATCCACCTTTTGCGAGCTCAAGCCAGGTTCTTCGGGTGCCTAGAACACGACTCAGTCCTGCAGCAGGACTTGTGCAGGGAAGGCCAAGGTCAGCGCCAGGCAACCAAAGTTCGGTGAGAGACCTGCTCGCAACAGGAACGTCTGTGGCCAGGGCGAGTTGTGCCCCAGCGCCACTCGCAATACCGTGGATCTTGCCCATGACCAGTATGGCGCTGCGCCGAATCAGACTCATGACTTCAGCACAGAGGGCGAAGATCTCCCTGACTTCCTCCGGGGAGCCATTCTTGATTTCCGTCAGGTGATGGCCAGAACTGAAAACCTTGAAGCCAGGTGAAGCGAGCACAAGCAATTTTGGCAATCCTTTACGCTCTTCTTCCCAGACACGGCTGGAGACAAGCCATGCGTAATCATCTGCTTTGCCCTCTTTCGTAAGGAGCTCCTGAGAACGTTCCAGGTGTCCAAGAGTCTGGGGCTTAAAGGCGGGGAGAAACAACTGGCGGCCTGTTTGTGGGTTTGTGTTTGCTTCTATCAACTGGTCTTTGAGCCGCTGAAGCTCGTGCTTCGTCATAGCATTTCGTGTTCCGTAGTCTCCAAAGTGAAGGTAGCTCGCGCCGGAAGGCAAGGGTCGGTGCGTTATTCGAGGCAAGAGTGCGCGTGACCTCGCAACTCCTCGTTGAATCTTGTCCATGACCTGAGAGTTTATGATGCTGGATAATGTGGGGCCGTGAGTTGGTGAGATGTTGTCAAAATGCGTGGATTGAGAAGGGAATTTATCCTGCTATACATACAGGGGCGGAGGATGTTTGGCGGCTCGGCCTGCGGTTTCCCCTCACTCCAACCCCCGCTCTTGGTACCGCCTACGGACAAAGTAAAACACCAACCCCGCTACCCATAACCCGACCAAGACAACGGCGGGAACAGGCGCGAAGACAGCTCCCCGAACAACGACAAACCCGCTGACCAACGCAAACACGATTGGGATGGCAATAAGGGGTTTATATGGCCGAGCCAATTGCGGTTCCCTGTACCTGAGAACAATAGCCCCTACAACCGTCAGAAAGAAGAACGTGTACTCTCCCAACCCGTTGAAAGTCAGCAACGCCCTGAAGTTTCCAAGCAAAATGTATAGCGAGGAGAGAATTGTGGATACGATGATGGCGTTGACTGGGGCGTCCGACGTCGTTTCGCGCTCCTCCGGCTTAAACCCAATGCGCCCAACAATGCTGAGTGGCTTGGGCAACCAGCTCTGATTTGCTGCTGCGACCGCCATACGTCCGGCCACAAATGAGTTTCCTAGGAGAGAACCAGCAACCACTAGACAGATGAATACAGCCGCAAGGATGCCAAAGGCAGGACCAAGAAGTCGGGTTATTGCCGTCTGCAAACGTTAGCATGACTTCGACAACAGCAACTTGACAGGGTATCAACTTACCACAGCGACGCTATCCGTTCTTGAAATCACATTCCATGGCAGTAAGATGTAGTAAGCTGCGTTGGCTGTGATGAAGCAGAGGATGATGGTCGGTATGGAGGTGTTAATGGCCAGGGGTAGTTGGCGCGCCGGTGATGAAAGCTCGGCAGAGATGTAGATCGCCTTGTCCCAGCCAGAATATGCCCACAGAGCAGCGTAAAGAGCAGCGGAGAGATATCCAAAAAGCTCCCACTGGGTAACATCGGCCCAATGCGTCACGCTGCCGTCGGGGTTGACGCTGTCTCGATATCCAAACCAAGGTTGCTTGACCCAGTCACCGCCACCCACAGTTCGGTTCCGATCCACAAGCTGCAAAATGACAACAACAACGCCCGCAATAACAATCGCGGCGATGGTGACAAACTTTGTGACGACAAAGAAGTTATTGAGCCTTGTGCTGGCCTTGGTACTGATCGAATTGGCGACACTGATGACAGAAAGGACGACGATCGAAAGCAGTTTGTGAAGGAGGGTACCTCCTTGATCTGTGACTCCGGCAGCTGAGTAGATGCTTTCAATGAAAACGATGCTCAAGATGGCCAATGTTGCGGGCATCACTGCCACTACCCAGGTCCAAGCCGCAAGGAAACCAAACACGTCACCGAATATGTACTTGAGGTACGGCTGTACACCACCTGATCATACAGTCAGCATCTTTGCTCGACCTCTGTCATCCTGCCAACCTGAACTTACCTTCGCCAGGAATAGCAGTCCCCAACTCCGCCATAGTACTAGCTCCAGTCCATGCCAATACACCACCCACAAACCAAATCACGAGAGCCGCACCGGGGGAGGGGACATTGGTGTCAATAGAGCCAGGGGAGGTGAACACGCCACTTCCGATCACAATACTGATGACAATTGCAAAAGCCTCCAGAGTGCCGAGATTGCGTTTAAAAGTCCCAGTTGCTCCTCTTCCTTCCTCCCCTGAACCTGTGCGTTGCCGCGTGTCCGCCCCGGCGACTCCAGCATCCAACGCGCCACTTGTTGCAGCCAGCAGAGGCCGGCGTTCTGGTTCTTCTGATGCCATCTCGTTGTGGCCAACGACAACTTGTTACTGTGTATGGATCGGTGCTCTTGAATGTACTGAAAATGGACGATTGAGTCAAAAGCTGGGATGATGTAATGAGGAAGACGCGAATTCTGATGTTGACAAATGTGATGACTCGTTCAAAATGGCGGCTGTTTACTTGGGGCCCAGCAATCCCCGCTTTCCTGACCTTAGCACGTAATTTTGATTGGACCTGACGCCTCGGAATCTGGGGTGCGGGAGCTGCCGCCATGGCGTGAGCTTGGCATGACTTGGTTTCAGGCGGTTGTGAGCAAGCTGGAGATGTAGAGGTCCTACCTAGATAGATGATCATGAGGACTGAAAATATGTGAATCTCAACATCTTTGGTGGGCTCTATTTGAATAGGGAAGGGCATTCTTTTTATTGGGACGCTTTGCAGTAAGTATCTCCTATATATCAGCTCACAATGTTACACGCTGCATGCTTGTCAACAAGGATCATGAGTCCAAAGCAGGATGTCAGTGCTCCTGATAATTGAGCAAACAACATGAATGGAATGGTTCATCGGCAAAAAGACATGAGACACCATATCACCATTTGGATTAATGCTGTACTGTAAAATGGGTAAGAGACCTCATGCTGCATGTGATAATGATCTCTTTACCGCCTCACACTATCACTTGCCACAAGAATAGCAGTTGGGCTACTTCGATGAGTTACAATGTATGATTAAATTTCTGAGATCGAGTGCTTTGCTTAGGAAAACCACATAAGCAGCAGCTGGCAGTCTGTCTGACACTACATCGACCAAAGGAGGCTTGTAGATAGACTGACCAGCTTTGACAGTCACCTCGAGAATGTAAGAGCAGTTATATATCCAACATCCCAATTTTGCATGTTAAATCCGGGGTTCCAAAAGTCACTTGAGAGCTGTGAGATATAACATGCTAACTGCCTAGGATCTGTACCAAGACCATCGCTTCCATTACGGCTATTCTGTAGCTCTTACTCCAACCCAGAGGTCTCATTTTTACGGGGACTCTTGCCCTCCGTGTTGGTTCTGTCTCGGCACACTGCTCCTTATTCCTTGCTCTTTGCTTGACCAGCTGGCACCACTTCTACATCGGGGTTGCGCGTCTTCCTTCTTTCCTTCTTTTCCATCCTTCCTTCCTTACCTACCTCTAAGACCTAAAACTTATTACTGTTTTTCCTAGATTTATCAGCTGCCTTTCTTCCCAGTCATCTTCGTCTCAGCCAAGGCTTGCTGGTTCTGTTTTGCTCACTCTTCTCTTGACAATCACTGAGCTTTGCGGAATCAATATTATAGACTTCATTCGATTTCAATCTGAGATTGACTTCCTCGACCGACACTGTCCACTGTATGTTGTTCCCCATTCCTGTTTTGCTATTAATTGTCCATTTTCCCCGTCCCAATCTTGCGTCACCCGCTAACCATTTGACTCCAATCATACTTAGCCAAGCGACCCAGCCAATCCCTCAAACAAGCGATGTGTCTCCTGTCCCGAGTCCGCCACATCTGTGGCCACATCTCTCTTGACCCCAACAACGACGACGGATACTCCTGGACAGTATTCCGAGCCTGCAAGTACGCCGACGAGCTTGATGACACACTATTTTGTGCCTATGGAGAAGGAATGGTCTCGCAGACCCACACAAAGTTCGTCGACCGAGACGATTTTTGCCCTTTTTGCGCTCAGGAAGGGGGCGTGAAGGAGAAAGAAGACCCGGGTAATCTGGCCGACGATGAGAACTCGCAGCCGCGCGAGTAGAGTGGTCCCAGAGGTAGAGGAGGAATACAGCGTCGGTAAGTCAAGCTGAGATGGGGACAGTGCTGAGTAAATGCTAAATGGATTCTTCCTTCAGGGGGGTGAGGAACCCAGAAACTGAGAGGATATTCACAGTCTGGCGTATCCGGTTCGAAAAAGCCAACCCCTTTAGGCCGTCTTGGTAGATTTCTGCTGGGCAGGAGGAGATTGTGACTCCGGTCACTTGCCCCACGAGAACTTGCTCTTCCTGCCATCAGGAGAGTAGACAAATTTTCACCATTGGCTGGTTCTGCCTCCAATCAGGCTGCAACAGGTACTATCGGATGTTGCCCGGCCAACTTGTCGGCCTCGATGCCCTGACCTAGAGCGGATGAAGGGTACCCACCCCATGAGGATTGGAAAGACGAGAACAGCAAGAAAGGTTTACATCGTGTGCCGTTGATAAGGGATATCTTGGGAGCAGCCTGGTAGTTATCATTTCAGGAAGGGCTGGGCTTATAGAATCATATTCACATAGACTAGAAATAACTCGAGTCTTGCAACGAAACTATCCTCGCCAGCACTGTTTCTCTATGATAGCTGTTACTAAGAGCGCGAGTTTTTCCATCTCGTCAAAGCTCGAGTGGATTCAATATCATCTGAAGCTGCTCGTGCTTACCGGTGTCGTTGCAAACACTTCTTTAACACACAGCCACCACACATGCTCGACCGCCTCATCTCATCATCTGAGTTCCTGACGTGATCCAGGCACCCGATGTGCTGTCAAGCATCTCCAACCGCACCTCGGGCACACCCTCATCCTGAAACAGAATTTCTCCCCTCTGACCCAGCCATTAATTGTCAATAGTGTACGTGTTCCCACTTTGTCCTCTCGCTTTGTCCAGCAACTCAAGCGAAAAGTAAGATAAACACCAAGGTCTCCCTTCTTGTCACCCTGGCCATCAAGGTCGAGCTCATTGTCGCGTGCCAGCCATGACACACAGAAGTCTTGGTCTCCCAGGCTGGCCACCCACCATCAATAGTTCATCGCAAATTCGCAGCTCCTTCCCATAAACATCCTCCCACACATCGATACCCCCAAAAGCGTCAGCTTCTCCCTCTGTATAACCTCAGCCATCAAGGTCGGAGATAGTGGCAACTACTTAATAGTAAAGCTTCCCTTAACTAGCCGACTGCCTACTATCATCAATAATCCACTGCAACTTCACGACGCCTCCTCATTAAATAGCCTCTACCTGTACCTGTAACCGTGTCAGATCCTCCCATAGCCTGAGCTATCAAGATCCAAGAAACTGCCTCGTCCATGGTGTGCAGAAACCTTTCTCTGCCGGCGGTCGCAACCATCGCAACTTTACAGCCTCTCCCACGAAACATTCTCTTGTAGAGCGAGATTTGCAACATGTCAGAAGCCCCCTTTCCGCCTCGCCCCGTCCACAAAGGTCATAGACACCGCCATGGCCATGGGAGCCCGGATTTTGTCCCCCTCACGAACCACACCCGCGATCAACAGTCCATCCCAACTCCAACAGCGCTCCCACGAAACGCCCTCCTACACAGTCTCAGACCCGCCCCCCCCCCCCACTCCTTGCCCCAGTCATCAAGGCAGCAAGCATCAGTTCAGTCATCAAGGTACCAAAACCATGGACTACATAAACACCCTCTGGCCTCCCCCTTTCTGGCCCCCAGGCTCGTTGTTCTCCAGTCTGCTTGACTTCCAGTCCACTCCACAATCATCAAACGCAACAACCAAACCAACCAGCCGCACCAATCTTCAACCTCCCAACCTTCGATCAACCTAACCCCGTGCCACCGTCAGCAACACTTTATATACACCTAATCACCATCATGTGCGTCAAGGCCATGGCCGTACACACCCACCCCGGCAAGGGTGTTGGTCACGTCAAAGACATAAACAATTTCAACAGACATGTCTGGGTCATTAAAGACCAATGTGAAAAAGGCCCTTGCCAGGACGCCGATTGTACATTCGACACAGTCTCGAAACAGGAGGTTGTTGGGCAGAGAACATGTGTGTTTTGTTATCTAGTGGAGCAGTAAGGGGTGGCGGAGACAGGAGAAGGTTGACAGACTGGAGGGAGAGGTGTCCTGAACTGGGGATGGGTAACATCAAGGCTGGACCTTGATGGATGTGTGTTATTTGCTGTGGTTTTATGTTTTGCTTCTTGTTGGTAGGCAGGGATCGGAATCCATGCTCAACATGCCTCCGGGGCAAATCGAACGGTGATTAATGGGCCTCTAGGAGGATGGTGTGGGGCTTGGATTGGATCATGGCAGGATAGTTTTGCAATTTCACCTTTGACAATAATGCAAGTAACATGGGCGAGTCAACAAGAACCAGGTGGTTGAATATGGTCTCCATTGTCACGAATTGCCATGTCCTGTCTGACCAAGTGCCAAACATGCCGATATTCACAGGTTCAGCGAGCCGCCGGTTGGATTGACAGCATGTATAGGGTATCCATGCCTTGACGTCTAAATACACTGCATCACATCATCGCTCAAGAAAGCAGAACACAGCACTGGTGCTAATAAAGCTTCTGAATTATTGAGCATCTGTCTAGCCACTCCCACTTGCCACATCGTTATAATGTTTCAACCTGCCACCGTCTCCATCGCCCATGGTCCACCGTTTCCTCAAGCCCTTCTGCTCTTGAACACAGCCTTGCTGTCATCTGTGAAAGTCTCGTGCAGACCAAAGAGTTCCTTGCCACGTACGAGTTGCATAGACTGGCGTTCCCCTGATGTCACACGGGCAAGATTCTCGGGCATGGAACTCTGCTCTAAAAACACAAGTCCGCGGCATGTTCCGGTATGACGCTCCTGCTTTCCACAATGACCTGAATTTGACTCACGGGGTTGAGATGCTGCATCCGGTTGCTATTGTTATTGCTGTTGCTGCGGGCCGGAAAGGCAATGTGATCTGCAACAGAAGGGCGCCATGTAGTGATGGAGCCATAGGTGGACAGGCCTGGGACTGTTCTCCAGAAGGCGAGAAGAGCACCATTCTCAACTGGAAAATACTGGGTTGGGTGTCTGAGGCAGCGGGATGTCCAGCCGTGATGGGATGGTGTCCAGATTTCCACCTGGGAAGCATGACATCGCGCGCGAGCGGGAGGAAGTATTGATCATGGTCTATGTCGCGGAAGACGACGCGAGCTCTTGGCTGTAGTTGAAGTGGTGGTGGAAGTGGACGCCTGAATGCCAGCAACGTTAGCACGCCGCCATTATTGGGGAATGGAGGGGAATCCTACCAACATGCTCGGCATTTTCACAGCTCCGCTTCATTTTGGACTGGTTGTCCTGACCCAATCCAGCCGCTTCAAACACTGTGCTGTCAGCAAAGTCTTCGCTGAAGACTCGAGCTTGGTAGGCAGGTCGGGAACACCAGGAAAATCCAAGAACCAAGAAAGGGAGGAGAATGTTGGAAACATACGTACCATTGACCGTGCCGACGATGTCGAACTCACCGCCCGGCCCGACTGCTCATACTGAGCAGTCGTGGCCAGGCGGTGAGTCGATTCTCTCGGGCTCCCCCGTCAGTTGCTTGTTCTCCTGGCCACGCGAGGCGAGCAAGAGCTGTGGTTATGAGTGGGAGAAGAAAGAGAGTGGAAGGATCTGAGAGTGAAGAGAGAGAGAGCAGATAAAAAGGAAATTCTCAGGGAACTCTGGTGGATAGACTACGTCACATGTGGACGAGCTAGAGCCAACCAGACCAGACATGATCCCCACTGCTGCTTCAAACAACTGAAAGCAGTTGCCAACCAGGCACGCCTGTGACCTCTGGCTAGGGACGGGCTAGCTTGCCTACAGTCTGGTAGGACTGTGAGCACCTGCCGTTCAAATTCAGTGTATCTTTGACACCAGAACTCCGATGATACCCCGTCATCAGGTACGTTCCATGATCGTCTGATTGCGCAATCTCCCACTCCAAGGCAGCTGAGGCGGTCACCCAGAGGGAAGGTAGGCACGAGGCAGTAGCCCCGGCCTGAAACAAAGAGTCACTGTATTTGTGTCTCTACCTGAGCAAGAGAATGTGTTGGCCATCCAGGTGAGCTGACTTCTTCTCCGCGGGCACTCCTTCCAATCATTGAGGTCCCAGGTTTGTCCCCCTGATTCTAGTCTCTCACCAATTGTTTCCCCAATCACAATCAACTCCTCCCCCTTCCCGCTCAACAAACAGCTCGAACCAGAACCGCCAGGCAGCAATATGCTCATACGTCCGAAGCCGCTACTGGTGCGGCTGCCACAAGCTTGAGTTCGGGAAGCGGTGGCGGTCCATGGACTGAGTGGTTTGAGAGTAGGTATGAACACTGGCGATTGCCCCGGACGGAAATACCTTGGGTGACGAGGAAGACTCGCATCTGGAAAGATACTGCAGTGTCGAGGAGTGGCTTGGCTAACCGAAAGCGAGCGGGATGACGCAAGCAAAAAAACAAGAGGAAAGCAGAAGGCCACGCTCGTGGAGGCGGAGATGAGGAGGCAGACAGACAAATCAGAAGAGCAAGATCAAGCTGAAGGAAGGCATGTACTTATACGATGATTAGATGTAATAATAGGAAGGATGTTTGCTTGAGGGCCAATGTGCTTTGTTTATTCCGTTGGTTTCCCATGCTATCTTATGTTCCAAAGAGCCAACTGTAATGGCATGAACGCTACATTTGTACGCCGCAGAGAAGATCTACCTGGTAGTCAAGGCACAGCCGGATCACCAGTGTACAGGGCGGGCTGTGTCACTTTGATTGTTCAAGATGTTGTGCGAATGAGATTGATTGTGTCAAAGCCCAATGACTGTTTTTAGTAAAATACTTGTACAGGTCACTCCATTTCTCGACCCCGTCCCTCAATCTTCCTCCTCAAACCATCCCCATTCCCCTCCTCAAGCCATCCTCTCCCCACCCAACCTTTGCCACTCAAGGCACCCAAACCTCTCCTCCGATGATTGCGTAGCTTCGTTGAGACTACTTCGCACTGAACAAGTGCTTCGGCGGCGGCGTCCTGGAACTGGCGCTGGAGGTCGGGTAGCCGCCCGGACTAGTCGAAGGATTTGGAACTGTCTTTATCTTGTTGAAGAAGCGGGAAGCCCAGACGGAACTGTTGAACAGCAATGTTAGGAGATGACAAACATCAAGGCGGAAATGCCATGGGCACAGAGAGTAGGGAAGTGACTCAATGAGGCAGCCAACCTACCATTTGAGTTTGATTGTCCGCGACGGGGGATGATAACGTCGCTGGGTGATTGAGCCGCGCTGGGGCAATACCTGATTGTGACCGGGGGTGGTCTATGAATAGGTGATAGAAATACTGAGAGACTGGACGGGGGGCTAAGAAAAAATCAGTCAGGGATCGAAGTTGGGTAAAAGGTAGAAAAGAATGAGCCAGATCAGAAGAATGTTACTGAAAGTAAAAGGCGAGGCAGCCAGGTCGATAAGTGATTGGAAATCACCGAAAGATGGAGTGATTGTGTTGTTATTAGATGTCATGATGGTTGATGTTGTGCGGAGAAGAGGAAGAATTTCCGCAGAACTTACCTTAGTAAAAGAGTCTCAACAGGAGAGGAGAGACAGGAAAAGAGACACCCGACAGGGCAAGGGCGGAGAAGTAGGACCGGGAACGCAGTCCTGTACCTAGTACAATACGAAAGCTTATTTCCTTCCCTTCCTTCTCTGTTGATCTCGTACTTACCTCAAGCAGACAGCAAGGTGTGGTGATGGACAAGTTCACACAGCATTGCCAGGCGAAGCGATGGCAGTCGGTCCCAGACACTTGTTGACTCTACCCCAATACAAGATTGCTGGCATGGTCGAACCCATCGAAGCAAAGGCAAGGCTTTCTTCGGAGGAAGTCGCCTGTGATACTGTTAATCAAATGAAGCAAACCTGCCAAAGATAGTCTCCACCCATCACCAGCTTGGATGGCACGTTCCCGTTTGTTCTTTTATTAAATTCATGTGATATATTCAGAGTCGTTCTTTTCCGTTTACCTTATCAAACTTGCTTGCAGCTGCCCAACTCATGATGACAGAGTTGCTGGAATCGAGGTTCCGTTGCAAATCAGCCGGAGTGCAATCCACGTGAATCTATCTGGCACAGAGTGGGATTGTCACAAAGAGATGAGGACATGAATGATTGTATACTTGTTCAGATCCTCCTGCTGAATGAGAATCCATCTGTTTATTTTAATGTGATATCTTGTCATGATGTAATGTTGCTATCTTGCTACGTCGGACTCGTCAAAATTGACCACCGACACTCACACGAAAACAACTTACCGGAAAAAGAATAATGCCTGCACAGGCAAGAACAGGTTTGGTATGAAATTTCCCACCAAACTGCCGACTCGCAATGCATTCGATTTTCCCTCGCCAGTTGACGTGATCTCCCATGGTGCAGAGAGCCTCTCCTCACCAGATCACATAGTGACCAAAGGGAAGGAGAGTCGCAAAAATTGTCTGCATCCTTTCTGAATCTTCAGTTGTGAGAATACCAAGTGACCCAAAGTATTCAACTGAGATAAACCCTAGAATGCATTTTTTAATTCAACTTGCCGCCAGCTCAGGTGACAGCTTATGGACTGAAGCAGCACCCCCGAAAGAGCCACAAGGGTTACTGTACTGAACAAAAGAAAGGAAAGGAGAGAGAGTTGTGGGAAGGTCTGGGAGATCATATACTCTTCCCAGGGCGGTCAGTGCACACTCGCAACTTTCTTCTACGCTCTCAAATCTCACTGGGGCTGCCGATTTCGTCAGGCATCCTGTCACCGGCGCCGGTCCCGGGTGGGTCCAGAACTCTGCGGAAGCATGTCAGTCACTGCTGTCAGCAGGTCACTAGGCAACGACAAGGTTGGAAATGCAATGGTAAGGAGCTCATGGCTACCTAAATATTGGACTTGATGTTGGTTTTTATGGCTATATTCTCTGAATAGAGGCAGGTAGCAACACTTCATGTTGACAGACAGGTCTAACAACTAGTCTCCTGGTCCTCTCCATCCTCTTTGTCTTCTTCATCCTCCATGCTCACTCACGGATCGCCCACGTAAGCCTTTGGATATTTTCAGGCGTAGTTCTACAACAGCCACCGATCAAGAATGAACTCCATCCCCCAGTATCATAAGCCTCCTTGACCACCATAGCAAGCTGACGTTCCCATGATACATCCTCCGGTGTCTTCTTGGAACCCTCCCCCGATATCTCCCACTCCTTTGTCGCAGTATTGTACCGCTCTCCCACCTTCGTGCCATCAGGATACAATACCAAACCAGGCCATTTTTCCACGGCCCCCGTCGCGACCAGCTTTTCCACAGCCTTGGTAAACTGTCGAACTAGACCCTCGAGCTTGGAAACTTGAGTACAGTTGATCCCAACAAACTGTGGCGTCTTACTTCCAAACTCTTTGCTAATCATAGCGGCTACCGCGTCTTCTACACTAGTGCCATCCGGCATTTTGTCGTCATCGCTAGGGAACAGAACACTGATCCAGACAGGAATGTCATGGTAAAACTCGCGCGGGCCTAGCTTTACCCCCCCGCTGATGTCCGCGTTCAAAAAGCGCCTGATTGCTAGTATCTCGTCCAATCGAGGGATGGTCTCGAACGCAATGTAGGACACATCGAACAGCAGGTTGGGGACTTGAACATAGAGGTTGTACCGCTCGCTGTGCCAATGAAAGAGTTTATCGACGATGTCTTGGGAAGGCTCGATGTCGTAGTGGCCGGTGTACTCAGTTGAAGGTATCATCGTAGCCCCATACGGTCCAAGACTGAGAGCGACTCGGCCACCAACCTTGCCGGCGGCCCTCCTGGCGATGGAGACAGCATCTTTGAGGAAGTGGCCTATGTTGGGGAGGGGCACACCGTTCGGCCTACATGTAGTGGATTAGTTGGCTAGAGTGTTCACTTAGAGCGGACTAGGAAGAGCGACAAACTGACCAGTTCTCTGTCTTTGTATTCTTGAACCCATTGATCGACGCCTGGTATGTCGCGGTTGTGATGACATCTGCACCAGCTTTGGCAAACGACATCTGGCAGTCCGCCAGGGTTTGCAAGTCTGTCAAGAGAAGGTGGGAGGACCAGAGTGGCGTCGACTCGGAGAACTTGACACCATGGATAGTTTCGAGGGTGGTTCCAAGACCACCGTCAAGGAATTTGATGGTTCTAGGCTTACGGCCCTCCATTATTGGCGTCTGGAAACGAATCGACATAATTCGATTCGATGATTCTCGTGAGCGCACGAGTATTTGGAATTGTTCTCCGGGATCAGAAGGCAGACGAGATCAAGCTCAATTCGGGCTACACCATCCAATGAGCGCAGCATTCGCTCAAGCTTGCAGGATTGGTCATACCGTACAGCTCAGCGTACAGTGTGGACTTTAGAATGCACAGTGCCCTTCAGGGGTCTGATTCTGCTCTTCTAGACTTGCAACGGAATCCGGAATAATACACAGGGCAACAAACTATGCTAACAGAGAGAATAAATCTTGATGGAGATGCCTCTCCCATTCACATAGCCCGTTATATACCGAAGCTTCTCACTGTTGGAATGCATCAATCTTTAGTGCCCATGCTCAGCAGTATCCTTTCATCAATGAAACATGGCTCCCGAGGTCGGAGAATGTGGATGGGAGGAGCACCTACTTGCTCCTACCATCTAAGAGCCCACAGCATCAGATGACGGCCTGACCTTTTGTCTGCCTAAAGTGCAGGTGGTCCCAAGTGAAACAATGTAGGACAAGTGGCAGAAAGCGGGGAAACTTTTCCCAGAAAACCTTTCCCGATCTTCCCAAACTCTTTCATCACAAACCACAAACCTCAAACCCAACTCCAAGAAGCTAGAGTCTTCGGACCAAGAGTGGCAATCTCAGATTTGATCGAGGTATGTATTATGGCCTTTGCAAACGCACAAAGCCTTTACCTTTGTCCGCAGCCTAACATTTTGTCAAAACAGATGTCCAGTTGCCTGGTACACTCTTTCGACGTTTCTCTCCCCACCATGTCTACAAGATTCTTCCCGTTATCTTCCCTTCATCTATCTCCGCCTCTGTCACTCTTCCCTTGATGGAGATGCCACTGGTGGTTCACCGCCACACAACATTGACGACCCCGATGCCCTGGCAGGATTTCGAGCCCATTGGTTTCCACCCCGACGGTCTTCCACGGGGTGTGACAAGCAGTCTGGGAAGCCATTCGCCAACGGGGACATATCCGGAGGTTCTTTCGCTTGGTGGCAGCAGCGGTAATGGCTGGACAATCAGACATCTTCACACCTTCCATCACCTCCCGTGCACGCATTCGAGGGAGAGAGAGGGTCTCATCACAATGTCCACATCAACTTGTGCCGCCCATCGCCAAAGATCGTACCAGAGTCTTTTTGCGACTCATCCATCTTCATCCCGCCTTGTCACGGAAAATCAGTCTCGCTGCGTTCCCACACCTCCCATCATCTCCTCTCGTGCAATGGCAGGTCTATAGATGTTTCTGTTTGGACCAAACCGTGTCCGGAATATGCGAAAGGATTAAGAGAAAACCACCCGGGGGCACACGGCGGTTGGGGAAGCCGGTCAGGGCGGACCTGAGGAGACAGGCAAGACAGCTCAGTTGAAGACCCGTGCCACCAAGCCATCGGCTGCTTCCTCGAAACCCGCCAACGATAGCTCCGATGACGAGGTTGACAACAGGGAGTTCGCGATCAAGGAGACTGGCTTAGCATTGAAAAACAGAAGTAGATTCTAAATTGACGTGCTCGACCAAACAATCAAGGAGACTGGTCTGGAATAGGAAAGCAGAATGAGATTTCACTTCCCTTCCCACGAACATTGTCCCATCTGGTTTGGTGCAACTTCACAAATGTCGTGTCAATTTTCTACCATTAATATTCAGAGGTTCAACGCCGCTTACCTATGTCATCTAGGAAGGAGTTCAAAAGACTTCAACACGTGGTGAAGTTCAATGTTGACATCTAAGAATGCCCACCCTTGCCCATCATCTCCAAACTCTTGTGATAGTCACTAGTCCCATTGTTAGGATCCTGGTCCTTTGCCTTGCACTTGCTGTAGGTCTTGCCATTCCCATGAGCACCATCAATCCTCATAAAAGACTGTCCCTTCGCCTGCAACATCGCCTTTGCCGCGTCGTCATACCAGCCGTTTATAAAGTCGCCATGGAAGCAATAACCAACACCAATCTGTCCACGAAGTTGTCAGTGTAATGTCTCTTGCATTTCAAACAAAAAATCAAACGCAACAAAACAAGTAACAAACCTCCCCACAAGCCAACTTGATAGGCGGCACTCCCTTCCACCCCTGAGGAATAGCCCCGCGGGTATTATACCTGATCGAAAACCGCAAGCTAGGCATCCTCTTCATCCCAACCGGGCACTTGTTCCCTTGGGCGGCGGCGTACGTGTACTCGGAGATCTTGTCGGGGTTGACGCAGTCCGGGAACCGGAGGATGGCCTGTAGGTGGGCCGAGCAAGTCGACAGCGGGAGGGCTGCGCGGTCACGCCGGTTGCGATCTTCGGGGCCGTTGCCGTCGCACCACCAGGTGATCATGTTGAGGTTTTCCTGGACGTCGGTTTGGGATTTGGCAGAGGCGTTGCCTGCCACCATTACGAGGTCGCGGGGGAAGGGGATCTCGGCGCGGTCGATGTTTTCGTAGTAGGTTTTGAAGGTGGCGGGGTAGATTTCCGTGTGGGTGTTTCCGTTGACGTAGTAGAGGGTTGGTGCCCCTGGGTGGGTTGGTTCTTAGTGTTTTTTCAAAGGAGGGGTTTTCAAACGTCTTTGCGGTGTTTTTTTCTGGTCTTTGTTGGATGGGGGGAGCAGATGGCATACAGTAGACAGAAAGATCGTTTGGGTTCTCTCCGGAGGACATCCTTTTTGTAGTTCTGCTGTTGTAGGGAGGTCTTTGGTCAGGGCGTCTGAGCCGTAGAAGGAGTGCATGTGGGAGACGTATTGGCCGGGGTAGACAATCGGATCGATGTTCTTGCGCATGAAGGGCTTATGCTCAACCACGGTCAGGCCTGATGCAAGGCCAGCCAGGAATAGAGCTTCAAGCGACCACATTGTATCAACTTGCTGGGAGTCTCCGTATGACGGTGTTTGATATCGAAGTTGTTGGAAGGGAACTCCGGCTTGCTTCTTGACGAGGATCTCAGAGCAGGCGAGTGCTGGACGTATTTGTATGCTTCTTCCCTCATTTCCCCTGATATATCGGCACTTGGACATTGCATGGCGAGTTTATAGTGGTAGGGTTCATGGCTGGGCGCGGCTAATCTGATGTTAATACCAGGACAATGTCTGATTGCATGGCTCATCTGGGGAACCGCTGTCACAAGGTTGACATGGATGAAGACTTACTTCCATTGGCGGAAGAGTTCCTAGTTGACATCCGTATCCAAAATGCTTGATTTGACCGCGGCGGTCGTTGCTGGCAATCTTGATCTGAAGGTTATGGCAAGAAGAGCCATCAGGGGTATCACTATTTCGGGAATAGTAGGTATGTGTGGGGGTTGCATTCTGCCGATATCTTTGCTTTCTATGGTTTTTTCTTGCAAAGTAGAGACAGGAACAGAACTCGTGATATCAGGGAAATCGAAGTCCTCCGTGGGGCTTGGAAATAATTATGCCATACCTATGGTGCTCTTCAGCAGTCATGGTGCCTGAAAATGAACAAGGGCGCCCCGGCAAGGCGAGAACACACTGAACCCACCTCTCCGCACACAGATACCCGGGAGTGGGGGGAAATTGTCCGAGAGCGGCTGTCCGGTCTTGGCCTGCCGTCGTGAACCTTCCTTCTAACCACCGTCCGGGCTTATCTGATGATCTGATAATCCGGTTTCAGTCCTTCAGCATCCAACGTGTCACTGCTAGCATCTTTATCGTTGTCTTTTTGCTTGACAAAGCGCATTATACCACTTGATCGCCCTGAAAGCAAACCCCAGGCCCAAAAACCGCGCACCATGGCAGACACCTCTCTCCAGAAGACTCTCCGGATAGGTGTTGATGTTGGAGGCACCAATACTGACGGCGTGATCCTCGATCCCTCGCGAGCCAACGACCCCCAGACTAGAGGCATCCTGGCATGGCATAAAGCAGCCACCACGCCCGATCCAAGCGATGGAATCAGCAAAGCTGTCACCACCCTGTTTACCTCGGCCAACATCTCTCCCGAGCAAGTGGCAACTGTCACCATCGGCACAACACACTTCGTCAATGCCATCGTCGAGAGAGACGAGGCCCGTCTCAGCAAGGTGGCTGTCATTCGACTGTCAGGCCCCTTCTCAAAGCATGCCCCCCCTTGTGTAGACTGGCCCGACGATCTGAGAGAGATTATTCTGGGTTACTATGCCCTCGTCAAGGGAGGACTGGAGGTGGATGGCGAACTGATCAGTGATATCAACGAGAACGAGATTCTGGAACATTGCGAAGAAATCAAGAAAAGGGGCATCACCAGCGTTGTCGTCAACGGTGTTTTCAGTCCCATCGACACCGTGGAAAGACAAGAAGAGAGAGCTGCCGACATCATCCGAAGGCGAATCCCTGGTTGCGATGTTGTCTGCTCGAAAGAGGTGGCCAATCTTGGTTTCCTTGAGAGAGAAAATGCTGCTTTGCTCAACGCTTCGATCCTCCGCTTTGCAAGGAAAACGATCAAGTCGTTCCAGAAACCAGTCAGACAACTAGGCATCAAGTGTCCTGTCTTCATTACCCAGAACGACGGGACGGTTTTGTCAGGCGAGGTGGCTTCCCGGTTCCCCATCAAGACTTTTAGCAGCGGGCCTACGAACAGCATGCGAGGGGCGGCCTTCCTTGTTCAAGGAGAGAACAACGCAACCGCCGATGGACAAGGAGAAGGGATGATGGTGGTGGACATCGGTGGCACTACGACGGATGTTGGACTGCTGTTGCCGAACGGCTTCCCAAGACAACAGGCGGCCTATAGTGATTTTTCTGGTGTTAGGATGGTCAGTGTCCTTTCCACTTCCCCAAGATGCACAGTGCTGACAATAATGACAGAACTTCTCCTGTCCCGACGTCAAAAGCATCGGACTCGGTGGCGGCTCCATCGTTAGAAAAGGCGACACCTTCTCGATCGGCCCACACAGTGTCGGCTACAAGTTAACCAGCGAGTCTATTGTCTTTGGAGGAAAGACTCTCACAGCAACCGACTGTGCAGTTGCGGTCAATCCTGCTCTTGGCATCGGAACCCCTGAGCTGGTTCAGGGGGCACTTACACAGGACGAAGCCTCCGTCTACGAGACCCTTGTAAAGAAGAAGCTCGAAAAGATCATCGACACAATGAAGACCTCCCCTGCGGATACTGCTGTGGTTCTCGTTGGAGGCGGTGCCATCATTGCCCCGAATCAGCTCCGTGGTGCCAGCAAGGTGCTCAAGCCGGAATGGTCCCAAGTTGCCAATGCTATCGGCGCAGCCATTGCCCGTATTAGTGCCGTCGTAGACACCATCAGGTCCACCGAAACCCAGACAGTCAAGCAATTGTTGGCAGAGATATCAGACGAGGCAAAGGCAAAGGTCATTGCCGCTGGCGCAACGGCTGAGTCGGTCAAGATTGTCGAGGTGGAGGAACTACCACTACAAGTAAGTTTTATGTTTAGATACCAACCTAGACATTGCACAGGTCTACTAGAAAGGGAGCTAATAGCAGTGCCAGTATGTAGCAAACAAGACCCGCTTCGTCGTCCGAGCTGCCGGCGATTTCGACCTGTCGCACACTGACACAATCGCCGAGCTATCGTCGGAGCAAGCATCTGAACAACAGGAGACCGAGTCAGAGCAACCATCTCAACAAGCCGCAACTGGTGGACAAAACAAGAAGCAAGTGGGTAAAGAGGCGCACCAAGTGGACATCTCAACCTACAAGCCAGACGTCCGCAACCGCGTCTGGCATGTTAACGAGACCGACTTGAGCTGGATCTCTACTGGCTGTTACATCCTCGGTACCGGTGGTGGTGGATCTCCTTATCCACATATGATCCTACTTCGACAGCTGCTCCGAGCCGGGGCAACAGTGCGTGTCGTCAGCCCTGAGGATGTAGAAGATGACGCAGCTGTTGGTTGTGGAGGTGGCGCAGGAAGTCCAACTGTCAGTATCGAAAAGCTCCAAGGGGACGAGATGATGGAAGCTCAGAACGAGCTGTACAAGATCTGTGACGACCAGGCCACACACATGATTGCTCTTGAAATAGGGGGAGGGAATGGCCTTCAGGGTTTGACGCTGGGAGCAAGCAGCAATATGGATCTTCCTTGCGTGGACGGTGACTGGATGGGACGGGCCTACCCTACCAAGTGGCAGACTACGCCGGTGGTGTTTAACGAACGACAGCCTATCTGGTCTCCGATCTGTATTGCTGATGGCAACGGCAATGTCGTCGTTATGCCCAAGGCCTCTTCGGATCGTCAAGTGGAGAGGATTATGAGAGCTGCTCTCAGTAATATGGGCTCTCAAGTCGCTGCAGCGGAGCCCCCTGTCACTGGTGCCGAGATGAAGAGATGGGTGGTGGAGAACACGATCTCGCAGGCATGGAGGATTGGAAGGGCTGTTGCAAGGGCCAGACAAGAAAATCGTCTTGAGACTATGGCAGAGAGCATCATTGACGAGTGCGGGGGTTCTGCGAGCGGCAAGGTCTTGTTCAAGGGCAAGATTGTTGGTGTGCAACGCACCCTGAGAATGGGTCATGTCTATGGAGAGTGCATCATTGAGGGAACTGATGTGTCTGGGTCGGACTATCCCACGACTGGGAAAGGAAGAGAGCAGCAATTCACTGGCCGTATCAAAATTCCATTCAAGAACGAAAACATTGCCGCTGTCAAGATTCACGATGGTCAAGAGGAGGGTGTTCTAGAGAAACGGGAAGATGTCCTGGCTATTGTCCCAGACTTGATTTGTGTTATTGATGCACAGAATGGGGAGGCTATCGGCACACCCGAGTACAGATATGGACTGCTGGTCATGGTGATTGCCCTCGCGGCATCGGACAAGTGGACGGATTCAGAGAGAGGCATAGAGCTTGGAGGTCCCAAGGCTTTTGGATTTGGGCATCTTGAATACAAACCAGTGGGCACGTTCGTCAAGCCTGTCAGTGTTATTGACGAGTTTAACGCATCCGGTTGAGATGGCAAGTGCTGGATATAAGAAAACTCTCTGTCAATCAAGGCCATCAGGATGTTGGGCAATGGGATAGTTTGTTGAGTTAAAGATATCATAAAACAGTAAGCTGTAGCGCGGTTGAGAGCACATGCTCTGCCGATTTATTGCTTTGGTTACTCGATCGCGGAGGTTTCATCTCGACCCGCTACTATTGACGATTTTGGAAGGGCTTTCCGATAGCTCACGTATGAAGATATCGCCACCTCTTCCATAAACATCTTCTGATTCTGCATTGAGTGATCCAGTGGGTGTCATTTTTGCTCGGCTTTGATGTTATCTCTTCGAGTCACACCCAGACAGTGCTCTGAACGTAAACAAGGTGAATGACCCTCAACGCCAGGGAGCACCAAGTCAGTAAGCGTTGCATACCATGATAGAATTCGTAGAAATTCTTCGATTCAACTAGCAGATCTCGATTCGAAGATGCGGGTGTCTTCTAAATAGCATCCGGTTGTGGGCCATGTGCTTAGCCCACCGTGTGATGGGTGTCGTGTCATGACGCCCAAGGTTGCAGCAAGGTGACTGTCAACAGAAGGTTCCCTCTTTGTGCATCTTGAGAGTCCTCGATCTAGCTGTCCCTCGCAAGCTGTCAGAGCCATACTTGGCATCGTTTGCTTCTCTGACCGCCTATCAACCCCGTGGGTTTCGCTGGTGGGAGCAGTGGAGGGTGACGCAAATTCAATTGTCCACACAGCATCGACCCAGCAAAACGCAGTGAACCGTGTGATCGTGCTTGCATGTAGACACAAACAAATGCACCTTGGCCTGCAGCTGCACGGCCTAATCTATCTTACCTGCCCTCGGAAGGATTCAGGAAAGTTTGTTGCTCTAGTGACTTTCTCAGGCCAGGAACCAGCTGTTCTCAACCATTCTCTTCTCCTTTCCACTTTCTGGAAGCAGTAACCATTTCATCCATCTGAGAAGAAGAAAAGGCTCGCCTTCCCTCACAAAGCTCGCGTTCACGCTCGCTACTACTACCATCGCCGTTCGAGCTTCCGGCCCCTGTTACCCTTGCACTACTCGTGCTCGGCCCTGAACCGGTAGCCGAAGTGCCCGACTTACCGATGCGTGAGTGTCTTCCGTGTTCTTAGCTTCTCTTTTTCTGAATTCTCTGCAAACCATCGTTTTCATTCTTCTTCCAGTTTACCCTTTTTACCTTTCTGCAGAGTCTGTCGTTGTGTTGTTGACGTAGATGTTCTGCCGTTGGGCAATGGGAACGTTGGCTTTATCTTTAACCCCTTCATCCTGATTTTTTTGGTTTAGCATTCATTCTTCCCTCTTGTTTGATATTCTTCTCCTATCATTACCTTTGCATCCCTATCATCAAGAACCAGCTGCTCACTTCGGTGGGCAACAACGCAAAGAAGCCCGTTCTCCGCCGAGGAAATGTTGTGCGAATGTAACAAGTTCCATTGCAGGATTGCTTGAAACAGTCCCAGTTGCAAGCCCGCTCCTTTCCAATCCCCTGGTCACAGTCTTCTGATGAAAACGGTCGGTCCGGATCCGTTGCCAAGGCGGAGGGACAACCATCAGTCGGGCCAAGAAGAGTTCGAGGAGCTCTCTCGGCGAATAAACACAGCACAGACACACAAACCACACAACCACACACAGATGTTGACAAGATTCTTCAAGATCGCATCCGAACTTGGGCGAGGGCAAAGGCCCATGGCCCTTCTCCCCTTACCGGGACACCCCCGAGGACCCATGCTGCCGAAGCTGGGAACGAACGACGAGAAGGACGCCGAGATCGCCCAGCAGAAGACACCTCAAGGAATGCCTTCACAAGCTTCTGGCTAACAATACGAGCTATCCTGTTCTCGAGCATCGTCAATGTACTACTCATCTTTGTCCCAGTTGGGTTTGCTGTCCGTATGTCGTCGCTGCCCCTGTTGGTTCCTTCAAAGTTGGTGATTCTGACAAAGCAATAGGTTTCGCGCATTTGCCTGCAGGCGTGGTTTTCGGTGTCAACGCTGTTGCAATTATTCCACTCGCCAGTTTGCTCAGCCATGCGACGGAGAGTGTAGCCAGCCGAATGGGCGATACCGTGGGGGCTTTGATGAATGTCACCTTTGGCAATGCTGTCGAGCTGATCATCTTCATGTTCGTCTTGGCTGTCTCATCTTGTCTTCGTGTGCTAACATCCCCGCAGAATCGCCCTCTGCAAGGATCAGATTCGAATCGTTCAAGCGTCGCTTGTGGGCTCGATATTGGCTAACGTCCTCCTGATCCTCGGCATGTGCTTCCTCCTCGGCGGTCTGCGGTTCCGGGAGCAAATCTACAACTCGACCGTCACGCAAACCAGTGCCTCGCTCTTGGCCTTGAGTGTGATGAGTCTGCTCATACCGACCGTTTTCCATGCCTCTTTCAGCAAGATCCTCACGGCAGACGACAAGGTCCTCAAGATCAGCAGGGGCACATCGGTGATCTTGCTGCTTGTTTATCTTCTCTACCTGGTGTTTCAGCTGAAGTCACATTCGTACCTGTACGAGTCGACACCACAGCATATCATTGAGATGGAGACCAGGCCTGGACCGGCAGCGCACTATTTCCACTCGTCGAGCTCGTTGGATGAAATGGACAGCGACCACAATACTTCGAGCGACGAAAATAGGGAAGACGAGGGGATCGGGCGTGGAAGACAACTAGAGGCACTTCAACTTCATGGCACGGGATCGGCAGAAGACACCCACCCTGACGCTGTCACTGACGGGCACGAGTCGGGTCAAGGAGCTCCTACCCACTCCCACAAGAAGTCAAAGAAGTCGAAACATCACCACAAGCGACACCATTCCAAAAAACATTGTGACTCTGGCGAGCAGACACAGCCATCGGTCCGCCGAGTGGCCTTTGAAGAGGGCCCCTCGCTGGAAGCACAACCTGTCCCATCCTCGCCACGACCTCTGTCGTTGAGCTTTCGCCAATTACCTCTCTTCACACCCCGTCAGTCAAGACTGAACATCAACAACCCCTCCAATCTCCCACCTGATTGCCCACGCCGCGCCCGTTCGCTCCCTCTGAACCGTGGCCCTCCCACTTCTTCCTCTATATTTGATCCCAGCTTCAGGTTTTCCACTGTCAATGCTGATCCCCAACCGTCAACTACCTCTGCCCCTACGACTTCTCCCGACGATGGTCGGTCCACCACCACCTCCAAACCTCCAATCTGGCCTCCCATCCTTGTCCTGCTCATTTCAACGGCGTTGATCTCCCTCCAAGCAGAGTTCATGGTTTCAGCCATCACACCACTTTTGGCATCCGATACGGGCTTGTCAGAGGCGTTTATCGGGCTGATCCTGCTCCCAATTGTCGGCAACGCAGCAGAGCACTTGACAGCTGTCACAGTCGCTCTCAAGAACAAGATGGATCTTGCTATTGGTGTTGCCGTTGGTTCGTCAATCCAGATTGCACTGTTTGTCACACCTCTCGTGGTAATACTAGGGTGGGCCATGGGCAAAGATATGAGTCTCTTCTTTACCTTGTTCGAAACGGTGTGCGTGGTTGTCTCGGCATTCATTGTCAGCTTCCTCGTGCTGGATGGAAGAAGTAATTATCTCGAGGGAGCTCTCTTGGTTGCGGGCTATGTCATGATTGCGGTAGCGGCGTTTTTCTATCCGGATGTTGCTGCGGCGAATTTGCTGGGGGGTGGGCAGGATGAATTGTTGAATGGGGGCCCGGTGAATGGGAGTGGGTGATACCTAGGGCAAAACTGGAGCAGGGACGGTGTCGAGCAGAGACGGCGGTGGGCGTCGAGTAGGAGCAGTCATACGGGAAGGAGCGGTGTCAGGGTTGGTGTTTTACTATATGCATTGAAGGCGTTTCTTGACAGCCAAGGTCAGGAGCTTGGAGGTTATTGCATTCTTTTCTTTTTGTGTTTCCTGGCCATCTAGCATGTAAGGAATAGAAGAGGTACCGATCATTCACTTTCTCTAACCATTCTTGTCGTCATGATTTTCGTTTTGGGTATCATCATTCGTCGTAACATCATCTCGTTGTCTCTTCCATTGTTTTCCCAGCTCAGTCATACTCCCGAATCGGACAGCAAGTCTCATTCAAGCAATCACAGCACACCCAGCAGCAACAACAACTAGCACAAAACCACGCCCAGCAACCAATCGGCTCTGGCTGTCTCCGCCTCCGCTTCTCCTGCACAACAACCACTCTTGTCGGAGAGGGCGACAGCGACCGCTCTGGTCCTTCAACGTCAATGACGTGCGCGGTTCTGCTTGTTCGGGTGGTGGACTGGTAGTATGCTCTTGGAGGGGGCCTTGTGCTGGTTGGTTGGTAATTATCAGCTTTGCCGAAGAGAGTGTCAGCAGAGAGGAAGAAGAAGATGCGTACTATTGCGGACGTGGCTCTGTTTCGTAGTAGTATCCGCCGCCCATTCTGTCCAATTCCTTGGTTCAATTGGTCCCGGTTCGAGGCCGTTTTGAAGGCCGTTTGGCGATAAGAACACTCAATTGATCGCCCTTGACTGACTGCTTGGTATCCTGACAGGGAACACGAAAAAGGTGGGGTGGGGTTGTTGGTCGATGTGTCAGTTCCAAAGACCGCACTCTTGACCTCGTTACCGAAGGGGGGAAGTGAATAATTGATCGGGGAAAAAACGAGATCCTTTCTAACACGAAGACCCGTGGTCAGGACGACGGACGGGCTGGCCGTGGGGTTTTATAAACTTGTTTCGATCGAGACAAGGAAGACCGGAGAGAGAGGGGACGACACCATGGCTAAGGCTGACGGGCAGACGCTGGCTTGCGGCGTGGGAGCGTGTTCTTTTTTGGTATACATACATACAAATGGGTAAAGCGGGAAGGAATTTGCGGCGCAGCAACACCAGGGAGGGGAACTGATTGGCGTGGTGGAAAGTGGGGGAGGATGCTGGCCAACTGAATTGAGGCCTGCTTGGTCGAGGCCGGCGAAACCAGTAGCTTTTGACTGTCAGCGCCGGCTGCTTGGTGATGGGGAGAGGAATGCTCTAGAGGGGCACAGGGGAAGATGGAGCGAGTAGAAGGACGGGAGTCATTGTCTTTGCATGATAGTGTATGTCATAATGTATGCGGGCGAGCAGATAACAACAATGGGCTGAGTTCCAAAAGGGGAGATATTTCTCGTGTTTCTCAGAGTCGCAACAGCTCTGGATCACTTGGTACTCGATTTGTCCCACACGAGATGGGGGCCCGTTGTGTGCTGCCTTCTAGAAGGCAAACAACCAGCAGTGGTAGGGGAACCATGGGCAGATCGAGTTGATCTCTGGCCTGGTCATGGAAGAGCAACAGCTTTGCACGGCCAGCAGATAGAAAATCCATCACTCGGGAGAGCAATGTGCCAAGCCCGGTCCGAACAGGGCGAGACGGGGCCGGGCCCGGGCCTGTGAAGCTCACCCGAAACAAGAGAGCGATCAACAGACCTGACCAGGTCAAGCACCATGAGAAAATCGTCTCAAGTATTCGCAACATGTTTTTCCAGGTCGCCGGTGTCGCCCTCGCACTCAACGGCTCCCGTTCCTTTTCTACCAGCTCTCCCTGAGCCCCAAGGAATCGAAACCCTTTCCTCCGACATCATCAAACAGTTCATGCCAGCAGACAACGCACCTGACTCTCCTCAACTTCCTCCTTAGTCTCCCTCCGCCGTCTTCCAGTTGGAAGAAAACCAGAGGTCAATCATCACCTAACCATCTCGCGACAATGGGTGTCCCCGTCGTTTTGGCAACGGTTGCTGCGTGCGGTAGTATCGTGACGTCGATCAAGTCGAGCTGGGAGCTCCGGCGCATGGTCAAGAGAAAGAAGGAGCAGCATGAAGCTGATGATGAGGCGCCCTATGTCTTTCGCAAGTTGCGCCAGGCGTACTATGATGGGCTTATGACGGTGCCCGAGTACGAGCAATGGTACGAGAAGTTCCTCGTGGCCAAGGTCGAAAAGGACTGTAAGTTTGTGCTCCATTCAAGTCTTCACTGAGAGCAAAAGGTATTAACCATTCGCAGTGGCCGGCCTTCGCCGTATCCGCGCGCATCTCCGCATCATTGAGAACGGAGCGCCCATCACAGGCAATCGTCGATCGCGGTCGGTCGAACCAAGCAGGCGTCGGCAGTCTGTGACATTTGCGCCGACTCCCCAGCATCCGGCCTATGTCGACTATCGACAGCCCAACCGTGGAAACATTGAGTACTATGCGGACCCACGCGCCAGGGTTGGTGCGCACCCTGATGAGTTTGTTCGACTGGAGCGGCAGTCGACGTACAGTCGTGCTTCGTCGTCGGACGCGCAGTCGCGTGTCAGTCGGAGCTCATCGGCGCGGCATGAGTCTAGGGGTCGCTCGAGGAGGAGGTATGATAGCAGTGATTCGGATAGTGACGACTACTACTATGAGAAGAGGAGCTATCGCGGTAGGAGCTCAAATCGGTAGTCGCGCATTTTGTCTTTTGCGACTGATGTCGAGAGGGGCGGTTCTTTTCAGGCGTTTGCGAGTAGTGGCAGGACTGGGTTGGACTTATGATGAATTTTCCTTTGTACTAGCATAGCGTAATGAACAAGAGTAGTGCATTTCCATTTGTCGCGTTACTCCTTGGTTGTGAGGAAGGAGCGAACTGTATGGACGCAGAGTTGTAGTTGGAATGGTCGAGGGCAAGCAGCCAGTGGAGAGCTGGAGCAATTGGATTTGTAGCTGTAAGGCTGGAGCCCGAAGCTCCAGCCTTTGGGCAGGGGTCATCCGCGTCAGCCCCACATGGCGCATCCTTATGAAGATGGGGCATCGAATTCTGCATGCTCTGACCGCCAAAATTTTGAATTTGTCCCCACCAGAGAGTGTGCTGACCCTTGCGCGCTGTCCTAGAATGCGCCCGCAGTTGTTTTCAACATAGGCATAAACAACACCGCAGACTGCCCGCTATCTACAACCATGGCCACTGTAGCCCCCCCTCCCTCGAAGAGGCAAAAGAGAGAAGAGATCGAGCGCACCACAGTCCAGCAAGATGTTTCCCCTCTGCTTGCGACGGATCTCGGGTCCTTCAAGGCCAATTTTATTGATGGTGATGGGAACCAAATGGCCGATGTGATTGAGATCAACTTTGCCGATGCCTCCGAGAAGAATGTGTCTGCCTTGTTGAACACTATGATGGGGAGGGTACGATCACACCGGAGTCCCCTATACTCAACCTACCTCTTGAACTCATGCGCTGACACTTTTAACCCCAATTCAGGATCGTGAAGAATTCACCCCCTACCGCTTTCGCATCCACATCCCCGGAAGGGACGTCATTGTAGACCAATATCCCACAGATTTACTTGGACTCCTTAAAAAGCATGGCGTGAACAACCCCTTCGAAACGACCATCACCCTCTCCGCCGAGCCCCAGGCTGTTTTCAGGGTCCAGGCTGTCTCCCGTATGGCCCACAAGATCTCCGGCCACGGTCAACCTATCCTCTGCTGCCAGTTCTCTCCTCTTTCCTCCAGCCGCCTCGCCACAGGCAGCGGCGACAACACTGCGCGCATCTGGAATGTCGATACCGGTACACCCGAGAAGACGCTATCTGGGCATACAGGCTGGGTGATGAGTGTAAACTGGAGGCCAGATGGACAACAGCTGGCTACCTGCTCTATGGACAAGACTGTGCGGGTATGGGACCCGGCGACTGGAAAGTCGACAGCCGAGCTCAAAGGGCATGCGAAGTGGGTTTTGGGATTGGCGTGGGAACCTTACCACTGTAAGTTTGGTTCTTGATTCTAGGGAAAACAACTTGTCATACTAACCGCAAGCAGTGTGGCGTGATGGCACGCCTAGACTTGTCTCTTGCTCCAAAGACGGCACTGCCAGGATATGGGTCGTCAACACTGGCCGTACTGAGCATGTGCTGAGCGGTCACAAGAGCTCAATTACCTGCGTGAGATGGGGCGGGACAGGCCAGGTATGGACTAACCTCAACATATCCACAAGATGACCTCCCATACTGACGAGTCCCGACAGATTTACACCGGCTCTCAAGACAGAACTGTTCGCATCTGGGATAGCGTAAAGGGCACCCTCGTCCAAAGTCTAACCGCCCACGGCCACTGGATCAACAACATTGCTCTCTCTAGCGACTTTGTCCTGAGAACAGGCTACCTAGACCACAGCAAGGAGGTCCCAGAGACAGAAGAAGCCAAGAGGACCAAGGCCAAGGAGAGATTCGAAAAGGCCGTCAAGATCAACGGCAAGGTTGCCGAGAGGTTTGTCTCAGCGAGCGACGATTTCACAATGTACCTCTGGGATCCAACCGACAACGGGAACAAACCGGTGGCCAGACTGTTAGGTCACCAAAACAAGGTCAATCAGTGTGCCTTCTCGCCAGATGGCACCATGATTGCCAGCGCTGGTTGGGACAACCATACTGTAAGTTTTATTACATAACCTTTGTTCCTTTCCAGTCCAAGGCTCACATGAAACAGAAACTATGGAACGCCAGAGACGGCAAGTTCTTGACCACTCTCAGAGGCCACGTAGGTCCGGTGTTCCAATGCGCCTGGTCAGCCGACAGCCGCTTGCTTGTTACTGGTAGCAGAGACTGCACCCTCAAGGTGTGGAACGTTTTGAAGGGCGCGCTGGCGAGGGATCTGCCGGGCCACGAGGATGAGGTGTATGCTGTAGACTGGGCGCCGAGGGACGGAGCCAAGGTGGCGTCTGGTGGGAAAGATAAGGCTGTCAGGACATGGATGAACTAGAGAGGAGGGGATGGTTGGTAAGAGTAAAGGAGAGGGGGGCGAGGAGTGATGATACCCTGATGGTAGAGGAATACAAAAAAAAAGATGATCGTTTATGTTGCTATTCGGAGGCAAAAGGTTGCATGTGACTAAAACACTGGAAATGAACAAACCTATCGCGAATAGGTCTTACATAACGGATAGAGGAGTACAGCATCCGGGAGGGCAAATCCGCCCTGTCACGACAGGTTGATGGGAACTTGACCGCCGAAGAACGGGCAATAGGGACGGGGGTCATGTTCCGTGATATCCTGTCCTGCCAGAAGGCTGCCCATCAAAACTGATGATCACGAAGTTTTACCCATACCTACTACCTGCCTTGCCTTACGTACCTACGTACCCACGTACCCAATGCTGGAACGAGGCGCACACACACACACCCATCTAGCTAGACGAAGACGAGCCGTGAGGTGATTCTTCATTCGGCCGGGCCGTCTTCAGCTACTAGAATTTGGAGGTGTTCTCGGCATTTGTGGTACTGGGCGAGCCTTGGCTCATGTGCCGTCCCCGAACAGGTAGTTGTGAGAGGTTGATCGGAGGATTTTGCTGAGTTTGGATCGTCATCACAGAGAGTATGTATGAGAGAGTTTCTATCTTTGCCGAGCTTTCACCGCTACTGTCTCATTGTGGGACGGGAGTTTACTCCAACACTCTCAGACGAGAGAGATAAAGAGTGGTAAAATGCCGCCAACCGAGATGGGAAATCAGGGTTGAGAATAAGGCCGGTTAGGGAAAGACGGGAATAGCAACTCCTATCTGCAGAAGAGGAGAGCCATGGTTTGGCTTGTGATTGTTACTGGATACTATGTGTGAACTGGGCGGGATTTTCACCATGGCATGAAATGAGATGGTGACATCCTTCCCCTGGGATGCTTGGGACACTTCTTTTTTTCCTGCAATGGGCCATCCCCGGCAGATCGTGGTGTCTAGACTACTGCGTAAACATGTGTGTGAGCAGACGCCGTGCATTAGTGGGTTGTTGCTGGCTTTGCTGCAGCTGTCTCCGATAGGTCCCGTGGAATCGGGGTTCGTGGATGAGGTGTCTGTGGAGTGTTGATTCTCGGGGATAGCCCACAGGATGATGGTGCGGAGTGCATTGGAGAATGAGGGGATTGAGGGGACACACGTGGTTATGGTGTCCTGACTATTAGGTGGTGGTTTGGCGAGAGAACAGCCGTAGCAATTGTCCCTGTTGTCAGTCTGATGATAGGCATGGGTACCCATAATGTCGAGCTCACCATCAGATACTGGTAGTGAAGATACAGAGAGCAATCTTGTGAAGAAATCACCTTGACAGAAGATGCCACAAATGACGGCATACATGTAGCCATCACGGAGATATACTCGGCCATTCGTCTCAGTCTAAAAGTAGGATCATGGCTGCTTGGTGGCATCATAGCGTTCGTTCAAACAGCGCCGTCAGAAGCAAGTCTCCGTTTCCAAGCATGTCAGAAATTCACTATGAGCTATTTTCTTCCCTGGGTGTCACATAACAGTGCGGCCAATGGAGAAATTGAAGGCATCAAATACCATGGTACTTGACGGCCCTCCGATGTATGAGATGTCGTCGGCGGGTGGCGTCTGATTTTAGCCTATCAAAGCCCTGTGTGGGCTCGGGAGATCTCGGGACTCCACGGTCAATGGTTCCATGGCGCACATCAAACGGCCGTCCATGTGGCTGGGACAGGCTCATCGCTTCGCTTATACTTCGATCGGCCCGTGAAGCATGAAAATTTTTCCATTCTACCTCTTCACGATGGACTGTCACCAAGCCGGTGATGGTCGGGTAGGTGATTATGTTGAGAACAATAAGCGCGCCCAGCTTACCATCATTCGGCCAGGAAGGGTTTCCGTCTGTGCCTCATGACGGCACTTGCTGCCGAGTATTCCATTCCTGCGTGCTTTACAGACCTGATAAGAGGTCGACACGTTTCCCATGCTGTGCCTCTGACTGGACCGACAACGCTCCATGGGACGGCAGAGGAGACTCGGACCTTTTTTTCTCCGTTGAGGAGTTGCTCAATTAAGGTTGCTCATAGTGGAATCTGACGTGTTTCGGTGGCTCATCTGTCTGGAAACGCTCCAAACAGCGCCGCCGGCGCCCAGCCTTCTGGCCCCTCCCGCTCACCACAGCCCTGCGCTGTGACCAACCACCAGCGTCATCTTCCCTCTTCTGAACCTCTTCCCTCGGCCGGAGTAACGGACTCGAAGCCGATAATGGCTCTTGTCTATTTCCTGCGTTTGAGAACCATTGCTTGCTTGAAATCAAGATATCACGGTCATGGATCTGATACAATATGTAGACCAAAGGCAATGACAAGGACAAGAGCTGTTATCGGCAGACCAGGCTACTGACCGGCATCAACTATCTCCACTGTTCCAGGCCCGGACCTTCCATGCCTCTGGAATCCATCCGCTGATCTGCTTTTCAAGACCGGCAACGGTCCCAAGAGCCTGTGTCACGGAATTCGAGTGAGAGTCTTGGACCGGGTAATGGATGTCTCGATTGATATCTTGGTGCAGAACTTTCTTGTAAGAGGTCCTTGGCAAAGCATCCATTATCCAGGCAGCCAAGCCCGGCTGTTCAGGGTGTGGTTGCAGAACTGCATGTGGTTGACAGCGCTGTGATATCCAAGTCAAGCAGGAGGTACATAGTGGACACGGCCCATACACATTGGAGGCCGCCGCTGAGGTGGGAGAAAGGATGGCGACCGCGAGCTTACTGGCCTCTGGAGCAGCTGCTTGTAAAGGAGGTGCTATCGAGGAGTTGAACTCCGCCAGGCTGAGCCAGACGTCAGAGTGATAGATCAAGTTTTTCTGTTATCAGACATCTCCTTCCCACAGCTCAACCCGTTGGTCACACTGTTCGCCATCACCTGGCCCTGACATGTGGCCTCGATTTGGTAACAGGAGACTTTAGATTACGTGATTGCCTGAGAGAAACGGCCGTACAACATGAAAGGCATGCTCAGAATCTTCGATCCATGACAGGTGCCGAGACAATGCGCAGGCAAGCCGCTGCATTATATAAGTAAGGAAGGCCGGAAACTGTTCGGAAAGAGAACTCTGTAACGCTCGCAAACCACCGTCGAATAAGAGCTGCAGTTATAACAATAGGCGGGAGCGATTCGAGACTGATATTGGATAGCAGGAAGGAAGACGATCAAGGGATCATCAACAAGCAAGCACAACAAAACTCTTTGGGAAAACTTCCAAGGCATTGAGTGGTGGGCTGGCCCCCTGTCACTGGATGGAAGCTGCGGAAGCCCAAGCTGGCCCCTGTCAGTCTTGGCATTCCTCTCGATGCCACCCTCGATGTCCCTTGTCCATCTCCACTGGTTTCGGGCTGGAATGACGAACAACGGGCTGGCGGGACGCTGCTTCTTGGTCCGTAGGCCCCACTTTCAGCGCTCCCTTGAGCATTTTGCAGGCATAGCAGCGCCTATGAAGCGAGCTCCAACACCGATTAAAAGTGATCGAAGCTCCTCCAAGTTTCCATGATTTCCGTGATCTTCTTGCTTGCTCAAACCAAGACTCTTTCTCGGCAGCAGATCTCCGATCAAACTCAAAACCTGTTAGCCTTTGATCTTCACCTAGCTACGGACCAAAAGCCCCAGAACCCCCCTGGTCTGCCACCCACACAGTCTTTAACCATCCGTCTCCAAAAGCTCGTCAGAGAGCCCCTCACCCCGTCACACTCCCTAGTCAGCGTTTTCTGCAACGCCGTTGTCTGTCAACAAATAGAGACATCCGATCTTCGATCTGGGTGGCTATCAACAGGCAAGTAGGTATGCCCAATCCTTAGCTCCCTTCTCGAGCGATTCACCCGTGGTTACTGCCATCCACTCGAGGGAAGAAAAGCCCCGGCTCTGGCTCGTTACGTCAGAGGGTGGACCACTGGGCACTAACTTGATCCCCGCCCTCAAAATACTATGCTGCCCTATTTTGAGTGACAAGGCCCAATTGGTCTGACTGGAGATATTTCCTAACAGATTTCGAGCACCAAGTCTCGCGAAGTCTTTGTTTTCCTCTCCCGCCCCCCCGGCATCTTCCAGGCTCTTTTACGCTGCGCAACTCTTTCGTCCGTCCACCGAGAAGTCTTATCAGGCTTTACACCACACTAGACGCGCCATCCCCGTTTGCCGCAGCTCTTCTGGCCGCACCGTTAAGCTTGTTCACAAAGCCACCTTGCGTCACTACAATCCGAGCGTCAGCTTAGCTCCTTTATGGTCATCCGCCCTAAGCTCGTCCCACATTTGTTGAGACGGTGACATTTCCTGGTTCTGTTTGGGCACTTGTGACCTGTCGACAAGCCAAAGACGCCGTTACCGACAGCACTCTCGCGCATCCTGCAAGCTGGGCTGTTTACCGTTGGGAGAATATCCGTTGCAAAAGCTTCATCCTTGCCCTTGGCCCCCATGAACTTGTCACTGGGGATTTTCCAGTAGCTACAACCACCGACTCCTCGCCAACGGCCCTTCTACAATCCCACCTACCTGTTGATAGCAAGAGACGGCCAGTCATCTGCCCATTATGACGGTTTTTATTGCTTCACTGTGAGTCTCTTGCCGTCAATGCTGTGCGGGCTGCCTGAAGCACTATACTTACGTTTTTCTGTACAGATTCCTCCCCAAGACTATTCATTTCACACTCCCCGGCACACCTCCGCGCGGGTCTCGCTCCGAGAAGCCTCAGCCCAATCCGAGGCCAGCGCCACCTGAGCGGCAGCCTAGCCTGTTCCAACCGCCCAGTATCACCCCGCCTCATACTCCGACCGACGAGAAGAAGCCCAGCGGTCTCTTCACTAACGAGGATGGGCTGCGGGTTCATATTCCAACAACGACAGCGATTGGAGAGGATGGTGTTCGTGCGCCAGCTGACCGAAGCTCTCCCACCTGGGGAGGTCGTTTAGATCAGCCAATGTCGCGGGCGAACTCACCGCCACCTCCTTCGTTGATCCAGAAGGCTAGAAACCTGCATCAGAAGGCCAAGGAGATGGGTCGGGCCGGCATCACACAACCTCGCACCCTCGATAGAAGCGAGAGCCACGAGAGGGTTTTTGCACATGCCAACTGGAAGATCGTTAACGCTGACCAGGGAAATGGCGGTCTTCGAAATGCTGCCGAGGCGGCTTCCAGAGAGGGAAAGGTTGGAGACTGCACTTGGGTCGGCACCCTTGGTATGCCCACGGATGCTCTCCAGGGCACTCAACAACTCCAGGATATTCAGGACAAGCTCGCCACGGAGCACGACATGCTCAGTGTCTGCCCCTCCGACAAGGACTTTGATGGACACTACTCTCACTTCTGTAAACAAATTCTGTGGCCAGTGTTTCATTACCAGATTCCCGACAACCCCAAGAGCAAGGCATACGAGGATCATTCATGGAAATACTATGTCAATGTCAACCAAGCGTTCGCCGATGTCATCGTTAAGAACTGGAAGCGGGGCGACGTCGTTTGGGTTCACGACTACCATCTTCTCTTGGTCCCTGGCATGGTACGAAAGAAGCTGCCAGAAGCCAAGATTTGCTTCTTCCTTCACGTGGCCTTCCCGTCATCTGAGGTGTTCCGTTGCCTGGCGGTTCGGAAACAGCTGCTGGAAGGCATGCTCGGTGCCAATCTGATTGGATTCCAGATCCACGAGTACACGAGACATTTTCTTCAGACCTGCAGTCGACTCCTTAGTGCGGAGGCCACTCCAGACGGACTCCAGTTGGAAGACCGCTTTGTCGACGTTGTCAACCTCCCAATCGGGATCGATCCTGTTAGTCTCAGCCAGCATCGTGAAGAAGACGAGGTTAAGAGATGGCTGGACACCATGAGGGAGCGTTACGCTGGCAAGAAGCTCATTGTTGCTCGCGACAAACTGGATCACGTTCGTGGCGTGAGACAAAAGCTCCTCTCATATGAGCTTTTCCTGAATAAGAATCCGGAGTGGAGGGACAAGGTTGTCCTCATCCAAGTGGCGCTTTCCACCAGCGAGAAGAGCGAGCTGGACGCGACTGTTAGCGACATCGTCACTCGCGTCAACTCCTCGTGGGCCAACTTGGCGTACCAGCCCGTCGTCTACCTCAAGCAAGACATCGACTATGCGCAGTATCTTGCTCTATTGAGCGTTGCGGACGCCCTCATGATCACCAGCCAACGCGAGGGCATGAACTTAACCTCGCATGAGTACCTCTTTTGCCAGGACGGCAAGATCAGCGAAAAGAAGCATGGATCTCTGATTCTCTCTGAGTTCACTGGCACGTCGTCCCTCTTTGGCGGAAATGAGCTTTCGGTCAACCCTTGGGATTATCGGGCCTGTGCGGATGCGATCAAGAAGGCTCTGGAGATGGAGGATGAGGAGAAAGAGATGCGATGGACCAAGCTGTACGAGGCAGTCAACCACCACACAGGGTCTCATTGGTTTTCCGAGATCCTGGCTCGCCTCGATATTGTGTATGAACAGCAGCACCGTCACGACCAAACCTCTGTTCCCCGACTTTCACTCAACACGCTGGTTCAACAGTACAACAGGACGGAGAGAAGGCTGTTTATCCTCGATTTTGAGGGCACCCTGGTCAGCTGGGGGCCAGTCAACCAGATCATTCCTGTCAGCCCACAGGTATGCTTTCTTCAGCAATTTCCTTTTGAGTGATCATCAACTAACAGAGCACTACTAGCGCACCCTTGACGTATTGAACGACCTGCTCCTTGACGATCGTAACACTATTTTTGTTATGTCTGGCCGCAGACCGGAAGAGCTGGATCGTCTGTTCCGCCGTGTCCCTAATCTCGGCCTCATTGCTGAGAACGGTTGTTTCCTCAGAAACTGTGGTAGCACGGAGTGGACCGAGATGGCTGATGCGGATCAAATTCGCTCCTGGAAGGATTCCGTCAGAGGTATCCTGACATACTACATCGAGCGCACCCCAGGCGCCGAGATAGAGGATCGGCGCTGCTCGCTCATCTTCCACTATAAGTCGGCGGAAGATTACGAATCTGCCACCCGACAGGCCTTGGATTGTGCTAGTCACATCAACGACGCTTGTGAGGACCAGCGAGTCCACGCTATTCCCATGGAGGGCTGCGTCCTTGTGGAGCCGCTTGACTGGACCAAGAGCACGGCTGCCCAAAGGATCTTTTCCGATCTTCGCGACCGCATGGCGCCAGATGCGACTCACACGTCGCCAGTGGACTTCCTCATGGTTGTCGGTGATGGACGTGAGGACGAGAAGGTCTTCAAGTGGGCCAACGGTTTGGGCGAGGAGGGCCTTGTGGAAGAGGTTGTGACGGTCAGCCTGGGAACAAGAAACACGGAGGCGACCGCCACCATGACACAGGGCGTGAGTGGTAAGTGACAACAATCACGGAGGATCGATTTGCAGAGTCAAGACTAACACGCAATACAGGTGTACTCATGGCTCTACAGAGACTGGGATCAATCGCGTAAGCAGTTGCCCCATCCCCTCCCTAGCCTCCTTTGCTAGGCCAGATGCCAATGGTAATGTTGCAGGTCCGTTGTGCCCACGCAACATCGCCGGAAGAGCTCTGTTAGAGGTGTGATTTTGCCGCCAGACGCTGAGCTCCAGTTCCTGCCGACGTCGTAGTTGACTCGGGGGTCCGTGTGGGGTCAGTGTGGTGTGCGCCGTTATTCGGTGTGATGAGGTGTGGTACCTACCCCGCCTTGTTGTTGTTTTGCTTGGCTTGGTCGGGTTGATTTGTCGCCCCTTTTTGCGAGCATATACTGCAGCCTTTCTTTGTATGCGCTCGGCTCCTTGCATGGTAGAACCTCGTGTGTTCTGCCAGCGCAGCCAAGACTGTTGTTTTTGTGCTTCTGGGTCTTGTCGCAGTTTTTACGCCGTCCTGTATGGTATTCTTTTACGATGAGGCAAACCTCTACGTTCTACAGTGGACTGTGAGGTGATTGGGATGGAAATTCTATGGGTTAACACAAAGAAAAGCAGACAGTCGAAACGCTATGATACGCGAACTCGTCGATAGTATCGAACGGATTCAGAGGGCAAAGAGAGAGAGAGATTGGAATCGCTTCAGCAATGATTAAGGGCCTCGGTATAGATATGGGATGGGGGTTTATTTCTTTTCGGTGGTGGAAACTTTGGTGGCCTTCTCCTTCTTTGCTCAAGAGTTATTAGCCTGCACATGTTTTATCAATTGCATGTTTATATGGATCATGGCGTTTGGAGCCTTTGTTCGTTGGTTGATGAGCTGTCCCAGATCATGACAGGCGGTTTACCTATCTTACCTAGTTTATGTACTGTACAAAGTGGAACATGGAATACATTTTTGCTCTCCTCTGCTCCCTAGAGACCTATGTTTTGTTTGCGTTCGGAACCATCACCAACATTGACCCCCTTCGGCAATGACATCATGTTCCGCTATCGGATGGCGGGGTTTGTGCTGGTTCTCTTTTCCTAGGTACCCCGCGATTTCCAGCCAATCTTGCATTATCCCTGGACCCCTGAAAAGAGCTTTGACGAGCTGCCCCTCATTCAGTGGGCAGCCGCGAGACAAGCCGAATCGGAGAGAGCTCAGGTCCCGAGGACATTAGGTCGGGCAATACCATCAGAGCAAGTGGCTTGCTGACCTCGGACTGTTTCACACCGTGTTTTGAGCGACGGTCAAGTCGAGGTATCATCACTCGAATCCGTTTTGGTCTTTGTAGTATTCGAAGACTGAGACTTTCTGGTTTGTACCTAGGTAGTTTGCTTTGAGTCATCCCCTATTGAGCTACTTCGGCGCAAGATCACCTGCACAAACGGAAGGGCGGATTTACAACACTCCTACCGCATATCAAGTCAACAAAAAACATCCAAGATGGCTTCGACGTTTCCTCCCCCTCCGGTCAACACCATCGACTGGTCCAATGTCGGCTTCAAAGTTAGAGAAGGTCCGTACCACCTACTACCAACCACCACAAGTTCCATTGACAAACCTTGTATTACTTACACACCTCGACAGTAAACGGCCACATTGAATCCCATTACTCGGTCAAGACAGGCCAATGGTCACCCCTCCAGTTCGTCACCGACCCCTACATCCGCCTCCACGGCATGGCCCCGGCCCTCAACTACGGCCAGCAAGCCTACGAAGGCCTCAAAGCCTTCCGCCTCCCGGGCAACAACAAGATCGCCATATTCCGCCCTGACCGCAACGCGGCCCGGCTCCAGCACTCGGCCGAGTTCATCTCTGTCCCTCCGGTCCCTGTCGACCTCTTTATCGCCGCAGTCAAGGCGGCTGTCGCTCTCAACGCCGAATTTGTGCCTCCCCACGAGACAGGCGCGGCGATGTACATTCGGCCGCAAGTCTATGGTTCTTCGGCCCAGTTGGGACTGACGCCGCCGGAGGAGTACATGTTTTGCGTTTATGTCTTGCCCACGGGGGTTTACCACGGGACTCACCCTGTCAGGGCGCTGATTATGGATGAGTTTGACCGGGCTGCCCCGAATGGGACGGGGAGCGCCAAGGTGGGGGGGAACTATGCTCCTGTGCTGCGGTGGAGTGATAAGGCTCGGGGGGAGGGGTATGGCATCACGCTGCATTTGGACAGCAAGAGGCACGAGGAGGTGGATGAGTTTTCTACGAGTGGGTTTATTGGGGTTTTGAGGGAAGGGGGCAAGGTGACGCTGGTGGTGCCGGATAGTAGGGCGGTGATTGACAGTGTTACTAGTCTGAGTGTGCAGGAGATTGGGAGGGATTTTGGTTGGGGGGTGGAGAAGAGGGCGGTAGGTTCTTCATTGTGGTGAACACGAAGGCAAATGGCTAACGGCGATGGGTTGTGACAGATCAAGTATGACGAGCTGCCCAAGTTCTCAGAGGTGCTGGCTGCGGGCACGGCAGCTGCTCTTGTGCCCATCCGGTCGATCACCAAACGTGACAGCAACCGGCTTGCGGGACAGGCTCGCGTGTCTAGCAGCAATGGCGCGGAGACTGTTACGTACATTCCCGAGGGTATCGAGGAGCCAGGCGAGATCTGCACCAAGCTTCTCGAGCAACTTAAGGGTATCCAGCTCGGCAAGATCGAGGACAAGTTTGGCTGGCGGTTCGAGGTTACGGAGCAGGATGGCAAGAGCGTTGTCGGCGAGAGTGACTCGGGTGGCGCTGCGGATGCTGATTCTGTGGACCAGCTTGACTAGGAGGTTTCGTTTTTTGGACCATGGGACTTGTGATCCGTGTTGTCACTTGGACGATGGTGTAGTGTAGGAGGTATCCTGGGCCGCGGTGCATTACCCGAGGCTCACCATCTTTATTACCTTACGGAGGTTGTTGTCGGGATAAACAAAAACAGGGTTAAACAAGAGATGTCACTAACAAAAAAAAAGTCCCGCACTTTTCTCGAGTTCAGACAAGTCCCCCGCTGTGAAACCTTTGCATATTCGATCTTTGCACTGCCACAATGTCGGCTCCAAAACCCCTCACTATCGTGACCTGCTTGTCCGGAGTGTGTTACAGGTCTTGGCGCATGGGAAGGAAGGGGACATTACCGCGGGATTTGCATTCTGTAATGGCATTCCTTGGATGGTGGAAACGCATCTGGCGGGATGCTGTTTTGAGGATAGAGGAGGTGGGCTCAGTCAGGATCGACTCTGTTGTGGAACCCCTGGATGTGATGGTGGCACCATTGGGGATAGAAGGAGGGGGGTTGTTTACGAGCTGAGGGATATGGGGGAAGCATAGTTACTGCTCTGTTGCTGCATTTGCCCATGCCGTGAGATGGATGTTGGAGGTCAGAAAGAGGCCATGTTCGAGGTTGCACCGTCGCTCTTTATTCCATGAATCTTTGATCATTACATTTCGAGTCACCACAGCGTTTTCTCTTAAAGACCACACTCTCGCTCGTTCAGTGACGCGCGCTCTTGCTGCTTGGTGATCTTGAATTCAACTCCCTCCCGCACTCTGCTGTCGACGGTCAAAACAAGAAACCCGAAGGAATCCAAGCCATCACCTGTCCTCTCTCCAAAAGATCCCAGCCCAAATCCCCGACTTGGCACATACCCGGAACGCTGCCGCGGTGGGCGGCCTCCGGGAGTAAAAGAGACATGTGCCCCTGCCAACCCTTCCTGGGTCTTTGGGTACAAACCCGGAGGACTGGGTTGTCATTGAATGGTGCAAGGGTTCTGCTTGGCAATAAGGTTCTGGGCTTGGGTGGAGCGAGCCAGAAAGCTTGAGGCTTGCCAAGAGCGATGCCAAGGCCAGCTTGGCAGCCGTTGGGGTTTGGAACAAGACATGGAGGTGGTGGAATTTTGATGTCTTCATCCGAAGTGGATTGAAGATGGGAGGGGATGATGGGTTGGTGAGGTCATTGAGGGAGGGGGAAGATGTGTGTTATCGGGTGAGTCTGAGGCTCTGAAGTGAAGTGTCGGTTGGAGTTGGGCCGTTTGCTGAGGGGCATGGGGATCTTATCAGACCATGTTGTCTTCACACCTCATTTTCTGGCTCTCAACTCATTCTGGGATGGTTGTGAGGTTGGACTTTTGGGTTTTGGTGAGTTAGACTGGGAGACGGTCGGCCTCTTACATTTCACTGTCTCTGATGGGCCAGTCCATGGACTTCGTGTTCGAAGTGGACGCCTTAACGGGGCACGGTGTTGATTCCTTACCTGAGGTACCTTACCTATCTTTCGTGGTCCTCAGCTCACAGACGACCGATACTTACACGGTCTCGTCCCCAAGCCTCAACATCCCTATTCCTTGATTCCTTCGTGTCCTTGCCGTGTCGATCTCTAACCTGCTTGGTAGGTAGGTAGCATCAACCACGCTTCCACCACTTAACCCGATGGCTGCCGCGGGGCATGCCGGCCAGGGATAGACCCCCGCGGCTGTAGACGGTGACGGGAAGGATGAAGCAGGGAGGTGCTCAATCAAGCGCGCATGCATGACTTTCACGAGCATGTAGCTCACCCTCATTGACACTGACCACTCACATGAGATATCGCTATCTGCCCTTAGAATGACTAGAGGACGGGACGTTGAGCTGGACCCAAGGACCCAGCGCCCTACCACAGAGCTCCCCAGAAGCTCGTGTGCTCGCGACCCCCATGACCCACACCACTGAACGTTGCGAGAAACGTGGTTTACCGATATCTCATTATGCAAATCTATCTCGCATCCTTATCTCACGGTTGTTTCGACTGCTGGACGAGAAGCTGAGTCTCGTCTTGAGACAAGCTGAACTATAAAGCCGACACAGCACGATCCTGTCGGTTTTGTTCCGAGATATCATCCCTTTTCTTGACTTTCATTTTCATCATACCAAGTCTTGACCCCATTCCATGACCAGCAACGCAACAGTTCAACGTTCAACTGCCGAAGCCATAACCCTGACACCATGGCCGACACACCACCACCACCGATAACATCGAAGGCCAATGACGACCTGCCTCCCCTAAACAATGTCCCGTCTGAACCCACGGCCCGCTCTACCGGTATCTCCTTTGGGCCAGACTTGCGAGGAGACATCGGACCTAGCCAGGCCGGCGGTATTTACAACACCAGAAGCATCACAAGGGCGTCTTTTGACAGACGAACCGCCGGTGACATCTCTCAGGAGAATGGTGGACCTTCCAACAGTAGCGATGATGTGGAAGAGGGGGATGACTGGCGTGATAAGCATGGCAAAACGAAGCAGGTGTTTAAGGGTACTACACTGTTATGGTGTGTCGGGCTCCATTTCCCTTTTTTGATGCTGCTCTTTAGGATGTTGTGATACTAACAAGATTCTGCATGTCTGTAGGCTAGCATACCAATCCATCGGTGTTATCTACGGAGACATTGGCACCAGGTATGATCGTCAGACGTCTCGGTTGCTGTCCGGTAGCAATGCTGATCCACAGGGGTAGTCCCCTGTATGTCTACTCGTCGACATTCCTCGAACCGCCTACTCAAGAAGACCTTCTGCAAGTGCTCTCAGTCATCATCTGGTCGTTGACCATTATGGTCACGGTCAAATATGTCTTTATCATCCTGCACGCGGACAATGAGGGAGAAGGTGGCACTTTCAGTTGTTACTCACTCCTTACCAGATTTGTGAATCCCCTCAATAAAGCCCACCCTCGAATCATGCTGGCAATTACTTACAGAGGGGGACAGGCAAACATCACCTCGCGCGACCCTCGAGAAGAAGTGCTTGTGCGCATGGAACGCCACTCGACAATGGACATGCGCAAACCGAACCGTACCATTCGCGACCGGATCGAACGAAGCAAGTTTACCCATGGGCTCCTCAAGACGATTGGAGTCTTGGCCGTATCCATGGTCATTGCCGACGGTGTCCTTACACCCGCTCAATCCGTCCTTGGCGCTGTCCAGGGGCTCAAGGTCGTGAAGCCAGACCTGTCATCTTCGGCGATTGTCGGTACCTCTTGTGGCATCCTCATTGTCTTGTTCCTGATACAGCCGTTCGGAACCACCAAGCTCGCCTCGGCGTTTGCTCCCATAGTCATCATTTGGTTGGGATTCAACGGCGGTTTTGGCATCTACAACCTCGTAAAATACGACTGGGTGGTGCTCAAGGCCTTCAGTCCTTATTTTGCCATCCAATTCTTCTCGCAGCACAAGACACACGGTTGGAGGATGCTGGGCGGTATCCTGTTATCATTTACGGGAGTGGAAGCATTGTTTGCGGATCTTGGTGCCTTCAGCCTTCGCGCTATTCAGCTGAGCTGGATGTGCTACGCCTACCCTTGCTTGTTGCTGGCGTACATCGGTCAAGCGGCCTTCATCAGTGTTCACCCCGAAGCCTATGCCAACCCCTTCTTCAACTGTGTCCCCCCGGGCATGCTCTACCCCTCCCTGGTGGTAGCCGTCCTGGCAGCCATCGTCGCCAGCCAGGCCATGATCACAGCAACATTTCAGCTCACCAGCCAAATCATGAAGCTCTCCTACTGCCCCCAAGTCAAGGTGGTGCACACCTCTCGCGTCTTCCACGGCCAGCTTTACGTCCCCTTCCTTAACTGGATCCTCATGATCGGCGCTGTCCTCGTCACAGCCGTCTACAGCGACACCACCCGCCTCGGCAACGCCTACGGCGTCTGCGTCATGTTCGTCACCTTCTTCGACACCTGCATGGTCACGCTTGTGGCGCTGATAGTCTGGAAACTGTCCCCCTTTTTGATCTTCATCCCATGGCTCTTCTTCGCCACCATGGACGGGCTGTATCTTTCCTCGGCTCTCAACAAAGTCCCCGACGGGGCGTGGTTCACCATCACCGTCTCTGGGATCCTCACTGCCATCTTCCTCCTCTGGAGATTTGGCAAGGAGAACCAGTGGCGCGCCGAGGCGGAGGACCGCTTCAGGCCTACTGAACTTGTTGGTAAGGACCAGAAGGGACATTTGTGCCTTACGCCCAAATGGGGAGGTGAACCGTTGAGTGTCATTAGAGGTTTGGGGATCTACTTTGATAAGACGGGTGTGATGACTCCAGCTGTTTTCACACATTTTGTCAGTAAATTTGTTGCTGTACCTGAGGTGGCTGTCTTTTTCCATCTTCATCCGGTGGAGATCCCGACTGTTTCCCCTGAGGAGAGGTATCACGTCTCAAAGTTTGGGACTCTACCGGGGTGTTACCGGCTGGTGATCAAGCACGGGTTCATGGACGAGGTGATCAGTCCTGATTTGTCTGCGTTGATATACAATCAGGTGAGGAAGGCGATTATCCGGCAGGCGAAGGAGCGGCTGGGACTTGGCCCGTCAAAGGAGGTGGGGGATGAGGACGAGGACGAGGTCGGTGGGGAGAAGAATGGGGATAATAATACCACGAGTACCAGCACCAGGACTACTACTACCACGGGGTTGGCGGGTGGACCTCCTGGGCTGAACTCGAGGTCGAATAGGCTGCCGGTGGAACTGAGGGATCATGAGGTTGCGGATGAGCTGGCCAAGCTTGATAAGGCTTTTGCGGCGAAGATTATGTATATTGTTGGCAAGGAGCAGATGAGGGTGAGGAGGTCGAGCTCGATTGGGAGGAGGATTGTGCTGTCGATTTTCTTGTGGATTAGGGAGAATACGAGGGCGAAGATTGCGAATTTGAGGTTGGCTATGGATAGGGTTGTTGAGGTTGGGTTTGTGAAGGAGATATGAGGGGGGGTTGGGTGGCCCGTGTAGGTCGCGCGATGTTGGATCAGGAGCAACTTGTTGTCAATAAGTGGGGCCTCTTTGTGTGGATGGCTTTGGCTGATGGAAATCATCCCCTGAGGAGCAAATTCTCTTCAAAGAGATTATGAGAGAATGATACTTGTTTGATTGTTTACAGTTTCACAGAGAGGCTATTGACACGGGGTGAAGCAGTTCAGGGGCAGCTCGGCAGGGGACATGTCACCACAGCGCCAAAACCGACAGATTGTGCTTCCAATCACGAGAAAATAAGTCTTTTGCTATCCAAAAAGGAATCTCCAAGACTTGTTTGTTGCCTATATTTCCCACCATACTACACCAACGCTGACCCCAAAGCGCTGCATCAGAGTGTATGCCTCGGTGCAGCCCACCTCTCCCCATCCACAAAGTTTGCCTCTCCATCCTGCATTACCACCGCCAGATTCCACCTTTTCAGGCCAGGAAAGAAGTTACCCTCCTCTTTTCCCCCTTCTCCCTCTTCCCTCTGATCCATGTCAGCCCACATGATCTTGCACTTCTTGGAGACTTGTTCATACCCCCCCATCTTGACCCACTCCTCCCCCGTTCCCGGGAGCTCTTCTTGGGAAGCCTGGCTATTTTCTGGTAAGGGAGGTTGCACCAAAGTGACGTCGATCCTTAACCTTGGAAGCCAGTGGTTCGAGAAGGGGAAGGATGGGAGGTAGGGGATCATCTTGAGGGTGCACTTGAATAAGGGGGTGGTGCTGGGGGTTGATTCAGTTGGGTCGTAGGGAGTAGTGTGGTCGTGGGGGTAGACTCGGAGGGTTTGGACATTGGGGTTGGATGGGTCGGGGGTTGACCAGGTGAATTTGGCAAGGTGTTTGGGGAGGTTCCAGACTGTGATGCGGTGTTAGACTGGTCCATGAGAAAACAGAGTAGTGGGGAAACAAACGCTTTCGGCCGTTCGAACAGGTGTATTTCTGGCTGACGTAGATTCGGGTGATCCTCATGGCCTTGCCGGTTTTCTTCTTGGTTGAGCTGGCTTGGTCGTCTGGGAGGGGGTATTCGAATGTGCCGGGACAGAGGATGAGTTCGTCGTAGGGGCCGACGGGGGTTTCGTGGTAGCGGATTATCTGGACCATGCTGAGACCCCCGAGGGGTTTGCCTGATGCTTGGGGGGAGGAGAATGAGGACTGGTATTCCAAGGGGTGGTAGGCCTTTTGGGGGAGGTTGGCTGCGGTTTTGGAGGAGGTCCAGAAGGGGATCAGGTACATGGTTGCTTTGGTGTTCCATGGAGGAGGGGCGGCGAGGATAGGTCCTGTTGGGACGGTGTTGGTTGAAGGAGACATTTTGATTGGTGTTTTCTTCTCGGTGTTGGACGAATTACTATGACTAGAGTCGCAATCAGACAGAAATGTCACAGAATTGGAGAGCTGGCGAGAAAAAGTCAGTGTTATTTTGCCTTGGTTTTCGGATGGTCGTGTCTCACATGTCAGCAACCGACCCACCAAAAACCATCAAATCAGGGCCCGAATGGCGTTACATCACTGCATGTGCCAAGCGCAGAGTGCATAAGCATCTTGCATAGGGCTAAGCGATTCTCTCTTGATCTCAAACAACTTGTCTGGGCTTGTCAGCAGCCTGGAATATATCTAGTTATTCGGTTCAACACCATGTTATGTATTTGATTACGGGCGTTGTGGTTAGCGAATAGGACATATTGATGGACGATGAGTGTCACCTAGGATTGAGAGGAAATTGCTACATTGTGTTGAGCTAGGTGTGATGTTGATATCTTCACCATGCCTGAGGATGATGACACTGTCTGTATATAATTATCCTTGTCAATGGCCTAGTCACGGCATCATGTCATGGTGTCATTCATCTCTACCACCGGGCACCTCATCATGGAACTAGTGGTGTTTCTCAATGAGTGTGGGAGTGCCTCTCCAGGGGTATAGGAGTTCCTCTCAGGGGTCATTACACTCTGCAATACTGGTCCTATTTCCAACCGCATAACCCCTCGTTTTCCCAACATAATAACTGTTTCTTAATCTGTATCTTTGAGAATCGTTAGATCGTCTTGAATGCACTAGGAAGGAGCCTCAGGTAGTTGCCTGGAGGTACTCTGGTCCGCTCCTTCCCCCTTCTGTTACAAGGTTGCAAAGCCCTCGGAGGAGTTTCGGCACACACACGACTAGTTCTTTTAGGTGTATTTCAATTTCTGCCAGGCTTCGAAACTTTCCTTTGATCTCTCCCGGCCTTCATCAAAGACATCACCATCGTGCTTGGAACGCCTTCTTATGATCCAACCCATCACCACTATCTCGCAACGCCCTCTCACGATCTTGTAAGACCTCCTCACTACCATTGAAGGTATTGATTCTAACCTTTTAGGCCTTTCGATTTCAAAATTAGGCCTCGATCTTCTGTTCCAACTCCTTTCAAATCTCTCGATAGGCCTCAATATTATCTTTGAACGCTTAGTCACTATCTTCGAACGCCCAGTCAGCAGCTTCGAACGCCTCGTTTTTCTCTTCGAAGACCCTCAATTTCACAATGGACGCGTCCAGCAGTTTTTCCGACTCCTCCATCATCCGGAGAGAGGCTCCTCCAGCTATCGTCAGGAGCAGCAACTTTACCCCCCGCCGGCCTACCACTCCCACCCTGGACAGCTCCCCTGACGCCTCCAACACCTCTCTTGGTCTCTCCAGCGCCGCTTACTCTGCCACCTATGACGCCTCGTTGGCTCCGTCTCCCTTTGCCGCTCCCTCCTACTTTGAAGCTGAGGAGTTCCAACATCATGTCGTCTGTGCTGTAGCCGAATCTCGCTCAGCCGGCGTTATCGGCCTCGCCACGATCAATTTGAACCTAGCCAGCTCCCAGATTATCACCATTGCCAATGAAAGCAACTATACGACTCTCAAGCAGACTCTCTCTGCTATGCAGCACAAGCCGACCACATTCATCACTCTGCCCCGTATCACTGCGGACCGTGCCTCTTCCAGACTGGCCGAGGTCTTGGAAGACGAAATTGGGTGGCCTACTTACACCACCACGATGCCCAGAGGATGTTGGGACAAAGCTCTTGGAATCATCAACATTGAGTACTACGCCTATAGCGACCAGATTGTCCCTCTCAAAGTCATACTGTCATCCAACAACTTCTACGCCGCCTGCGCCTTCGCGGCCGTACGTATATCATATCCTAATCACTTGGTTGACTGTCATGCTAATGAAATCTAGGTCGTCTCCTACATCGAGAGCTACCATGGCCTCGCAATCCGAGCAGGCGCACTCAACATCGAGTACATCGAGCCCTCCGGAGTCATGCGGATGGACAAAGCAGCCATCCAAGCATTAGAACTCCTCCGCAACGGGCGCCAAGCCCAACCGGGCGACAATACGTTGTTCGCGTTAGCGAACAACACGCGGACTCCGGAGGGCCGGCGCCTGCTCACGAGGAGCGTCCTCCAGCCGATGACGAACGAGGAGGAGATCAACCTCCACCACGACGCGGTAGAAACTCTGTGTGGCGACGAAGACGTGTTCCGGAAGCTGAGAGATTGGTTGAAGGAGTTCGACGGGATCGACTTGGAGTCTATCTCCGGCTGGGTGAGTGAAGACCAGCCCATGTAAAGTATGAGGCTTAGGTAGCAAAGAAAGTCTGACATTTTTGGTTAAGTTGGCAACAGACCATACTGTGATTCGGCAACCCGTGCAAAGCGGAATCGTGTCGAGCAGTGGTCGGCACATGTCGGCGGCCGTGGGAGCCCATGAGCTCTCACAAGCCGAGGGGGATTTGAGCCGGGTCCTTGGGCTCAAATCCTACCTCAAAAACGTCCAAGCCCTCCACCAACTTCTCCGGGCCGCCGACGTGACCGACCACTTGCTCGCGAGCGTAGCGAGCAAGACCGGCGCCGACAAGACCGGGCCGACCCTCGGCCTCCTCGCGGCGGTCCTCCAAGAAGACGCCGCCTACAGCCGTAGCGCGGCTGAGATTGGGCACGCCCGGATGTGGGCAATCCGGGCGTTGCCCAACGACGCCATCGACCTTGCCCGTGCTGAGCACAGGAGGACGCGTGAGGAGGCCGAGGCCTACTTTGCCCTGAAGCTCGCCCTGTTCCAAGGTAAGTTCGAAATGTTTTGGCTTGTTTTCTTTTTAGTTCTTTCAAGTTCAGGGTTGTTTGCAAGCGCTGCTCTCGTTATATCTGTCACCAGCTGGCAGCATTTCTGTTGATGTGAATGTCTTTTAATTTGTGTTTCCACGTGCGTTCTGATCTACCTCGCATTTTGGCTATATGAAGGGCGGTTCTGTATTTGTTGTTGATGTTTTTCCCTATCTGCTCTAATTCCTGGGCTGTATTGCAGTGCTAATATGACGTAGAGGTGTTGGGTGAAGCCGCTGCCCCGAAACTATTTGATGACAAGGACAAAGGACTGTGCTTCAAGTTCAAGTGGGCGGATGTCCGTCAATATGTCGACACCGACGAGCCGCAGCCCGGGGAAATTTGGGGTCAAGCCAAGATTGGTTGTGTAAGGGTCAACCTCGGAATCCGAAGAGGCGAGCACTACCTGTGCCAGACCGACCGCTTGCTTGAATTGAGCCAGCAACTTCGAGTCCACTCCGACATCATCACCAAGGAAAGCGACAAGTACGTCCTCGAGTTGCGTAACGCCATCGCCGAGGCTGGTTATGTGGCCGACCTCACCTCGATATCAAAGGCTGTCGCCCAGTTGGACTTGATCTGTTCCCACGCCGAATTAACAACCACCCATGGATATGTTCGCCCAAAGCTCGGCAAGGAACTCGCTTTGATCAAAGCCCGTCACCCCATCATGGAAGCCAGAAGAGGTTTCGTTCCCAACGACGTGTTCTCTGGCGATGACACCAAGTTCGTGGTAGTGACCGGTACAAACATGGGCGGCAAGACGACATACATCAAGACAATTGCCCTCATGCAGATTCTCGCTCAGATCGGCTGTTTCGTTCCAGCAGAGAGGGCAGCTGTTCCAATTTGCGACCGAATCTTTGTCCGGTCTGCAACCAACGACAATGCCGCAGGCAATGCCGGTACATTTGCGGTAGAGATGGACGAAATGTCTGTCATTTTGCAGTAAGTCTTGTCATTCTCCTGCGTCTCTGCAGACACCTAACTCTTTATGCAGCGGCGCCACCAACAAGAGCTTGGTGATCATTGATGAACTTGGTCGAGGAACCTCCACCGCCGAGGGTCTAGGACTCGCCGCCGCCATGGCAGAAGAGCTCGTAAAGAAGAAGTCTCGTGTCTTTTTCGCAACCCATTTCCTCGACCTGGGTAAGTCGGGTCCCTTGCCTCGATAGATGCCCTGAAGTAATACTGACCACGTCTTCAACCTTTTTAGGCAAAATGTTGAATGCCTGGTATCCATCACAAGTTCTTAACGTCCACATGACCAGCCATGGTTCTGTCGAGGACGGCCACGCCACGATTTCCCTCCCCCACACCGTCGTCGCCGGCCCGGTGAACAATTGGGATTACGGCCTGGAGCTCGCCAGTCGCTACTTCCCAGCAAGCCTCATCGAGAGTGCCAGAAACTGGTCAAAATATCACCAAGAGCAAGCAGAGCTTAGCCGCAAAAAGAGGACGTCAGCCGAGATGAAGAGCGCAGCGGAGGTCGCCCTTATGCATCATATGGAGCAGGCGCTGTCTTCGCAGATGAGTAACATGGAGTTGGCGGAGAGATTGGAGGTGATGACCGATCAGTACAAGGCCTTGGAAGAGAGAGGTGAGGTGTCGAATGAGGGCGGTGAGGCGTCGAATGATAATGCCGAGGCCTAAGGGTTGTTTTTTGAGATATATCGCAGGGGGGAATGGCATCATATGGAGAGATGGAGGAAAATAATAGGGATAATGGTAAATTTTGGGCCACATGTTATGGTTTTATCATGCGTTATTTGTTGGGACATGTATCATGGCTATTCTCATGCATTACTTGCTTTCTTGTAGGCGTACAATGAAACAATCGGAGCGTATCTTTGGCAGGAAGATGCATATCATCTGTTTTTTTCATCTCTTTCTGCTATACAGGTGTATCCCCAGCGTGCTTTCAAGAGGTATATTCCCAGGCCCTGCCCCATGAGCACCTACACTTAAAGGATGGAAATGACCCCGAGGCGACACACCGTTCTTTGCGGCAAGAATGAAGTTGTTCTAGAGCCTACTTGCCCGTAGTAGATCTCAAATGCGGTATTGGAGGAAATACGATGAATAAGGTGGTGGCAATGTTCGCTCGGTGAGATTGCCTAGAAGGTCATAGGTCCATAAAAGTCATCCTTGAGCAGAGCGGCAAAGGTGGCCGATTAGCCGCGCGTTCGAGGAGCATGGGACGGTCGTTGACTGGGTTGGTGAATACGAGCAGAGCGGGAAGTGGAAGCTGACAAAGCCAAATGAGGTCTGAAAGATCTCGGTGAATCTGTTGTGCAACAACAGGGGAAGAACTAGATTCAAGAGCCTCAGGAAACCGATATACGATGAAAAGGCTGCCGAAGGTAGTTGTTGGGCGCTGTTGGTTTAGTGTGTATCGACCAATTGATGTTGAATCTGGAGAGAAAACAGATGAATCCGCTTGGTTTATAGAAAGAAACTCACTGTGGTATTTGTGAGACTGAGATCGAATGCAAACGAGGATCTAGGTACAAAGTTGTGAAATTATTGCTGACGCCGTCTGCCAACTAACCCCATATCCGAGTAATCCGGCTTGCGGAGACTTGCCCAAAGCTACCACAGTCCGCCCTACCACCATGAGCTGCCAGCCTCGACTCCAACCACCCGCTGGTTGACCGCTAATCTAACCGGTGAGTACCTTAATCCCGAATTACTTGCATTAGCTGACTGTTACCAGATATCCTCCAGGGCTGCAGATCGCTGGTCGCTTGTCATAGGTTCCCGAGTGCTGGGTTTTAGCGGAAATCCGAGCAGAACCACCCACCACGACGTATTCGCAAGCTCAGTCGCGATATGGATGAATCGAGGGAGCCACATAGGGCTGGTGATGGTTCAGCTGGCCAATTTGCTCTTATCAGTCATCGATATGCCCCGAAATGAACGCAGCTGCGGGAGGCATAAGGGCACCACTGGTCGAGCTGGGAGCTGGGAGGCGGTCAACTGATGCCGCTTCGCAGATGGCTTACACCAACTAGCTGCGCCTCGAGGGTCAGGATGACGGGAGGGTTGAGACAAGATATTAAACAGTATGGTGTTCGGTCTGGGGTATGGATGGCTGTATAAAGGGCTGCCGTTGTCAAGTATCAAGGACGATACGGACAGAGCAGTCTTGACAGAATACATCACAAGAAAGCACAACATTAACTTCAGCAGAAAACATGAGCACCACAGGCAACATTGCGATTACTGGGATTCCTACCACGGCCGGTCCAGATGGTAACACGATCCAACCATGCCAACATGCTGGGGCCGAGTTTGACACAGGCTGACATTGAACAGGATCGTTCCCCCTTCGCCGAGAGCTCCGGGACCTCCAGCGCAACTATCCTGACCACTTCAACCTCCTCGTCCTTGCGCTGAAGGACTTCCAAGCCCTCAACGAGTCAGTCCAGACATCCTACTACCAGATCGCTGGTATCCATGGTCTGCCCTACAAGCCTTGGAACAACGTCGGCAGCAACAGTGACTGGCAGTCGACAAGCGGGTTCGGGGGGTACTGCACCCATTCCTCGATTCTCTTCTTAACATGGCACCGTCCGTACCTTGCTCTCTTCGAGCAGGCTCTGTACAACTCCATCCAGAAGATTGCCAACCAGTTTCCTCAAGGCCCCCTCCGAACCAAGTATGTCGAGGCGGCCAAGACATTCCGCATGCCTTACTTCGACTGGGCTAGCCAGCCACCTTCTGGGTCTTCAGCTTTCCCCAGTGCTTTTACGGCCCCGAGCCTCCAAGTGGTTGATGTGGATGGCAAGACCAAGTCCACTGCCAACCCGATCTACCGCTTCGTGTTCCACCCGGTGAACCCCTCGCCGGGCGACTTTCCTAGACAGGTATGGACCTTCTTACTCAAAGGTAGAATATTGAGATGGCTGACAACCTGATTCCAGTGGAGCCGGTTTCCCACAACTGTCCGCTACCCCAACCCGAGAACTGGGCAGTCTCAGGATAACCGCGTGGCACCCATCCTGGCCAACGAGCTGGCTTCTCTTCGCACCAACGTCAGCCTTCTTCTGCTGTCTTACACCAACTTTGACGCCTTCAGCTTCAACAGATGGGACCCGAACATGACCCCTGGCGAGTTCGGCAGTCTTGAGGACGTACATAACGAGATCCACGATCGAACTGGAGGGGGCGGGCACATGTCTTCTTTGGATGTGTCATCGTTTGATCCCCTGTTCTGGTTCCATCATACGTAGGTCTTCGTATCAAGGTGTGTACAACAGCCTTTGCTAACTACGAGGCAGCAACGTCGACCGTCTCTGGGCCATCTGGCAAGACCTCAACCCCGACAACTTCTTGACCCCCCGTCCAGCCCCTTACTCGACCTTTAACTCGACGGAAGGCGAGTCCCAGACCAAGGACACCCCCCTGACCCCCTTCTGGGACAAGTCAGCTACCAAGTTCTGGACCTCAGAGGAGATCAAGGATACCACGACCACCTTCGGCTACGCCTACCCCGAGACTCAAGAGTGGAAGTACAGGACCGGCTCCGAGTACCAAACCTCCATCCGACAGGCAGTCACAACCCTCTACGGCACCAACGTCTTTGCCAACTTCGCCGCTGCCAACGTCCAGGCCAGAGCCACCGAGCACACAGAGCTGATCAAGAGCCTGTCCCTCGCCGCTCCTCCCCCTTCGGCTCCTATCACAGCAGAGAAACCCCTCCTCATCACCCAAGAGATGAAGGCCAGCCCCATCCCCGAACATCTCCAACACCTCGCCCCGAACAACAAGTACCCCGAATGGGTGGTCAACATCCGCGCCCAGAAACACGGCCTCCACGGTGCCTTCCGCGTCATCGTCTTCCTCGGCCCCATTGACGAGTCCGACCCTGACTCTTGGCAGACAGAGTTCAACACTGTCGGCCGTGTCTCTGTCCTTGGGCGCTCCACTCAAGGACCGACAACCACCAAGTGCGCCAAGTGCATCACTGATGCGGCAGATGAGCTGATGATCTCTGGGACGGTGCCTTTGACTTCGGCCCTGTTGCAGGATATTGTCAATGAGAATACTGGCTTGCATAGCCTGCAGCCAGAGGAAGTGGTGCCGTATTTGAAGAAGGAGCTCAAGTGGAAGGTGACGATGTTTGAGACTGGGGCGGAGAAGGATTGTGGGGAGGTTCCGGGGTTGAGGGTGAGTGTCACTAGCACTGAGGTTACTATTGGGGAGGATGGGCTGCCGGATTATTCGGGGGTGTATACCGTGTATCCGGAGATCACGGATGGAAAGCCGGGTGGTATGAGAGACGGTGAGCACATCTAACGGGACGAGAAAGCACATGTAGGAGATGGGAACGCACGATGGAAATGAACACAATAGCACAAGAAACTGGGTATCAAAATTTCAGTCAACGTAGCAAATAACGAAATAACGAAGACCATGCTTTTATCGCCCAAACGCCGTTCCAAAATGCCCAACCGAAACCGTGCCAAAACAACAAGTCGCCCATCATCTAGAAAGCAATCCGACGTTTCCGCCCCGTGTACTTGCTCGTAGTCTTGACAACCTTTCCCTTCCTCTCCATCTGTTCCTTCTTCTTGATAATCCACTGCTTGCTACCCTTCTTGATCTCCCCCTTCCCAGACGACCTGCCCTGCCTCCGGTTATCCACCACATCCACCCCCTCCATATTCTCAACCACACCGGTAATATCCCCGCTCTTGGTATTGGCCACCGCGCTCTGACCCGCCGTCAAGACCAAGTAAACCTTTACATTCTTCGTATCAGGATCATCCTCAAGCATACCCGCCCCAAAACCAGCCTTGACCGCAGCAGAAGTGATCATCTGCTTCTGGACATCGTTCTTTGGATAAAACTGACACACCGCCCTCCCACCCCGCTTCAAGCTCTGATACAACCCCCCGAAAAACCTCGCCAACCTCTGCTGGGGAGAGGTCTCGCTGCTCTCGGCGTTGCAAAGCCACTGGATGGCGCTGATGCTGATCGCTGCGTCGAAGGTGCCGGCGCGGAAGGGGACGCCCTGGCCGATGTCGGCGAGGAACAAGTCGCCTTCTACGTCGCGCTGCAGGGCGACGTCGAGCATGGAAGGGGAGATGTCCATGCCGATCCAGACGTGAGGTCCGCCTTCCTCGGGGGGGATGTCGGAGAGGATCTCGCCTGAGAGGCCGGAGCCGCAGCCGACGTCGAGGATGAGGGAGGGGGTTTTGAGGTCGAGGAGCTCGAGGGCGCGGCGGGTCATGGAGGCTTGGATGTTTTGGATGCGGGAGGAGGTGGTGTACTTGCGGGCTTCGACGTCGTCGTAGTGGACGTCTGCGAGGAGGGTGTCTTCGGGGCGGGACATGGTGGGTGGTTGGGGTTTAGGTATTTACTAGGTAAAGCGCAGTTCTAGATAGTCACAATTCGCGATGCGCTCGAGAGGCTGTGGAGGGGGTCGCTGGTTGAGTTGGACTCTGGACTTGGGTCGCAAGCTTTGGCTGGGGAGCTTGGGAAATTCTACGATAAGGATTTTTTGGACAGATTATGGTGGGGCGGGTGGGTGGTCTGCAGGGTTCTCGGTGCGCTGGGCGTTAAAATGAATTGCGCCTCGAAGCATATATCCACAGCTCGAGTGAACAATGAGAATGATGTATGTTAAATGAGTAGCTGCTTTAACATTAGTTACTCCTATTACAACATCAGAAGCATACCTATACAAGTGCTCCAACTAGTTGTAGTTGCGAACTTTAAGATCTTGTCGTTATCTAATCGGGATCAACAATGTACCGAATCCCGGTAGTTGACTTCTTATAGTGGAGATGCTGCTACAATAAAAAAACAGGGCATGGCCCGTCGCCCAAAATGCGGGAACGCGCCAAGCTTTCAATTAACACGCGTTCGCTTTCAGGGGGCAGTTGCCATTGACGTCGTTGAACACCTATGCTGGATTGTGGTTGCCCATACAAACCCGGCCTATGTGCCTAATAGAGGAACCCAGTACCGATTGAAGTGTACTGCTGAGACTTGTATTCCCCGACAAGCACTCTCGAAGAATCTGTCCCTTTTCGAGACGCCTTGAAGCTATCTTCAAGAGGTCTTCTTGTTTCCCCAATACTACCTCATCTGCGCCGACAACACCCTTTTTACTTCTCAACGGCCTTTTCCTTTCTCGATAACCCTACCTTTCGCTTCAAGAGACCTCGAATTGCTGCTCAACATGTGGATCTTGCCGTTGGTCGGATACCTCGGGTCGATCGTGGGCTTTGGCTTCATGACCCTGGCCATAGGTATGCTCCCTTGCATGCGTTCAAACTATCTTGAGAGGGCCATATGGTCGCTTCATATACCTTTGTCTTTTCTCCATATCCCTCTGAAGATAGTCTGGATGCCGCCCACTTTCTTTCCAATGTCTGTTGGTGACTGTCGAATGCGTCTCGCGATCGTTCGAATGGCTTTAAAACGGACCCAATACATCTTCACTTTCGCTGACGTGCTTCCAATATAGCCTCCGGCCTCTACTACCTCTCTGAACTCGTCGAAGAGCACACCGTCATTGCGAAGCGCTTCCTCTCCAAGCTCATTTACTCGATCATGGCCCTCCAGCTTCTCCTCTGCGTCGTCGACCGCTTCCCCTTCTTCCTCACCGTTCTCGGCATCTTCTCGCACTTTATCTACTTAGGCAACATGCGGCGCTTTCCCTTTGTGAAACTCACAGACCCCTTGTTCCTCGCCTCGTGTGGTGAGTTGCCCCCGTCCCAACCCAAGTACCTACCGATAAAGCGTAGACTAACCCCTCTCTCTACCCAACAGCCCTCGTTTTAATCAACCACTACGTCTGGTTCAAACACTTCTCCCACCACCAAGAACGCGCCTACCAAAACGTCTCCTATTACGACACTCCTGACGACATCCCCACCTTCACCGAGATCGCCTCCTACTTTGGGCTCTGCGTCTGGCTCGTTCCCTTCGCATTGTTTGTTTCCCTCTCAGCAAGCGACAACGTCCTCCCCACCATGGGAAGCGGGAGCAGCGGTGACTTCTCCTCGTCGTCTACATCAAACGGCAGCAAAAAGAGAGGACAGGGCATGTTCAAGGCGCTGGTGGATGGAGTCCTAAATACAATGGCCGAGTTGGGCAACATGACGGGGTTGAAGAAGCTGGAGGATAGGCTCTAGGAGCGCCTCGCAAGAAACACAGTTGAATCAAGAAAAGGATTGGAGAATGAGCAAAGGCCGAATGAGCCGGATCTGGGAAACGCCGCGGTGGAGTTTGTGGCTACACGTGACTGGAAGAAACGGCTTCGTGGCAGAATTCAAGGCTTGCGATCGCAGCCGGACGAGCAAGGGCCTTGGCGCGAGAGCGAGCAAGTTCGCTTGTGGGCGGTGCTGGCCGGGCAAGATTGGGCGTGAGAGCAGGCGACGGGGGTGGGGGGGCTATGGCGAGCATACGTTTTGGAAGGGGAGGAGACGAGAGTAAGTGGGTTTTTTGTTCCGTGCTCCAACGCTGGAGATAGTATGGAAGTTGTGTTTGGCTAACGGAGGAATTTAGGAATGGCCTTGCTATGACCGGTTGTCCCCCGGGATCTAGTTGATCCCATACATCTATAGAGCCAAGCCGAGCTGTTGAAGCCGGGCCTGCTGAAAGAACTGGGTCTGTCTCGATGTTTGACCGCAATATTGTTCTCCTCTTTGTGATAGTGTTGTTGACGTTGCTTGTTTCACTTGTTCGTCTGCTGTCTGGTAATGTATATCCTCCTCCCCCGCTGCCAATTTGCCGTGAGAGCCAGCTCCCTATTGCTATCTATCTACCTACTTACAATGCGCCTTCGCACAATCGGCCCAGTACTTCCTCTGCAGCCCGTCAAAGTCGATCTCTATGCCCGCAACCTCCACTCTCGGCAGCTCAGCGAACCTTGTCTTGCCGTCCTTCTCGATTTCCATGATAAGATCCCTTTGTGCGTCGAGGTCTCTCTGGAGCTGGTCTAACTTGGAGGGATCGATGCAAGTGCAATCTTCTCCATTAAGAACATGCCTACAGACCGCTTCTCTCTGTTTGCCTTTTTCTGAAGAGCTAGGGCCGATGGGCTCTAAGCTAAGGAGAGTGTTGGGTCCGGGGTAGTTGCTCAAGAGGTGAGGAGTTGGAGGAGCAGGGTTGATCCGAACGTCACCTGGTTCGGTGGTCATTCCATCTGAAGGATCATCGTACAGGTCGCCTGGGTCCTCTTCCAAGTCCTCTTCAACGACCTCCAGGGCCGTGACCCCCCTTTCTTGGTTCGTCGACCGAATGCTCTCTGCATCAGTCCAGTTCCAGTTCGAATTCGCCCTTTCTGAGCCACCCCACCGACTACTACTGCCATCGGGGGGGTCGTCCATGCCCCATTCATGCATGGGTCTTATCCATGATCGACGAGAGATGGTTGTTTGGGACCTGTTCGATTGGGTTCTGATCTCGTCGTCCTCCGCGGCCGTGGTGAAGATCTCTGTCCACCCATCTCCAGACACAGAGGATGCAGTAAAGGACTCGTCGTCGGTATCCGGGAATGCGGATGGTGAAAGCAAGGCTTGGTTGAGGGCTTGGTCTAGGTCAGGTCCAGATCGAGGTGCCGCGTCGGATGAACGCATAACGTCGTCGAGAAGGACAAGGGTGCCTTCGAACTGAGCCGCTGCTCGAACGGCTCCCTGTGAGGGGTCATGGGTATCTAATGATGGCTCCATCACGTGTTTGCAGCATAGAGGCGATGCGATTCTGGGTTGCGTGTGAGGCGCGGGAGTGGTCGCGGTAGCGCCTCAGGAGTACCAGTCGTGCCATCTTATACTCCCACCTCTTCAGTGTCGGCCGGCCATGTAATTGTGCCCCAAGGTGCCCGACTTTCAGCCCACGACACTTCCATTCCCCGCAACTCTACGTGGCTCATCCCTTCTGACCGACGGAAAATGGCAGTGGGGTACAACAGTCAACTCTTTGCTTCCGTTTGTGGTAGGGAAAACAGATACCCGGACTCAAGTCCGGATAGATGGATTCGCTCCGGCTCGGTTTGCCCTTGATACTCCAGGCGTGCCCGTGTTACGAAGCCAGTGGACGTGCGCTGTTGTCATGGACGCTTTGCAGATTTGCAGGGCGAGCGAGTGCCTTTTTCTCGCCTGCTGTATCACCCCCACCGGGTCTTTTCCTGTCCTCTGACATTTTGACAGAGCTGTCTATTCCCTCTTTCTACTCTATCTTGAGGCTCTACGTGGGTTGGGGGAACTCTTTTCCATCGACTGCACATCGGATAGGAACCATCTAGACTATCCCGAGCAATGCACGCTTGTCTACACGTCCGAAAGCAGCGCCCCCATGACCCGCATCCGCCGTCCTTTGACTTATTCGCCAGCGTGGTCCCTACCGACCACGCATCATTACTGCCCGGTCTGGACCTGCTGTCCCCTTGGAACCCCTTACTCAGACGCACCCATTACTAAGACACCCCACGCTCGACGTCAAATCCAGACAGTCAAGCAACGTCCCACAACACACCGCGGAACGCACAGCAACCGCGGGATCTCAGGCGTCACCAACAGAAAAGGAAACGGAAATGATGATAAAGCAGTTAGTTCTACCCTTCAACACCAAAAGAAAGAGATGAGTGACAAAAGGACCCTGGCCCGTACCACTCCCGTGTTTCCCCATCCTCCTCCCCTTCCCTCCCTCGGACATCTTTCCCTTCCCTTTCTCTAACAAGAAAGAATTCCACTACCTCTTCGCACCGCATAAAAGCAGTATCATCAAACACCCCAACGTCGATCCCGACCTTGATCACATCTTCGGGTCGTTTATCTCCCCTCTCCTCCGTCCTCCTCCGCATCTCGGCCTGACAGGTACCACGTGCTACCAACACCCCCATATCAGTTTGTGCTATGTGTGTTCCCCCCTCTCTCGTTCACACAAACTAGCGATTTTGCAACACCGTGCACAGCAGGAGGAGGGAGGGCACGAAATAGAACCGGCTATCAGAGCTTTACATCGGCCATCGCCCAGATGGATTATGGGGGGTTCGTCCTCGTGACAGAACTGGCGGGATGGTGGTGTTAGTGACCGTGCGGACTCGGAAGAGTCGGCGAATTGTGTGGGACCGAAGGGGCTGGTTGTTTTCGCGATGGAGTCGCTCTGGCTGTTGTAGATATCTGGGCATTCATTCACCAGAACGACATCATACTTCGGCTGCAGAGTCGGTATCAGAGAAAAAGAGAGGAGTGGATGGAGAAACGTAGAGATATCTGATAGATACTACCGAAGGGACAGAAGTGCCCTCGGGCTGACTGTCAAAAAGCGCTCATATTGCGGGAGTCTGGGCGAAGGTTGTGTGACAAACATGTTGAAGCTCGAAGTAGACACCAAGGTCACAAAAATGGCCGGACGCTAAATTGCCAAAACTGCAGTAAAGGATACCAAAAACAATCATCATGTCCCGGAAGGGGTGAGGGAAATTACAAAACTTGATGCCCACAGCCAGAATCGAACTGACGACCTCATCATTACTAGTGATGCGCTCTACCACTGAGCCATGCGGGCTGAGCTGACGTGTTGAACATGTCACCGGCAATACCCTTTAACAGACGAATGCCGCTGAAAGCAACGGACCAAGAGATTCCTTCCTTCCTGATCCTCTCCCTCTTCAAAAGAGCATCCACGAATGGGGATGGTGTCGAGCCATTAACATTGTCTCTCAAAGCCAAGAAGTATATCAGGCAGAAAGCGGGGCCCATTGTCTCCCTCTACCTACCTACCTACCAAGAACACGACACCCCTTTGTCCAAGTAATCATGTCACCAGCAAACAATAACAATTGCCAGCGGTCGTGATATATGAGCTATCAGAAAAGCATGGTACTTCTGGCAAAAATAAAAATAAAAATAAAATCCCTCTCTTGTATTAGGACCCGACGCTCTGGATGTGACAGAATGCTCCGGCGTCAACCGACGACGACGTATGATGGAGGCACGTCGATCTCGATGAAGCTGGCAACATGTGGCCAAAATGATTTTACCTTGCCACCCGGGCTGAACGATGCAACAAGAAACACACTTTGACCACATGTCTGACCGGCTTGTGGAAGTGAGATGTGAGATTGTATGTTGTGGCCGAAGTCGGCTTGAGGATGGCGTCTAACTCTGGGGCATGAACGGTTGGGGATTAAATCGCAGGGCTTTCTTGGTTGACCGAAAGGATGATGCTGACTAGGTAGGTAGGTACCTTACATACACCCCTTCAAGTTCACGAGTACACGGGAGTATGAGGTCTATGAGCATCAGCCCATCTTGTCCGTTGCTTCATCGCCCACGAGCAAAAGTTTGGGGCTTGGATTATCTCATAAAACACAACAGTCAAACCCAGTAAGCAAGCCGAGCTTAATATCACACATTCATCAATGATGCTGATGGTGAGCTACTCCAAAGACACGAACAGTGATGAAACGCAGAGCGCCTGGCAAAATCACAGTAAGTGGTCGGGTCATGAGGAAGAAGCATCCGAGCAGACCTGGCAGAATCATTCAGGTCTCATACGTAACAGAAGATTGCATGGTGTAGGTACACACTGACGAGCTGTCTAACCCGCCTCATCATCCGTCACAAAGCTCCCATCCCCTTGGTATACATCATTCAACATTCCCCAAACTCCACCCATCCTCGCGCCGAAATTAACAACCTGTCCTGGGTATAGTAAAACAAACTCATGACGCCCCGCTCACACTACCGTAATCCGCCGTCAGAACAAGACATGACAAACATACAGGCCGGCCTGTAGAAAAAAAGTAAGAACCCCGGGGATGAGCCAGCAGGAGGTGTGCCCGCCTTCACCTTGTCGATCGACAAGGCCATCCTCGTCATCACTCGAAAAGGCTCGTCAACCCATCCGCACGTGGTCGCTGACCACCAACCTCGCCCTATCATAAAGAACCTCCCCTAATAACCCTGACCTGCCCCTGCCCAGCCCTCGGACTCCCCGGCCCCCCCAAAGGTGGCACCAAATACTCCGACGGTCTTCGACTCCCATACTCTGACGGCCGTCTACTCCCACCCCCACCATCAAACCCACCCGCCACACTCCCATGCCGTTCCCTAAACACCCTCTCCGGCGGCACCAACACATCATCCCCATCGTCCCCTTCCTCGTGACTAACCCTCCCTCTCCCATTCTGGTGCCAAGCCATCTTAAAGCCTTCCACCCCTTCCCTATCCACCACCGCCCCCCCTTCCTGTTGTTCCTCCTGCCACCGTCCCGGTATCCTCACCCCAGACCTGATCCACAAAGTCTTAAACTCCTCCGCCAACACAGCCCAGCTAGTCGCCGCAAAAATAACGGCATTCCACAACCCCTGAAGCGGCAACACGACGGCAGAAGCAAGATTGAGCGAGTAGCTCGTCGTAGCTGGGTACATGAGAGCGTAAACGCGGTTGATACTGCTCGGCGTCCACGTCACGAGCACTGAGATCGCAAAAACAAACGAGGTCCGGAGATAGGCCAACTTGATCGGGTCCAGGTTGACAAGCTTGTACCGAAACTTCTTCCACGCCTGACCGACGTGGTTAAACCTGGTCTTCAACCAATTTTGCCTGTTGACATTCGCGACAGAGGCGGACCGGCATCTTGGGGCAGAGGAAACGCTCGAGATAGTCTGGAACGGGTTCGAGTGCTGGGTTCGAGAGCACGAGTGCGAGGTGGGGGATCTCCCAAAGTCGTCGGAGTCGAGGGACTCGGCGGGCGATACCCACGGGTGGAGGGTGGCGGCTGGTGGCTGAGGGGCGGTGGCCATGGCATGGCGGTGGGCGGGCGGTAGGACGGGTGTGATGCTTGACGCGCCGGTGGGTGTCGAGGGCGGGGTCGCTTCGTGCTGCTGGTCGTGAGTGCCATCCGTCAGCGTCGAGGCGTGCGAGGAGCACTCTGCCGCTTCAGCTGTCACTTGGACCTCGGTCGTCACGGTGCCATAGCATGCGCCTCTTCTGTCGTCGAGTTGGGGTTCCTAGCGCGGTTGTTCATGTCAGCATGTCAAACACCCACGGGGCTAAAACGAAGCAGAGGAAAGAGAAAGAAAAGAGGGAAAACATTTGGAAATGACGTAGTAGGGTGTGACAAACATCTCGCCCCGGGAGACGAGAGCGCAAGAACAGAAAGAATGATAAAGGGAAAAAAAAGGGGCACCTTTTCCGCTGATCCTCTGAGGTCGGTGCCGGAGGCGTCCTTGGCCTGGTTGCTCAGTGTGAGGTTCCTCAACTGGTTACGCTGGTGAAACACATGGTAGCCGACTGCCACGTAGATGAGAGCAGACAGCGCGATGCAAGTCCAGATTGGTAGGTAGTAGAGAAAGATGCGCAGCTGATTGTACGCGTCGGCAATCCAGCACCACAGCTAAAAGCAAGTGTCAGCATCTTTGTATCATGAAAGTGGGAACCGAGGCCGCCATTGGAGCCGAAGTCGTGGTGTCGGTGTCGAGCTGAATGTGACGAGACCCTAGGTAGGTACGAGAGAGGTGTTGCGAGATGGGATGGAAAAGAGGACATACTGTTGCGTTCCCGTACATGTGCACATCGCCAGGCCGATGGAATAACATGACAACTGCCGGGACGGCGGGAACACCGAAGCAAACGACACAGTACATCCAGAGATGTCTGTGAAAGTTGTTCGGGTTGTATGCCATGAAAAAAACCATGTACACATTGACAGCCATGGCAAGCGACCACCAAGGATCCGACTGCATGAACCTGGAGCTCCTATCAGCATCTCGATAAAGTCCAAAAGACAAAGGAAAACTTACATCTCCAGCAAAAACGCTTGAACTTTACATAGCCCAGAGTCATCCCCGGCGACTATTCCAGCATAGCCGATCAAGCAGGCGATGCTGGCCCCAACGTTCGCAATGGAAGCAAAGAGGATAAAAGTGTTGGGTACCGTCCGAACCCGCTTAAACATCCAGTAAGCCCAAAAGATGAAGGAAACCCCCACCAGGCTCAGGGAGGCCCCAAACCGTTCCACATGCTGGATGGTGTCTCGTTCTGTCGATGTCAAATTCATGTAGCCGCTTTGTCCAGGGACAATCTTGAGAGCGGCCATAGCGAGAAAGAAGGAGGGAGACCAAGTGCTGGTCATGAACAGGGATATATTAAATCTCAGACTTTTTTTGTTGACAAAAGCGGAAGCTGGTGTGGGAGGTGTGCTTGGTCGGTGGCCGGCGGGGGAAGGGGGGGGGAGGGGAGGGGGGAGCAGCAGTCGCGTGGGTGTGTGGGTGTGTGTGTGAGCGAGCGAATGGGTTCGGAATTCAGGTCAGGTCAGTATTCGACGTGGCTGCGCTAGAAGGTAGAAAGTGCATGGGTGAGTGTCAATCCGCAAGATTGGGTGCTCAGAAATTGAAGCTCGCTGGTTTGCTGGCGGGGTGTATAGGTCGATAGATGGCCCAGCTGTGTCTCTTGCGGCTGGCTTAAGCTGGAGCAACTACCTTACCTGCAGCAATACAACCCCTGATCTGAACCTCTACAGGATCCGACGATGGCTGACCTTGTCCTCTCCACTTTCAGCTAGGTAGCTATTTGGTTTCTGCTGGTATTCTGGTGTGATATCGCCAGCCTCAATGTTTGTTTCCGTGTTGGCATGCAGCAGCAGGTGCCTCGCTGTCAGTAGCAGGCCTGGATGGTTACCAGGTACCTGACCACAGATATCGGGTTGAAGCCAAGATGGGAGGAGGCTTGAAAGCCAAGGCGCGGAAGTGACTGAAATGATGTGCCGGGGAGAGACGGTTTGTCTGGGGAAGATGCGGCATGAGACAGCTGAAGAACGGCCGCCACAACGAGTGGTGGAAACAAATCTCGAGGGGGGTGGAAGGCGACCAGCGACACGTCCAAAACGTGCGGGTGCGTGTCTGGTTTTGGCAGGTGCGGATTCTCGAATCGAGTAGAGAGGGAGGGGATCTTTGCCAACACGAAAAAGGGGGCTGATTGTGCTGCTTCTTGGGTTCTGCATCCAGATGCAGTATCTGCACGCCACCTAATTCCGCCAGCAAACCTGCCCCTGATTGGAGATGCCGTAATTTGTCTCCCTGGGTGTGTGGTATTCAGGACATGTGAGGCCTGCATGCACTGTGATATTCAAGCCAGAATGGCGGCGACAGTATCAACTCCGTATGCGTCCTGCCGCATGGGCTAGACACGATCCACCAAGGCTAAACAAGAATAAGGCACACAATGCCTTCCAGTCTGGCAATGCCAAGGCGGGATTTCGAATTGTTGTTTCTCCTCAGATACACTTGGTTTGAGCTCTTGTTCGAGGCCGCTCATGGATGATGTCTGAGCTCACTTTTCCTCCCCCTCAGAGTAGGAGTGGGACTTTGCTCCAAATTGCTCGTGTGACTCGATACCGTGCCATTGCTCTGTGTGATTGGATGTTCCAGCGGAAATCGACAGGACCACAGCATGTGTTCCGGCCGGCCCTCTGTGCTGGGTGCCTCAGCTTGTAAATTGTTTTTAGACCTCTCTGTTCCATCAAGAAACCGAACTTCACCTCAGTCCTCCAGTCATTTGACGTACCTTAGCGACTAAGTGGTATGTGGGCGTCATGTAGGTTCCAATTATGTATGCATGTTTGATACAACGCAAGTGAGTGTTCGTATGGGGATGAGGTGGGAAGTAGTGAGAGGAGTTTTGAAGGTTCATCATCAGTGAGTGAGTGGTATGTGAGTACCTACCTATGGATAAGGCCAATGAGGCGGCAACAATGATAGCCAATCACACCAAAGCCAATAGCAGGAAAGATGGCGGTTAGCTATCCGAAAGCCGTTACAGAGAAGCAAACATTCGTCAACCGTTTGCTGGGGGGGGCTTTGTGGGCGTTCTTGGCACTCATGGCGAAGGGGGGCTTTTGGACAACATGAAGCAAACATGAGATGAACAAACATGGCAGCACAGTGAGCCAGGGGTGGATGAGCAAGCCACAAATTTGCCTCGATTGGAACTACTGCATTCTGGGACCAGACCTTCGGCCCGAGGGAAAAAGGAACAGACGTCATCCCGTTCTTCTCGTCCGAGTTTTGCCCAGTATCAACGCCATTGTTTCAAGAGACGAGATGGTGACCTTGACCTACCTACGACGAGCTTTCCATCTCCGAAAGAGGTACAAGAACGTGGCAAGAACATTCTTCCGTTATCGCCGCGCAGATTTCTGAGTTTCGGGTTGAGGCCTAACTTCTGACCAAAAGTCCCATACTCTCAAGTCCTTACGGAAAGGACGAACCGGGGAGTCGGGCTGTGAGTGCCCCGGTATGGAGCAACCAGGCGGAGAAATTGAGATGAAATATGGATCTCTGTGCTGTCGCTCTCCGGTCAGAAAGGCCTGAGGCAAAATCAATGGACCTTGATGCAGTGTTGTGGAACTTGATTTCTGCGTGAAGCGATCGGACACCCGCGTTCGCACAGACAGGGGCAGCGCAAGCAACGGCCGTCGACCTGACTCCTTCGTCCCTCTTGGAGCGATGCTCGTCATCGATTGGGTGCCTCCTACTTTGAATGAAAACTCAGGCACTGCAACCAAGCAAGTTGATATTCCGCATGTCACTTCTCGTTCGATGGGCATCTTTCGTCTTCGGTCGATCCAGCGTCTGAGGATCAAGGAAAAGAAGAGGCAGGGCAGGGTATTCGGGACAGACTGCATTTTCTATTGATTTATGTAAAGTGGGATCCCGGCTTGGCTGCCGTCGCCATGCGACACAGCGCATCGAGCTGGGCACAAGGCACAGGCACATCCTCGGCCTTCCGGTGAAGCGATGGTTCTGATGTTGTCTTGTTTCCCGTCCTTGTCCTTGACTGTTTCTTCTCAACCGCGAGAGTCACATTTCCGAGATGTCTTCCTGTCTTTTCTTCAGCTGCCATTGATCGTGACTCCATGTCGGAGAAGAAACACCGAGCCAGGGTAAAATTCTCCTGTCCGAGTCCAGCTCCATGGATTGGCAACAGAATTGGGACTGCTGTGTTCCGATGCAATTCCAACTCGGGAGTATCCCTGTAGTTTGCTGCCATTTTCCTAGAGTTGAAGACCAAAGTTTAGGGCTGTCGATTCGGTAGGTAGGCATCTTTCCCGCCTTGACTGGATAGATGCTTTGTTTGACCAACTTTGTCATCCTTGGAGAAGGCTTGCGACCAATGGTGATATCTTTGCATTAGTCTCCAAAGTACCTGCATTAGTTGGGTTGTTAACTCGACCAGTCAGATGGGTGGTGATGCTGTGCCGAATCCGTTGACGGGCAGTGGGCTGACGTTGCTGCAAGCCTCGAGACAGGACTAGAAGGCAAACATGCTATTTTGGAGGTGGAAAATGCCCGGAACCGTTGAAATCTCACCGCAACCGCTTGGCGCGAAGATAACTTACCTTATGCGAGTTCACCTCTCATGTTCATCGCATGCCGCCCAAGAAGCCAGTAATGAGGATTGTGCTCGTAAAATTCAGGAGAGGAGCTGACAATCTTTCTAGGTATGTACAAAAGTCTCAACGGGTGTAGGTGCCATCGATCGTGTAATCCTTCTGCGGGCCATTGACAGTGTACGCCAAATTCCAATCCACCAGGTTGACCGCCTTGAAGCGAAAGTCATACTTGACGTCGTAATAATCCTTGATACACATGTGTCCAGCCGTCGCCTTCCAGCTCTTTTCGTTATCGTCCTTTGGCACCGTAAATTCCACCTTGTGAAAGAGGTAATCGGCCCTCTTCTGATCATCCGTCTTCGCAAACCAGACACTGAGCTCGTCCTTGTTCTCGTTGTAGCGCCAAATGTAGCGACGAGTGGCTCGGAAGGTGAAGCCGCTGTCGGCCTCAAAGTCGCCTTCTTCGATGTACAGGTACTCCATGCCGATATCACCGCCTTCTTGGACAATCTTGTCGAATTCGGCTTCGCGACCATCTCTTGTGCCCTCCCGGAGCAAGAACCTGGCCGTACCGCTGAAATGACCGCTAGGGTGACTGGGAAGCTTGCTTGTGAGTTTCCTCTCCAGCTTCCACTCTCCCAGTAGAGACCGAAACACGGCCTTTGCGACAAATTTGCCAGATGATACACCTGCCCATACTGTTGCTTCGGTCTGCTTTAGAGATTTCGTGAACTCCGGCTGCTGAAACTCGTTAAGCCTCTTCGATGGATATCGCGCCGGAGTCAGAATGTTCATCTCGTTGCCAGCAGGGGGGAGTGCGGGCATAGCACCGAGATGGTCCACACGCTCCATTTCCAATGCTGTGGCAAATTCTTGCATGAGCCAGGCGTAGTCTCCCATGGGGAACTGAGATGCTCGTGGGTCGTCCCGAAGTGCGATCGTCCGTTGAATAGACTTGTCCTTGTCCAAAGCTTGTTTCAGGGCTTGGGCCAGAGCAACAGATCCTGATCCGCCGGCGTTCCAGAGAGTCGTGACAAATCGAGCTTGCATCTCCATCACACCCCAGTATTGAGATCGGTAGAATCCCACGAATCCAAGGTTGGAAATGCAAGGGTGATATGTGCCATGGAATGCCAACGCAACGGTGTTGTTCAGATCGTCTGGAGAAAGAGAAAGCGTCTCCAGTTCTTCCTGCGGTAAAAAGGAGATTGAGTCAGATGCTTTGAAGCCAGTCGCCAAAACCACTGCTACAATGTCGTCGACTTTGCCCCCTGTTGGCGAGATGATAGCCTCATGACCGGAAAGCTTGTCCAGTTTGCCCTGGGTCACAGTGATGAGCCCTGACCGGACGAACTCGTTGTAGTTGTCGCTGACTGCTATGAACTGTGGGTTGGCATGGTCCTTGTGGGTGAAGGCGAGTGCAGGGGAATAGATGGACTGGTCTGTTCCGAGAGCAGTTTCGTAAAGGGAACTGGTTCGAATTGCTGACTCCTCGGTAATGTGACCTTGCGTATTCGTCAATGGGTGGGGACGGTTGGAGAGGTTATAGGACGCCAAGTCCAACGGCAGGAAGGGGGGTGCCGGTGAGCTTGCCTGATTAGTACACATTTATCAGTTTTGCTCTCCCAGTTCTCCAACAACATGGAATGAATAGGTACCTTTGGTGATAGAAACATTGGCATTACCCAGACCGGTTTTTGAATAATGTGATGGACAGAGTATTTCTCAGGGTTCGCTATTGGGCTTGTTCCAGGCGAGTTCGTGACAGAAGACAAGTGTGTAGCAATGGTGCCGGCAATCTCAACGCCTGACATTTGGCCTCCGACAACAAGAATCTTGCCCCCTTTGGGTTTACCTCCTCCAAGCATATCCTTCAAATTTCGGTACTTGCTGCTGTGGATGACGGGTACTTCGGGATGCTCAGGAATCACGTCGGACCCAGGGACTGCTGGCTTCCCAAAATAGCCCGAAGCAACGAGGAGATAATCAAAGGGACGTTCTCCCAGAGTTCCATCCTTTGAGCGAGTCCAAACACGCCAGGATCCAGAACGAGTTTTCTCGGTCCTCTCAACGCGAGTTTCTAGGCATAGCTCTGCCGCGAGGCAGTACGCTTTGTAGTACCGATCTAGATACTGGCCAACCTGCCACGCTTGCGGCAACTCAGGGGCATCTTCGGGCCAAGCAAGATCACTGAATTGGACGGTGTGTTTGCTCTGGTTGGCGACCATGAGAGGATGGATGAGGCCACCATTGTCGTCCCTCTGGGATGGCCAGAGACCCCCCAGTCGAGGTTGGGAGTCGACAATGGTGACCTCAAAAGTGCCCCTGGGCACGTCGTGGAGAAGAGACTTGGCGGCCACGAGACCCGAAGGCCCGGCCCCTGAAAAAATATTAGCATCAATATAAAGACTATAGTGTGGACAGTCCGGGTGACCAACCAACAATGCACACCGTCTTCGTCATGACAGCGTTCAACTGCGCAAAAAGTCAGTAGGCCGGCGCGCCCGGGAACGATCAGACTCCTCCTCACTTCGGATAGCCGAAGCCAGGGTCGGGCCGCGAGTAAGCGGGTCCGAAGCAGGGCGGGCAGCCGCCAACTAAGGCGAAAAACAGTCACTATCTTCTAAAGATGATGGCTAAGACTATGAAAGAAGATGGTTGTCTCGGGGCTTTTCGTTTGTTGGTTTGGTTCATTTCACTCAGGTTTAGTCATAATCATTCTCACCAGATCAGATGGCTTCTCACCAACCAGATAATGTCGATGTACCCACCTCTTTGGCAGTTTTGATTGGTTCTAGGCTTAGGTAGTGAGAGTATTACTCATCAACCCTCCAAGACAAATCTCATCTCACTCATCTCAACTCTCAGCTCATCGACTTCAAGCTCACGCACCTCTCATCACTCTCACATATATCCCATCCACTCGTCAAATTGGAAAATAACAAGACATGGGTTCAGACAACCTTGTGCTCTTTGCGTCCGCCCAGGCTCGGTGCTTGCATGGTGTAGGTGGCAGAGGGTGGTTGGAACCCATGTCTTGTTATTTTCCAATTTGACGAGTGGATGGGATATTTTGCATTCTTTCGTCTTTTCCCCCAGCAATGACAAGACGTCCGCCCCGGGGTTGCCGAAGAGTGGCGTCCAAAACGTGACTTGACATGAGGTCACATAAGGTTCGCTGCCACAAATCACAGGATTGCTGTATGGCCTCCTGCAGAACGCCAGGAACGCCGAGGACGCCCCCACTGTCACCATCAGCAAACACCAAAAGTCCCACGGACAGCAAACTCGAATCGTGACCGGCGCTCTGCATACTTGGCTCTTTGTTTACCGGCATACATACACATGCTGCCGGTCGTTTGATGAAGACTAGAGCATGCAAAGAGGATGCGGCCACTGTGACACAACATCATGCCCCCGAGACGGCCACCGAAGGGCCCCACATCCGACAGCTGAAGTCCGACTCTCGGGAGCCCGAGTGGTGCCGTCGTGGAGCGGTGAGGGTGGTCTGCTACTTTTCGTGGAAATGCCTGCCTGCTTTTCTCCATGCGCTTCCTGCGACTTCCTGGCCGCCCTATGCGTCTTTCCACCGGTCAAGTCGGCATGTCGCAGCTCAATCACCTGAATTTCTCCTAGCGGATGCAACCTGTCAAAACCTCCTTGCCTCAGCTCTGCAACACTCACGACACCACGGCGCATATTCCGCTCCTGGAATGGAAGAAGCAAAGAGTGGATGGACACTTGGGGATTTACGGAGGCGCCTCCGATGGGCGCGGGGCGTGCCAAGCCAGATGTGTGGCTTGCAGAGAGCCGATTGGCGAATCCTCGGCCGTCTGGGCAAGAATTCGCAGAAGCAATTCCGAACGTCTTCCCGTCTTGGCAGATGCTTACCAACCTTGGCATCGAGACGATCTGTCTCCTCTTTTGACCTCTGCCAAGTGTCTGTTATCAGAACCCCCCCCTGAAGAGCAGGCAGTCCATTCTAATTTCTCCATCTCAGCAGACACGTGGGCGAGGTCGCAGGGAGGCAGTCCTACCGGGCACTTGCCTCATGGCCATGTCTTCCGCCGGAAGCAAAGGTAGAGTCTCGCATTAGTCTGCCCATTGTTGCTCATCGACAATCTCCCGGCAAGCCCCACGTCCACGAGGGGGGGTGCTGGTTGCGCTCTGATGGTTGGACAGGTGTAGCAAGGATTTGAGGTTAACCACGGCTTCAAAGAGCAACTGCGGGGAACTCATTTCCTAGAGATTCACTCAGTCTCCCGTCCAGAACAATAGGACACCCACTCCATATTCAGACGTGATGCTAGGATGAAGCCTCTCGGAGTCGCCGTGGTAGGTCACCCACATCCAAAGCATACAGCGCGCTATGCCAGCGCAGGTATAGTTATTTTGCCGTTCTCTTGTTGGTCCTTTCTACCAATCTACTTCATGCTGTTGGCCAATAGGCCTTTGTTGTCGACTGGTGGCTGCTTACCGTAGTCTGGTCTGGAAAATGGCCACACTGAACAATGGAACCGACCCAAGGTATCCAGGTAGCTACCTCACCTTGGTACGGTGCTGAGGTAAAAGACATGCAGAAGCATGCGGGGTATAGACTCGGTGGCTGAACTCTTGTCCAGCTCCAATTTTCTTCCCGGTAAGCTATCGGAGCCGGTTCCTGGGGACCTGGGCGCAATGTGAGTCTGGTGAAAGCTGACAAGATGGAGAGACAGCAGCTTCCCATAGACGGCGCTGGATCTGGGTCACGACCGCTTTATCTCCGGAACTCTCAAGTACGTGCTGGGGCAGCCTACCGTGGTAAAGGCCGTAAAAGGCTCTGCGAGTGGGCATGTCTTGATTCTCAGTAAGGGGGGGGGGGGGGGGGAAACTGGTGGGAGCCAAAATCTTGTGACACAGTACCTTGATCTGTCTTGCTGGGAACCGGTCGAGTGAGACACTATGACGCCCAGTCAAGGTCCAGGGTCGCGCTATCTTTGGAACTCGTCAATCTGGCATGCGTGTGATTACCGCTGCGAACTCGGGTGCCCCAGGAGGCGTCGATATTAGGGTATTGGCCGGCCCCAGGTAGCTCCCAGAGAACCAGAAGCAATATATGACCATGATATTCGGAGAAGCTACAAGCATCACCGCTTCGGAAAGACACACAAGTTAATTTACGATCCCTGCTCTGTGGCCGCCTGACGACGCTTCCAACGGTTCTAGAAACCTTCACCTCGTAGGCCAATGGCCGAATTCTCGGCGTTCGGATGCTGTGTCTCGTTCACTGGAAGCCGGCAAAGAGAGCGGGGGCGTGGAAAGGCGCTTTCGGGCATGGGCTCTTGGTCCTGCAGCTGCATCAGAGGTTTGGAGACACACTTCGGGGTCGTTCTAAGTCGCTCTGCTTCTCAACAAGAGGGGAGGGGGGCGCGGTCTATTGGACTTGGCTGTTCGGGAACATGCGCAGACGAAAGGACTGACTGGCAGGGATACCGAGAAAGCCAGCTTCGTCCATGCCGGGAGCCAGTATATTGAGGTTTGCGATATCCCTGTCGCTGGTTCTCAGTGGAGAAACACGGACGGGCAGTGGTGTCCTGTGGAGGGTGGCATCCGTCCGTGGCGTCTGGTGCCAGCGCCATACATATAACATGCTTCAGCAGTTGAAAGCCTCCTCCGCAACTCAATTCCGGTCATGCATCGTTGTCTCGACGGTATAGCGGCATCCCCCAGGCTCCACGAGGTGACAGATCGACCAATTGCGTGTTAACGAACCAGCGGCTCGCTTGCCATCCAACACCACCACACCTTGATAACACCCACGTAGCATTTCCTGCACGCCAAACACCACCCTCTCTGCACCTTCTGCTTACAGAGACACGCTGGGATTGGTCGTTTGTGGCCTCACTTCCCGACAGAAGACCCGGAACAAAGATCCTTTTCGATATTCGGGAGTGCATCGCGCTGATCGCCCGCTCGGTGATATCGGTGTGGCCCCCGCATCCAATAGAGCGGACAATACGTCAACGAATAACGGTCAAGTGACTGGAAGAGGAAGTTGAGACTGACGCCTTCACTCCACACCACCAGAATCTGTTTTCTGCTGGGGGAAAAAAATGGACACCATGGGTTCGTGACTTCCCCCCCTCACTTCTCCGCCGTCTGGCTTTGAACATTAAATACACAACTCCCATCCCGCACCATCCAAGCAATTGATTCCCGCTCGTTCCTCTTCTTCATGATTCATTGCCCTCCCACCATCAACGGTAGCGTACTTTTCAAGCACCGTTGCTCAAAGCCCGGCTGAATCCCGTCTTTCCGGTCCACTGGACCGTCGTTTCAAATCAAACTTGATAGTTTGTGTCGGCTAACACAATCTGGGCTCTCACAGCAGCCAACGACATCGTCACATCAAAAGAAAGGCTAGTCCTGGAGCAGATGATTAGCATGAGTGACGACAGAGAGAAAGACTCCATCAGCGAGGCTCAGCGAAGCCACGACGAAGGAATGGAGTTTCCAGAAGATCCAGACGCCCATCTCACGGCGGCCGAGAAGGCCGAAGTGGTAAGAATTGACTTGAGTCATGTATTTTCAAGTCAATTTAGCGCTAACAACCATCATACAGGACCGCAAGTTACTCTGGAAGCTAGATAAGAAGCTGATGCCATGGGTAACTCCATTGTCACTCCTTCACTCGGCCTTGAACAAGACTAACCGCAATTTCAGCTTTGTTTCCTTTACCTCCTCGCCTTTCTCGACAGAACGAACATTGGCAATGCCAAAATCGCCGGTCTCTCTGAAGACCTCGGCCTCACCATCTCGTCTTACAATGCCACCCTCACCATCTTTTTTGTGTCGTACGCCGTCTTTGAACCCATCACCAATATCATGCTAAAACGATACCGGCCCTCGGTCTTCATCCCCATCATCATGTGAGTCCCGGTCAAATCTACTTCTTTGTACCACTCTGACAATCAATATCAGGGTGCTCTGGGGCGCAAGCATGCTAGGAATGGGCTTCGTCAAAAACTGGTCCGGCCTCATGTGCGCCCGCTGGTTCCTCGGCCTCACCGAAGCGGGCCTCTTCCCCGGCGTGAATTACTACCTCTCGTGCTGGTACAAGCGTTCTGAATTTGGCCTGCGCGCTGCCGTCTTCTTCTCGGCAGCTGCCTTGTCCGGCTCGTTCGGTGGTTTACTCGCTGCTGCCATCGAAAATATGCACGGCATCGCTGGCCTCCCAGGCTGGGCCTGGATTTTCATTCTGGAGGGCCTCCTTACCATCATCGTCGGTATCATGTCCTTCTGGCTAGTCTACGACTTTCCCACCGAAGCCAAGTTCTTGTCTGAAGTTGACAGAGCGAGAGTTGTCAGGAGGCTAAAGTTTGACAAGCAGAGCTCGGCGGAGAATGAAAAGTACACCAACAGTGCGCTGTGGGAGAGTCTGAAGGATTGGAAGATGTGGCTCGGGATGGTGATTTACATGGGGTGTGACATGCCGCTTTACGCGTTTTCTCTGTTCCTGCCGACGATTATCAGCGATATGGGTTGGAACACGTCTGTCATTCGAGCGCAGCTTATGAGCGTGCCCCCGTATGCAGCAGCTGCTATCCTGACGGTTGTTATCGGTTTCATCGCCGACAGGACAAGACAGAGAGGCCTCTGCAACATTCTGGTCTCAGTCTTGGGGGTGGCGGGGTTCGCAATGTTACTGGCGAGCGAGGATGCAGCGGTCAAGTATGTCGGCACGTTTCTCGGAGCGTTGGGGATCTACCCTTGCATATCGAACACTATCTCGTGGATGGCAAACAACACCGAGGGGGTTTACAAGAGGGGGGTGGTGATGGGGTTTGTGATTGGGTGGGGAAATCTGAACGGGGTAGTGAGCAGTAATATCTTCTTCAACGGGCCGAGATTTGTGGAGGGACACGCGGTAATTATTGCGTACATGGCGGTCTTCCTCTTTGGGGGGTCGGTGTTGATGACGGTGCTGTTGAGGAGGGAGAATGCGAAACGGTTGAGGGGGAAGAGGGATTATCTGGTGGAGGGCATGAGCGAGAAGGAGATGGAGAGATTAGGAGACAGGAGGCCGGATTTTATTTATACGGTTTGAGGAGGTTGAATGAAGGGAGGGAGAGGGAGAGGTGGAAGACGATGAAGATACCATTTTGCTGTTTTTTTTTTTTTTTGGTTGCTGGTAGGCATTGCCTGTTGTGTCTTGAGGCTTCAACACCTTTCACCGCACATTCGAACTATTTTGGGCCTTTTTATCTGGTATTATTTCTCCGCGGCAGTAAAAAAATGGAGTGGTTCTTTTTTTGTTCGCTCTGTCTTTTTATTTTATTTTACATTTTTATACATGAGCAATCATGGCACAACCACCATCTATCTTTATGGACTCCCCCCCCCCCTCTCTCTCTCTCTCTGCACATGTGAAGTGAAGTCTGCTTGACTGACGCTACGCAGATTGCAGTCACAGGTCACAGTCACACGGTCCACAGTCATGAGCTGAGAGGGTGTGGTGGTCCTGTATCCAGACGGGGAAAATTGGAGGCATCACATGTGGATGTGAATCCCTCAGTTTGGAGAGGGACGGTAACGTCGGAAAGCACGACATGTGGTTTCCCACTGGCTAGTTGTACAGAGGGCATGTGTAGGACAGGTTGGGAGAAAGAGGTTTCGGTTCGGGAAGAACTCAGGTACTCAGGTTGGCCGAGAGAGTGACGGTAGGAAACATGGCGGGAGAATAGGTGCACATGTTAGCTGTACCCAAGGTGATTGCTTGGTTGCGGTATGGCTTTGGTGGTGTGAATTCTGGGAGGTGTTGTAAACTTCTCTTCACTCTAGAACAAGAAAGTCGCATTGGTCCTCATGGAATGTATGGTTTGATAGGATACAATCTACCCAGCATCCAGGTGTGGGTTTGTTCAGTGTGCGGAGGATTACTCCTGACGGGAGACCATCAGATTTGAGGGGTAACAGCTTGCCATGGCTAGTAGTACAGTCTTGAGAGTACTACTGCCCAACCTGAGGAGACAGCTTGCTTAGCCCGTTTTGTAAATAAAGAGGCTCGCGGCCCGGTCGAAAGGAGACAGCCTGTGAATGACGTCTGCCAAAAAAAGGTGAGCTGCTTTCTGTTGTGCCCGTCCTCCGCATACGGCGGCACCTACAACTGCCTCGGCTCCTCCGTCGGTCTTATGCGTGCGCATGCCAGAAGAGTGGTGTTTGTTCAATGTCTCTTTCTGATATCGTACAGCCGTCGTTGCCGTCGGTTTGGGCCGTTGTTGGACCTGGTGGTCGGCGGGAAAAGGGGTAAGGAAGAAAATGCCGAGCTTGCCGACGGCATGGAATAGGTACCTGGTAGGAAAACGGTAGCGCCAGGCCAAGAGCTGAACTTTCGACCTGTCCGTCGGGCGAACACGCGTGTTGTCTCGGGGTTTGCAGCCAAGGTGAATACGTCAAAAAGGCGCAGCTGCGGTTCTCGCTATCGAGACGCAGTCGAACGGGTGCCTATGGTAGGTAGCTACACGGACAGTAAGAGTTGCATTTGCTGCTCAGGCTGGCTGCCCGACTGCCAGGAAGCAAGGATGGGGGCGGTCGTTTCAGGGGTAATTGTAACGTCTCTGACCTTTTTGACTAAGATCAAAGACCACAAAGCTCGAGCGCCGGGCACAGCAGCGACATTGTGCGTTGACAAGCGGGCTCGGTGACACTGGACTTGCCGGGAAGACGGGCAGGAGGGCGATTCAGCGGAGTCTGTTGACGCTCTGTGGCAGAGCGCGGACATGGGACTGCCATGATGGTTTGTGTTGCTGGTTCAGAGGCAGGTCTTGGGTGCTGCTCAATCGTGTCTGGCGAGGTTGCAGTTTGGTGTACCCTGCTGTGTGCTGTGTTACCGTGGCCATCCCACGATGTCCCTTGGCCTTGGTTGCCCGGACTGGTGCCTTTCGGCGGTCCTCTTCTGAGGGGCACAAATGTCCAGGACGTCTCTGTATGGCGAGTATATGTCTCAACATCCAGCGACGTTTGTGTCACCGCGCAAGAAGTTGCAAAAATAAAATAAAAAATCATGAAAAGGAAACAAAGACGGAATACGGGCTGCGTGCCAAGGGAGGCCCAGTTTGAAATGTGTCGGCCTTTGATTGTGTTTGGTGCCCGATCAGTGCTTGCCTTTCGAGGCCCCCACGTTTGAAGTGTAGTGCTCTCTGCAAGGCTCACTTCGGATGAGGCACCGTTGACACGCGTTGTCCACAGGAAGTTGTTGTCAAGGCTGGCCAGGTTTGAGATTTTCTGCTGTCCTGACACCTGATTGACTGCTCGAGATGCATGCTGAGATCACCAAGCCAGACACAGACGATTAATGGTCGATGACGGGCGGGAGAGTGCTGCGGAGGAGTGCTTGTCCCTGCAGATAGCTGCAGGCTGCAGGACCGGCAGCAGCCACACCACCTGAGCCCCTTTCTCACCGATGCCCGACGGGGGAGATGGTCCTGGTGGTCTTCATTCCGGTGACTTGAGGTAGGAGCCAGGTAGGTAGGTATCATCAAATGATAACCTCGCCTGCATATTCTGACCGACCCGAGATTCAGCGGCATGGCTCGATCGGCACAGTTGGTGAGCTGATTCTGGGTGCCGCACCACATACATATCAATATGCGTAGGGAATGCCATTGGTGTCGGATGAAAATAGGATTCACCGTCCAACGCCTCTACAACGTCTCCCTGCTGCCGGGCGCAGCTGGGGGTGTTTGATGCAGAACGAGCTGACGAATAAGACGATGGCCTTTCATGAGTCACGAGATTTCAAAGCAGCGCACAGGCACAAGGCAAGAAAGAAGGCGGCCAAAATGGAACCGTTCCGGAAGGGCTTCACCGCTGCTGTAATCCCAGAGGACCCTGGTCAGTCCTTCACATCGACTGCCACTTTGGACCATATTCATCATCACCTCGACAGTGGATTGGCTGCCGCCGTTGAAGTAAATCGAAGCCATTGGCTGGACCAAAGTGCAAGAAGAGGCACTCCTGCTGCCAGACCGGACAACTGTGTGGGACCTGACAGCTGCGTCGGGCTATGAGAGCACTCACCAGACCAGGGCATCATTGTAAGATTCAACTACTCCTTCCCTTTCCCTCAGGTAGTGCACCTTTCTTCCTACCTTCTTGTCAGAAGGTTCAGCCATAAGAACCCACAAGAATCGGAACTCAAACGTACCATTAAAAACCCCTCAGTCTTCTCCTCTATTCCCAAATTCTCTCCCCTCTTCACTCTTTTCCAACCACAAACAAATCAATCACCACTTCAACTGTATCATATCACTCTTCAGAGTATACTACAGGCATCCTTCATCACCTCTCTGGCAGCAGCATCACGGCATATCAAATCATAATTCTCAAAATGCCGTCCTCCAATTTCAGCAGCTCCTCTTCATCCACCGCTGCCGGCGAGAAATCTCGGATTCCTCCCGACTACGAGTGGAAGTACCACAGCGGTCATGAGTCCAGTCGCCTCTGTTCCTGCAAGACTTGGTGTGTCACTCAGTCCCCTTCCGTCATTGATCTCCTTTTCAATGTCGACAGGACAGTTGCTAATATCTTTGATTTTGACACGATAGCTCCTGTGGTGCTGCTGTCCCCTACGCCGGCGACCTCTGTGACGACTGCTCCAAGCCACACTAGGACAGACGTGTTCTTTGGTTGATTTTGGGAGGGCCGTCTTGGTGTCGGATAGGTAGACTCTGTGGGAGGCCTGTTATGTTCTGAGATGGGTGTTGGTGTTCTTTCTGTGGACTCTGTGTCTGGATTCAAGCAGCTGGTGCCTCTGATAGGACCGGAGAAGGAGTTGCTTTAACATGTTTTGGTTCGTCACTTTCAGTCCATCATCTCTTCCAGAGGTTGGCCTAGTGTGAGCTGGTGTGACTGACACTCCTTGACACAGCACCATTCGTCCAAGCAATGTACCTTTACTCGGTTTCTTTCTCTCTGCTTTCCCCACGCCGGTACTTCATTCCCGACACGCCTCTCGGCCCTGGGACCACGAGGCCGGATCCTATTCTTATATCTCCACAACGAGCAGACGGTAACCCATTATCGCGACCGCTACTCCTATACCAGTCCGGTCCTGTCCTCCCCGGATTTCCAGAGACTTGACATCGGCACCCAAACAACCAGTACTGGGTCTTTGCCAGCTCCTTCTCCTTTCGAGCCCCTTCTGCCTTGCGACACTTTGGGCGGTCATCCTCCGCTCCTCTCCAGAACAGCACCTCCACCGCTCCTCTCCGGAACATCACCTCCACCGCCTTGACAACCATGTCCCAGTCAAGTCGTCATGGGGTGCCACAACGAACTCGTTGCAGTCAACTTCCAGTGCCTGGTTCCGTCGGCAGAGGACTGGGTGCGTGTCGCGGGTTCCCTCTGGCCTAGGATCTCGTCGGTACTATCCTTGGAACGAGGATCTCAAACCAGCCAGATTGCCCTCATGAAATCACTTTTCTGAAGAAAGGAGTATTATGGGTTGGCAACGAAGGTGTGGGTAAAGTTGATGATATCGGTGATGTATGGGAGAAAGACAGAAAGGAAAAGACTGTGGCCCAGGTTGCACCCTTCGAATCATTTTTCTGTATCAATACACATTGTACCATTATATATTGATCCAGTCCGTCTAGACGTGCCTAGTTTGTTGTGAGCGTTTACCAATCCCCACCGCCCCCCGAATAATCAATTCCATTATACGCCAATGCATCTGCACTTCCCTCTCCCTTGTCCTTGACCACGTGCGTGAGAGCAGCATCCATGAGCCTCTGCCTCACCTCCTCGGGCGTATGAGCCCCATAGACCATCATGAAATACGCCGCCAACCTAGCAACATGCAGAGCAGCCATGCTCGTCCCGCTCATCACCGCACTGGCATGATTATCTCCAAACCCAGCCGACATGACGTCCACCCCGGGAGCAAAGATATCAACCCCCTTCCCATAACTGGAAAACCCAGCTCTGGTACCATTCTGGTCCGTGGCCGCAACAGTAATCGCATCAGGACACAAAGCAGGCGAGAGATGCTCTGTCAAGTTATTATCATTCCCTGCGGAGTTGAAGCGATCTGGGTGGTCGGGTGGGACGGTGAAGTTAGGCCCAAAACAGACTTTGGACTTTGTAGAATTGGAAGGGGGGGGGGGGGGGGAGGAGTCCTGGTTGGGCTGGAAGTGGGAGAGGCGGGATTGGCCCCAGTTTTGGGCTGGTTGGACGTTGGTTTTGAGGTTGAAATGGGGGGCTTTTGGGGGTGGCTCATTGGTGTTGCTGTCTCTTTTGGAGTTGGTCGGCGCGAGGAGATTGAAGATGGTATTGGCTTGGGTGGTGACTTGGGCGTTGGGTTCAACGCGCTTGATCTGTTGTTGTTGTTGTTGTTGTTGTTGTTGTTTCAGTAGAGCTCTTGATGGTTGGAAATGAGCAAGCTGTCTCACAAAGTCCAGCTGCTTTAGCTGCTCAACGTGCTCGGGGTCAAGGTGTCCATGGAAGGCTCGAAACCCGGACCCGATGTTGAAGTGCCGGATGACACCGGCGTATTGATTGGCGGCTGTTGAGAATTTTTGCGCCGTGGCGTGAATACCCACGGTATGGGCAAGAAACTGCTCATGAGAGAGATCAGGGCCGTCGTGGAATTGGACCGAGTACTCATTCGCGAGCGACTTTTGGGTATTGGGGTTGGAAGGGGAGTGAGAAGACATCCGTCAGTAGGATGAGGCTTGAAGTGAGTGACCTCAATGTTGGAGTCATGTTGCCGAGACGTAAACAAATTAGCAGTCGAAGACGAACAAAACAAATCTCGATGTTGATGAGAAATGGGTAGTGATATGTCCCAGAACAGATGCCTAAATACAATGAAGTCGAAGGCAACCGTGGTCGTTACGTGGAAGGGGTTGCATGAGCACGCAGATGATGTTGCCTTTAAGAGCTGGACAGGTATCCCAGCAAACGGAGGTTGTATTCATCCCACTGGGAACAGTAGCCACGCACTTGTCATAAAACATCATCTCAAGATCTTGAAACAATTGTCATTCTTCATAAGGCATCAATCCAAGGTATCTAAACAACAATAAGCACGTAACCCCATTCCAAACTCCAGCTCCTCTGACTGACCGGTCAGGCGTCTACATCCTGAGGCCACCAATCGGTCAGTGACCATCCGTCATTGTCCAAACCCATTAATCACCGGAATTACTAGAAAATAGCTCCTCGAATGACCCATGTTGATTAACTCCTTACAGGCTTTCTCCTTCTCGAGGCCTCAAACTCCACAGCATCGTTACCGAAGGGATGGTTCGGGGAATAACCTCCGCCGTTAGTGTAGTACTGCTCGGGAGCGCCCCGCGGGGTGCGAGTAGTCGAGGTCGGAGAATACGCGCGACCCTCTTCATCCCTCACTTTTCCCGGCCGGGGCGGCGGAGGAGGCGCTGCCTGAGGTGGCCGTGTCGTGTATCCAGTGTCTGGAACATGATCAGTCTCCACAGTCACTTCCGGTCTGATGGGCCCGTAAGTGGTGCTCGGGGCATGAGTGGATGGTGGTGGAGGAGCCTGGGAGGGGGGCTGAGAGTATCTAGTGTTGTCATCGTACCCTCTGCTTGGTTGCGGCTGTGGCGTGAACTCCCCACCGGAGGGCTGTCGCGAGCGTCTTGACCGTTTGCTGGTGCTTCGACGTACTGGCTTGGGAGCCTCATCATCGGACGTCGACTCGCCATCTTCGGGTGCATCCTCGGCGTATGCCCTGAGCTCCTTGCGCATGGCAAGACTGGCGCAGATATCCTTGGCCTCTTCGATGGCCTTCTTCTGGACCTTCAATGTCTGTCTCCGATCCCTTGTCTCCTTGTTCTCGGCAGCGATAGCCTCGACAATCTCGTTGCTCAAGCCCAAAACTTCGACCGAGTTGAAGATGCCGTACATGCCCTGGAGCAGATGTCTCTCGACAACCTGGACAATGGTATTGCGGATGAAGGTCTTGGCAGCGAGCTCATAGTAGATGAGCATCTTCTCGAGCACTTCTTCGGCTTCCGTGTACCGGGCACCATTTTGTGAGCTGGCGATGTGCCAGGCTCGCAAGCGCTCCTCGTATTCAGGGTCGTAGGGTTGGACCTCGAGGTTCTGGTCTTGCATGAGGAGATCCAGTTCGCGCTGGGCTTTGGCCATCAGAGCCTTCATTTGGGGGTCGAGGAAATGACGCCGGAGCGGCTCGCGCATGCGCTTCGGCCAAGCATAGTCGATAAGCTCGCCGAGAAACTCGTTGCAAACAACGCCGAGGTTGTCCTTGTGCTCTTGGGCCAGCTTGGGCCAGTTCTCCGAGTAACTCTGGAAGAGCATGTAAACAGCTCGGGGTTTGGCGTCCATTGGGAATTCAGTACCGCGGATCTGTCGGAGCAACATTTCAACCTCGCTAGTCACAAACTCTCGCTTAGCATGGTTAATCGGAGCAGGATCGTCGGCGTCTCCTGATGCGGGGGGCATGGCGAAGTTGAGCTTGCGCCCCTGGGCCCTGATTCTTTGCGAAAAGCGGTCATTTTCTTCGCTAGCACGGGCGCGGAGGTTCTGCGCTGGCGTGCCTCTCGGGTCGGCAGTAACTCTGAAGAAGGTCTTCTTCGGAGGGTTCTTGTAGAAGCCGTATACAGCTGGAATGACAAGTTCCTTGGATGCCGAGAAGAGTTCAACGAGCTCAATCCGCATCTCCTCCGGGGTGTCCTTGCCGATACCTAGGGATTCGAGTTCGGTGTTGGTGTCGTCAAGTGCCTTTTGGATCTGCTTGCGCAAGATATGGACGTGCTTTCCGATGTGAAGCTGGAGCTGGACGCTGAGCTTCTGCATCAATGCCCTTGTGCCACAGATGTTACGTGGGACTTGGGCCCATTTTCCGCTGTTAAAGAAGGAATCCTCTACCCGACGTCTCTCCTCCGGGGTGGGCCATGGCTGGCCGGCCTCTCGGGGTCCGGGGTTCAGGAGAACATACCAGCCCAAGCGGAAATCGTTTCTCTTGTCCTTGTTCATGACGAGGTCGATGAACTTGTCTTCGAGGCCAATCGACTCGGTAAGGTCGGGCTTGGTCAACACACCAATGGTTCTTGACCCATTGGGATCGAAATGCCGTGCCTTGGTGAGAATAGGGGCTTGAACGTAATCCGAATTTCCGCCGACGACTGCCAGAATGATGGTGCGAGAGCTCTTCATGTAGCGATCGGAAAGGGCCTCGATAGTTCGGATATCTTCGAGCGACTGGTCGTTGTTGGCGTTGCGAACGAGGCCAGGCAAGTCGACGAGGGTCAGAAGGGGCATATCAGGACCCCTTTTCTCCACCACAAGGATATCTCGAGCAGCAAAGCGGCCGGGGATGTTCTTTGGCGCAATCATGTCGACAGCCGACCGCATGAGCTGCTCAAACGGCATGTTGGTGTTAACCATTCCGCCAAACTGCCTCAACCTCTCCTGCTCGGGAAATGGTCTGTTCTTGTCGGGAATGACAGAAACTGTGATGCTGGCTTGTGGTGCCCTCCTCAGCCTGATTTCGGTTGCAAATCTGGTGCAGGCGCCGGCATCTCGTGGAAAAGGGGTGCCGGTGATGGCCTCGAGGACGGAGCTCTTGCCGGCGCTCTGGTCGCCGACGACGACGATCTGCGGGAGCTTGACATTGTCAAGTTGGGCAAACTGAAGCTTGTCAATAAGATCGAGGAGAGCGCGTTGGTCTCCGGCCAGCTCCTGGGCGTCCAGGGCGACCTCTAGCCTGGTGACCATGTCGAGCGAGAAGTATATAGGATGCTGGTAGGCGTGCTATACAGTTGGATATAATGATGGAATATGTCGGTAAATATAGGGAAAGTTTGGTGATAGATGCGCAAACAGCTATGGCTCAGCTGTGAGGCTTGATAGGGGGAAATGGCGGACGGGACAGGAACAGCAAGAGGAGAACACCAGAGATGTATTAAATACCTACGACGCCCTACCTTTGCCCGATGACAATGGCACAAGTTGGGCGGTGCCTGGATTTCCAGTGGAGTGGTTGCGCAAGGCCCGTTGGGGACGGTGACGACTGCAGGCGATGCAACGCGTCACTCGTCACTGGTCCCGGGCAAAGAGTTGGGCTGCGCAGCCTCTCCGGGTGGCGAGCTTGGGCCTGCCAAGACTGCCATTGGCTCTTGAGGCCTCTTGAAGCAGGCAACTGGTTCGAAATAAGCTCTCTGATGCTGTGGGAGCGCCGATGCCTCTGTGGAAGTTGACGAGCTGATGAGCCATGTGTTTCTCGTTGTGTCGTAGCGTAGTCCTGATATTGGGGAAAGGGATGGCATGTGACGTGGGACAGAAGAAGACAACAGACCCTAACCCTCTGACAAAAAGCTACCTTGGGTGTTTAGTCAGCTGTAAGACTGTGCTTCACCACAACAACAAGGCCAGCAGAGACCCCTGAATCAGATCGACAATCGTCTTTGATATCGACGTCGGCTGCGGACAGTTTCGCTTACTTCCATCTTCTCATAAGGCATCCAGTACTCTATTCGCAGTCGACTCCATAGCCACTCCAAGCTCCGTCAGCATGGCATCCCAGGAGGCCACCAGCCAAGCAACCCCGCAAAAAATCGTTGTTGCCTCGCTGAATCCCGTCAAAACCGGTGCCGTTCTCGAGGGCTTTACGCACATGTTTCCCGGCGGAGCATACCAAGTGTCTGGAGTTAGTGTCCCCTCAGACGTGCCAGACCAGCCACTTTCAGACCAAGAGACCCTCCAAGGTGCCCTCAACCGCATAAAAAACGCTCGCTCGCTTGAACCCGATGCCGACTTCTGGGTGGGTGTGGAAGGAGGCGTTAACCCCGAGGGCGAGACGTTCCAGTCTTTTGCTTGGATTGCCGTGGAGAGCAAGGAGGGCCGTACCGGCAAGGCGCGCACCGCAACGTACTATGTTGCTCAAGAAACGGCCAATCTGATCGGTGGGGGGATGGAGTTGGGCCACGCAGATGATCTGATTTTTGGGAAGACAAACTCCAAACAGCACAGCGGTTCGGTGGGCATCTTGACGGACGATGTGGTCACCAGAACTTCGTATTATATTCTAGGCTGTCATCTTGGCCTTGATACCGTTCAAGAACACCCAGTTGACATTTTCATCGAACAAGAGTGGTTAGAGGTCGGATGGCAGCGCAGCTAGGCGCGTAGAGCTGGATCTCGCTCTTCTGCATCTTGAGCCAGGTGATACGGAGTGGTAGAAACTAACATACGCATTGCAAGAAACATGTTACCCTCTCGGCCCCCAAAATGACCTTACAATCGTTGAGCAGAAATATTGTCCAATATCAGTGTTTGCAAGTCCCCAAATGAAGCCTTGTTCAGCAGCAGGCAGGCGATGCATGTGTAAGGAAGGCGCATCTTGCCGGTGGGCCCCATTTGCACGTCACCATGCAGACCGGCCCCACAGTGTCCTGTCGCATGTGGAGCCGTGAAACTGTTGCTGTTGAAGGTACTCGAGGACAGTACAAGGACGAGTCTACATTTGCAGCTTTGAGGGCTTTGCATACTCTGTTGATGACAGCTTTATGTTTAAACTTGCCTGGTATATACTTCTTCGAGAGTTGAAGTCTACATTCTATCATCTCCAATCACAAAACCCCTGTTACTTCGACGGTAGTTGTACCCTTGACCCACTCTTTTTGTAATCTACCAGCGCCAAGCCTGCGTGACCAGTCGTCGGTTGTGGTCAACAGTCGACAGCTCTAGCTCGTCAGTTCACTCTGAAAAGTTCATCCCACGTCGTCCATCTTCGACGTGCCCGTTCACATTCCCCTCAGCTTCAACTATGCAATCATGAACGGATTCGAAGACGATAAGAAGCCAAAGTGCGATGGCGACGAGTATGTCAAGCCTGGGCCCAAGGACCTCCAGGTTCAGCTCGTCATTTCCCTATCGCTAGGGGTTTCTGCCTTTCTAGCCTTTTGTGTACGTACGCTTCTCATTTTTCTAGTCCCAGTGAGCCTCTAACGAAAAGCTCCTTGACAGATATTACGACGACGATGGAAATCCCTATACGCCGCGCGCAAACGACATGCCGAGATCGAGCTCCCACACTTGCCCGACACTTTGTTTGGTTGGATGCCCGCCCTTTATAGGATTACCGAACACCAGGTTCTGGCTTGCGCCGGACTGGACGCATATGTATTCCTGACATTCTTCAAGATGTCGTTGCAGCTCTTCGCTGTCATGTTCTTCTGTGCCGCCGTTGTTCTCGAGCCCATCAATCGCCACTTTGATCCCGGACACAAACGCAACGACACCCACCCCTCCGAATTTTCCCTGCTCCGCGAGTATGCGCCGTATAGCGACTATCAAAGAGTCAACCTCTTCGGAAACGCTGGCGAAAACTCTGGCGACGACCATGGGGGCGATGACGAGAGCTTCAACAAGAACATGAGCTACTTGTGGTCTTACCTGGTGTTTACCTATGTATTTACTGGACTTACCCTGTTTATGCTGAACCGGTACACTCTGAAGGTCATTGGCATACGCCAGAACTACTTGGGCACACAATCTACAATCACCGACCGAACGTTCCGATTGTCTGGCATTCCTGAGAACCTGCGCACCGAGAATGCGATCAAAACTTTGGTAGAAAAGCTGGAGATTGGAAAGGTGGAAAGCGTCACTTTGTGCCGCAACTGGAAGGAGATCGACGAACTGATGGAGCGCAGAACCGCAATACTCGCCAAATTGGAAGAGACATGGAGTGTTTACATCAGCCAAAAGCCAAAATTACCAGTTGGAACGCAGGCGAATGGCGATGGGACAGCTTCGGGGGCACCAGAAGTACGGTCTGATGAAGAAGCCGGCGAAAGTGAACGACTGCTGCGAGGAGGGCATGATATGCAGATTGACCGGCCCCGTCCTCAGGCAAGGCTCTGGTACGGCTTTCTTCGTATGCAAAGTCGCAAGATTGATGGTCTTGACTATTACACCGAACGCCTCCGGTTGCTCGATGAAAAGATTATCGCTGCTCGGAAGAAGACCTATGAACCGGCCAACATCGCATTCGTGACCATGGACTCTATTGCAGCCTGTCAGATGGCGATCCAGGCCCTCATCGACCCTGGGCCGGGCCAGTTACTAACGAAGCCTGCCCCAGCCCCATCCGATGTGGTATGGAGGAATACATACAAGCCTTGGTGGAGGCGGCGCTTCCAGTCGTGGACTGTCACCATCTTTATCTCGATTCTTTCCATCATCTGGGTCGGTCCCGTCGCTGCCCTAGCATCTACCACCATCTGCACCATCAAGGCCATTATGCCCTCTCTAGCCGAGACCCTCAAGGACCACGAAATCATCCGCTCGCTTATTCAGACCGGCATCCCGACTCTCGTGGTATCTTTGCTCAACGTCGCCGTGCCCTACCTCTACGACTTCTTGTCCGAACACCAAGGCATGATCTCGCGGGGCGATGTGGCCCTCTCCGTGATCAGCAAGAACTTCTTCTTTACCTTCTTCAACATTTTCCTCATCTTCACCGTCTTCGGTGCCGCTGTGGCAGGTATCCAGGAGACGTTTCGAAAGAGCCTGACAGACAGCACCTACATCGCCTACACCATTGCCACAAAGATTGAGGAACTGACCAGCTTCTACAGCTGCTTCATCATGCTCCAGGGTCTGGGGTTGTTCCCCTTCCGACTGCTCCAGTTTGGCAGCATAAGCTTGTACCCGATCAACCGCATGGGCGCAAAGACGCCAAGGGACTTTTCCCAGATCATGCAACCGCCCATGTTCTACTATGGCTTTTACCTGCCCACGGCGCTGTTGGTGTTCATCTTGTGTCTGGTCTACAGTGTGTTGCCAGACGGGTACCAGGTCTTGGGGTTGGGCGTGGTGTACTTTGTGTTTGGGTATTTCACCTACAAGTATCAGCTGCTGTATGCCATGGATCAACCGCAGCACGCGACGGGGGGTGCGTGGAGGATGATTTGCTATCGGGTCATTCTGGGGCTGGTGGTGTTCCAGGTGACCATGTCGGGGTACTTGGCGCTGAAGTCGGCGTTTACGGTGGCGGTGCTGGTGACCCCGCTGGTGATTGGGACGGTGTGGTATAGTTGGAACTTCAAGTGGCAGTTTGAGCCGCTGACGAAGTTTATTTCTTTGGTTAGTATCAAGAGGGGAGAGGACGAGGAAGAAGGGGTGAATGAGGTGGCGATTTTGGATGATGAGAGGGAGGGGGGGTATGAGGAGGATGTGGATCAGAGGTCGTTGAGGCGGAGGGGGAGCACGACGGTTGATGAGGCGAGGGAGAAGGGGTTGCGGTTTGTGAATCCTAGTTTGGTGGTTCCGTAGGTTTTGTCTTTTTTTCCCCTACTGTTGTCGAAAAGCGAGCAAGCTAACAATGTACGTCTAGTCTGGAGCAACCATGGATCTACCAAGACCCACCACCGCCATTAACAGAAGAGAACGATAGTCTCGAGTTCGCCATTGGTGGTAGCGAAGGGGAGTACTCTTACGGCGCGGGGCCATCAATACGGAGCCGAAGAGACGAGACGCGGGTCGAGGGAATCGCAACTAGACCTCCGGGGCCCGGGAGCGGGGCTGCTAGTAGTAACTCTTCTAGCTCGATAAGCTTGGGGGATACACATATTTGGAGGCAGTGAGGGGTCAGTTTGTTTGTACGAGGTGGAAGGAGTGGTTCGTTCATTGCGTGGCGCTTGGTGCTTCACACATGGTATTGGCTTTTTTCGATACACAGTAGAGCGAAGCAAAGCATACTGGATGGAGGGATGGCTAATGGTCCTGGCGTGTTACATACACGCCTACATGATGAAGGAAACGAAGTACATGACGGGAGGCAGGAATGGATGGGCGTTTTTGATGGGAATACCAGGGTACGCGTACATAACAGAGTTGGGGGGTTTATGATGAGAGAGAGATTGTAATGATGGGGGAAAAGTGCAGTATTGCTTCCACTTTTCTTTCTTGCGTTTGTTTGCCTCGAATGTTTATTCCTACGAGGTCGTTTTGTATTCTTGTGTAAAGTAATTCATTGTCTGGTGTTTTATTCTCAATATTTTTGACGGTGTTGCGATGGAATTTTCCCCAACCGGAACATGAGATCGGGACAAGCTATATTTGCTATATTTATGAAAGTAACCTATTCTCATGGTGGTGGTGGTATTTGAGATGGTGATGCCCTCATCGTCCTGGTAAACAAACCAACCCCTCCTTTGCTGCACGCCTTTGCCTTCCAAGAAACCCCTTGGCACTTCTAGCGCTTCAAGCATCAAAACCCCCACTGTCGACACCCCTGTCCTTTCATGCCACTTCGCGTCTTTCGTTCGCATCAAAAAAGAACCCCAACCCCTGCCCCACTTCTCGCCGATAAATCCGCCGCTTGTCCGCGCGCTCGCTCGGCGCTTCGGAGGGTCACGCCGAAAGGGGTAGGTAAGCTGCTCGAGGGGGGGCAATTGGCATGTCGATAGGGTAGGATTTTGGATGTTAATTTTTTTTTGTCTGGGGTTGGGCCAAGTTGAGGATTTTCAGGTCTGGTTTGAAGGTCACAGCTCATGTTCGGGAATATTCAAGAATATGTTTAGGATTTTTTTGGTCCATTTCGTTATCATATCATTAACATAGGCCACCGCCACCCTTCTAAGCTTTCCTCTCAGCTCTCCAAGTGTGGTAGCCAGAAATAAAGGAAACATGAGTCTCTCTGTGTGTGCCGCATGGCCGACCAGTTCTAGCTCCCCCTGTCTCACTCCAGCGTCTCTACAACGGGTTCTCTCTCCGCCCCATGCCAGTCTCACTCGTTTGATCCCCGTCTAAAAGTCGTCGCTGTAAAACGCCCTTCTTCCTCCGTTCCTGGTATCACTCCTTGGAAAAGTCAAGGATCCCCGTATATAGGTCGATATTAACGAATTACCGATGAAGAGCAACGCAATCGGATCATGTACATGGTAGGGGCGCGTGAATTAGCATTGCGTGTGTGGTTGGGTATCTTTACAACGAGTTCTCCATGGAGGTGAGGATGGCGCGGGTGAATTCGTGGGTGGTGGCATTACCGCCCATGTCGGGGGTGCGGATCTTGCTGTAGTGGTATTAGCAAACTGTGCATAGCAACAGACCTCATCATAACTTACCCCTCGGCAATCACGCTGTAGACGGCGTTGGAGATGCGGTTGGCATGGTCATCAAGGCCGAGGTGGCGGAGAAGCATGGTACCGCTGAGAAGAAGAGCGGTAGGGTTGGCCTGGTCCTTGCCCTTGATGTCAAGACCAACGTGTCTGCAACCGGGCTCGAAGACGGCGACATCACGACCCATGTTGCAGCCGGGAACGACACCAGGACCACCAACGAGAGCGGCAGCAATGTTGGACAGGATACCACCATAAAGGTTGGGCATGACCATAACGTCGAACTGCTGGGGCTTGCTGACGCACTGCATGGAGGCGTTGTCGACAATCATGTCGTTGCACTCAAGCATGGGGTACTGCTTGGAGAGACTTTGGAATGTGTTGCGGAAGAGACCATCGGCAAGCTTCATGATGTTGGCCTTGTGTATGCAGGTAACCTTCTTGCGGTGGTTGGCAAGGGCGAAGCTGAAAGCGAACTTGGCGATGCGCTCAGACTTGGCGCGGGTGATAATCTTGAGGGACTCGACGACACCGGGCACGCTCTGGTGCTCGAGACCGCTGTACTCGCCCTCGGTATTCTCACGGATGATGGCGAGGTCAATGCCGTCGTGGCGGGTCTTGAGGCCGGGGATGTTTTTGATCAGGGAGATGGAGGCATAGATATCGAGCTCCTGGCGCATGGCGACGTTGAAAGACTGGTGGCCGGAGCGGCTGATAGGGGTGTGGAGGATACCCTTCAGACCGAGCTTGTTGCGCTTGAGGGAGGCAACGGCATCGGCGAAAGCCTCCTCGGTGCGGCCGGTTGGGGTCGCATCTGAGAGACCGGAGACCTCGATCTGCTCCCAGGTAACTGGCACATTGTCGGCCTTGAAGATGGTCTTGACGCTCTCGGCGACCTCGGCACCGATACCATCACCAGGGATGAGGGTGACGGTGTACTTGCCACCGTACTTGGTGGGCTTGAAGATATCGGCCTGAAGGGACTGGGCGGGGGTGTCCTGGACACTGGCGAAGCCGCGCGCAATGTTGAGGCGCTGGCTGGGCTGAGCGGCAGCCCTGAGAAGGCGCTATTCGCGGAGAGAAAGGCAGTCAGTATGAGGATGGTTGGTGGTGGGGAAGCTGGCTAATCGCAACGACTTGCAGGGGTTCCAGGAGGGGGGGTGTTGGTGACGACAAGACTCAAGACTAGACTCACCTGCGCAGAGTTCCTGGAAAGCATGTTGAGAATATGGATAGGACGGGAAGAGGGTATCGTGAGGCTGGCCGGCGACAAAAAAGAGCGAGCGGTAGGAAATGCGAAGGGAAGGAAAGGTTTTGACGGGAGGAGGAGAGCAAAAGAGCAAATGCCGCAAAGCAAAAGGAAGCACCTGCCTGCCTTGTTGGTCGAGCTGTTTTTTAGGTCTCCATCTTCCCGGTTGGGTGGGTCTCGGCGCTGTTCAGCAACAGCGCGCTAAGGCGAAGAAGTTTTAGTGCAGCAAGGCGGGCGGGGCACGGATTCCATTCTGTGACGTCTGCAACGTCGGCGCCACGGAAAGCTGCGGGTTTGGAACCATCTGCCAAGACCCCAAGAGCCCAGCGAAGGCCTTGCAGCAAACGATTGATCATGGCGGTTGATAACACAACGGCCGATATCATGATGAGATCTCTATCTTTATTCATTGCCTATCCATACCTATCTCACTACCTACTGTGGTGCAGGGGTAAGTTTTGCCTTCTTGTCAAGTACTCGCGCTAGTCAAGGTCCACCCTGACGATTGTATTCTACAAAATAATCACCATATCTATAGCTAGTATTTTGTATGCATACCATTCGCTGCAATTACTGCCTCACACCGACTGGGCATCGAATCCAACAGCGTTTGAAGGTAAGATTCCGGAAGCTCTTGCCAGGCCTCCTCCACGTACCTCTTCAACTTCGCGTACGACGGCTTCTCCTCAAGGCCGTATTTATCCTCAATATAATCCTTCATCCAATTCCAACAGGATTCAATAGGGTTTAAATCTGGGGAAAAAGGAGGCCAATCAACTACTATAATCTTCCTATTCTCAAGATCCTTCTTCGTACCGGCCGCTCGATGGCCAGGTGCGCCGTCCTGCATAAAAGAAAGCTGTAAATGGTGTTGCTCGAAGGTATCGTCAATAAATTCGTAGACGTTAGGAAGGATATTCTTTCGGTAAGAATACTCATTGATCGATCCCCATTCCTTTTCCCAGAAGATACCAGGGCCTTTAGTTGAGCCGTAAAAGCAGCCCCAGAACATCCACCCTCCTTTTCTCTGGTGCTTTTCAACGATACAAGTAGGGTCCCATTCCTCGTCGATTCGGCGTGTAACATACTGCTTACGGTAAGGACCACCAACTACCCAGGTTTCGTCACTCCAAAGGATTGTACGCCATTGTTCGAGAGTCCAGTCTTTATGTTCTATAGCCCAGGCCAGTCGCTTTTGCTGGTTGGCTTCTGAAATAGGAGGCTTCTTCCGAGCAACTCGACGGCGAAATCCGTGGCGGTAAAGGGCGTTGCGAATCGTAATCCAGTTAAGAAGGGAGTTGAAAAGGGCAATAGAAAGCTCCAGGAAGCTCATCCGACGGTGTGCCTTTGATTCACACACATACCGAATAAGCTCGAGCTCTTGATCGGCCGTAATAACGCGTGGTCGGCCAGATCGTGGGGCGACCTCGGCCGCCGGGGCTCGTATCGCATGGCGGATTTGGTATTTCGTATAACCAGTGGTTTCTTGAATTCGGGGTTGGCTAAGGTGGCCGTCGAAATAAAGGGTACGAATTCGTTGACGCTCTTCAGTAGTAAGGTGGCGATTGGGAGCCATTGTGGTGCTGGCTGGCTGGCTAAGTGGTGTTGAAAGGTGGAAAATACTGGTCTGGAGGAAATTGCGGTAGAATTTTGGCCGAAGTTGGCCTAGCCAAAAAAACAAGGCCCTGGGCGGTACTTGACAAGGGGGCAAAACTTTTGTACGTAACCACAGTAGGTAATATCTATTGTAGTCACCAAACAGCTCCATGTCTCCGCCCACCTCAACCTAACTCACATGTCACGTTTCCGAAAACAGAACACCAATTAACAGCTGTCCAATTGGCCAATGAAAGGAAAACGATTGCGGTGGCGGCAGGCATTCCTCTGCTGTGGCAGCAATCCATGCGAGGGTGACAGTCCGGACGAACTACAGCAGTCATCGGTAGTATATCTTCGGCCTCTTTACAATATCTCAAGTAATTCTAAAGCTAGCCTTGCGGGGAATAACCCAGCACCCAGCCCACGCAAAAAGAACCATCAAGCTTCTGGCAAGGCCACCTGGCCCAGATCACCAAACAGAAAAGGTCAAAAAGAATCGTCTGTGACGGGAATTGAGCCCGACGTGGGGGTCGAACCCACAACCTTGAGATTTCGGAGTACTCCTTAAGAGTCTCACGCTCTACCGATTGAGCTAGCCGGGCAACGGCTAATTGGTTGCTCAAAATTGTCCGAGGTTGGCTACAAGTCAATAACTTTCCACAATATGCAGCCCTGGCAACAGTCACAGCGTTTTAAACTCAACATCCCTCCGAAAGCTCCAACCACCCAGTGCCGGCAACAGCTCGTATCCCAGCACACCCTCGATCAAAGCAGCAACCATGGGCGCCGTCACTTGGAACTCGTTTGTGTACCGGGTGTGCTCCGTGCTAAGGACGAGCGAGTTGAACATTTCGCCCAGCCCGAACGCAGACTGATGGAGCGTTATCTGGACAGCTGGAGGATTGGTGGTATCATGGCGATTGACCCGACACCAGCGTTGCAGATACTCCGACAAGAACTGAAGGGTAGGGCTGTGGCTGCAGTGCAACTCGATCCTCTTGGTGCTTGCCGTCATGGTCAGGTAATAGGGCGGTCGAAGAAACAGCTGGTCGGGGCGTGGTAGAGACGCCGCGTCGGGAAGAAACTCGACCTTTGCTCGTGGCTTGGAGGCGTCGACATTGACCTCTACCTCTGCCCAGTCGTCTCCAGGTGTCGTGGTGGCCTGGGCATCCCGAACCGGAAGCTCGGTTTGCTTCTTGTCGGTATCGAAGCAAGTAAGGAGGTTGCCACGAAAGATGGGAAACAATTCGGTTGGTTGAAGCTGAAAGGTCTGTTTCTTGGGAAGAGAGACGACAAACCCTCGCCGCTGCTCCGACCACGACGTGGCGGCCTTGTCCGAGTCCGCAACGGCTATAAAGATCCTGAGGCGAGAGGGGACCTTTTCCAGCAACTGCTCCCCCCACGCTTCGTGTTCAGAGTCATCCAAAAGCTCGATCATGCTCTTGACCCATACTAGAACGCACCCGGTGACGCTAGCCACGAGGTCCAGTTTGTCGGGATAATAGCAGTCAAGCTCGGCGATCAAAAGATGCCATTCGGGCTCAGCGTCCACCTCGTGGCCCAAGATTTCTTCGAGCTTCCTGATGGCCGTTTGGAGTGCGCCATCCTCCTTTTTCCAAACGTCACGGATTCCGATTTGGGCTTTGAGCGGTATGTCGTGATCAGTTAGCGTCAGGTATGCTCGTCTGTTGGCACACGTGTGGTGGCATGGCATTACTCACATCGAGGGCATGGTTGCTGGTTTTGCGCTTCGCACCGGTTACTGATTCTGGAGGACAGAAACATCGAGCCGTGCGGTGTTCGTCTCTTTTAACCACATTGTTGATGCCACGAACTCGCTACCCTTTGTTGAGGGAGGCAGCATGCTTGGCGACCCCTGAAGGCGCGCGAGGCGCCAGAGCTGAGCGCGGGGATGGCTTGGCACCAAAGGGCGATCTGCAAGGCGGACTGGAGATTGCCATGTTCTTGTTAAGCAATGTCAACAAACTAGATGTCATATCTCGTGTAGGACGGCGGCAAAGTTGCCTTTCTTGGAATAACAAGGAGTATGCATGTTGACTTTGGCGTTTCCCCTCGGTTGCGTTCCTGATACTATGCAGTTCTTTGGGCGCTAGAGCGGCAGCCTGGGGTGGGCCGACGACTCATTTCCACAAGCAGAGCGGTCAACGTTTTGGAAACCGAGCTTCTGCAACAACTCCCGTGAGGCTGACCCAACCTCCGTGACTCGACAGAATGTGGCCCAGGGTATCACCGAACCCCCGGAAGGGATGCTTAGGCAAGTGATGTGCTCGGTCACTGGAAGACGCGGGTGGGCGTGAGGAGCGATGCGACTTTTGGCCATAAAGAAGGGACCTCTGGCTGTCCAGGAGGTCCAACATCTTCAGCATCATCTCGAACATCCTCACCCGCCTCTTTTCAACTCTATACCACATTCTTCCCAACTACCACCACTCAATACATCCGTCACCATGGCTCCTCTTCCTCCTGCGGAGAAGCTTTCGCTTGCCGTCCGCAAGAATGGTAAGACAACCCAATCCCGTCTCTGCTCGCTTTACTAACAACCAACAAGTCAGAGACGAGTGGGAGAACAACAAGGCCGACCTCGAGAAGCAGCTTTCCGAGCTCCTTGGCACCGAGTGGACCGTCGAAGCTGACCCCAAGGCCATCTGGCCTTACCACAACGACGGTTACGCCAAGGAGAGTCTTGGTTCTTGCATCAAGGCCTACGTCGAGGGCGCTATCTACCAGATCAAGTATCTGAGTGGAAGATATGGAAGCGAATTCGCCACAGAGATCAACGACCTCGCCCATGCTCATGTCTTGACGCTCGAGGTCGAGGACCAGGACCCAGCCCGTTTTAGCTACAATGGTTGCGAGATCAAGGATGGCAAGCTGCGCATTCTGTTCAACGAGACATGCCTTGGCACCAACGTCGATTACGCCTTGCAAGAGAACAGCCTTTTGCCCGCCCTCAACGCCGCTCCCAGTGACAAGCCTTTTAGCTTCCACGCTCGCAACAGCATCAGACAGGACTACGAGCCCGCCATCGGCGCTGTCAAGAAGGACATTGCCGACCTTCTCGGCAAGAGTGTGGATGAGATCACGATCAATCCCAACTTCGAGGCCAACTTTGCCAAACTCAGTGAGAGCAAGCCCAGTCTCGAAGACTGGCAAGAACGGCTCGGGAACTTCACGCTGAAGTACTTTGAGGGCTTGGCTTACCAGATGAAGTACCAAAAGGTTGGCGAGGACGAGCTTATCCAGGAGGGTCTTCTGGAGGCTGTCAGCAAGAACGAGTACGCCCTTCGCATTGTGGACACCCTCACGTATGACTCGTATGGTGAGGTTGTGGTGGAAGATGGGGTGCTCTACATCCAGGCCAAGCCGGATACCTTCGGTACCAACATTGACTACGCTGCTCAGAAGCTTGTTGATCAGCTCTGAGAGAAAGAGATGCTTGGTCGAAGTGGTCTACGGACACATTGTTCTAGACCTGCGGTGCGCAGATAGATAGTCATTGATAGGAATACAAAGGACCCGTGTACATACACAAGCTGTCTCACACCATCGTCGTCCTACTTTGCTGCCTTCATAGTCGGAGAATATTTGTCAACGGTTTGGGACAGGACCACAGGAACGAGAGACTGGGGACGTTGAGGGGTCCTGGTAATCCTTGAAGAATACCACCTCCACCACAGCGGAACGGGATGCCACTTCGAGAATCGCCTCTATCCATCCCATGTCGATCATTCCCCTCAAGCCCCGTCGGATAAAATTGGAGGTTCGGCACCGAGGAACGGGGACACACGAAGACAGCCAGCCGTTATCAGCTTGCAAAGTACGGCGGCATGGATGGACGATGGGGTCATTCCCAACCTCGCCGACGTGGAGAATTCGAGCGATCATGTTCTACAAAACGTCTTCTCAGCTTTCACTCACATTCTTCTTGGCGACATCGGTCCAATATCACCGGACAGATCCCTTTCAAGGCGTACAAGCATAACCTCTAGATTCCGCCGACGGATGCGCTGTTATACAGGCAACTGGTAAGTTACCTCACGCTAGCAGACAAGGTATCTTCGAATCCACCCGAGGCAACCTATTGGCTGATCAGGAGCTAGACTCCAACCGGCTATCTCGAGCATCGGCTGCTCTGACTCTCTGCCTACTAGTGACCGAAACCCGATGAAGGTCAGAGATGGTGGGAGGCTCTAGCAAGCGGAAGACGGCGCTGGGCACTACTCGCACAAGACAGAGAAGGAGGTCAGGCCACTTGAAAGGTCAGTTTTGCCTTATTTGATGGTGAGGCCTTTCGAAGATCATGCAACACCAGCCTGGCCTCGAGGCTGGTCGGACTTGATATGATCGAGAAGTGGCAGTCTATATGAGCATATAACCAGGGCAAAAGCCCACCATCTGACCTCATCTCTAACTTTCTCTACACCCACGCACAGATCACCCCACCACCAACTCTCCCCCAAAACCTCACACTTAACCACCCTCACCATGTCCACCTCCCTCCTTCTCCTCCTCCTCCCCACCCTCACCCAAACCTCCCCAGTCCTCCAACAAGCAACCCAAACCTGCTCCGACGCGTCCCTCTCGTCCCTGAACTGGACAGCCAAATCCTTCCACTACTCCTCCCTCCTCTCCCTCCTCGGCCCCTCCCTCACCTCCCCCTCCACCGCCGGCACCGCCTCCCTAACCTTCAACCTCTCCAACCCCGCCCTCGGCCCCTCCTTCGACCAGCTCTGCACCGCCGTCTCCACCACCCCCAATCAATTCTTCTACCTTGATCAATGGTTCACCTGCCTCTACACGCCCCCCAACAGCACCGCGTCCAACCTCTCCCCCCTCGTCGCCGACACCTCGGCGGCGACCTTTCGGTTCGACAAGCTGACCGGCCGGCTAGAAGTGAAGCAGGACTGGGAGTGCGTGGACGGGAAAGACAAGACTTATCCGACCACGTCTTTCAAGGGGCAAGGGGGGGTGAATGTCACTCTAGATTGCCAGGTAGACGTGTGGGCGAATCCGGAGTGGAGGGCGGGCGGGGAGGGGGTGATTAGAAACCAGACGGTGGATTGCGGGGTGGTGGATGTGAGTGTTGGGTTGGATAGTTTGGAGGCTATGGCTTAACGACTACAAGATTGAGATCGGGGGCGTTTAGGTCTCTGGGATGGTGTTTTTAGGCGTTTTGGTGGTTTACCTAGGTAGATTAGGTAGGGGACAGGGGTTTGAAGGGTTTGAACTTTATGACTTGCTCTGAAACCTGACTCTACTCTTGTGAGGGCTACTCTTGTATCTTGGTCCTAAGCGTGAAAATCACATATCCCATTTATTTTCAACCTTTATCATGATAATCCAACCACACATCCTCAAATCCTCTCATCATCACCCCAACCCTCCCACCAACACCACTTGACCATCACCACTTGACCATAACCACTTCACCATCATCCACCTGAACACCACATCATCTCCCGCAACACACCCACTAACTAATTTAAAACAGGGAAAACAAGAAAAACAAGAAAAACAAGGAGTTAACCTACCTACTAGCCATAAGTACATACCAAAACCAGAGAAAGTATATATTTCAACTCTCGTCCTATACCCTCAAGCAGATTTCAAACACCAGATATCCCAGGTACACACCATCTCCACCCCCAAAATCAAAAAGGTCAATAATACAATTGCCTCCATCCCATTCTAAAAGAAACGGACGAGCCAGTCTTTGGTAGTTTGTCGTCCCCATTCTCAAATCTGCTTCCAACGCGGAAGACCATCTTCATTCCCTTAGTACCTGAGCTATCAGCCATCCTCACTTTTCAACCACCAAACATATATAAGGTACCTTACCCAACCATTAGAGACACCACTACCAAGTACCGCAAGCGTGTTTTCACGCAGCAAAATATCGATCTATCCAACACCATCACCACCACATCACATCTTCACAGAACCATGCCCCAAAGAATCACCAACACGGAGAGCCCACGGCCCAAAACCCTCAAATTTAATACCTCTGCTATGCTATACTACGCCATGCCTCCATGCCTGCGCCCCCCCAAAATCAGCAACAAATTGGTATTGTAGAAAATGTAAAAACGTTTGCCTCATCCCTCTCTCAAGCTCCTTCATCTTTTCCACTCCATGCCATCTCCCCTCCCATACCTCTCTATACCCATGGTTTTTGCCTGCCTTCCTCCGCTAATACCATGTATGTGCCTGTGCCATGTAGCGACTCCACCAAAACAAAAAGAGAAATACAAAGCCGCTTAGTCGTTTCATGCCCTCGAGCAAGTCGGGTGCTTGCTTGCTTTTTCCGTCTCCGTCCTCCTCACATAGTGTAATCGCAATTTCCCCCGTCCGTTTGTTGTGGTGGTGTAGGTAGTGCTCTTCTCAATGGCCGTGATGATCAAAGATCGCAACTGCTAGTGCTGGATATGCCGAGTGGTCGACCCCAAAATGTCTGCATTGATGCTTGACGCAAAAGAAATCCCCCAATATCTTCACAAGAGCTGGTTGAGCAACATCTTGAAGTAGATGTTCCTTGTCAATGTGTTGTGTTGTCGCTCATCTTTGAGCCTCCTCCTCATCAAGCGGCTCAACCCTCACCAAGATCTCCTCAAGCAGACCCTCCAAAAAGGTTGGCACCTCCTTGCCCATACCCACAGGCTCTTGCTTGTCGTGGTGGTCAATCTCCTTGCACACATGCGCAAGCTTATACACCAGCTTCCGGATCCTCTCGTGCGTCGCCTCGGCCCGCTGCTGGCTCGGCGTCACCGGCGGAAAAGGCTTGCCCGGCTCTGGCCTAAAGAGCTGCTGCAGGCTAATCTGCCGCCTCTTGAGCGCCTCCTCGAGCGCCGGGAAAATCACGTCGTTGAGCGCGTCCAAGTCTCCATTCGGGTTCGCAGGCGCTGGCGACGGGAACGAGGATGGCGTCAGCGAACCCGGATCGACAGGCTCGCGATTACGAGGCAGTTCCTTCGAGATCAGCGACGAGCTTGGCTGATGGGCAGGAACCTGCGCGCCATATCTTTGATAATGTTGTTGGACCTGCTGCTGTTGCTGATAGCTGTAGGGACCATTGTCGGGATACATCATCGGAGCGGGCTGGTTCGTAATCTTTTGGAGAGGCACTTGGGATTGTTGCTGCTGTGATCCCCGGTATGGCGGAATCTCTGGCAGCTTCATCGGCGATGCTCGAGTCGACGACGTGTGAGACCTCAGAGATGGTCCTCGAGAATATCCACCAGGCCCCAACTGCAGAGCACCCATTTCCTGCTGGATCTGCTGCGCGAGTGCCCGTTCGTATTCGGGGGAGCCCGGGCCAGGTGTTCGAGGCACCGGTTTGGAGGTATAGGAAGCGCGAGGAGTGTCGTTGAGGTCGGCAAGTGGCTTCTCGGGCGAGTTCTCCCTAGAATACCTGCCCTTGGTTGGCGAAGAAGCACCGACGGGTTTTCGCTGAGGTGACATCTGCCTAGAATTGCCAGCCCCAGTGACTGCCTTCAGGGTATCCTTAGTATCCAGAGTCAACTTCGCAGGACTCCCCTCCCTCCGCCGCTCGCCATAGTCGTCAGAGTTCTCCTGTGTCCTCGCGGACCTGGCATTGGTTGCCGACTCGCCCATGGCGTTCAACATGCCCGGCCTATGGATCAGGTGACCACGCTCATTAACCAGTCGTACCGTCCCAAAATCCCACATGTCATCGTCGGTGCGGGACTGATTCTCGTATTGAGTCTCCGGCTCGTCGTCCACATCGTCCTTCTCAGGCTCGTGCGTCGCGGCCCAGCGCTGGTATCGCTCAATGAGCTCCGTCAGGTAGCTGGTCTTTTTCGCGCGTCTGATAAACGGATGCTTGAGCAGTTCCTTTGCTGAAGGTCGATCCTTGGGATCTCGCTGCAACACCACCTCAATGAAGTCTTTGAAGGCCTTGCTGAACTGTGCCCCGTCAAGCCTGGGTGGAGGATTCTTAGGTATCAAAAACAGAACTTTCATGGGATGAATGTCGGCATAGGGAGGCTCGCCATTGGCAAGCTCCAGGGCGGTGATGCCCAAGGACCAGATGTCGGCCTTGTGATCATAGCCACTTTGCTTGATCACTTCCGGTGCCATCCAGAAAGGCGTGCCCACAAAGGTGTTCTTCTTGGTCATGGTTGCCGAGAGTTGTCCAGAGACACCAAAGTCAGCCAGCTTGACCTGTCCATTAGACGTCAAGAGAATGTTGGCAGCTAGAACATGATTAGCCCAAGAATCCCAACATCCCACAACTTACAAAGCAAGACTCACCCTTGATGTCCCGATGAAGCTTCTTGTCCGAATGCAGGTAATCCAACCCCATGAGCAGCTCCCGAACAATGATGGCAATGCAGTCCTCCCCAATAAGGCCGGGCTTCATCAAGTCGGCACAGCTCCCGCCAGAGCAAAACTCCATGACGATCCACAGCTCGGCGCCTTTGGCATACGACCCGTAATACTTAGTCACATGGGGCGACTGAAGCTCCGACAGGATGGCAATCTCCTGGATGATATCGTCGACCTCATCCTCAGCACTTTCTATGTCGATGATTTTGATTGCCACCGCCTGACCAGTACGCTTGTCCACCCTGTGAAATTTATGTCAGCCCAAGCTAGCAGAATCAGATTGTTGTCACGGGTAGAAATACCCTTTGTACACCTTGCCGAAACTACCCCCTCCAATGCATGACTCCCGGGTATAGAGCAGCTCAGGATCAAGCGAGAGCTCTCGATCGTTGTATTCACGTTCCGACATTGTGGTTCTGCTGGTATCCCTTGCTTGCGGCTGTCAAGGTAGGTCGATTGGACGAATGTGTGCTGCTCTCGAAGGCTACGTTTGCTCTCGAGAGCAAAAAGAAGAAAGGAGAAAACCCCAGTCCGTATTATTGTTGGCCAATCGTGACGGACAATGCGAATGGCATGTAAGAGAGAGAGAGAGAGAAAGAGGGAGAGAGGAAGTTTTGAGTCGAGGGAGTTTGGCAAAGCGGAAAGTTGTAGTGGGTAATCGAAAAGCAGGTAGCCCACAGAAGCAGGAGGGCACGACCGAGAAGAAGCAGGAGCGAATGATCGGTTCGGTCGGACGAGTTCGAGGGTTGTAGATGCTCAGTTCGGGGAGCAAATTTCTTCGAGATTCGAAAATGGGTACTGTGTCTGTGTTTCTAATGGGAGTGAAGGAAGGAAGGGCGAGGCGCTCCAAGTCACAAATGCTAATACACCGCAATGGACAAGTACTCCAGGCTGGTTGGCTGTATAGCTGCTGTGGTAGCCAGATATGTACCTAGGTCATACAAAATGTACCTGGCTCGCCCACACCTCCTATTGTCTGAAGCAAGAGACAATTCGCCAACGGTTTGCTGCTGCTGCTGCTTGCTGCATCTCTCAACTTGCCAGGAGAGAGAGCGAGAGAGAGAGATAGGTGCCTACTATGCCTGCTTGGTGGCTTGCGGCGGTACCTTGACCTGGCGAGAGCGCTGTCTCACCTGGGCACGTCAAGGCAAGCTCAAAGCAAGAGTATGACGTCCCCCCAAATGTATCGCGCAGTTGTAGGGGGAGGTTGCGAGTGAAGTGTGGGGTCTGCGGTGCTGGCCATCTGAAAGGGAAAACAGATGGCGTCTTTCTAGGCGTTGTCCACACACCGTTGCCCGCCCAGCCAGGCGCAGCCGCCCAGAACCAGGGGAATTTAGTTTACGCTATGCGTTACAAACCGGCCGGACTTCCACCTCCACTTTTAATGCCTAGCGCCATAGCCACCCACACCAACCGAGGCATCTAAAAGCTTTAATTTTTTCCACTTACTACTTAAATCCATCAATTTTAACGCTTTTATATACTGAAAAAGCACGTAAATAATATTTTTACTATAGTTTTTATAATTTAAGCTTTATACTAAATTATTTAAAATATAAAAAAAAAATATTTAAAAGTTAAAAATTATTTTACTATTAATAATTGAAGATTATTATAGCGCTATAATTATAAAGAAAAGCTCGAAATATTATTTCGTTAAGCTAAGACTTATTAAAGTAAGTATAAGATAACTGGTATATTTTCTATTCTAAGGAAATGTAATCAAAATAATATAATATTTAAAAGTATAACTATAAAAGGATAATCCCTCGTTAAATCTTTAAATCCTTTTAAAGTTTATTAACAAAAAGTAACTATATTATAGAATAAATTAAATTTATTTTTATAAAATATAGAAATTTTTTATAAATTATTTATTAGTTATTATTTGACTAACAGTAAATATAGTAAAAAGATTAGTATATTAGCTAATATAATTAAATAAAAAACTTTAATTAAATCAATTTCAGGAAGTAAGAACCGTAGGTATGGTACGTAACATATTGTATAAAAAAGATGACATTCAGAAGCAAGAGTTTGTCGCAAACTAACTATATAGCAAGACCGAGTAGGAACTGCAGCAGACTGTGGTGGCCAATCAAGGGAAAAGTAGCGGCGGGGCTGGAGGGTGATAGGGCGCTCACCTCTTAGCAGAGGTGAGCCGGATCACCACCGCTCACTAGTGAGCCGGAATAAGCTAGGTACGGAGGTACCTAGAAGATAAAGGTTTATAGATATAGAGGAACTAATTAGTATAGATAGATAGTTCTGTAGTATATAATTTAAGTTATAATCGTTAATACTTAGACTATTATTAGTTTAGGGTGCGGCTACAGGCCTGGAGATATGAGTGAGGAAGTGGGGCTCTCGCAGGATTTGGGAGAGTTCAGGGGTCATATATATAAGCTGTCTGCTTCTGACATTCTATTTTAGAGAGGATATCGACTTTTATTTTCTTTGTATTTTGTGCCTTGCATGCGTGCAGGCAATTCTGGCCTTCTAATCAGGCCAATCCGGTGCTTATTATATGGCCTGCAAGCTTGTAGCATCTTTTTTTTGTCCTGCGCGAAGTGCCGCCTGCGAGCGAGTCACTATTACGTAAGTATATTATTCAGGGACCTATTAAAACTATATTTGTTGTATTATAGTTATTTTTATATATCTTTTTCGTATTTTAGATAGAGGTCGTGCCTGGGTTAACTAAAGTTTAAGGTTTAAACTGGACTTATAAGCCTTAGGTATTTAAGAGAGTACGAAACTATAAATGATAATAAATACCGATAACTTTACTAAACCTTATAAAGTTCGAAAAAAATAATTTCTTTCCGTTTAATTAAATGAAGATTTTTTATTATCAGCTAAACTCCAAATTTTCCGTTTACGTATAGAGAATTAAACGTATAGTTTGGATAAAATTAGGAAATAAATTAAAAATATTAATTAACATTCATTTATTAATACACTTTATTTCGGTAATAATTATCAAAGTGCTTTTGTTATTTTTAATCAAGAAAAATCTTTTTGTATATTGTTTAATAATAATAAATAATTAAAGGGATTTCCGGTTTAATTTAATTTAAGATATTAGAAATTCGAAAGTAAAAAAACGAATTTTTTTTTAATTTGAATAAAAGTAATTTATATTTATATATTAAAGTTACAAAGAATAATGCTTTTTTTTATTTTTAATAATATATATAAAAAATCTATATTATTAGTATAAATATACACAAATGATATTGTTAATAGAAATATAAGAATAATACTTCGTTTATTACTTCGATTAACTTTTCTAACGATAATTAAATATATTAAGCTCTTACGATTCGTTCCGTAATAAAGACGGCTATCCTAGAAGTTAAATCTCTGTTATTATTATTATTTATTTTATTTTTAATTGCGGACCGTATTTACTTTAAAAACGCTAGAACTTTTTACCTTCTTTTAAATTAAAATAGTTTAATTATAAGTTGAAATGCTTTTAATACATTAAATAAACCTCGTATTTATTTAAATTTTAATATTTAAAATTATAGTATACTTCTTATTCGTTATATTAAATATCCTATATTCTTTTAAAAAAAATTTATATTAATTTTAATAACCTAGATACTTTTATCTTATAAGAGTTTACTTAAATTATTATTAATTTAAAAGGTTCTTTACGTTTAATTTGCTAACCTTTTATTCTATAGTACCTACATATTTTTTAATATAAATTCCTTAATTTAAAAAAAGTCGGTTTTAAAAATAATTTCTAAAAAAATATTTTACGGAATATTTAAAGTGTTTCTAAATATTTATAAAAAATATTAAATTATATAATTTACTTTTTATATTTATAAAATTACATCCTAATATAATTTCGATATAGAAAAACTAAATCAATAAAGATATAAATTTGAATATTTTTAATATTTTTAATGTTAAAAATGTTAATAAAAGTACTTAATATTTCAAATTTAATATAGATTCTAATCAACGAAATACAAAAAAGTAGTGTTTATTTAACTTTAAGTGATTATTTTCGGGATTTTAGTATAGTATAGTTTATATTTAAACAAGTCGTAAATTAGATATCATTATTAAGCTTTGATATTTTATATTTACTTTAACATATTTAGCTGGGATTTTTTTTTTAATTATTAGGATAATATAAGTAGTAATAATATTAAAGAATTGTATAGCGGGCTTTCGGTATTATGGTTCAACCGGGATCTTATATATTGTATAGCCAGTTTATTTAAAAATAAATTTTAGTTTTTTACAATTAATATAAATATTACTATAGAAAAAAAGTGAAGAGCTTTTAGAAGTAAAAATTATATTTATAAAGTTATTTTAGATATTATGATTACTATAGATACTAGTAGCAAGGGATTTTTCATGGAGTTTAATTATCTTAGCTAGTGTGGGTGACCATAGCGTCAGGCATTAAAAGTGGAGGTGGAAGTCCGGTTTATACCGCACAGCGGCATCTTGGGACGAGTGGCCTGTGCCCCTCCCCCCGCACACTACCCGCCTTGCCGCCGCTAACATCTGGTCAGGGGTAAGCCTGCCTCCCTGCAACCCTGTTGACAAGGACAGAAGCTGGCGGCGGGGTTGCTGTTGACCCCCCACGAAGAGACATCATAGCAACAGCTGCTCACTGATGTCTTGAGATGGTTGGAGAAGATGATCTTTGACTCTAACACCCATGTGCCTAGTCTGTGGCTGATGCCGTGAACTACCTTACCAACTATATGTGACATATGTTTGTGGCCATGTTGGCTCTCAGATAAATCTTAAACAGATCTTCTGCCATACATCATCGCAGCATGAATCCCCTCTGATGAAGGTCAAAAACCTCCGGATGGAAGCAACAGTGATATGATCTCCTCATCAAAAGCCAGCGCAAGACTCAACACACTGTAGCCACAACCACTCTTCCCCAGTCATACTTAGGTACCTATCTTGACTAGCCAAAAAGAACATATTCTCCAGTTTTGCCCAACCTGGACCCTCAAACTCAGGCGACGAGTGTGAGCTTCAACTGGAAATTACACCCCCCTTTCCCCCAAACATTCAGGTAGCTATGCCCAAACACACATCATCCAATCATTTTTAATCTTGACTGAGAGTGCTCAGCTTCAGGTGAGCCACCTCACCGAGGTGTTTCCCGCTCACCTTGTATCAACCAACCGACTGCCCATCATTGGAGGTTGACATGACAATGAGCCGAGAATGTCCAGCACACTCCGTACAAGTCAAATGTGGCACACTAAAAATTGCGCATCATCCGTAAAAGGACCCGACCGATTGGATACCAGAAGCTATCTCCTGCGCCATGAACTTGCATGGTCTTGTGTTGGGTTGTGGTTTGGGTGCTCATCATCCATCACTGACATCAACTCATCATCAAATCCCTGGTCACAGCAAAAAACAGTACAAAACATACCCTCGTTGCACAATCACATCAGCACAAACAACCATACCTCACATAATAAACACCACCCATCTATTCTCACTCTAACATTTATGCACAAAACCAACGGCATCAGAGCACCAAAAATCTTAGCATCTCTTCTTCGCTAACGGATCAAACCCCCAATCCTCACCCATCCTAATTCACGCAGCAAAGCCTACACCCCCATAAACCCCCCACAAGAGCCAATCCAGCCTCTCCCATGCTGAGTAAGTAAAAAGGGAAACGTAAACGGAAAAATGCCCATTAGCAACTAACCTCCCCATTCCAAATTACGCCATTTTCATTCCTCCCCCATCTAAAGACAAGAAGAAAAAAAAGGAACGGGATAACATAACCTACGCGCTGCTTTGCACGCCTGCCTATAATCCATGTTGCAGGCCCAATCATCTCTCCGCAAGGTCCCCCTCTCTCGACTTCCTGGTCTTCAACATCGCTTGCCTAACCCTCTCACCGATGGCCCTAATCTGACCAGCCGCGTCCAAAAGCAATTGGCTCATCTCCTCACCTGCTGCATTAGCACTACTTAAGTTCTTCTTCATATCCTCCGCCAGGACTGTCCGCTCTAGAGACGTCAACAATCCCGTAGAGGTACTCGGAGACCCTGCATCCTCGGCAGATAGAGCTGCATAGCAATCGACAGCCCCTAGAAGCTGTTCCCTGATCTTCTCCGTCAGGTCATGGATATTACGACTCCAAGCGTCCTCCTAACTCTCAAATTCAAGCATCACCGTTCCGTTAGCGAGGCCAGCCTCCTTGATAGTTTGATCCAGGAGGTCGATCAGGTCCACACCACTGGGCGATGTCTTGAGCTCAAATGGTACCCCCTCCATGCCTGGAATGGGTGGCTCAGCCTTGATCCATTCGTAAATTCTGGACACCGTATCGTCGAGGCGGAACCGCCTGATAGTGCGGCCAATGCTGTGCCTGATTTGAATGCGCGTTGTGGTCTTGGGATCGGCGGCTGGCTCCGAGTGTGGCTGATTAGATGGAATTCTGTCAAAAGCCGACTCAACCTTTGGAGGTTCTGCTGGTGGCTCCTCCGCCTTCCCCTTGCCCTTGTCGTCCGCAGCCAGGTTGCCAGTTGAACGGGTTAGCGCATCGGGGTCGTCGATGTTTGGCGGCGAACCACCCGTGGCAGCCGCCAGACTGTTCTGAAGTGCGAGCTCAAGCTGCTGCTCCTCCGTCAATCGATCGAAGTCGATAACGCGCTCTGGCCTCTTGGCCTTGGTAACGGGGTTTTTGCTGTTGGCTGCGAGGCTGTACCTATCAAGGAACTCGACAAGCTGAGCGTGAAACTCCGAGGGCGATGGAAATGGGATGCCGCTCCAGACCTTGACCTGTTCACCAGTGCGGGGGTCGACAACCGACACATGAGGATAGTTGTTGGGGTTCTCATGGGTCCGGTTGGGAAAGTAGAAGTTGATGTACCGCTCGGCAGAAGGATCCAACTTGTCGTACTGCAGGAAAATGAAGTTCTCCTTGATGAGGGAGACAATGGCTTGGTCCTTCCACACATCGCGGTTGAGCATCTGGCATTGAAAGTCTGAGGAGTCTTGCAGGTTGACCAACAGCCACTTCTTCTCCTCCTTGCCTTCGTCGCGGGCCTCCTCCCAAGAGAAGTCGGAAATGATGTCGTATGGTGGCCTGAAGAGCTCAGCCAGGCGATCTGCCCTACTAACCGCAGCACCGGCTGGTCTAGAGGCTGCTGCCGGAGCACCCGCCGACCAAGCTGATGGTTGTGCGAACGGGTTGTTGGCTCCAGCACGCCTACGGGCTGCAGCGGCAGCTTGTCCGTGTTCCCTTCTAGCACGAATCTGAGCAAGTACCGACTCATGATCGTCGTCGTCAAAACCGCCACCAGGGGCCACGAGCACCTCAGTTGTACGTGCCATGGGAGCCCTAACGCCATCGTCGTCGAGGCCTGCGCCGCCACCCCCAGCCCCAGACGCTGAAGGATTGTAGAACTGCTCTTGCAACTCCCTAGCCAAGGCAGCATCTTCGTCTTCTTGAGCCGCACGGGCAATGCCGGCAACATCGTCGGTATCGGAGTCGAAACCCGGGTCCTGCATGTCGTCGTCGCTATCGTCAATATGGATGACGCCTTGGGCATCTTCTCTGCCTTGGGAAGGACGGGGACGGTTCGAAGCTGTGGTCAACGCAGGGGTTTGCAAACTTTGCTCGATATTTCTCTGAAGGTCGAGGTCTGAATACCACATGCTGATGGCCTGGGTGGAATCGCCGCACATGTCGATCATACGTTTGGCCACGGCGTGAGACGTTGCCGTGACCGTCATGAATTCTTGGATCTGCTCCTCGTCCATGGTTGCTGATGTCTAGCTGAGTCAAGCTAAGTTAAGTGATAAGAGCTGTCGTATGTCAAGATATGCGGGAAGTAGTATGCCCTGTGATGTCCGGCTGGAAGAGAAGAGTCGAAGGGAGTCAGTCGGTCGAAAGGTTTGTGGTAAAAGCCCACAGAGCTCGGAAGGAAATCTTGAGCGCACGCTGCGAGGAAGCAAGCGGCGGGAAGGGAACGGTTGATCCCAAAAGTCGGTCGCAGTGGCTCTCCGGAGGAAGGTCTTGGGGAAAAGTCGGGCGGAGGAGAGAGTCCAGTGTCGATCGGTTTGCTCAATCGCTCTCGTGGGTTGGTCGAGAGTGTGTCGGAGCAGGAAGAGTTGGGCTGCAGCTGCAGAAGGAAAAAAGGTTTTCGGCACGAGGCGTCGTAGCTCGGGGCTTTGCGGGCGGGAACTGTGGGTTATGGTTTGCGAGGCAAGCAAGAGTGAGGTGAAGTGGAAGAAAGCTCCAGCTGTGATCGAGAGTGGGATGGGTGGGTGGATGGAGATTGAGCCCCGCGTTGCTCTTGCTTCCAGGTTTCGGCTTCGGCTGGGTTCTTGTTCTGGTGGGTGCGGAGAAAGAGAGCAAGCAGGTTGGGGAGTGGTGCTTTGAAATAATTCACTGAGCGATAAGATAAGATTTGTTGAGTGAACGCGTATCTCAGCTGGGTGCCTGTCAAGAGCAGAGCTTCGATGGGGGAGGAGTTCGTTTGGCTGCCCGGCGGTTGCTGGTTTGGAGGGGACGGGACCTGTGACGCAAGACCGACGGCGGATCCCGATCTCTTGGCACCTAGCAGGGTTAGGGTTGCTTCACTTGTGACATTCAACAACTTGTTCCCTGAGGGACTATTGTTCTTGATGGGATTATCAGCGGTTATTTGACCAGTTCTATGCCATTGTATGTGTCTTGTAGCCAGGTATATATCTAAAACATCCTTATACAAATATCCACTCCTCGAAATATCTCAAGATATTCCCTGTTCCTTCCTAAGCAGAGCAATGATGTCCTCCCTCCTCAATGACATCAACAAGATGTGCTCTTGTCTTTCCTCTTCTTCCTCATTTCCAAGCAATTGCATGTTTGCCATAAGCCGAAAGACCCTCATCGGCCCTGCATAACCTCATGGCTTCCCAACGTCGTGATGAGAAGCAATGGTGTGATATCATGATGCCCCTACCCAAGCAGCTTGAGGGACTCCTTCCACTCCTTCTGCACGTCCAGGGACCTCTCCTTCTCGATGGAACCCGTAACCAACCCCTCAACCTCCTTGCCCAGCTCCGTCGTCTTGAACTCCACACCCTCAGCCGTGATCTTGCCCAGCTGAATGGCGCCCTTGACCGCCTTGGCTCTCGCGATCCGCTGTGACTCCAACCCCGTGTCTTCCGCATCGAGGTCCAACGTCGACAGGAACCATCGGATGATCGGGACAGCATCACTCCCAGCCGCGCCTGCCACGGCGGCAGCTTCCAGAATATCCTTGGCGCACTCGTACCAGTACGTCTTGCGGATGACGTCGAACTCGGGTCGGGTGATGTACGGCTTCGCGGTGAATACCTGGGCAGGCTTAAACTTGGGATCGATCGACTCGATGGCAGTGATGACTTCCTTCAGAGTTGAGAGGGGATCCTTGCTCATATTGGCCCGGTTGTATCCCTTCGACAGAGTCTCCAGCGCTTTCCACTTGGTCACAGTCTTCAGATCCAGTCCACGACTGCCCTTGGACGTGGAAGCAGGTGTGTCGACGTCCATAGCGTCGCCGTCCTTGTCCTCCTCCTCGACATCCAGGTAAGGCGCGACGATGGTCTTGATGTCGGGAAGCATGTCACCGAATCCATCCCAAGCAGCAGCAACGCGCCGGAGGCACTCGAAGGCGTGGGGGCGATAGACATCATTGTTGCGCTTGGCCTCCCGAATGGCAACCTTCTTGTAGGCAGCCACCAACTTGTCATCCTTCTCCAGTAGCTCCTTGCTGAGCTCAACAAACTTCGGGAACGGCTCGAGAAGCTTCTCCTTTCCAGGGAAGGTCTTGAGAATGAGAGCCTTATCGTAGACCGGCCAGAGGGTCTTGACGTGCTCAACATTGACGTGGTGCGTGATGGTCTTGGCACCCGCCACGGACTCGGCAGCATCAGCCACCGTAAGGGCACCTCCATGCTTGAGTGCCCACTGAGCAGTGGACAAGGTCTTCTCCGCGAGAGAGACAATCTCTTTGAGGTACTTGGTCACGCTCAGATGCGTGCCAGCGTGCGTGTCCCACACCTCCTTGAACGCCTTTTGCGTGTACTCATCTGTGTCATGTTTGCCGAGAAAGCTGAAAGGGACGAGCAAAGTCTCCAGCGCGTTGAAGTGATCAGGTGAGATCTTGGAAAGGGCCAACACAACATCGGCAACCTTTTGCCTGCGAGCGTCGGTGTCTGACTCTAGGTAAAGGTTGATGAACTTTTCGATGAAGCGCTGCTTGGCAGCGTCAGGGGCGACGCGGAGTAGGTAGGCGGTAGCGCGAGCGTAACCCTGGCTGACTTCGTCATTGCGATCCAGAGTGTGTTTCTCCATCAAGTTCAAGAACGTCGGAGCATGCTTCTCGAAGTTGATGCCATGTTTGGTGGACAAGGTCCAGATCGCACGGCCACAACCAATCTTGGTTGGCATTCCTATCGCAGTCTTGATCGTCTCGGACAGTTTGGGCACCAGTTGGTCCATGACCTCTGCGTCGACATTGCGCAGGCAGTCCTCGATGGCCTCGCCAAGAGGGCCTTGCGAAACGGCATTGGCACGAAGCTTGTCAAGCTTGTCTCTGTTGGCTTCACCAACCCGCTGGTAGTAGTAATTGATGGCCTCCGGTTCAATCGTGCTCAAGAGACCAAGAAGATGAACCATCAAGGTGGGAATGTAGGGCTTGAGTGCGCTTCCGCCTCTCTTGCAAATCTTGACGACCGTGCTGACACAGAAGTACTTGACATCGTCGGCTGAGCTCTCGATGCCCTTGTCTGAGAGCAAGAATGGTAAGGCCTCGTTCATCATGCTCTTGGCTGTGGCAGAAGATCCAGAGTCTTCGAGCTGACGGACCAATGTTGTCGAGAGAGTCATGCAAAGCTTTCCAGCTGCGTTGCGAACAGTTGCCTTGACGTCATCCGCCACCTTGACGGCGGCTGCCCAGATGTCCTTGTAGTACTTCTCGTATTTGGGGAAAGGTCGACCAGAGATCAGTTCGGCAATGGCGGAACAGCTGGCCTCGCGAACACGCCACTCCCTACCCAGGATGCTCTTGAGGAGGTCGTTCATGATGTTGTCGAACTGGGTCTCCAGCACAACATTCGGATCCTTGATGAGGGCCTTCCAAATGTCGTTCATTGACCGTTGCACATTGGTGTTTGGGTCGAAGCGGTAGCGATACAGCTTCGGGTAGAGTTTGGGATCCACTTCCGAGCTCGAGAGGATGTTGCTGAGGCCAAATCTACCAAAGGCTGATCTGGTCGACCAGGTGGCCGCGTTGGTGGCCAAGGACATGAACTTGTAGACCAGGCTGGGATCTCCAACCTCGTTGGCGAGACTGACAATGTCCTTGTAGGACGTGATAGACTTGCCATCCCCAGTCGGCAAGGCGCCAGCATCAAACAGCTCCGTCTCCTCCTCCACCTTGATCTGAGGTCCAGATCCAGTGAACGAGGCGACCAAATCCTTGGTCAGGTCGCTCTTCAACCCGGCGTCGCCCTTCTCGTACACCAAGGCCAGACCCCGCGATGCCGTCTCCTGAACCAGCTCGTCCCTCGCGCTGAGCAGGCGCATGAACGCAACCTGGCACAGCCGCAAGCGCGACTGCACCTCCTCCAGGTGCGAACACCGCTGGATCAGGCAAAAGAGCCAGATCCCCGACGCCTTCAGCAGCGACGGCTTGGTTGTCTTGCAGTCCGCAAGCAACTTCTCCAAGACCGCCACCAGCTGAGCGGCGCGCCTCGGAGCCCAGTACTCACGGCCGGCAGACTCGACGTCGACCGTGAGCTGGACCACCTCGGCGTCCCAGCGCGCGACTGCAGCCGCGATTGCCTCGCCCACCGCGAAGTGGACCTCCACCTGCTTCAGCTCGTACAGTGCGTACAGCTGCGCGAGCATCTTCTCCAGGGTCTCATCCCAGCTTCCGTCTGACGGGAGAGACAAAGCCAGTCTGCCCAGGGCAGCAATGGCCTTCTCGTTGCCTTTCTTTGCGTGGACAACGAGGGGGTCGACAAAAGATTGGATCAGGCTACCCTGATCCTTCTCTCCAAGCCCAGCAGTCCAAAGCTGGGACCAGGCTTCGAACAACGTCTCCTGCGTCGAGACGACGGATGCGGCTGACGCCACCTCCTCCAACGTCGGGAAGACGGAGGCGATCTTGGCTGCGCGGTCTGCAGCGCCGGTCTTGGAGTAGTACACCAGCCGCGAAGCCAGGTGTGCCAATGCGAGGAACGCGCCCTCCACTGCGTTCAACTCCGCCCCCACAGCCGTCTTCAAGTTCTTGGTGATGTCAATCAGGCTGGCTGTGACATCGTCAAGTTCTTTGGCGGGGTGTGACGGGTGGGCAGCGAGAATGCCCAGAGCCTTTGCCCCGAGGGCACGCAACTCCTTTTTTTTGGACTTGATGAGAGGCAGTAGCTCTCTCGAGCGCGGAGCGAGAAATGCCAAGATCACCTTGGATGAAAACGAGGCGAGGTCGACAAATGAACGAGCACAGGGCTCGATGATCTTCGGGGCGTCATCTCTTAGCATGCCCTCGAAGGCGGCAGTCAGCAAGTCAGTGAATAGCAGCGCGTCGTCGCGCGTGAATTGGACGTGATAATTCCGGATAGCTTGGCGGGTTTCCAGGTCGGACTGGACCAGGGCTTCTAATCTCTGCTGCCACCCGGCGTCGAAAACAAAGCTATCCGCCAGGGCGGTCAAGAAGAAGATCTTCTTGCAGTAATCGACGGCAGTGGGGAAAGCCTGGATCATGTCGCCGGGGTAGTTCCGAAATAGCGGATGGGCATCGATATCCATGCCACTCTCTTCCGTGGACTTGCGCGTGGCTCGCCCTGCCTTAAAAAACACGTCCACCATCGCCGGCCATTCCTATGATGAGTATGTTAGTACAACGAGATCTTACTTAGCACGAGTAAACAGATTCAGACAAAAGGAAATGTTCCACTTACGGGTAGGTCTTTCGACTTGTCCTCGTCATCATTCACGTGATATGTCCACGGATCAAGGCCCTTGTATCCCTCTTCCACGACATCATTTCTCTCGTCCAGTCGGCCCGCAACAGCAATAATGTTGATCCACCGTGCTGTGACGTCCGAGAAAGGCAGACAGTTGTTGGCCCATTTAGCAACAGCGTGCCTAGTGCTGCGTACTACGTTTTCGTCTGTCTCATTGCCGAGCAGCATGTACGAGATCAGGATCGACTGGAGCTCGAGTTCCACCCTAAAGTCGTTGTGTGGAGGCTTGAACAAGGTCGATACGCTGGACAGCGCCGAGTCAATGTTCACCACCACGTCCGGGGTTGGGTCCTCGGAGAGTGACTGGAACAGCCAAGCAGCAAGGCCCGAACGGCGGTGGTCGTCCATTTTTGTACCCTTCGCCAGGATACCAATCGTCTCGTACGCTCGTGAGCGCAGAACACTGTCGTCGAGTGACTGCTGGTGAGGTCTGGGCCAGCCTTGGGAGTGGATGAACTGTCTGAGCATGTCAATCAGGTTCACCCCGATGCTGTTGAAATCCGTCTTGCTTGGACCAATTCGGGCTACCCAGTTGATGAACTCAAAGAGGGCTCGGTGTAGTTTGGTTTGCTCCAAACCGGAAGATTTTGGACCCGTGGGACGTTGGTCAATGTCCATGAAGGTGGGATCTTGGCTCTCAACCTTCTTTTCGAGATCCACATTCCGCTTGAACACTGCAAGAACCTCATTCGTGAAGGTGGTTGCAATCTCTGACTTGCTGAGCATCCCCAGGATCCGGATCCGATAGGGGGGTTGTAGTTTGGAGTGAGCGTCGTAGAGCTTGCTCACAAGAGTCTTGTCCTCCAAGGAGACAGAAGTTCTCTTCAGCAGATCCTCTCCGATTCCAGAGATGCGGTAATCCGTGCTGGAGGCTGCATAGAGAGCGGGAATAAAGCGCTCGAGGTCGGTGAAAGCACCACTGGCCAGAAAGTTGGCAGCAAGAATGCGCGTCTCGGGCAAGTTCAAACCTCCAGCAGACGGGTTCCAGGTGTCCTTTTTACCTGCAAGTGTCAGAAAGCTGATGTCTGCTTCTGTTAGGCCGGGTGCCGGCTTGTCAGCCGAGGCATTGGCGGGTAACAACAGGAGCTTGCCGAGCCATTCAGCAACGTATTTGGCGTCTTCGGGGTGGGACAACCCCATGGCCTCTCGAAAGGTAGCATCTTCTTTGCTTCCTCTTGAAGGAATCTTGATGGTAGGGAGCATACGCAGAACGACGTTGAACAGCTGACTGAGCGAAGCCGAAGACCCAGTTCTAATGTTTTTCAGCGCCTTGGGCACGAGCTGCTGTTGCTCATAACGTTCAAGCCTGCCAACACTGTGTTGGATGTAGATCAAGTCAAAGTGCTTGATCAGGGGAGAATCAGTCTCCTTGAACTGATCCAGTAGAGAAGCAACTGGGAGCACGATTCTATAAAGTTGTCAGTTCCGATTCTTTGCCAGAATAGTGAGAAGGGTAGAAGGAGACGCGAGCCATGAAGGGTAGACGTCAGTGGCTATCAAGTCATGTTGGGTTGACAAGCCCCAGCAGCCACTAGCCTGCTTGTGAGCTGCCTCGTTTCTCCACTCAAGCAAAGGACCACCTCTGCTCAAGTTGAGGACCTCTTCTCTGCTCAAACAAGGTGTAGAGGTGCAGAAAAAGGAGGCCAGGGAGTATGACTTACGTTGGAGATTGGATAAGCTTGTTGATGTTTCCGCATACCGAGATGACCTTGTTGCGGACCCGAATATGTGGGCTTCCGGCTTTGAGAAGGATTGGGCAGAGATAAACATTGATTCTCTCCTGAAGCTTCTTCTCGTTGGAAGAGGCGCTCAGAAGCGTCCACTCTGCTCCATCGAGCAAAGAGATGTCTTTCTTTTCTTCCTCGGCAGAGGAAGCCATCTTGCGAGAGGGTTATGGGATAAGAACCAGTGGCTGGCCTTGATCAGAATAGGCCTATACGAAGTCGTTAGATCCCATCTCGGGTGGTTCCATAGTCATCTAGCGGGTCGGACAGGCAAACCTTGGACAACTCTGTGCCTCTTTTCGAGTGGAAGAGGTCTCTCTGGGAACCTCGCGGCGGTCTACCACTGAAGCGGGTCGAGAAAACGATGCAATAAATCGATGAAACGATAGAGCAGATGAATTCGAGTCGACTGAAGGCTTCGAATGGCAGATGGTGATGATGGAAGCGTGGTGCCCCGATGGTGATGGGTAGCCTCGCGAGAAAGAAACTCGAAAAAGGAGGAGATAAGTAAGGTAGGTAGGATTGTATCCGGAGTATTAGGCAGATAGCCAAAACACGCGGAGTTGTTCTTCAGATGTGGGCGGGAGCAAGTTGAGATGACAGTTTGGTTTCTGCTCCTCGAGTGCTATCCAAGCAGACAGCCTAACAAAGCAGGCCCAGTTGGAACTCTGATAGATGCAAAAGTATTGTCAATGGGTAGCAATAGGGGTCGTCCGAGGCTCTCTCTCCGTTTGTCCTAAGGCTTCTCGACGAGATATAGAGTCCCAGAGGTGTTTGACGAGGACTACTCAAGCCAAAGAATAGGCCCACTGCTACAGTCAAAGCAATATCGGAACTGAGCACCCAAGGACCGTCACCGGAATGGCCGTGTCTCCTCCAAGAACACGCTGAAGAACTGCTCCAACTCGATGTTAGACGGTCACAATATTCAGGAGGTAGGAGGTCAGGGGCCCACGGGAATTGGAGGCAAAGATACCAAGACCAGACACTCCTCAGCTACCGGTTACCGGAACCGTTAGTTCCCCTGAGATGTGGAAATGAAGGGCCCCAACACTTCGAGCTGCTCAAACGTCAAAGCAGCCACAAAATTGCGATGGGAAACTCTTCTTGAGGCTAGATACCTATAGGAGGTTCAGCCCCTCGATAGGCCGCCAACGCAGTACGACTCGTGGTCGCAACAGCTTCCTAGGGTATAGAAGAGAAGGGGATGCTGGTATTCCTTTTCGAATAGCTTGGCGATGAACCGGGTATCTTAACAGAAAACGAAGAGACGTGCCTCTAATAAACCAGACGCCGTTAGAAAGACAGCTGCTGGGCAGAAAAGGAGCGCTGAGGAGACGGGATGTTGGTGTCCCCAAGTTAAGCCGGCGCTTGTCCAAGAGTCAAACCCAAGGAAGAGGCACAAGAGAATGGAACGAGAGTAGTCCAATGTCTAAACTGGATCAGCTTCCAGGTATATAACAAAGAGGACGTCGTCGCAAGCCCAGTTGCCTGTGTAGGGGGGAGGCGACGTTGTCGAAGGGTTGATGTTTCCTATGTTCCCTTCAGGCTTCTTGAGGTCTACGACAGCACCTCCCAAACACAAGTGCCAGGTGCTGTGGAGGGGCACAAGAGCCCACAATGAAATGACTAAGCAGATAAGAACAGATGAACCGTTGTTCTGTTTGCTTCTTTGCCCAACGTCCAAGGTATGTTACTGGCAAGCAAATGCATCTGCGCTATGGAATTGAGATTGCCCAAAATGCCTCCATAAATAAACCCGCATTTGAACGTAGCTGCTTTTGAAGTAGTCATTCCCCGTGTAGCATTGAGGTACTGGAGGGCTCAAGCACAAGGAGATCCTGTCAGCCTCAAATGCGTCAGCCACATGGGCGGGGTTGGGAGTATCTGGGCTCATGTACCATGCTTGGCAAACGGCTCTCGGCGCTGTGACCAATTCTGTCTTGGTCACCGAGGTGAAGGGGCCCCACTCGCGAATAACCTCACTTCGTTGCGGCTTCGATCTTGTAGATCAACGCGATTGAAATTGGATTCTCTGAAACAGTGTGGTTAATATTTCACCTAAGCAGTCAATGATAGTTCGTCTTAGGCCTGAAAGCTTGCTCCTCGAGACTATGTCCTGGCCTGCCTTTGCTTAGAAGCAACTCCTATGACAGACAGATTATACGCCCAATGACTACTTCTACACGATTCCACCCGCTTCCTGTCCTATAGAGGCAACGAACTTCGATATAGACGTCTCGGACACCCTGTCCATGTCGTCACGAAACAACAGTGCGCCGATACCATGATGCGTCCAAACCCCATCACCCTTATGCTGAATGTACCGAAGAGGAACCCGATCAACCAGGATATATCGAGCCGCATACTGAGATCCCGCCAGCGCTCCCCTCTCCCGACATACAGGCAAAAGACGGTAAGAAGCCTTCTAGGGAGATCCAATATGCCATGGGGGGCTGTTATACCACCAACTCTGAATATCCCAGCTTCTTGTTTCCTACCACTTCTGAAGAGCGATGATGTCGAAGCCGGCAGTCCAAAGGCGGCACATCAATGTCTGGGCATAATCCTCGAAATAAGGCGGGACATGCCTGGGTGATGCCGGCACAGACTGTCTGCCGTGGTCTCTTTGCCCTGTTCCGGGTCAGTCAGAACAAAAACTTTGCCGGCGTGGGTTATGCTGTGGGAAAATGGGAAGATGGCATGGCTGATACTCAAATCACAGCAGTGGAGCTATTGGATCGACCCATCGATGTGCCCATGGTGTGGTGCGACGCACGGCAGCTTGTTTACAGAGCAAGATCGATCGTGTCTCGAGCAAATCTGGTTCACAATTCCACAGCAGCCAGCCTGTCTCTACAAGACCTTGGATACCGACCTGCCGGGTAAGTCACTCTTCCCTCTCCGTCCTTCAGAAGGCAAGTACTAGCCACGACGGCGATCTCAACAACGTGTCCCCACGATACGCCCCAGAGGAGATATTTATCTTTCCTGCTGACCAGGCCGGTGGTGCTTCACAGTAGCCATCGGAGTCATCAGCTGTTGAGAGATAGGCGTTTACGCCATCTTCTCGTGTTCTTTGAGCAAACTCAGACGACCATGTTTCAGTTACGCCTTCGTTCAGCCACGCCGAAGGTTACCACAACACGCCCCAGAGTAGGCCGAGCCCAAAGGTTCCATCGATAGGTGCCGTATGGGGCTCGAAAATAGATCAGATGCCCAGCATGAAGCTGAAAGTCCCAAGGCGCCTTCACAACTTGTTCTGGCCGGCCACGGTTGACCTGGAGTCCTGTCCCGCCCGAAATACCAAGTAGAGCCGGCAGGCAAGATCCCCAGCAGACAAGACCCACGGCAAACAACACCGCAAAGCAAGAAAACTGCATACCATTGGGGAGACGGCCGGACCGAACGATCCAGATCGAACCAAGAACGGGTGGCGTCCTGGAATCACGGAGAGGAGATCAGCCTGAACAAGCCCCCTCGTATACAGCAAGATCAAACCGGTTCAGTTGGCAGCACTTCCTGAAGAGAGGTGGGTATACACAGGGAGCACAGCAAACTGGAAGCTTTGGAAGCTGGTCCTCTGCATGACTTACATCTGCATGACTTACCGCTGACCCAACACTGACATAACCTAGGGACAGAGAAAACAGGCTCTCGGCAATCCAAAATCTACTAACACAATGCCCATAGATTTCGCCAGCCAGTTCATGGTGCCATGTCGATCCCTTTTGAGTCCGTACCGCCGTCGAGCACGTCACGACAAACACTATTCACGGTACTCTCCTCGTGGACCAAGGACCGCTTCGCCACCCGTTCGCGAGACGATCTCGCGGGGAAAGCTAGGCAAGATACCAGAGGTTCACATCATGCTGAGCAGGTCTAATCTTGACGTTGAGACTCGGCGTTGTTGCTCCAAACGATTTGGTCCTCAAGGTTTGGCCAGCCTGGTTCTCCGTAGTCAGTTACGCTTATGTTAGTTCGAGACCGCTGGGACGTTTAACATTGTGCCTCGTGAGGAAAGCATGGCGTATACAAGTACTGCATGCTGGCTCCAGAAATATCCGGTCCGGGGTCAGGAATAAGGTTGGAGCTGTCTTCCTGGTTATGGTCTCGGCGAACTGTCGAGGTCTCTGGTAGGGCAGGTTAGTAAGGATCATCGTACTGAGGGTGTAATTGTCTTGATAAACTGTAGTTTTCGAAAGACTTTGAGCAAGTAATCATCTAGAGAATGACTGATTCGTTTAGGTATTGCTCTGGTTGCTCTTTGCCCCATATATTACTATGGACCTGCTCCAAGTCCTGCTCTGCACATTGCTCCTGGTGGGGAATAGGAGCAAGCAGAGCGTATGTACCAGTGAAACTAATAATACTAGTTCAAATACCATAGACAGACGTCAGACGTATGTGGTCAGCAAAGAGCAGCACAGGTTGGATAATATAACTGCGATCTGTCTTGTGAAACAAATGCCTTCAAGGGGTTGCAAACTTATGCGGTAAGAGTGCACCATAGAACCTTAACTCCTCAACATGGAGGCGTGCCATGGATCTCACGCCTGTGTATCAAGACATCAACCATTTATAAGTCGGGCACACCAGCTAAAACTAGAACGACAGCATGATATCTAATCCAGAGGATGAGTCACGCAAAAGATGGAGACAATCCCACATGTTGAGGCTGGTATTGAACAAACACCTCAAGGTGGTCCGCTATGAAGCCCCCGGGATCAACTCGAGAGGTGGCTGTGAAGCCATATCCCCACCGACTTGCCAAGAGCTGAAGATAGTGGAGAACATCTGCCGAAGAGGCTTGACGGCTGCCGGTGATCCCGGCGATGGCGCACAGAAGAGGCCAACTACGGAGTTGATAGCAGAGCCAAGTACCAAAATTGATCTTGGGTCGGGAGTCAGGCCGTTGGAAATGCCATGGGGTGACAGTCTGTGATCTAGGGGCACACAACCATGGATGACAACACCACCTCAGGAGAGCTTGTCCAGATGTCCAGAGATAGACAGCCCAGTAACCGGGACATGACTCTTCCCAGAGGCGCTGCTCACATGCAGGCGCAAGGCTTGCGTAAACGGGCGGGGGCACGGCTCCTCGATGCGACCTCGGGCTTGCTGTGGAAGCCGAGCACTGGGCGATGGACGGCAAACCTATTGACGGGTCTTGATTCGTTGATCCAGCAATGCAGGTGATCGCAAAGGGGGCGTTTTCTGTCTTGCAGGTTTGTCACCCGCCAGGGCTTAACCCGACGAGGAAAGGTATGGGATAGTATATACATACAACTCGTCAGACCAGACACTCGGGCCCAGTATCGTCGTCAGAGTCGAGCCCCGAGTCTACGGATGTCTCGTGATGAGGTGTTTCTGGGACGGGGGGCGAGGGCCAGTGATGGTTGGGTGACGTTGACAAAGAAAACCGAGCTTTGTGCGCAAAAAAGGGCTTGTGGGCTGGCGGGCTGGCTGACGAGAGAGAGCTCTCGGGCTTTTGCAGGGAGGCCCCCTAAAAATGGAAGAATTCCACGGCTTCCAGTCCGTGCGGTCCCGGAAGCGCATCCCTGTCGAGAAGGCGGACCACCGGATCGACAAGAAGGACGATATGTATGAGAGCTGTTACGTACCTGCATACAGCTCAAGGTCGGTAGATGACCCAGCTGGCTGTAGGAAGGAGTGAACTGCTGAGACGCCTCTTCTGCCACATGTGTTCCTTGTGACGGCGGCTGCCACTGTCTTCTTTTTATGGCCGCCTAGGGCTGCGGCGCAGAGACCAGATGCGCGCTACTGAGATCTGGGGAAGGTTGCAGCGCCGACGATCGCCTTCAGTGGTGGGCAGAAGTGGCAGGCAGCGTGGAAATTCCCGTTTGGAAAAAAAAAAAAAACACAGCAGGCGGGGCCAGTCAGGGTTTCAGGGCAGTCCTTGTCCTTCTGCTGTCATCAACAAGACGAGCCATGGAAGCTGATCCTTGTCGAGCGTACAAGAAGCTGGGAAACTTCACAATGTTACACTTGTGCCTCTTTGAAACCCAACCCTCGCACCGCGTCTAGAATTCCTAACTTGTCCCCATATGTTTCGATCATCAACGGAAGCTCTTGGTATATGGGCTGCGCTGGGCAAACCGTTTGGGCTGGCGATACCTTAGTCACACGCCCCCCGGCGGGCTGGCGGGCTGCATGCAAACATCCTCGCATCTTGGGGGCATCGTCGTGGTTGTTGGGGAATGTAGGTAGGCTTGCGGTAGTGTAGGGGGTGGTTCCGTCACCGGTGTTTGCCTGCCCACTCAGTTTTAGCTATGGGCAAAGCGAGTCAACTTTAGTCTTCGTTCCATCGGATGCTGTTGCTAGGTGCTGCCCGCCCCAGTGAAGTCTGTCTTGGAATACGGGGTGGGTGTTATCTGCCGAGGGGCGGGGTGGCTTGTTGAGAGTTTTCACCGTCAAGACGCTATCTTTACGGAGACAATGAATTGTTTGTTGAGGAAGCATCCATTTGATATCGATGAGGCAGAGAGAGGCCGACGGAGGTGCGGGTTAGTGGTGGTGATGGCTGTTCGGCAGGGGAGTGGCTGGCAGGGCAAGCGGGAACTGACGCGGGCATTGCGCCTGGTGTGGGTGCTTCGTCGGTGCTTGGGTGGTGCTTGGGTCGGCCGTTTTTGGCTTTTCCCCACCAGTCCACTGAAATTCTCTCTCTTCAAGCTCCTCAAGCCCTCCACTCTGGCGTTTCCCAGTTTTTTTGCTTTCCTTTTGCTTCGCACACGGTCCACATCTTCTGGCTTTCCTTCTTCTTACTTTACGCTCTGCTTCGCCGCCGCGTGTGATTGCTTCTTACCCTTTTCCTTCTCCTTGCTCTCGGTCCCGCTATCAGAAACAGTAACGACACACTCCGTCGAAACATATTTCGCTGCTTTTGTTGGCTTTGCCCTTTTTGTTATCAGTCACCGTACAGTACGATCCTAGCTCTGCCCTCTCCCTTCCCTTGCCTCCCGAACGCTGTCACGTCCGATATCGACTCAATACGACTTACGCCGTCCTCCTTGACTGCTTCACTGCGAGTTAAGAGCCTTGTTCAATTCTCCTTGTTGCCTGGTGCCGCTCCTCGAGTAAGTTGTGACTTTTTTTTCATTCTTGGCGTTGGTGTTCTTTTTGCATGCGCGGGCCTTCCCTCTTTTTTTGGTGACTCTTGCGTGGACTGGACGGGACAATGGACTGGAATTGCGTGGATGGGCGATGTGTGTGTGAATTGGACATGGACTGGAAGATGGGAGAAGATGGACGCCGAACCGTCGATATCCCTTATTTAACCTCGACTACCCCTCGATTGCCCCTCTTGACGTCGCCGCGCCTTCGACCCCCACTCCCGCCGACGATGACTTTTTGAACCACTCCCGACACCGCGAGCCGTAAACATCCTCCCGAGCCTGGAAACTCCATGCCCTTCGCCCTTCTCCGTTGTGTGATTGACCGGTCCAATTTTATGGTCTATCCCAATGGAAGCATGCGTGCGTCTCCCCACATAGGTTGTGGCGGGGTATTGTAGAAGGAAAGGGTTCGGCGCACCGCTCGCTTGCTTTGTCTAGTCTGGTTCAGTCGATTGTCATGATGCTCTATGCCCCACGTTCAGTTATGGCCCATACTATGTATGGCCTGCCAATTGGGAGTTGGAGCGTTGTGGACGGCTGCGAAATTCAAGACTACAGGCTGGTAGGGTGGTGTCAGCCATGGGTCCCATACGCGCCACCTTGGAAAAAGCCGGAGAAGTTAGATTTCCGAGTTCACTGTCTGGATGGTGTTTGACTCAGTCTAGTGCTGGAACTCTGTCCTGGTCTGCGGCGGTCGATTGGGGATCTGTTTGCTGGGGAGCGCAGCAGTTAAAGCTTTCGGGCTCCCGCGCAAGCTTCAGCAAGACTGTAAACTGCGTTATACGTATTGATGGCTAACAGAACAACAAGGTTTTTATCTTTCGGAGTCTTTCCGGTAGTCTCAATTCTCGACTTTCTGTCCTGGCGTGAGGAGTCTTCGCAAACATTTCATAGGTATGCTGACTATTCCCTTGTGCTTGTTATTTCTCCCTTTTATGCTTGTGGTGGTTTGGGCTTGGTAAAGATACGCTGTGGATCTCGTTTGCTGTCTTCTGGTACGCGCTGTGGTTCTGCGTGATCTTCTTTGGTATGGTTTTCAGGGGTCCGCTGGACAAGTGAAAGGTGTTTAGGAACGCTTGGTTTGGGGATTTGGTGTGGGCAAACTCGGGCGAAATTCATCTGCTTCATGATTCTTCGATGTCTACCACCGCCATAAATCATCTTGGAGGGAAAAGGCAATACCGGCCAGCACGGAGCACTCCCCCGCGACGGCTGCTATTCGACAACTGCTACCTTCTCACCCGGCTTCCCGATCGTGTCTATCGCTTCCTCTCGCACTGCCATCTCGTTATGTGGAGGTTGGACTCGGTGTTGAGGCAGCTTCGGTGTGACGGTTTAGTGTTGGGACGAGGTCAGCAAAATATCATGTTTGCAATCAGCGGCATGCCAATAGGGGCCCCAACCTACTGTTTAGTGGTTGCATGGACTGGGTGGTTTTCCATGACCAGGAAACAGAGAGTTGGTGTCAAGTTGTCCGGTTTTGCGGTGGACGAAGAGTTTTGAATCCGGCGAGGCTTCGATCAACTTACGAATCAACACCATCTCAGCGCTGAGAGCTTCATGCTACCCTTTCACTGCCAACGAAATCAGCATCGGTGGATTTCAAGACGTCCTACAATTCGTTTCGACATGTTGACTCCGGATGCTTGGTTACCAGCCTCATAGCTATACTCTCATATGCCCGAGGATCGCTTCTCCCCGGTCGTTTGATCCTGGTTCTGGTAACGCTCTCTCACGTTGGCCTCCGGCACCATCTGCTATGGTCGAGAAACAAAAGCCTGTCTTCTGTCGCACTCGCCGAGCTTTGGTATGCTTACGCTCGATGGTTCATTCGGCTACTCGCAACCTGCCTCCGTGAATCACCTATTCCAGGAACTTGGACTTCTCACCTCGACCACATTCTAGTTGCTTTTGGCTCTGGTTCTCGGTCTAGTTGCCCTCGCTCTAGTTGTGGCTAGTGGTGGTCGCTCATATCACTAGTTACAGCCACTATTCGGTTTTGGTGTCCAGTCTTGACCCGCATAGTGCTGGCACTATGCGTTGCACGAGCGAATCTCTTACCGCGGCTTTGCGATCTCCAAAGTCTGGGAAAGTGCACCCGGCATTGGGCCTCTCTTCTTCTGATGCGGTGCTGAATTTGGGACAACCCTGGCTCTCGGAGGGATTCAAGATCTAATTTCGGCATCTGTCAGCGTCGAAGATCTGGTTTTCCGAATAGCTCAAGCCAGACCTCGTCTTATGGCGAATGGTCAGGGAGCTGTGACGGCGAGGAATGGGCTGAGGTTATGACGGGCTGCACAAGATGCGTACCTCGGAGCTTGAGCTGGGAGGGAGCTGGAGCCATATGGTGGTTTAGCTAGGACCAGCAACTGTTTCCAGGGAACGCGGTAGTAGGGGCAGTCGATATATGGAATACCTGGAACGAGAGCGAGAGGGGTTATTGCTGAGCTGTGCGAGAATAGCTTCCTGAAGCACCAAGACTTGGGGAGCTGTTCTTCAATGCTTTTGCTGTACGGCTATAACCTTGGTGTGGCTAGCTGAAGTCAAGGAAGGTGTCCTTCAGGGGTAAGATCTTTCGCGGCTCACCGGCAACCGTTTCATGGTCCGCACATCATCGCCGTCGCTCTCGTCGCCTTCGTCGGTCTCGTCCACTTGCCCAATGTCGTCACAAATCTGACAGTCGTCATCATCGTCACCGTTGTCACTGTCGTTGGCATCGAGACAAGCATCGCACGCCACTCTTCAGGTCGTCTCTTCGCCGTCTTCGCGGTGTGGACGTTTCTCGCCGTTTCGGTGGTTTCCGCGGTGCTGGTGGTCTCACTGTACTTGGTGGTCTCGGTGGTGTTATGGTCATCCACGAGTCCTCGTGGTCTTGCTTCTTGTGGCCTCACCCTTCGTGGTTCTGGCACTAGTGGTTCTGGCACTTGGCTATGGCTCTCACGCTTCTGGCTCTCGTGGATCTGGCTCTCCTGGTCTTGGTTGTTATGGCCTGGAGTCTGGTCGAGCCTGTTCTGGTCTTGGTCCTTGCTGAAGGCGTTGCTGTGGCCGTTTGTGGAGCTGCTTTGTGTTGGTGGTACTCGCGGTGCTCTCGTGGTCGTCGTGGTGGTCTTTGAGTTCATCGTCGGACCGAGTCTCATGGTGCCGGTTCTCTTGGTTGAGGCTATTATGCTGGCACCTCTCATGCGACCCTTGTGGTGGTGATGATGCACCACGCTGCCGTCGTCGCTACTGCTACAGCCTCTGTGGCTGTTGTTCGGCATCGTCGTCACAGTAACAACTGCCTCAAGGCAGCCTGGACGTCAAATTTCCTCGGTAGGACTTCATCTCCGATTTGGATCAAGGTCAGGGGTACACATCACCGCCACGGTCGTCGTCCTCTAGTTATGCCTCTAGGACTACACCATCGTCGGCTACAAGTCATACTCTTTCCTCCATGGCCTTCTGAGTCCTCCTAGCAAGGAGTCTCTTCGTCGCTCTCGATCTCCTCACTGCTAGACACCATGGGTCAGGCTGATCATCTTGTCTTCGATTTCTTGGAGCCCATCTGCCTTACTCATGTCTGTCCATTGTATTGCTGGATTTTCGAGTCTGTTCCAGCCTAGCCGATGTCGTCAGCTGCCCTAGAGATATCCGCCCATTCCTCTTTCAGTCTCGCTTCTTACTATCAGCGTTCCTGCGGGAGCTGCCCGGCTACGACCTCCGGTCCCTCTCTGCTCTGTCCGAGAACCTGTACAGGTCCTTGATGGATACTTGTTGGCTTCGGTTTCGGCTTCTGGTGGGTTCGGGATGCTTCGCATGGACACAGAAGGGCGCGACAAAGCGAGACAAACTCTCTGTTGGCTGGGCACTCAGGAGACTGTCTAGAGAGTTTTTGGGCATACTGTCCAGGGGGTAGATGGACGTGGTGGTGGTTGACGTTGAGCGGACACACCTTTGGAGGATCAAGGCTATCATGAAGGCATCAGCGTAGCACCACAGCTTGTATATGGGAGGGGTGTAACATCTTGGGAGGCACGGCCAAAGGCATATGCTAACATAAGGCTCAACAGGGTTGTCTGATCATCTTCAGGGTCTTTCGTACCTTCAGCGGCTTTTCTAATCTTCCTTCGACTACAGTCCTAGGTAGGTCAACGCTCTCCTGGCTTCGTATTGCCAGTTCTCCGGTCCCTCTACGTCACCTCCCTCGCCTGGACTACCCGCCTAGCAAGCGGTCACAGTCCGTAACCTTCGACCACACCGTGTTCTGCCAGTAGCCACCCCCAGACCTGACCACACCGCCCACCTCTCACCTTCTGCCCTTATTCATCTTGTTTATTCTTTCGTTCTTTCCTCCCAGCCTGCCTTTTCCTCGTCCGAGATTGGCTACTGGTGTGAGGGCCCACCTGCTTTATGCTTTGAATCTTCCGTCCTTAAATATCCCCCTTCGCTTCAACCTTTCTCTCAAACTTCCCTCTCTTACCGACCTCTCTCACCAACCTCGCTCGCCCTGTTTTCTTCTGCTCTTTTCTCCCCCAGCTGGGCCTCAAATCATCTAACACTTCGCGTGTTTGCAACAGGAATCGCTTCGACTCACAACCACTTTAGTAAGTCTATTTGTTTTGTTTTCGTACCTCACTGTCATCCACCCCGGTGAGCCGCAATAGGTTTGCCTGCCCACACTTCTTTCACGACTTCCTCTCCCATTCTCAGGTGTCCTACTCGTTTTTCTTTGGTTCATCATCAGGTGTCAGACAGGACCTCGAATCTTTGGCAAGTTAGTCGCGGACTGGAGTGGTGGTTTGTTTACTCATCTCACCCCCATCATATTACACCACAGCAAATATTCCCACATTTACGACGCTGAGTTGCCATTTTGTGCTCATTCAACGAGGACTTATCTCGCGAACTAGTGGTTCTGGCGAGACTTTGGCTCTTAACCTTGAACGCTCTCATTCTATTCACTTTCACTCCAACTTCGCTCTCGGTTTGAGTTTTTTTCTCACTGGAACGTGGAGTCGACACGTGACAGGAGTTCCACTTTGTTTTTTCTTGCTCCTAAACCTCTCGCTTTTACCTACCGCCTAACAGCCAGTCTTGCCTTCGCCTTTCTCGTCTCTACCCGTTTGCTAACGATCTTTGGATGCAGCCTTCGCCTACAATCAAAATGGCCGACTACCCTGCCGCTGGTGTTACCGGTGCGCCCGGCAACGGGCCCAACGTCAACGGCTCTGGTGACCCTGGGTTCGCGTCTCCCTCCCAGATGCCCGCCCCCAGCGAGGCGGCGAAGACTCTGTGGTAGGTTACCTCTCTTCGATCTCGCGGACGTAACTAACTTGCTGGCCAGGATGGGTGAGATGGAGCCCTGGATGGATGAAAACTTCATCAAGAATGTTTTTAGCAACACCTCGGCCGAGAATGTCCAGGTGAAGGTCATTCGTGACCGCAACTCTGGGTAAGTTGCAATGTCCTTTGTGTGTGATTTTACTGTGTGCTAACTGTCTTAGCAATGCTGGCTACTGCTTTGTGGAGTTCTCGACCCCTGAGGCTGCCCAGAAGGCCCTCGCCTTGAATGGCACTCCCGTTCCCAACAGCCAACGGGTTTTTAAGCTCAACTGGGCTAGTGGTGGTGGCTTGGTCGATCGTCGGTATGTTGACATCTCTCCATCTCACGTTTAACCATGCTGACACAACTTAGTGATGACCGCGGACCTGAGTACTCTATTTTCGTCGGTGACCTTGGCCCTGAGGTCAACGAGTTCGTCTTGGTTTCTCTTTTCCAGAGCCGCTTCCCCTCTTGCAAGTCCGCCAAGATCATGACCGACGCCATGACCGGCCAGTCGCGCGGTTACGGCTTCGTTCGCTTCAGCGACGAGAGCGACCAGCAGCGTGCCTTGGTCGAGATGCAGGGTGTTTACTGTGGCAACCGTCCCATGCGCATCTCTACTGCCACCCCCAAGACTCGGTATGTAACATGTTCTCTTCTCCAGTCTTTCCAGTCTCTAACTGACTTGTAGCAGCTCTAACCAGTACGGTCATGCCCAGGGTGGCAACCAGATGATGCCCCCTGTCCCCGGCGCCCAGGCCCCTATGTGGGGTGGTGTCCCTCCCTACGGCTACGCCCAACCCGCTGCCCCTTTTAATCCTATGCAGCCCATGAATCAGTTCACCGACCCGAACAACACCACCGTCTTCGTCGGTGGTCTCTCCGGCTACGTCACTGAAGACGAGCTTCGCTCGTTCTTCCAAGGCTTTGGTGAAATCACCTACGTCAAGATCCCTCCTGGAAAGGGCTGCGGTTTTGTCCAATTCGTCCATCGCCACGCCGCGGAGATGGCAATTAATCAGATGCAAGGTTACCCGATCGGTAATTCTCGCGTCCGCCTCTCTTGGGGCCGTTCTCAGAACAACTCTGGTGTAGGCACTCCTTATCGCCCTGCCCCGCCCCCTCCTCACTATCTTGCTGCCGCTGGCATGCCTCCCCACGCCGGTCCTGGTGGCGCTTACGGCGGACCTGCTGGTCCCTACGGTGGCAACCCTCCCCAGGGTCCTCCTCCCTCTGGTGGTCCCATGCAGGTATGTCTTATGGCTGTCTGAACAATATCCTTCCATTTGAGTCTTTGCTAACACTTTTGACAGTAACTTTTCTCTGAATCCGCTTACTCAGTCCTTCATCGCGTGGCGTTTTGGGTGGCGTACGGGAGACGAAAAGCACAAAGAAGGTTGATATTCTGCAAGTTGATCGCAATTCTTCTTCACGCCTCCACTTCGGTTGATCTGTTCGGCATTGCTCGGCGTTCTGGTCTCTACTGTCGTTTGCTTTGCTTTGATCGCGTTTCTGGGCATGCTTATGACACATGGGGCGCGTGAGCGGAAGGGAAATGAAATGGAAATGGCTTCTTTCGAGTCTGTTTTCTCTTTTCGTTCTGAGTTGTCTCTTTTCTGTTTTTCTTTTACTCTCTTTCTGCGAAGTCTTTCAGCGGCTATCCAGCAGTTTAGCCCAAGGTGGAAGGGGGGAAGGGCGGTATTTCTTCAGAACTCTCTTTGGAGATTTATCATCTTCATTAGGATTTCATTCTAGGGTGATATTCCCCCACCACAGCCTCTTTGTTTTTTCTTTCAACTCATGGATATGGGAAAAAGATGGACTGGTATACTCTTTTACTGGTTTTCTTTCTTTGCTCTTTTCTGCGAGGGGAACTGGAGAGAAAAAAGTTGAGGGGGGACTTGGGTCGATTGATTTGGGGCATCTTTGTCCTTGACTGGCTGCTTATGGATTCCGTTTTATTAGCAAGAGAGACTCTGATAACTTTTTGTTTTTTCTGCAATTGACATTCGGTCATAAGCTGCTTTTGATATTTTGCTTGCGTGTTTTGTGAGTGCTTTTGCTTGATGCTTGTGTGCACGTGCCTTTGCGTTGTGTCTTAGGATGTTTGCGTCCTTTGCGGAGGGTTGGATATCGTCTCGAGAGCATAGCGTGACGGTGTTGGGCGTCTAATGGGATGTCTTGGATTGGGGGAGCTGGAGTCTTGGAGTGATGGTGTTTTGGTTGATTGCTAGGCCAGGGGGCATTGGCGCCTGTGTTGGAACGACTTTGAAGACTTTGGATAGGGGTGAAGAGCTTTGAAGAGTTTGGCTGTGACGGGTTGCTCTTCAGCCCTTTGACCCACCGATGACCTCTCAACAAGTTTGGACGAAAGATGATGAACAATCATGGACGAAAACCTCGGTGATGAACAGCTTTCGACGAAACCTCATGACGCCTTACGTCTCTCTTTTGGCTTATAATGAAACATGAGCAACACGGAAAAACAGAAGGAACACAACAAAACAACAGCAGAACAAAGGTGGATTTAAGCCGGGAGCAGAGAGAGCGTACCAACAAGCAGCAACAACCCGACGTTATTCTGGAAGCAACCGTGCCAAGGAGTGGTCGACAACCTGGAATATAAGCACGTTGACGATAGGAGTCACCGGGTATCTTGGCAGCAAGTTTGAGCGTGGAGGGTTCAAGATTCGTCTGATCTCGTCGCGGCTTTTCTTGTCAGGATACCCCCCCATCAGACGACTGGCGTTGTTGGGCTTGCATACTCCCTACCTGTACCCCGTTTGCTGGTAGCATCCTGGTGGATCGTGGTGCCTGGGAGCCTTTTGGTGATGGCTTCAGCTTCGTTGGTTGATTGGCCTGTTTGGTCTCTTCATGCGGCTATGTTTGTTTTTAGCAAAGGTACTTTGGATTGCTGGGTGGCTGGATCGGCTTGGTGTTGGTGTTGGTGGTTGTCTGCTAGGGCTGTCATTGATACCACGACCGGAGTGGCTTGGTGGAATTGTGATCAACTTGTGGAAGGATTTAGAGTAGATGCACAATAGAAAATATAGAAAGCTCTCTTGCGTGTTTTGACAGATCAGCATGGATTGGATGGTGTTGCTTGGCTCTGAGACGGGACTGGGACGGGACTGCCGGTCTGGCTGTGTGTCACTGTTGGCATTCCTGGGTTTGATGAGTAACTGGGCCTAATGGCTTTGCTTACCGGACCTGATATAGCAACCTTCATTCACGTTGGTGACCGGTAAAGGTAACCGGATGGCAGGGGCAAGAGGGTAGTTCGGGTACACACCAGAAACACGTGGTCGGTTGTCATGAAGAATATTTGACGGCCATGCTGGGGTCCTAGCTGACTCAAAACGTTGAGGCTATGTGATGACTGACCCAGCTAGGTACCTCTTATTGCATCGACATGGAGGGCAAGCTGACACGCCTTGGATAGACCCCAACTGGAGTCGTCCTGTGTCTGTGAAGGACGAAGTCGCTGGGTTGGAGTACATAAGGTATGGAAGAAACACCTTGTTGCTGATATGCCGCACCATACGATGATCAAGCAGTTGGATACTCGCATTTGCTTGTGTTCTTTCATGTGCTAGCATGTGGACAGGTAGCCCGGGGGCTGTATCCGTGTTATAAGCAGCCATGAACGCCATTGGCATCCATTCCTTTTCGTACCTCCGGCGGTTAGTATAAGACTTGGAAGTCCCATACACTTGAGGTCGGCGAGATGAAACAACTCTGCGTCACTGTTAGCTTTAGACTGACTGGTTACAGGGAGTCTGGCCTGGGTGAACAGAGGCAAAATGAAAAGACGGGAAAGCAAAGAGGCAAATGAAAACGGCGTGCAACGAAGGCAGAGGCTGTAGGCAACAGGTACGACAATAATGTGATTACGTGTCGGTACATGGTGCAATCAGACAGGCTTCACGGGTGAGTTGCTACCTGGTATCTAGATAGCCTACGTGGAGAGAATTGTTGGCCTAATAAGAGCGTGGGAAAGAGAATTGGTGCATGCAATGGTCGTGCCTTTGACAATCAAGGTTGACAAGGTGTTTATAAGTGAGATTCAAGCTATCAACATACTCTAACCCCAGACTCTGCATCAAAACCAAGCCGTTTAGAGGAGAGGTAAAAGTCGTAACAAGGTCTCCATTGGGGAACCAGGAAAGGGACCATTAAAGAGTTGCAAGACTCCCCCAAAACCATCTAACATCAACCCACCGACAGCGTGTCATGGGCAGCAGAAGGTGAAAATGCCATCGTATTCTGCGACACTGCCGCCATATTGTCACCTCCGAAGGCAACTCAACCGACGGTTGGCGACGGCGACAAACAAGTCGACGACCGGGTCATGTGGCACCAAAAGGACATCTTACTCAAGGGTGGGCCGGGCTAGGACAACCTGTTGAAGAGTGCAGTTGACGGCTGCGCGGGTGTAATGGGCGCCGAGTGTGTCACCGCGCATAGGCCGTGTTATCGTGGGCGTCCTGATGCATCGAGTTTCGGAAGATCTCATTGTCCCGCCTGAAGATATCCAAAAATTGCTGGCTTGTCTGAGATCTTCGTGGTACTGAACATGGGGCTTTGGAGCCATCGGGGCACTCGCGGAGAAAATCAGATTTCCAACGCCGCCTGGGCAGACCACGCCTGCGAGGCTCTCAGACCCGTAGGCAACCAAGACGCTAACATGTGGGAAGAATACTGGCTGCTGTCCCCAACACAAGCCCGGGGCTTGATGGCTGAATGACGCTCGGACAGGCATGGCCCGTTGATCATGGCCTGCTTCTTTTTATATTCAGGCGCATCCGGCCTGTCCTCGGGGCGCACAGGTGTGACACCACCAGGCGCAATGCCCGCCCCCCAACACCTGCCGCTGTTTTGCTTGAGCCGAAAGTGCTTTACCCCTTTGGGTCTTTTGGATTAGGCTGTACCGGTTCTCGTATTGTTGTCATGTATGCCGTTAAATTGGGAGGGGGCAAGCAAAGGATGACTGACGACATTTGCTCGAGGAGGACCTGGGAATGAACCATGCGATCAGCTGTGTACGAAGAATGATAACAGAGCACAAGTGACAAAATGACATACGGGAGCCCTCATCAAAATCGGACCATTCACGATTCAAGCCTCCGGCAAGCGAAGGATACACACTGTCTTGCAACCAAGTCACTTCCCGTCTCCGCAACTCCATATCCCTAATGGGATATTTGCTGTGAGTGAGCCGACATCCACAGATGTCCATCAGAGGCTGTAAAGGCGACTTCCGCATATGTTGAAGTGTCATGTTCAGGAGCCATGACGACCAGTCTCGAAATATTGACAGTGACGGAACTAAGAGCCAACAGGACGACGAATATGGCGATATTGGAAGTTTCCTCGGCCCCGCAGCTCGGATCGAGATCCCTACGACAGGTGTTCACACCCACGTTACCGGAATATCTTTGCGGTGGTTCGTGAGACCGATCGGTTGGCTGGCATGGTGCGATGGTCCCAGGTTGTTTGCATGTTGAGTAGCCAATAGCACGACAATCTTGAAAGAGTCGTCAAGCGAAGCATGTGCTCAATGTTGATAACACACCGGAAGTGGCTTTTTTGACCAGGATGTCCAGCCTCAAGTCACCGAGACATGGCTCATGGGAAGCTTCTCAGTGGGCATGGCGAGCTTTGTGAGGCGCTAACTGTAAAGCATGTGCATCTCCTACACTTCTGCGGTTTCGAGAAACCCGGGACTCACTGCTCACGACTCCCATCAATCCACCTGCCCAAGGCCCTCTCAACGGCTCTTACACCACCGTTTGCGACAGCTATCAATCAATCCACCCGCCCAGGGCCCTCCTGACTGCCCTCCCAACTGGAAGCTGTGAGCAAAGGTGGCGCTATTGATGATGTGTGGAAGAGAAGGTAGGGAATGATGGTGGCTCAGACTGCAAGATGAAGAAGATTAAGACAGTGAGCCTGTGCCCACGCCTCAGAAGAGGCACCGTGATGCTCTGAAAAGGCTGGTGGTGCTTTGGCGGGTAGGTCTCCTGGGAGATGGGCCAAGTGGTTGGCTAAGAATGTATATGTAGTCCCTTTCGTTTGACCACGGTGCCTTTCTCCCCCATCGTATGCTTATGGGCGGACCTGGGTCGGATCGCACACCAGGAAAGGACAGATGGATAGCAACTTGTCCAGATATGGAACGCCGGAGGATGATGTCCAGAGCAAGGTCATTTGGCCTGTAGAGTGGCTGGGCTCATAGGTTGCTAGCGGGAAGCAACGTTGGTTTTTCCCTGCTGCTTTTGCCTGTATATCAAACAGGACCAGGCCCCGGCTATCG